CTCGTTCAAAGAAAGAAACTAACTCGTCACCTTTATATAATAGAATACATTTGAGCTTGGTAACTAGTAAAAAATTATTGGGTACATTTTGTAGGTTTATCAAACAATCTTTATAACGCATACCAAAAATAATTTTACCAACCTAGGATTAGTTAAGGAATGAATTCATGTAGTAACTCGAGCTTAAACTTTTAGAATTAAAGAAGTAAACTTTGTAATTCTTGTTCAACATGTTTTTTACAACATTTATGAATGAAAGGGTAATGTAATGGGTTCGACCAGTGTTTTTTTTAATAGTGTATAATTTTTCTGAAACATTCTTAATCCTGTGGATTTCCAATTATCCAAAGGCAAAGAAGGCGCATCTCGTTACAATTGATTGAATTCACCTTCCATCAAGTTTGTGTCCATAAAAGTAAAGTAAGTAAAAAATAAACAGTAGACATACGTAGCAACAACGGTGAAGCATTTTTTTTACGAGGAAACAAGGTCTTTATTTGTTATATAAAAATGTTAGAGAGTCTTTGAGATGGTATGTTTATAGTAACGAAACAATGTAATACCGACAGCACATCCTCTTTGAAGACACTACTCTTTTAAAAATGATAAAGAGCAATTATTATAGCTTCGTCGTATCTAATGACATTACATTGTAAGTTGTAACCATAACATCTATTAATAGTCAAATTCTTTGCATGAATGACTCAGCAGTTTTACGGCCTGCACAGATTTCTATACTGTTGTGTAATAAGACTTGAAAATCAATAGCGCACTTAGCTACCCTAACATTAGTATAACCCTACTAAATTCCCTTCTAGTAAATTAGCTTTTACTTATTATAATTTTTTTAAGGTATTAGTTTAAGGTATTATCTGTTAGTTAATCTTCATTTACGTTTTTTTAGAATAACCATAAACTAAATTGCTGACGGTTCACTACGGTGACACCCGAAATATCGCGACGGGTACCGAACAAATCCAAGATGGCGAATTTTCCCGCGCATGCTCATCCCTTGCATTAGATGTGACGTCACCAGAAATAGTGTTGTTTGCATCCCTTAATGCTAAAATCTTAAGTTCTCGTAACAACTTCTCTAAAGTTATATAACATCTTCAACATATGTCCTAAAATAGTAAAACTGTAACCACCATCGATTAAGATAATATAATCTAGGAAAAAAGAAAAAACAATCTTCTAAAATTAACGTTGTCAAAAGAATTTTGAAAACTTTACCGCGTGCAGGTACATGTTTTCGACAAGTTATTTTAAGCTTATCTTTCAACGTATCAGTTTAATTAGCTCGACTTTCGACATTAATGGATGTCAGTAAACAAAATAAACGTTAATGTAAATATTAGCATCCAAACCTTTTCCAAGTTCATGATGCCTACCTCCCTACTATATACTATATACCTACGTAATTTATGTACTTTTGACGCATTTGATAAATGACGGACACCAATTCTAGTTACCTAATAGACTAAAAATTGTGTAAGAACTAAATGCAAAAAGTATCGATAAGCATCATCGACACATGTGTAACGTCCCTAGTACCGCAGAATTTCGTCAGTCTGTGTGGGACGCCCGTTGCGGATGTTGGTACCCGCGTTCGGATTTTAAAATTGAATGAAAACTGCGATCTTTCATTATTAATTCTGTGAATGGCCAGTGTTGTTGCGATTACATTCAAAGATTGAATGAGGATTTATTTATAAGGTATTATATTTAGTGGAACAATTTTATTTCATTTTGTGTTTGACTAACTAAATTTTTGCTTTATTTTACAATATATTCAATTTTCATTAAGGATCTTCTCTTTTTTTTTTATTAACCCATTGACGCAACATTTTATAAATTGTAAAGAAACAATCAATGCGAATTTAAAGCATATTGATTTTTATTTATTCCGACACTTTAATATTTTTAAAACGTAAAACACCCCACAATATTGGAATATACGAAAATAAAGTATATAGTTACATCAACAATTTCAATTAAAACCTCAACTGTTCATGATGATTGCAACCATTATAAATTTTATATATTTAAATAATTAATGACAAAATAGTCTTGATTTGAAAAAGTCCAATAAGGTCATCAATAAACAGGTTAGTTAAGCACACACATCCAGGAGGTTTTATTGATTGTGTGTGGGGCGGGGAGGGGATTCGAGGGGTGGGGAAGGTCAGGATCCTGGCAGGACGCTTCCTTACCACGTGCAGATCCTAATCACGTGACGCAAAGTCTGAAAATTGTCCTTGGCACAAACGAATGAAAGATAAGATTGAAATTTGTGATTAAGGCTTTTCTTTGACAGTATGTTATTTTTTCTTAGTTTTTACGTGAATTCACAGCTTAGAAATCATTTATGAATGTGAAATCGGTGAGAATATTAAAATTACGTTTAAACCAAATACAACATATATCTAAGATACAAAACTTAAAAAAAAGGGTTATAAGTAAGTTCTATTTTGTGGATCTTTTGTAGTGCAGTCTTAAGAAATATTCCAATATGCGATTAAATATGTCTCAGTGGAAACCCTACAGGGGTGTAAAGAACCCTGTATTCTGTAATATCAGAGCTGAGTAGGTCATCAGATCGATATCTCATCACGCCATTTTCAGCCGAGCCGCTAAAATTATTCAGTTTCTGTTTTCAAAGCTCTCTAGGGCAGGGCTTATTTATGTAAACGGTTGTGCCATACGAAAACTTTATTTATTGGAAGAAAAATTAAAGATATAAACAATATTATGTACCAAAATATCGTATTAGTTTTTCGATGTTTACTGGGTTTGTCCTGGAAGGCTAAGATTTTGAATACATCTATTTTTTGTTGTATCTAAGTTGTGTTATATAATATTGTAGTTTGTACGTTAAACGTTTTGAATGGTGTGTATATACATATATATCTTTTCAATGCTTTTATAATTATAACATACATTTATAGTTAGTAGGTTAATAACATAATTATAAACTAACTGATTTGTTTTTCAATGTATTGTACAAAAACGTGTTGGGGTAAAAAAATTACATTATTTTAATCAAATCAAATCTGTAAAGTATCAAATGTGTGAAGTCGTTGTATAGTTTATTTTAATGTATCCTCATAGCAAATTGAAAAACCTTGTTTTTTTACGTTAAAATACTATTGCATTTTTATAACTATTGCAATATTAAAATTACAGGAAATATATATATTTTTGGTATTTTTTAAATATACATATGAACTATATTTCGTAATATTGTCTTAATATCTTTAGTGTATTTTCTTTCAATTTAATATTTTGGGGTTACTAAAGACTTACTAAATCTTATTGAATACATAAAAATATGATTCTTTGATAGTTTAATCTTGTCGAACTGGCGTGTGTCCCTCAAGAATAATATGGCTTTACAAGATGGTCGGTCAAGAGTTTTTAATGGTAGAACTTGAACCTCGCACTCGCGTGGACCAGTTTTGCAAAAAGGGGAACGACAAAGGAGTCGGGATGTCCTTGACACAAATGCGTACGCACCCTTTCTAGGGAGGTCCCTAAAGTGCCAGTCCACGGTATTTCGTGCTTACGATATTGTGTGCCCGCGGTGTTAATCTGAGTACATATACTAATACTATACTACTATTATATATACGTCTCAACATGCTTTTTTATCCGTAAAATACAATTAAACTGACGCCGTCTAAACTAAATCTGTTTGTGGTAATCAATAGCTTTTTAGTACGAACAGTGAAGCTAACATTTTTATAAGTATTTGTATATGTTCAAGTCTAGCCTTGAAAATGCTAAATAGATTTTAAAGAATGAAATATTAAGTAAATTATTACAATATATTTATATATTACAAATACATAACACATCAAAAAATATTTTATATGCAAATTTGTTGAGAGACATAAACTAAGCTAGTTTATAACAGAAAAAAGAGTTTATGCAAGACACAACCACCCGCGGGGCGCTCTTGTTTAAAATTAATATGAGACAATACTTTTTACCTTTAATGACATTTTTATAGCCTCGTGCCGACTACTTTACAAAGCATTACTTAGTAAGGGCAATATATATTTGACACTATATTCTTTTACAGTTCGATTTGTGATATGACTAATAGAAAAGGCGATCAGTGTCTAAGTTGACTAGTTATTTGATAGAATTTCAGTTGAGAATTTTTATCTTTTAGAAAATTTAGATAAACTGAGATTAGCGATGGCACTTCGCCAAAACGTTTATACAAATCTCCGCTATTATAAAGATGTAAGATTTGACCTATATTTTAAGTATACACGGCCATTCTAAGTTAACATAACGGGCAGTACTATCAAAGAAATTCATAATTGGCTTGAAATTTTATTAAGAAAGATATCAGTATATTTTTTTATCTATAAGGGTATGTAACACAGGCATAAAAATATTACGTATTTTCTATTTCTGCGACACCAGGGCTTAATTTATAACTTTTATCAACTCTGTAAACCGAATTCATAAAAGTACTTACGTAAAGTGTGTGAAACATTTAATTACAAGTACAATTAATTTTCAGGCGACTCGAAAAAAAAAGAGATTACAAACAGTATTAATTAACTTTTTTGTTGCAGATAAAGCGATTAAATAAATCAACAATGGCGGGAATTAGAACAGACTTATGAGTGCGTATCGTTCACCACATTAAAGGAATAATTATGTCACATTAACACGCCCGTACCAAAAACCTTAGCTATATGCACAGAGAAGATTCCAACGTACTGGACTCGCTTAAACTACGGCTAAAATTACTCGAGAGGACAAGAACATACGTTAAAGTCATAGAGTTCATAAAAAAGGACGCCATTCGGTATTACAAGTATATCATACAAGATATAATATATTATGAACATATTCATAGGTAACGATTATCATTCGAAGAACCTGGTCAAATTGAAATCGACTTGATTTACGCTATAGTTAAGACAATAACTGCACAGGTTAAATTTATTTAGGATTTCATCGATTCGTTTTAAAACAAGATGGCGGCGAAGGCTGAACCAATCGGCCCACGGAATGGCCACGAATTGGCGCCATTGAATACTAGAGCTGATGGAAGCGAGCGACCTCACGGAGTCACAATAGTCCTGCAGGGATCAAGGAATTCCTTACAACGCGACGCTCCAGAAGAGGATAGAGCGGCGTGGTCGGGTAAACTGCAGTTCTTCCTCTCTATAATCGGATACTCTGTTGGTCTGGGGAACATTTGGCGCTTTCCTTACCTGTGCCAGCAAAATGGCGGAGGTGAGTCCGTTGTTGTATTTTAATAAAAGTGTATTTATTGAGAAATGGTAAGGTAATACGTAGATATCATGGAGGAAATTTCATAACGTTAGATGAATTACAATAAATGTCTAAACGGTAAATAAGGTTATACCGATGATCAATTTTATCACCACGACCACCCGCAATTAAAATATGGTCCTTACTAGACGATGAAGCAACTTTTAATCATGATTCTCTATTCTCTAAAGAAAACCATTTCTATAGAGAATAACAAATTCATAAATTATTTATATTTATTTGACGATTGCTACATGACGGTGTTTTAATAAAACTTTAATAATACTTTAAACTAATTCCTTTATTACAATGAAGATGATGGCCTATAAATGTTAAAAAGTATTTTGAAGAATTTCACGATGTCGATCTTCACAGAGCTATGTAATATCGAGTAGCACATACAATCTTTAAAACACTGTTTTTTATTTAAACTCCTTTTAATTAAAATGTATGATGGCCGGTGTTTAGTTAGACATTACTTTATCAATGAAGTCGCGAAGAGCCGAAACTCGTGCAAAAACTGCGGGTGAACCGCTCGCAGCACAATCCGGAGTACCAAATGACACGATGCCGACATGTCGGTTGTTGTAGATTAAAGGTCCACCGCTATCACCCTGCGAAACAATATTTTGCCTTTTGTTGTTACATATATAAAAAAACTAGCTTGTATCAGAGGTTTCGACAGTGTAGAATAATTATATTGGGCGACCAAAGTTATTTTAGTGGCCCAATTTTTCAATTCGAACAAACAAACAAACTCTTCAGCTTTATATATTAGTATATATCGATTTCATGTCTTACACGTTAATTTCTATATAAGAAGGCAAATATACATACTAAGAAAAAATGTATTATATACATTTTAAAGGGATATCCATAAAAGTCTTACATTTACTTCATCCATGGAACAGGAACGGCGAACCTGACACACATTTGGTTGGTATTTTTAAATCAACGGATTTTTAAAATGCTCTGTGCTATATAATTTAAAAATCGAAAATAAATTGAAAAAAAATTTTCGACTCGGGCAGGACATAAATTGAAAATTTTTTTTCAATTTATTTTCGATTTTTAAATTATATAGTGCCTTCATGTGCAATAACATGTGAAAAATATTAATGTTTTCAAATGCTCTGTGCTAGTTATCCTTTGGAAGTGTTGCCAGTTATTTATATAATTTACGTCATAAGCCGTAAGATCTTTAGAACTGGCATGTTACAAGAGTTATGTTTTTATTTGTTGTTGCTTTAGTCAAATAGTGAAAAATTAAAGTTTATATAATTCAGTTTTACTTGTCCGTTGCATAAAACTTTAAGAAAAAAGCTTAGCAAATAAAAAATAAAAATGTCGTTTGAAGCTAAATAATTTAGGGCTTCATCATTCTTAAGGGCAATTTCCTCTTAACTAATCTTTTGATAATTGCAATATGCTTCAACAGTAACGTTTTATCTAGCCGTAGCCGTACATATCAATTAATTATCTTATTAAGAATTGGAGAAATTAATTAATAAACTGCTTACGTAACATGCCCCTCTTCCGCTTTCGCCTGCGCATATCATTCGTTCAGTTAATGTATTGGGGAAAAATCTACTACATTTTTCAGTATTCATGTAAGGCACGTCGACTTTAAGAAGTATTGGTGAGGCACTGCTACGCTGCAATCAAGTAAAATTAATAACACAGTTATCAAGATTAACAAGATACACGAGGCGGCGGGGTTATCACATAAAAAGAATTTAATGTATTACTTTAAAGCTACTAAATAAGTAGACATCTAATTAAGGGAGAGAATTTTAAATCAGCTGGCCGTTTAACAAAACTATTTATAATTTAAGGACTTAATCTTAATCTGTAACATTAAAGATACATTTAAAGTTATATTTTCGCATTATAGTTAATGTCCCACAAGTGAAATATATCAATATCCTAGCTGACCAGGCAAACGTTCTCTTGCCTAGGTATGGAGCATTTCGTGAATGTTTGATTCCCGTAAAAACGGTTATTGTGCGTTAATCTTAAAATATAGAAGAATCTTATAAAAAGAAGATTGATTCTTTCTTACATATTTTTTGGTATCTACAACCATTTTCGCAGCGCACGCAACGGACCCCCTAAAAGTTGAATAATTTAAAATGACCTTACGTCATTTGGATCTGTCATTCCGAACCCCATGACTCTCAATACAGCGCCATCATTGATATCCATACCGCGCTCGGCCATTTGAATCGGCTGTACCTTGCTGCTGAACAGCAAGTCCTTAGCTAGCTTAAGCACGACTACGTCATAGTCTCGCTGAAATTTTGGATGGGGATAGCTTGCCATAATGTCGTAGTACTGTCCTCCTTGTACTCTGTCTGTGCCCACCACAATTACCATATTAGATCTAGAAAGAAAAGCAAATAAAATTTATATTAAGAGACGTTATTAACATTCATTGTTCCACTGCCGGGCAGGCTTATTTTAAAATCCTTTTAGAGTATTTAAGAAAGCTCACAAATCATTTTGGTCGCAATGCGCCGCGGACACCACAAACCGTTTGTGGACTATGGTACCCCCACAACCGTATTCCTGGTCTCGCCTCTTAAAAATCGCCATAAACGGTGCCTCCTCAATTCTAATGGGATCGCCACCCATTATGGTAAATTTATCTACAACATGATAACAAAATTAGCCAAGCTTAGGTACTCTACCGTACATGCGTTCCTCAGACTTTCTCTTTTATATTTAAATCGTGTTGTGATACCATGTCTACGGTAATAAAACATCGTGATGAAACCAGCATCCATTCCGAATATCCGAAGCCAAAATAGGTCGATAATACATCTTGTTTAGATGTTATATGCCTGGGTTATTTCAACTACCAGAAAGTGAACCTCTAAATATCATAAGACAAAATTAAGCTTAATTAGTAACAAAAGCTGTGTTGAAGTAATTTGTTACGAATGATGTTAATTTCATCGTATAATATAGATTAATTTAATAAAAAAGAATGTATGAAATATATCACTTAAAATTGATGATCAACGGTTTTCTTACCATCGTATTTATACGAATAATTTGGATCTATTTGAATTAAAAGAAATAAATAAAACAAGTGACTATAATCCATGGTTTAAATTCTACTAAATTGACCACAAAACGCTTATATATACTAATGTAGTTTGGACAATGGTCAGTTTCATCAACATATATTTAAATCATTGTTTAATCATCAATCAGTCAGTTCAGTACATACAACGTAGTAGAACGACACAATTATTTTGATATTAAGTGATATTAATTTTGAAAACTCATAATTCGTCATGTTTTATGTATACTCACATAAAAAAGCTATTTATTCAGAAATTGACAGCGATAATGATAAAAATAGTTACTGGGAAAAGACCATATCGCTAAGAATCGATTTTTACCTGCTAAGAAGGAAAGAATAATAAAATTAACAAACTTAATAATGTTTGAAAACTTTATTATTTTTTACGTGTTATTGCACATGAAGGCACTATATAATTTAAAAATCGAAAATAAATTGAAAAAAATTTCGACTCAGGCAGGACTTGAACCGGCATCGTTAGCGGTCCGCTACCGAGTCTCGGTAATAATATCAAATGATTTGTTTGTGATGGAGTTCACTTATTTAAATTATAAACTTATTAACACTCATTAACCCGCGTGTTGGAAGTGGCCCATCAAAGTTATGCAATTCTTTTGAAAATACCATTCTACATTGTTATCATTTAGTTTTATTGCATTATTGGAATAATTTTATGTACTTAAAAAATCAATAAATCATTTCAGTATTAGTATAGCACTCATTCCAACTACAAAGTAATTAAATACCACCGAACATAATTTATATATCTATCAAAATGTTTACTTCATGGTGTTCGTGATCAAGCTGAGAATCGGCCAATATATATTTTTAACTTATTTTTAATTGTTTCATATTGCTCTTCATAACGAAGAAGATTGTGGACGATATCTACATTTTTACAAAAAAACCAATCGGAACCAGTGGTTCCTGCGATTAGCGCGTTCAAACGAACAAACTCTTCAGCTTTATATATTAGTATAGATTATTACATAGAATGAAACCGGGACAACGCAACATATCTATGAGCAAACCCATCGCATGAACTAGTTAAACTCTTACTTAGTTTTATATAAGGATAGATTACGTAAACGTCGAGTCAAATATTAAACGGATGCCAGCCATTATCGATTTCAACCGCTACGACGCAGTGTCTACGCGTTCGTAGACAGCTCTACGACTTTACGATTTACTTATGCAACATACATATACAATAACATACAACTACAACTAACTTATGACTTAAAAGTTGAATTATTTGTGGTATTTATCTACTTCGGAATTAAATTTATACCGAAATAAGCTCAACTATGTCTAAAAAGTACAGCTTTAAATTAAAGGGCTAGTATTTCTTTTTATCTCTGTGTCTTTTTCACTTGTTGTTTAAATTATGCCTGACCGAGAGTGTGATTTTCCTGGAATTCGAATTCAGGTCATCTCGTGCACTAAGATTTACCACTGTACCACGCTCACTTTAGTATTTTTTATGGTGATTTTTTTTCCTTTCTTAATTGTTGTTAATAAGAGCTAAGAATTAACAGTTATTAAAATTCAAACGTCGTATCATTATTGATTCTAGGAATTGTCTATGTTGTTGTTACCTTGAAACTAATTTTATCAATTTTAGCTCTTATTTTTAAAATTTATAAGTGGATTGTACTAATGAATGAAATAAAATAACATAACCAAACAAAACAAGAATTTGAGAATTTAATGGTTTAATACCCAACGGCGTAATACTATATAAAAATACTTGTATAGATTTATCAAATTGTAAAGACATTAATCTAAGAAAGTTTATATTTAATTTCCTTGTAGATGTTATAGTCTTTATTTTATAAAAATGTTTCATTTTTCGCACAAATGACGTCTTTACGTAATATACTCCGTATTTCTTACGTAATATCTGCCATAACTCCGACAATATTTTATTGACATTACACAAAGAGAATCCATGGCGTTTTATTGCTGGGGCGATATTCAAATAATCTTTATGACTAATAAGGAATGTACTTTTGTATTTTATTTAACGACTTGTATTCTGTGTACCTTTTACTAGTAAAGTCTTGAATCTTCTATGATCTTTGACTCGTATATCATTGTCTTTCGGGCTGTTCGGCCGATGTGAACGAGAAGAGGTTCTCGACGTTTCGCTATCACGTGTGGCGTCATCAGGAAATGTTAACTCCTCGTTGCTCGAAGAATTAATTCATAATTCGTCGAGAACCTCTCTTCTCGCTCACAACGGCCGAACAGCCCGAAAGACAATGATATGCTGAACGATGGCCGTGAAAGTCTTACACAATTTATTATTTCACTCGATCTCCTATATTTGATTTTAAAATAATAATATATAACTCTTTTGCTACTGTCAAAGTTTTTTAAACCAAAGAAATACTAGGAAATCTCCTTTGATACCGCCAGCCGTTAACTTTAAATCAATGACATTTTCTCATCGTTTTCTCCATTAACAGGTGCGTTTTTGATCCCATTCCTCATCATGCTGATACTCGAGGGTATCCCGCTGTTCCTGATCGAAATGGCTATAGGACAGAAGATGAGGCTGGGTTCCCTCGGAGTCTGGAACACTATACATCCATGGCTGGGTGGGATTGGCATATCCAGTTGTGTTGTAACACTGTTTGTGGCGCTGTACTACAATGTCATTATAACTTGGGTCTTCTTCTATCTATTTAATAGTATTCGGGTAAGTTTCATATATAAAAAGGTACGATAACCTTTGTAGTCTATAATGTGAGTTATAATAGAAGTTGTAAATACTAACTTGGTACTGTTACGATCTGGTATTATTTATAAAAAAATATCAAACAATAGTGTTATCTTATTATTTTTTTTTCTACCAGAAGCCTTTTCTATCCCGCCGTTTTCAGCCACTTTCTTTTTCCCTTGCCCTTACCTAACCCTCGACGTCCTAATCAAATAGTCTACATCTTATTTCTACATAAGATTTACATATTATATGTAGGTAATAGACGATAAAATGATCTCAGCTTTGTCATTTGCGAGCTATTGGACCATCTTTAAATGAGACCGCGACAGTCATGAATTAAATGAATAATAATAAAACTATTTTATTGTTTAGTAATAGAGTGTAGTACTTAAATAATTAAAGATAGATGTATAAAATCAAATTTACCACAGTTAAGCGCTGATGCCCTACCCTGGGCCCACTGTCCGCAAGACAATGGCACAGCTGAAGAGGAATGCTCGAAGACCTCAGCCACTGTCTACTATTGGTACCGCGAAGCCCTGGACGCGGCTCCGAGCATCGATGATCCAGGGGTGCCGCGCTGGTGGATCGTTCTCTATCTTCTATTGGCTTGGATTATTGTATTCTTTATCGTGATGAAGGGCATACAGAGCAGTGGAAAGGTATATCATTGTATTACTAATCTATAATGTTAAGTTTTGAACATCTGATCCACCCATTCTGTTGCATCATCTTACCAGTACATCGTAAAAAAACCTTATCTTAAATACTATGTGCAGTTTAGTGAATAGTACAGATTTAAATAAAACAAACGCTTTTAAAACGTTTAAAACGCGAAATGTATTAGTAAATCATATTTCGACAGTGTAGAATAATTATATTGGGCGACCAAAGTTATTTTAGTGGCCCAATTTTTCAATTCGAACAAACAAACAAACTCTTCAGCTTTATATATTAGTATATATCGATTTCATGTCTTACACGTTAATTTCTATATAAGAAGGCAAATATACATACTAAGAAAAAATGTATTATATACATTTTAAAGGGATATCCATAAAAGTCTTACATTTACTTCATCCATGGAACAGGAACGGCGAACCTGACACACATTTGGTTGGTATTTTTAAATCAACGGATTTTTAAAATGCTCTGTGCTATATAATTTAAAAATCGAAAATAAATTGAAAAAAAATTTTCGACTCGGGCAGGACATAAATTGAAAATTTTTTTTCAATTTATTTTCGATTTTTAAATTATATAGTGCCTTCATGTGCAATAACATGTGAAAAATATTAATGTTTTCAAATGCTCTGTGCTAGTTATCCTTTTGGAAGTGTTGCCAGTTATTTATATAATTTACGTCATAAGCCGTAAGATCTTTAGAACTGGCATGTTACAAGAGTTATGTTTTTATTTGTTGTTGCTTTAGTCAAATAGTGAAAAATTAAAGTTTATATAATTCAGTTTTACTTGTCCGTTGCATAAAACTTTAAGAAAAAAGCTTAGCAAATAAAAAATAAAAATGTCGTTTGAAGCTAAATAATTTAGGGCTTCATCATTCTTAAGGGCAATTTCCTCTTAACTAATCTTTTGATAATTGCAATATGCTTCAACAGTAACGTTTTATCTAGCCGTAGCCGTACATATCAATTAATTATCTTATTAAGAATTGGAGAAATTAATTAATAAACTGCTTACGTAACATGCCCCTCTTCCGCTTTCGCCTGCGCATATCATTCGTTCAGTTAATGTATTGGGGAAAAATCTACTACATTTTTCAGTATTCATGTAAGGCACGTCGACTTTAAGAAGTATTGGTGAGGCACTGCTACGCTGCAATCAAGTAAAATTAATAACACAGTTATCAAGATTAACAAGATACACGAGGCGGCGGGGTTATCACATAAAAAGAATTTAATGTATTACTTTAAAGCTACTAAATAAGTAGACATCTAATTAAGGGAGAGAATTTTAAATCAGCTGGCCGTTTAACAAAACTATTTATAATTTAAGGACTTAATCTTAATCTGTAACATTAAAGATACATTTAAAGTTATATTTTCGCATTATAGTTAATGTCCCACAAGTGAAATATATCAATATCCTAGCTGACCAGGCAAACGTTCTCTTGCCTAGGTATGGAGCATTTCGTGAATGTTTGATTCCCGTAAAAACGGTTATTGTGCGTTAATCTTAAAATATAGAAGAATCTTATAAAAAGAAGATTGATTCTTTCTTACATATTTTTTGGTATCTACAACCATTTTCGCAGCGCACGCAACGGACCCCCTAAAAGTTGAATAATTTAAAATGACCTTACGTCATTTGGATCTGTCATTCCGAACCCCATGACTCTCAATACAGCGCCATCATTGATATCCATACCGCGCTCGGCCATTTGAATCGGCTGTACCTTGCTGCTGAACAGCAAGTCCTTAGCTAGCTTAAGCACGACTACGTCATAGTCTCGCTGAAATTTTGGATGGGGATAGCTTGCCATAATGTCGTAGTACTGTCCTCCTTGTACTCTGTCTGTGCCCACCACAATTACCATATTAGATCTAGAAAGAAAAGCAAATAAAATTTATATTAAGAGACGTTATTAACATTCATTGTTCCACTGCCGGGCAGGCTTATTTTAAAATCCTTTTAGAGTATTTAAGAAAGCTCACAAATCATTTTGGTCGCAATGCGCCGCGGACACCACAAACCGTTTGTGGACTATGGTACCCCCACAACCGTATTCCTGGTCTCGCCTCTTAAAAATCGCCATAAACGGTGCCTCCTCAATTCTAATGGGATCGCCACCCATTATGGTAAATTTATCTACAACATGATAACAAAATTAGCCAAGCTTAGGTACTCTACCGTACATGCGTTCCTCAGACTTTCTCTTTTATATTTAAATCGTGTTGTGATACCATGTCTACGGTAATAAAACATCGTGATGAAACCAGCATCCATTCCGAATATCCGAAGCCAAAATAGGTCGATAATACATCTTGTTTAGATGTTATATGCCTGGGTTATTTCAACTACCAGAAAGTGAACCTCTAAATATCATAAGACAAAATTAAGCTTAATTAGTAACAAAAGCTGTGTTGAAGTAATTTGTTACGAATGATGTTAATTTCATCGTATAATATAGATTAATTTAATAAAAAAGAATGTATGAAATATATCACTTAAAATTGATGATCAACGGTTTTCTTACCATCGTATTTATACGAATAATTTGGATCTATTTGAATTAAAAGAAATAAATAAAACAAGTGACTATAATCCATGGTTTAAATTCTACTAAATTGACCACAAAACGCTTATATATACTAATGTAGTTTGGACAATGGTCAGTTTCATCAACATATATTTAAATCATTGTTTAATCATCAATCAGTCAGTTCAGTACATACAACGTAGTAGAACGACACAATTATTTTGATATTAAGTGATATTAATTTTGAAAACTCATAATTCGTCATGTTTTATGTATACTCACATAAAAAAGCTATTTATTCAGAAATTGACAGCGATAATGATAAAAATAGTTACTGGGAAAAGACCATATCGCTAAGAATCGATTTTTACCTGCTAAGAAGGAAAGAATAATAAAATTAACAAACTTAATAATGTTTGAAAACTTTATTATTTTTTACGTGTTATTGCACATGAAGGCACTATATAATTTAAAAATCGAAAATAAATTGAAAAAAATTTCGACTCAGGCAGGACTTGAACCGGCATCGTTAGCGGTCCGCTACCGAGTCTCGGTAATAATATCAAATGATTTGTTTGTGATGGAGTTCACTTATTTAAATTATAAACTTATTAACACTCATTAACCCGCGTGTTGGAAGTGGCCCATCAAAGTTATGCAATTCTTTTGAAAATACCATTCTACATTGTTATCATTTAGTTTTATTGCATTATTGGAATAATTTTATGTACTTAAAAAATCAATAAATCATTTCAGTATTAGTATAGCACTCATTCCAACTACAAAGTAATTAAATACCACCGAACATAATTTATATATCTATCAAAATGTTTACTTCATGGTGTTCGTGATCAAGCTGAGAATCGGCCAATATATATTTTTAACTTATTTTTAATTGTTTCATATTGCTCTTCATAACGAAGAAGATTGTGGACGATATCTACATTTTTACAAAAAAACCAATCGGAACCAGTGGTTCCTGCGATTAGCGCGTTCAAACGAACAAACTCTTCAGCTTTATATATTAGTATAGATTATTACATAGAATGAAACCGGGACAACGCAACATATCTATGAGCAAACCCATCGCATGAACTAGTTAAACTCTTACTTAGTTTTATATAAGGATAGATTACGTAAACGTCGAGTCAAATATTAAACGGATGCCAGCCATTATCGATTTCAACCGCTACGACGCAGTGTCTACGCGTTCGTAGACAGCTCTACGACTTTACGATTTACTTATGCAACATACATATACAATAACATACAACTACAACTAACTTATGACTTAAAAGTTGAATTATTTGTGGTATTTATCTACTTCGGAATTAAATTTATACCGAAATAAGCTCAACTATGTCTAAAAAGTACAGCTTTAAATTAAAGGGCTAGTATTTCTTTTTATCTCTGTGTCTTTTTCACTTGTTGTTTAAATTATGCCTGACCGAGAGTGTGATTTTCCTGGAATTCGAATTCAGGTCATCTCGTGCACTAAGATTTACCACTGTACCACGCTCACTTTAGTATTTTTTATGGTGATTTTTTTTCCTTTCTTAATTGTTGTTAATAAGAGCTAAGAATTAACAGTTATTAAAATTCAAACGTCGTATCATTATTGATTCTAGGAATTGTCTATGTTGTTGTTACCTTGAAACTAATTTTATCAATTTTAGCTCTTATTTTTAAAATTTATAAGTGGATTGTACTAATGAATGAAATAAAATAACATAACCAAACAAAACAAGAATTTGAGAATTTAATGGTTTAATACCCAACGGCGTAATACTATATAAAAATACTTGTATAGATTTATCAAATTGTAAAGACATTAATCTAAGAAAGTTTATATTTAATTTCCTTGTAGATGTTATAGTCTTTATTTTATAAAAATGTTTCATTTTTCGCACAAATGACGTCTTTACGTAATATACTCCGTATTTCTTACGTAATATCTGCCATAACTCCGACAATATTTTATTGACATTACACAAAGAGAATCCATGGCGTTTTATTGCTGGGGCGATATTCAAATAATCTTTATGACTAATAAGGAATGTACTTTTGTATTTTATTTAACGACTTGTATTCTGTGTACCTTTTACTAGTAAAGTCTTGAATCTTCTATGATCTTTGACTCGTATATCATTGTCTTTCGGGCTGTTCGGCCGATGTGAACGAGAAGAGGTTCTCGACGTTTCGCTATCACGTGTGGCGTCATCAGGAAATGTTAACTCCTCGTTGCTCGAAGAATTAATTCATAATTCGTCGAGAACCTCTCTTCTCGCTCACAACGGCCGAACAGCCCGAAAGACAATGATATGCTGAACGATGGCCGTGAAAGTCTTACACAATTTATTATTTCACTCGATCTCCTATATTTGATTTTAAAATAATAATATATAACTCTTTTGCTACTGTCAAAGTTTTTTAAACCAAAGAAATACTAGGAAATCTCCTTTGATACCGCCAGCCGTTAACTTTAAATCAATGACATTTTCTCATCGTTTTCTCCATTAACAGGTGCGTTTTTGATCCCATTCCTCATCATGCTGATACTCGAGGGTATCCCGCTGTTCCTGATCGAAATGGCTATAGGACAGAAGATGAGGCTGGGTTCCCTCGGAGTCTGGAACACTATACATCCATGGCTGGGTGGGATTGGCATATCCAGTTGTGTTGTAACACTGTTTGTGGCGCTGTACTACAATGTCATTATAACTTGGGTCTTCTTCTATCTATTTAATAGTATTCGGGTAAGTTTCATATATAAAAAGGTACGATAACCTTTGTAGTCTATAATGTGAGTTATAATAGAAGTTGTAAATACTAACTTGGTACTGTTACGATCTGGTATTATTTATAAAAAAATATCAAACAATAGTGTTATCTTATTATTATTTTTTCTACCAGAAGCCTTTTCTATCCCGCCGTTTTCAGCCACTTTTCTTTTCCCTTGCCCTTACCTAACCCTCGACGTCCTAATCAAATAGTCTACATCTTATTTCTACATAAGATTTACATATTATATGTAGGTAATAGACGATAAAATGATCTCAGCTTTGTCATTTGCGAGCTATTGGACCATCTTTAAATGAGACCGCGACAGTCATGAATTAAATGAATAATAATAAAACTATTTTATTGTTTAGTAATAGAGTGTAGTACTTAAATAATTAAAGATAGATGTATAAAATCAAATTTACCACAGTTAAGCGCTGATGCCCTACCCTGGGCCCACTGTCCGCAAGACAATGGCACAGCTGAAGAGGAATGCTCGAAGACCTCAGCCACTGTCTACTATTGGTACCGCGAAGCCCTGGACGCGGCTCCGAGCATCGATGATCCAGGGGTGCCGCGCTGGTGGATCGTTCTCTATCTTCTATTGGCTTGGATTATTGTATTCTTTATCGTGATGAAGGGCATACAGAGCAGTGGAAAGGTATATCATTGTATTACTAATCTATAATGTTAAGTTTTGAACATCTGATCCACCATTCTGTTGCATCATCTTACAAGTACATCGTAAAAAACCTTATCTTAAATACTGTGTGCAGTTTAGCGAATAGTACAGATTTAAATAAAACAAACGCTTTTAAAACGTTTAAAACGCGAAATGTATTAGTAAATCATATTTACAAAATAATTTTAACTCTGGCCCTATAACCACGGCTGCCGTAAAGCATGTGTGGACATTTCATGTTTTAAACCGTTAAAAGTGTTTTATTTTGCCATTATTACATAAGTATATTGCATTTTAAACTGCAAAGTTAAATATAATATTGTAAATATTTCGGTGTTCTGTGGCATTGTCTAATTTTTAATGAAACGACGCAACTGTTAAGCTCGTAATTACTTAATTAATCGGTTCATAATGCATAGCCTAAAATAATTTTAAGTAATAATCGACGTTTTCCGAAAATTTAAGAAAAATTATGTTTATCATCTTTTCCCGTGTATCTCTTGTAAGAAAATTGAAATTTAAAATTGGAGCATTGTATATTAATTTTTCGTTGGAAGCAATTAGTAAAAAAGGTTTCCATTAAATGTTTATCTTATAAATATTTCTCAAATTTTCGAAAATGTAATTGTTAGCTATAAAATGAAACTTCAAGAATTCTTATTTTCAGGTGGTTTACTTCACATCCCTCTTCCCCTACGCAGTCTTGACGATTTTCTTTGTCCGGGGCATAACTCTTCCGGGGTCGGCTGATGGTATTCTTCACATGTATAAACCCAAAGTAAGCATCGTGTTTATCGAGATGATGCTAAAATTTTATTATTTGAAAACCTTATTTTTATATTGTTATTGTTATTCTTATAAATCTAACAGAATTGTTCCATCTTGATAGGTCAAAAATATACGAATATTTATTAACATACGTGTACATGAATTATCAATAATTTTGCAAGCTCATTACTTAGTAGGAGATCATGTATGATGCCTTTTCTGCTCGCATATTTATTTGTCAAATTGAGAAATAATATTTAGTCTCTCAACTCAATTGGTTGGTTAGAGCAACGCACGGAACGCTGTGGATGGTTCAAGTTCCCTCCGTGTCGTATTCTTTTTTCAATTTAAATCGATTTTTAATTTATTAGAGATTTTTTGCTGTCCATCCTTGGCCTAAGACATTATGAAGAGTGGGTATTAAATCAAGACAAACGCATTTCTATATTTCAGTTGGGAAAGCTCCTTGATCCAACTGTATGGCTAGACGCTGCAACCCAGGTCTTCTATTCGTTCGGGCTCGCGTTCGGTTCGCTGATCGCCTTTGGGTCGTACAATCCGCCGAACAACAACTGCGTGAGGGATGTGCTGCTCGTATCTGTGTGCAATGCCCTCACAGCCATATATGCGTCGGTTGTTATATTCAGTATTCTTGGCTTCAAGGCATTTACTATGGTCGAGAAGTGTATTGGCAAGTGAGTACCTCTTTTTTGTTATATGCTCCTAGTACTTCCTTTTCTACCTCGCTGCTTCATGCGTGATGCTGAGTGGTTCTGATAATACTCTCGGACTGAAGATTGGGAATCGATTTTTGGGCGCTTTAATCTCCTGTCTTGTTTCTTTTATATACGTACCACGTATGTACATATTTATATCACGTTTGCAGTTCTGATAATAGTAAAAATATAACATACAAGACACATTTTAAATATTCGTAGAAAACAGTATTGAGGTCATCTTAAATGACTATATAAGCTTTGAGCACACGCGTAGAAAAATCTATAAACCTGAAAATGAAATACGTTTCAAAACCGAATTCCTAGTTACTGTGTTAAGATAATTTTAGTGTAGAAAAACGTAAGCTTTTGCGGGCACAATCTAGACTTAGACAAAATTCCAAATCTAAATATGTGGGTCTGTACGATGTCTGTATGTTTATCCAGGCATCACATAAAAATACTAACGCGCTTATGATTAGTTGTGTTAGCTAGTAGTGTATGAGGTATTTCTTGAAAGTTAAAATCACTTACGTCTTAGTAATGCTTTATTTCTCTGTACATTTATTGAACAAAGTCACGTTGATAATAAAGTCTAATCACATATAAAGAATTAATTACAAAACAAATACTTATTGATTCATATTAATAAGTGAAGGTAATTCGTGTTTACGACAAGTTTAATTTGATATTTATTGCCTTTTGGGCGTCCGACAAAATGTCCGCCATAAAATTCATGAAATGGAGGTATTAGCTGTATAATATAAGTTTACTTTTATGTCGTACTTAAAGAGTAATGGAAGGGGTTGTACCTTCCTCCTTTTTATTGGTTATAAGGTAAGGACAGACTCATCCTATGAGATAAAAGATGAAGTTCAGATGACTATAATGAGCGCTTCATATTAAGACCACAAGCATACGTAACCTTTATTTATGATAACTGCAGTTAAAAAGAATGTATGACTAAAAATCTAAAACAAAGTTCTTAGGATAGAGGAAATGAAAACGTATTTTCCATGAAAATATATCAATTTATGGAACACTTGGCGACGAATTGTTACGAAGATATTGAAGAGATTGCATGATTTCACAAGCGGTACTGACAGATAAAATTATAACACAATTATAAGTAAACATTTGTTAAAAACGCGTAATATACTTGCTAAAACTTCGACCTAACGTTATGGATACTGTGCTGCAGCCGTGATCACGAGAGGAACATACGTTTTTAAAACAGTCAAAAGTGTTTTTTTTTTATAATTATAAATGTGCAAGAAATCCCGTTGGTGGGGCATGGGGCGAACACATTTCTGCGTCCGTTTCACTGATCCGTTCTTTAACAGATAAGTAGTTGATCAGACTTCTGTGCCCTGCTCGACCGAAACAGTTTTTGATTCCCCGAGATTCGAACCAAGAACCTCTTGCGCGTAACGCAATGCTAGGCAATACGTTTAACCATTTGCCTACAGAGGCGTTCAATTAAATTAATAAATAGGGTTGCCTAAAACATATTAATAGCGATGAGGCCGCCCGTTACCCTCCAAAGTTTATATTTCTTATTTGGTTCATTGTAATTGTGTGTTGTTTACGCGAGTAGTACACATATAAATAAACCACTTTAACGGTTTAAAACGATATATACGTTTAACTTATTTGAAAATGATTTTCTCTTCGGCCGGACGTTTCTGACGCTTTGCAGCAGCCGCGGTCACGGGGAGACATTGTACGTTGTGTAATTAAAAGAGAATTAAAAAATAATCTGTATTGCTCGTATGTATATTATAAAAGGTCGCGAGTTATAGTATTTTAATACGCACTTGTAGTTTCTATATACTCAAAGTAAAGGTTTGTTTGTTTTTTGTGGACTGCATTTGCTAATAATAAATAAATATTATTAATGACACGAAGTACGAATGTAAATTGGTATCAACGTCCCATTCAGTGGGAGACAGAAGTCAACTAGCGATGCCGTCAGTAAACGATATGGACTGATTATTTTATCATCAATCTCTCTCAATCTCTGTTCTTTAATGGCTGTGATTAAAACATATTGATTTGCAAAGACTTTGTAATGAATGGCTTTTCATTATAATGTCTTTTCGTACTATCAATGATATCCCCCCTCGGGCCCCGTTGGTCTAGTCAAACGCCGGTTAGTATTCGAGGCCCCGGGCTCAATACGTTTTAATCATAGTAAAAAAAACTATAATTGAATAACTTATATATGACGGGCACGTTGGTGCAATGCCATGTATGGTTAATAATAATCGACGGGTCGTGAGTTCGTTCAAGCCCAACACTATTATAATCGCGGGGGTGAACCAAAGATAACCCAGTTAAGTTTTAAATACAATCGACGCAATATCTTATACTAACTTATTATATATATTTTTTCAGGGAAATAAAAGTACTAGCCCTTCATCACATCGGCGGTTTTACCCTTAACTCCACTCAGGAGTATTATGAAGAATATTACCCAAGACTTAGCGACAACATCACTTCGTCTCTCAACCTCACTGGATGCACGATGAGTCGACAACTTGACGAGGTGAAATTAAAAATAATTTTTAAATTCAGTTGCTCAATACGCAAGTGTTAAGGTGAAAATTACATTGCGCAAGAGGTGCATGTACCAATAGGTTGAAAAAAATCGACGATGACGTGTAGGACACGATAGCTCAGTTGGTTAGAGCAACAGGAACGCTGTGTTGCCGCTTCAAGTCCCGGCCGTGTCGTACATTTTTTTCAATTGAAATAGTCTTTTAGTTACAAACATAGTTTTCCTTAAATAAGTAAGAAACATACCTAATTCCATTTATAATAGAAATGTTTTATAAGGTTTCATAATTTACATTAATATTAATTTATAAGTATAAATGTTTTAGTAAAATAAGCACTAAGTTTTTAATAATTGTATTAAGTGTAGTTCTGTATACACATTCTCCATAGAGATTCTCAGTTTAGATTTAAACAATTCTCTATTTGTATTTCCAGGCGGCAGAAGGAACAGGTCTAGCCTTCATCGTATTCACCCAAGCAATTCTCAAGCTCACTCCAGCGCCCTTCTGGTCAATTATCTTCTTCTTGATGCTTCTGTCACTGGGTCTCGGGAGCCAGATCGGTATTATGGAAGGAATGCTTTGCACCATCTTCGATATTGACTTCTTTAAGAGATTTAGCAAGCCCGTTATCACTGGTAAGAGCTCGTTCGGTTTCATTTAAGAACGCGATTCACGCTCCGCGATCCGGTGGTGAACCAACCAATACTGGTTGGTTCGTTCACCACCGGGACCAATATGTTCAATTTAAAAAGAAAATCTGGATATTAAATAGATAGTAGGAGTATCTCTATCTATCTCTTATTTGTGTCACGTTTATCTCCGGCTTCGGTTGAGATTATAAATTGACTTATTAGTCACTTCTTCGCGTTTTAAACAGTTACAATATTTTGCATTGCTGAATTGTTTGGTTATATAAAATTATATTATCTGTGCTTGTTATCAGGTTCAGTGTGTACTTTCTGCTTCTTCGTGGGTCTCATTTTCACAACTGGCGCTGGCGAGTATTGGCTCAAGATGTTCGACTCTTTCGCTGGAACAATAGGATTGGTAGTCGTCGCTTTGCTGGAAATGATATCTGTTATCTACATATACGGCCATGAGAAGTAAGCATAACATTTTTTAGGTAAAGATTTCAGCTCTTGTTTGTATAGGTAAACAATAAATATTGGTTTAGAGCTATTTAGCTTTTAACTACACATTTGTAATAAATTGGTATAAAAAAAAAAAAAAAAAAAAAAAAGAACAAACACACCCCAAATACGAAATACTCATTTAACTTTTTTAATTATAAATCTATACAAATAAATAAAATTGGAGTGTCTGTTTGTAACATTAAAATAACCGCTTTTTACTAAATGCATATGGATGTATACACGGTACACATACCAAAACAATAATTAAAAAAAAATTGTCTGTCTGTTTGTTCCGGCTAATCTCGGAAACGGCTAGACCGATTTTCACGGAACTTTCACTGACAGATAGATGATGTAATAGGGAGTAACATAGGCGACTTTATCATGTCCAAGTGCGAGTCGGACGCGCGCACGGAGGATTCTCTGAAACGGCTAGAGCGATTTTCACAGAACTTTCACCGGAGATAGCTGACATAATCTATACTAAAAAAGTTGGTTGGTTTGTTTGAATTTGCCAATCTCGGACTAATGGTTCAAATTAAAAATTTGGTGGAATTTGTGATAGCTTTAGGCTATTAAAACCAAAAAATATGTAAAGGAATATTCTTCTTTAATGATCTAAAAAATGTTTGCACAGTATAGTCAATCTTTTAAGATTAACCCACAAACGGCGGTTAGAAGTGTTGTAGCAATCATTTAATCAAACAAAAAACACTTTAATTCTAGGCCAAAATAATTATTACACGCGGATAAGTGGGGAAAGCTATAATATTTAAAAAACATTTGACTTAAAAAAAAAATTAACTCAAATGTTCTTAGTGAAACTTGTAAAAGTACTTCTTGAGTAATGCCAATATATTTGATTTCTATAAAATTTTATTTTTTTCCCTAGGTAATAAGAATATTAGTTTTAGGTTATCATACGAGACAGGGCTGTATAGTTTCCTAAGTAAATAAATAAATATAATTACCGATACATTATTAGGTTTACCAACGATATCTACGAGATGACTGGGTACCGCCCAGGCGTGTACTGGCAGGTGACCTGGCGCTATGTTGGTCCCTTCATCGTGTCCTGCATTCTTCTGTCCTCACTGATCTTCATGCTCATCAACCCACCGACTTATGGTGCTTGGAATGCGGCTGAGGTACATGGACTCATGATTTAGTTTTCCATCTTTCAAAAGATCAGATTTTATTATGTAAAGAATTAATAGAAACAAACGGTTAAGATGACTTAAAAATTTGACTGACTATTAATATGTATGTGTTTAATCTCATGGTTTAAATCTTTAGAGCATGGTAATTAGGTACCCTCAAAAGTGTTACTCCATACATCCATATAACTACGTTTTCAGGGACGCGTTGAAAAAACCCAATACCCCAACTGGGTTCTAATTATCGCAGTCCTAATGATCCTCGCTGGAGTATTACCGATTCCCATTGTGCTGCTGTTACGTCGCTTCCAATGTCTCTCTCTTGACGTGGATATCCATCAGGGCTCGATTAGGAGAATTGAAACCACTGTCTCCACAAAGGAGATGATGAGTGACCAGGACGTACGTAGAGATGGACTTCTTTTCTCTTATAGCCGCTTCACAGTTATATAAGAAACTAACAAATCTAATCCCTCAAATTAAATCTTTATCAATTCATGTAACACTATAGGTTGGTGCTCATAGCACAATACCTTTCATGTATCATGAGTTGGTCTTTTAAAGACGTTTGAGGAGCATAAAAAAATAAGAGTATGAGTCCCAGATCCACTGTTCTGAAGAAATTTCCTTGTAACTGTGACGTAGCTCAATAATTTCAATAACTTTATTTCAAAATGTTTATAACATCCATCCATACTCAACCAGAAGTACGTAGACAGACATTTGTAATTAAATATCAGCTTTACTAATTTTTAAAAACTACTTAGTTTTCAATTTTTAATTTTCATTATCTGTGTTATATGTGGTGTGACTAACAAATCCAGGTAATATCGCCGGAGTCGGCTCCGCCAGCGCCTGCGCAACTTGTAGCTGACGTCGCTACAAAGTTTACTATCGGCGACTTTGACGTAAGAATTATTGTATACTATGTCTACCCTCACTGGTTACTTAGAAATGAAATAATAAGTCGTCTAACAAAAAATCTACGACATCTTTTATAACCTGTCAAATTTACACTTGTATTAATTATGCTAAAAGCTACATTATAATGTAAAAAGCTAATGAGTGTAGTGTAGCAATGTATCATAAGAGGGTATTTGATAATATCAATATTTTTGAAGTGTCACTTATTATATAATCAAAATTTTAAAATTAAATTGAAAATGTGGTTATTAGACACTAAATATATACCCGCTCGCTTATTTAGTAAAATATAACGCGAAAGTCTACTATCTGCTTTTCAAATGCTCTCTTCTATGTCATATATAAACATTAAAGTGTGCTAGTGTAAAACTGTAAATATCACAAATCCTCCAGGGAGTGGACAGCAGCGACGAGCGTCCTGGAACCCGTCTGCCGACAAGCATCGTGCGCGGGCGCAATAAGAAATAAATGTTTGTTGTTTACTCTAACGTTTTCCTATGGAAATACAACTTTCGTATTATATGATTAATGATCTCAGTTTTATTTCCACGTGTCTAATATTTGCTTTATGTAGCTAAGTTGCATGTGTTAAACCCAAAGTATATTAGGCCTTATATACTTGTTTTGACTTTTTGGTTTTTGTGTTATATTAATTAATGGTTGTGATTAGTGCATGATGAATTTGATCTGTGCTTGAAGATGTATTAATATTGCTTAAATATTGTTTCCAGTCTTCCGATTCCGAGCAGGGCGAAGTGCGAGCGTCCGGCACGTGCAACGTCTCGAGTAGTAGTGACGAAGACATTCCAAATACAAAATATTCCCCTGTTCCCGGTACGAGGTTCGCTTTGAAGCCGATTGGTCATAAGCCAACTACGTTCAAAATGGACGTCGTTGACGATTGACCGTTATGTTTAGTGTATTTATTACACGCGTGTACACATTATTTCGTGTTCGTCACGCTGACTTTGTTACTTAATGCCTTTAGGTAGGGTCATCCGTAAATCCCGCTGTTTAATAAAATGTGGCATCGAGTGACGAGGGTAGTCTTAAATTTCGTCACTAAATTGTTAACAGAATATACCTACTGCCGCCAAGTTGTGAAAGCGAATGGGCGAATGGGGAGATCATTGAAGATGTAATTTATAAATAACTCCCCAAAAGGAACTCTTATAAACAGGGGGTATATAGCACTCGTTTCCTTACACATCCTTCTAGTTATTTTTAAATTTCTGATTTTGTCAAGACATTTGTCGACGTATTGTATGTTTGCAATATTATTTCAACGGACAAATAATTAGTATTTCCATGTTTTATCGGAAACTGTGTATGCTATTTGAATTTTCTTTGGAATAGCATAACACACGTTTGCAATGAATATAGTAATTTATTAGTTTTGTGGCTCATTATAAAAAAAACTTTTAGTATACTATTGGTTACTTGTTAAGACATAATTTGTATTATTTCTACTAATAATTTTTAACATGTTGGTACTACATTTTACAGTTGACAGTTGTCTTTCTTATTAAGTCAAAAAAATACGCAGTTTGGTGTGCTCGGGTAGTAAATAAAAATTCGTTGGAATTGTTAAACAATGAAATCTATCAGTAAGCTAATATCAATACTCGTTGTAAAAACTAGGTATGAAATATTTCGACTTGTATATACGGAAATGTGTTGCTTGTGAATTTTACGCTAAAACGACGACCATCTGTCGTACAAGTATCATGACTATTATAAGGATATTCATAAGAAGATTAGTATTAGTAGCTCATTTATTTCGACCACGAACCCTAATGATTTTAAAATCATCATATAGCATTTGTTTTAGCTCCATATAGGCACTGCGCCTTAAGTGCCTTATGAGTAAGCACTGGATGCATGTCTATAGGTTTTATTGCATATTTTTTACTCATATAAAGGATAAGTAAAATATTATAACTAAACATACCACGTAAAACATAAAAAGTACAGAATAAGTAAAGGACAAATAATAAATTAATTTTTATCGAATACCAGAAATATACAATAGCAAAATAGGCGTCATACTTTAAATAATAATTAAAATTTACCAACATTCCAATGAATACATGTTGCCAACATCCAAAGAAAAATGGCGCTAAATATAGATTATAGTGATTTAAAAAATAATTTAAATGAAAAAAAAAGATATATCTAATTATTACCGTTCGGATGTCTTTTAAGAAAAACGTTAAAAACGAAAACGAGGGTATGCTAGTCACATTTAGGTAATCGGTAATATTTAGTATACAAATTTATAGCTTGGCTATTAGGTATTATCTAGTAGTAACTATAAGAAAGCACAATGATGCTAAATTCATTAAATTGGTAGATCTTTTAACATAGCGACGCTTCCTTCCCTTAAATACTCTGGACGATTTCAAATCATTTACATTTCGTTTGTTAAAGTTAATATCGTTTATAATATACGTATTTTATTAAATTGTAAACGAATATTAAAGTCTACTTTAAGAATATATATGTTATAGATATATGACAAACATATATAACAAAAATTTTAAGTAATTTCTTTAATTTTTAAAACCATTTGTTAGTGACCATTTACTTGTTCTTATGACGTAGATTATAAATACATGTTCGATACCCGCAATTAATGCAAAATGTATCATCACATCGTTTATATGTTATAGTCACGAGAAAATTAAATCCAGTATTAAAAATATTATTAAGTTATTTCGATAAAATAGTTTTATTCCAACACGACTCAAACTTGAGACTTGAATAATAGTTATATGGTGTAAATCTAAAACACTGTTATTTTAAAACAGTTACACCCGCCGAAAATACGATATAGGTACAAAGTAACATTGTATTAATATGTCTGGTTTTTTGATTATTTAATTAATTTTAATTTTAATGGGTTAGTAAGACGCAAATTGCCACTAAAATTATAATAGATATTGTTAAGCATGTCAAGTTAAATATGTTTATAATAACCACAATATTATCCATATAAGATTATGGCTCTTATAAACAATCTTCTTAAAATGTGTTTTAAAATCCTGTTATACATTACCAGCTTATACCAGTATTCCTCCATTATTATTATATTACTATTAGTAATAGACTACGAAGAGGCACTACTGTACACAATAATCAGTGTATTGTAATGTACCAAGGCATTTTCAGTTGTTAGCGACGATAATTCGGAAATAAAACATGTAAATTGTTTGAAAACATTAATATTTTTCACATGTTATCGCACATGAAGGCACTATATAATTTATTTTCGATTTTTAAATTATGTAAATTGTTACTAATAAACAAATAAAAATTTATTGATTGATTATATATTGCAGAAGACGACACAGAAAGAACTGCGACCACAACCAACAGCGTGCAATAGTTTGACAAGCGAATATAATGGGGGCGGGGGGGGGGGGGGGGGGGGGGGGGGGGGGGCCCCCGGGGGGGGGGGGGGGGGGGGGGGGGGGTTTTTAAAAAGGCCCCCCGGGCTTTTTGGGGGGGGGGGGGGGGGGGGGGGGTCCCCCGGGGGGGGGGGGGTTTTTTTCCCCCCCCCCCCCCGGGGGCCCCCCGGGGGGGGGGGGGGGGGCCCCTTTGGGGGCCCCCGGGGGGGGGGGGGGGGGGGGGGGGGGGGGGGGGGGAACCCGGGGGGGGGGGGGGGGGGGGGGGGGGGGGAGGGGGGGGGGGGTTGGGTTTTTGGGGGGGGGGGCCCAAGGTTAAAAAGGACGGTCTCTTGATTGATAGAGCAATTCACGGTGCGCTGTTGGTGGCCAGTCCAGGTCCCGCCTTTGTCGTAAATGGCTACAATGTAAAAGTAACGTATCGTATTTACGGTGGTCTTGTTTAAATTTAATAAATAATCGCTCAAATGAGCATTAGCGTTGGTTCCGTAGTTAGCTTTGGGATGACATCCCGACTTAGACGTAGTCAAACTGATATTATTAAGGTTAATTTACGAAATGCGAATAAAATTATGCCGCCGATATTGTGTTTTATTCATCGAAATACGAGCAACAGGATTCGTTTGTCTGTACATTTAACAAATACACAATTTTTTGTGTGTCAAGTGCCAACACATTTATGTCAAAAAGTAGACACAGATTTATTAAAAAAAGCTTTGCATTAAATACTGTCTATACTTTACGCGAGTAGTAAACACAATTTAAATAAAACACTTTAACGGTTCAAAACGCGATATATTAGTTAAACTTATTTGAAAATGATTTTTAACGTAGTCTCCCTGTACCACGGCTGCTGCAAAGCATCCGAAACGTCGGCCGAAGTTAAAAATCATTTTTCAAATAATTTAACTAATATATTTCGCGTTTTAAACCTTAAAGTGTTTTATTTAAAAGCTTTGCATTCATATATTTAGTTTAGATTGAATGTACATGAAGAATGTGGTGGTCTGGGGATTGTGATTTAAAGATTTACTTTACGTTTGAGATAAATTATTAAATGTTTCATACCTATGTAATTTCTAAACCTGGTAAGTCATTTTAATCTATCCATGCCTTGGTTAAAAACATTTAGGGCTGTCTAGTAGAATTTCATACTTAATAAAGACAGTAATACACGCGGGACACAGTAAAGTATTTATCAATAAAATATATCTTCGATTGTATAAAAAACTTGGGGTAATTGTTTTTTTTATTTATTGCTAGCTGTGCCCGCGACTTCATCCCCGTGGTATAGTGACTTATTTGTTCATAAATTTTTGTAAGGGCGCATTTAAGGCAGCCAATCTATGTTGTAAGTGCTATTTTGCCGCAACACTCTCACCTCACATCACTCCTACTCTAATTCCCACACTCATTCCTACACCCTCTCCCACTCTCAAAAAGCCAAAGAAGAAAGTTTTATTGTTTTAGCTTCAAAAAACTACGAATTTCCATACAACTTTTCACCCCATTTTCGCAATAAAAAGTAGCCTATGTCCTTTCTTAGGGTCTAGACTCTAGACCATCTTTATACCCACCAAATTTCATTCAAATCCGTTCAGTAGTTTTGGCGTGAAAGAGTAAGAGACAGAATTACTTTCGCATTTATAATATTAGTAAGGATAAAGACATTAATAGGGACCCCTAGTATAATTAAAGGAAATAATGGACCCCAAAGTCTTGCTGAACTCTCACCCAGGAGGCGAACGAAATTGGGATTGCCTTGAAAGATCTGAAAACACACATGCCAGATCGCAATGTAGTAGTTTTCTTCTACTAGAGACTTGGTTGAAAATGAAACACAGTTAAAGTTAGCACATTATATTTAGGATCAAATATTTAGTTGCATTTGTTATCATTGGAACATATATTGCACTTATCATTTGATACAATTAATAAGAGATTAACATTACGTTCTGAATATTTTTCGCATCCTTCTTACACACCTAGGTTTTTGAGCTATTCCGCCCTGATTCAGAATTATCTGTCCTTAGAAACGCCGTTATTTTTGTTAAGTACAGGAAATAAATAACTAACAAACATAATATTCGAGTTATTTTTCAAGAGAGGCTTATCCGTAAAAAACTTTTTATTGTTGCAGTCGGTTTATTGTGAGATTAAATATTCAGATTAAGCAATTCTTACAACAGTTATACAATATACTTAGACCATATATTTATATAATTGTCTACATCTATGCCCCATCCTCTTATGTGATGAATGATAAAACATATTCAACATATGGGGCAACATAAAAAAAAGTTAGTAAAAGTAATTATAAATATTAACTCTATGTTTTTATGTTGTATAAAGTTTAGTAGATTCGGTTTCTGTATAAGAGACATATTTCTAAGATTTTAACCGTTCCACCACCTAAGTGTTAAATACACTACACAGGTACTATAAAGTTATATCATAACTATTAACTGGCATTGAAAGAAAAAATACAGGTGTACTAACAAAGAATCCAATTTCCCATTACGTAATTAGAATAATAAAATAACAGATCATAGACTTACATTTTATAACTACCAAAATTTGAATAAAATAAAAACAAATTAAAGGACAAAACAAAAACTCAAAGGCAATGCCTGTGATGACTTTGACATGTAGCCTCAAAGCGACTGCTATTATAGGAGATTAACCACTTTAATGACAGCAGAATACAATCTTATTGCATTCTCAATAAAGGCTTTTTAGTTTCTTTTTATAAATCTAACAAAGCATGCTAGCACTGCTCCGTTGCTTAACATTTCTTCAAGGATGATAGCAGAAAGGGCATAGACTAAAGAGATGTTACATAGCATCGCTACGATTATTCTTCTGAGTCAGTTTGCTCAAAGTACTTAGCTGTGGAAAAGCTGTTTTATTCTGAACCGGATTGAGCTTTGATGTCATAAATATAAATGGTTCATATAATGATGGTCGGTCCATTGCAGATACTTCGAAATGTCGTACTTTCTCCCTGGCACACCAGTTAGCAGCTTTTGAGCATGTGTTTTCAAGACAGTTAATGTCGTCGGGTCCAGTTCGATTGCCTATGACTAGCATGACTACCTGGAAATGTGCACATATAGAGAGATTAAGGCTTTTGATTAAAGCTTACCAAATACTTAAATTCTTTTTTAATATAATTTATGTAAAACCTCACCTCTTTTTTATCTTTATTCCTATCAACATCTTTCTTTAAATACATAAGTACATCAAGTGATTCTGGCTTTGTTGTGTCATACACCATAACAAAGCCTTCAGCAAAACCCAGGTAATGCCGCTGTAGAACTTGATTAGCCGTCAGCTGCATTGTTGGTGATTGTGGAGGCCCTAAAAATTTAACTCAACTTATTGATAACAAATATATAGCAGACGTAAATTAAATTATAATACCTCATTCAAAAAAATAGTAGTAGATATGTTACATTTAAAATGATTTTGAGTTAAACAATTCAGAAATTAAACAAATTGTACATAAATCAAAAACTGGTAATTTTTTTTATTTTAAATGTGTTTTAGTTTTAGATGCACATTGTTCTTCTAGAAAATAACCTTGAATAAAAATCTAATTCAGTTAGGAATTAAATAAATTTTTACAGCCAAAGCCCCGTTAACAGATCCAGAGCTGAGATTATACAATATTATATAAAGCATTTGATTCTTAGCAAACTGTGTCAATGTATGTGCAATTCAGGTAATGTTTGCATGATATTACTCTTTTTCAAAGCTCCAAGCTATTAAAATGAAATGCTAAAACCTTTTAACTCGCCTGTGATAGGGGGCTCCAGACCAGCTGTATCATAGAAACATACCCTCTCCTTAGTCCCTCGATCGGTTTCTATATTAGCAACGTAGATGTCTTCAATAGTTGGATAAAAGGAGGACTTTAAATTCACACACCCGTAAATTAGCTGTTCCAGTATCGCTGTTTTACCAACCCCTTTCATTCCGCAAACCACGACTTTGCTGGTTTTACCCATCTCTTAAATTTCGCGAGAAACTTTCACTCCATATATGTGTTTATTTGATACATCGTTTTCTTCAGAAAGGGTCTGGCTGTGAATGAAAACTTTATAGAGGTGTGTTGTAATTATGTTGCATACAAAAATGACCTTGTATTTCGTTTTAAAGGGGCTGTTTTTAGAATTTAGCTTTTTTTGTTTATTTACAGTTACTTAACTGTCAAAATGCATTGACATAGAAATATACACTCATGACATATGACAATGATATGTTCAATACAATTATGAATCGTGTCATAACATTAGTATTGACAGCATGGCGGCTAGCGCAGTTGATTCAGAAATAACGAAAAGTGATAAATATTCCATTTTATTGCCTACATATAATGAACGAGAAAATCTTCCCATTATAATATGGCTCATAATAAAATATTTAGATGGAAGGTAAATAATTACGCCTCGGTTTCATCATCGTATCTCGCAGTTGTGTACTGAAACTTTATCTTTCTAGTGGAATCGATTTTGAAGTGATAATTATTGATGATGGCAGTCCCGATGGTACGTTGGATATTGCCAAACAGTTGCAAGATATATACGGTTCCAAGAAAATTGTACTTCGTCCCCGAGAAAAGAAATTAGGATTGGGTACAGCTTACATACATGGCATAAAACATGCGACTGGTAATTTTATTATCATTATGGATGCGGACTTAAGCCACCACGTAAGTAATTGATTTGTTTTTTTGATACTGCTTTACAGGTATTTTATGGGTGAGATAATGGGACTTAATACATGGTTCAACAAGAAACTAAAATACAAAAAAGTTTTCTTCTTGTTGTGATGTCATTACAAACTACCAATTTAAATATTTTAACCAATGCAATGTAGATAAATAAAGAAGCTTTTTCGACCTTGTTAAACCGTGTGTCCATTGTTATATTTTAGATATTTATATATCTTTAATAAAGTTCTTTATATTTTCAGCCTAAATTCATCCCACAATTTATAGAGTTACAAAAAGAAAATGACTATGACATAGTTACTGGCACTCGATATATTAATGGTGGTGGAGTTTATGGTTGGGACTTCAAGAGGAAACTTATATCAAGAGGTGCAAATTTCTTGACACAGATGTTACTAAGACCTGGAGTGTCTGACTTAACTGGGTCATTCAGGTATAACAGTCTTATATTGCTAAGAACAGTTAAGTACAGTTGACCAAATTAATGTTCCATACACATACGTATAATCATATGTTATATTTGAACATTTAAATTATCCTTGATTGATTCCAATCTATTCCATAAGACTTAATTATATCCTATCTTTTCAAGGTTATATAAAAAGGATGTTCTTCAAAAACTTGTAGAAAGTTGTGTATCTAAAGGCTATGTGTTTCAAATGGAAATGATAATTAGGTAAGTAAAGTATGCGACCCCTAGAGACAGAGTAGCCTAACTGCAATTGAGTTATTTATACTTTCATTGTCTACAAATGTTAATCTACAAGAGCATAGTGACCAAAATTGTTGACATAATACTTACACTAATGATAGTACAAATTCATTTTTGCCTAAAGTAATTGCACATTTTCCTTATTGAAAATCATGTTTTTAGTTTTGAGGCCATTCTAGCAGACTCATATAAAGCTAAAATTTTATCTATCCCATTGTGATAATAATGTTTTTATTTTTATTGCAGAGCAAGACAGTTAAATTACAGCATCGGAGAGGTTCCTATAACTTTTGTAGACAGGGTTTATGGAGAGTCTAAGCTAGGTGGAACTGAAATTGTACAATTTGTTAAGGCTCTTTTGTATTTATTTGCCACAACATAATTCACTGATGTTATTATAAGTGAACTAAGTAACACTGTAAGTTCTTTAGTAGAGTTGCTAGTTATTATGGTAATACAAAAGCTGGCAAAGTAAATAATGTTAAAAATACATTTATTCTTACTCATCAATGCCTATAAAGGAAGTATATTTTTGTACATTTATCATATTACATTTGTTTAAACTGCTGTGTTCATGTTTAAAACTTCCTGATGTGGGTAGTTTAGCAACAAGCACCTATCATTATAAATATTGACAAGAATACATTTTTATTATTTTATTACAGTTTGAATGTTGTGGTGCATATTTGTATATTGTGAAAATAAATTGTATACATTAAATATTGTTTTCGTGTTTTTTTTTCTCATCATATCATAGGAAAAGAAACTTTAGTAGACAATTATATTAGTAATAAATATAAAACCTAATAATACAAAGTTTAAGTTTGAAGTTTTGTTATTCGCGTTTTTCACAGTTTGCGCATATTTGAACAGGTGCTAGATGCGTTCTTTTAGTGAACTAAGTATAAAATGTATTTAATTGCCTTTTAAACCTTCTTTAGTAAACATGTCTAAATTAGCTTTCTTTGTTTGCTTTTTATTTGCTCCGGCTTTTTCTAAAATAATTCCTAATAATTTAGATACTTCTGAAAAAAATACAAGTGTTAAATTATGGGTGTTGCACTTAAATCAGGATATAATGCAATTTGATCAATTAAAATCACCTGATAGCGATGATAACAGAATATTTAGACGGATAATCGCACCTGCTATTCAAAAGTAAGTAACTTTCAAGAGATATAAAACAGTAACAAAGTTACTTTATAATTTAGTTCTTGTACTTTGTATTGTTTTTAGATTTCGAGAGCATAATGGAGTTGCTGTTACACCAAAAGAACATATCGGAGACGAAAAGAAAGTCCTAAACGTTTCGCAACTTAAAGCTAACCTTTTACAAATCCTTAATAAGTTTAGGTAAGTTAACAAAAATGTGTTCTTTTTGTTTTATATAGTTAATTAGGTATTAATCTATGCGCAATACTTTTAGCATGAGCATGACCAAAGAAACGGAAAACAATAGTTTCGATTTCATACAGCCCTCTCTTAAAGTAAGTGATGTTGTGTTCTCTTTAAAATTTTGTCTTTTAAAATTGTGTCTTCTTTAAAAAATGCAAATCGATCAGTAACATGTAAACATTTTTATTTTTAGATATATTTCTTCGGACCTCATACATCACTTGTTGTGAGTAATGGGGAACAACATTTTCATTACTTTGTCAATCCGCCTTCGTCATTGCCTCGTTGGTTTTATGAAGAACACAAGAACGAGTTACAGATCGATGAAACTCTGTCCGTCGAAATTCCTGAAGAAGTCAAACAGGAATTGTATATAAGACTTTACAATTTATTGCATGTATTTTTTAGCTTTCCAATTTAATATGCTAGTTATATGATACTAAGTGTTCCGAATAAAGTAATAGTAGGTATCTTGCATGTAATTTATTTAAAAATTCTTCACCGTTGTTTAAAATGTTCAGTCGCTTTCATTGAGAGAAAAGACTATATATTTTCTTAACAAGCAGAACAGGTCAATAATGTGTAAACAATAAAACATTGTTGGAATTAAAATATTTATTTTAAAACTTCAAGATACATTAAATAAAAACATTGCCTTGCTTCAGCGACTTGGCACGGTCGTAATAAAAAACGGTCTTAACGTAATCTATAGTAACATTGTCTAGGTTTTGACATTGACAATTTTAACGTGTAACGTAGAAAACTTGAAAGATGGTAGACGTCAAACGTCAATCGAGTTAGCAATTTTAATTCGCAAATATCGTTTCGTTAGTCATACATTTGTTTTTACGTTTGCATTGTTTCACTATCCTTTGTGTTATAATATTAAGCAGTTATTTAGGAGAACTAATGTAGAAGTAACTCAAGATGCTCGGCCAATTTGAAAACGTCGGCGCCTTCATTCGCGATTGTAATGGCACAAAGTTACGATATGACCAAGCCTGCTTGGAAATAATTACCGCTGGCCCAGTTAACTTTTGGAGTCAGTATGAGGAATGTGAAGACTGCATGTTATTGGAGACCGCAAAGCTGGAAAAATCAGGGGCCATAGTTCTAGAGACAATAAGCCCTATAAAATATGCTCTACACAATGGCTCTCATGAAATTTGCAATGGTAAGCGTATTGTCAGATTACGTGCGGTTTTAAATTACAATTTAGGTGTTAGTTTATTATTCATAAACCTTATCTAAGCTAGATACATTAATATGCGCTGAAGGCTTTTATATTCAATGTAAATTTAGTAGTGACATGCTTATCTGCACTCAGGTCAAATGAGTCACTTTACAATATCAATATTTACTAAATATTTCATTTCCTATTCAATTGTGTCCATCTGTCTGTGATGCAGACACAGTGTAAATATCAATTCAAATTGATTAAATAGATACATGACTCAATTAGTACTATATGTTGATTTTTAACAAACAATATAATTTACTTGCAACAGTATAAAATAAAACATGTTTTATTTACAACTATCTTTATACTTTTTTGAAACTTAATTAATGTTATTGCATTTCTATAATTAATGCTTGTTAAAATCAAAATGTTAACAAATTTTACAAAAGAGAAAATGCTTAAGTAGTTGGTATACCCAAACAATTTTATGAAATATTTATTTGTTATTAATAATAGAAAATAGCAGTTTCCAAAAAAAACACATAATAGTTAATTTCATACCTGAAAAGCATAAACTACATATGAAGAGGGATTAATTAAAGTTTTATTCATTTAACTTTTATTTTATTTTTTACTTGCTTGTGGAAAAAAGTCTGCCTGATATACAATAACATGTCTGTCATATGATTTTAAAGCAAGTGGTGGAATATTGTCAATTCGTAATATTCATAAAACTAATATATATATATATTAAAACTCTACAAGATAAACTGACATAAAGAATGCGTGTTCCTTTTAAATGCAATAAAACTGGTTTTAGTGCATTAATTATATGCGGGTCATGCAATCACCGCACATATATGTTGTGTTTATAAGTATGTATTTTTAGATAATATGTAAATTAATTTCTAGATTTATTTTCAATGTGCTACTAATGTGGGCTATATTAGAAAAAATGTAAATTGTTGTAAATTTTTTATTTTTTGATCAATAACTTGATATTCATTGATGAACACTAGCCAGCTTAATTTTCTTAAATCAGTTGCAGATTATGCTAAGGTTAAACATGAAGTATGATTTTTAAATACCTTTTTTCTAAATAAAGAACTTAGACTAAATATACTTTATAACTTATAATTCTTAGTCTATATTCTTTATTAAGATTTTTCCTAAATTAAAGAGCAATATCAAAGACTTGAATCTTTTGTCTTTTTTAAGGGAAGCCAGCTATAAGATTGATATGTGTGGCATGATGGGCTTTTAATTTGATATTTTCAGGTACCTATGAATTTAATGAATTTGGGCAGTATAGTATCAATATTCTTAATGATACCCACAACTGTGTGCCGCGGATGACTGCAGAACCAGATGCAGCATACCTACCCATATTGACAGCTGTGGTGGTGCTATTGTCCATGGCTACACTTTGGTATATTGTGAAGGGTATTGGCAAGCGAGTGGTGGCTGGACGGATGTATGCAAGATACTTTGCTAGGTAACGTTTCTGCTGTAGTAGTATAATAAGCAAATATACTGATTAATTAATAAATTGCAAATGCGTGTGAAAAATATTTAAGTTTTCAAACATATTTGTATTACCTAATATTTATCTCTCAGATCCTAGTGGTATTAACTTTTTTCTTTTAATAATGAATTTAAAAGCGCATTGTCTTGATATTTCATAGAGAGGACAATGAACTCGGATCGGAAACCCGCGTGCTTACTACTGAGACGAGCGTACCACGATCGCCCACTCGCTCTAGGCTTCGTTCCCTTGACATCTTTAGAGGATTCTCCATTGCTCTGATGGTGTGTATAAGTAGAATGGTTGTGTCGTTTTTTTTGTACTACGTAAGTCAAAAAGATATAAGATGAAAGTCTTTAAATCGACAGAGGAGTTGAAAACTATAATGTATGGTTAAATATAAGCATACATCAAAGGCTAAGAATATCTTGCTAACATTTTTTTTTTAATATTGTGGTTTTGGATGAAAAAGTTTTAAGACATGGGCAGGTTCGTGCTGTTGCTCTAAGCAATAGGCGTACCGTTTCCTAAAAGTCATTGATTTTCAACTTATTGATATCTTCTATATATTGCCATCCTGTGCAATAAAATGTGGATAATATTAAAGCTTTATTACAATTAAAATAGTTTTCGTCTACTATTTACAGTAAATATAAAGTAGTCATACTTAAAACAATAAAATAACTTTCAATAATTGTTTCAAGGTGGTTGAAGATAAACAATTAGTATGTATTTAAAATTCAATGTCTTAATGTGGGAAAATGTGGCTTATTCTATAAAAGGAGGTTTTTCATCCTAGGCATTTTACGTTTTTAATGTTAACAATAAGTTATTCTATTGGCCACTTACAAACAGCCAGTGTTAATTTAAATACCTTTAAAACCCCTTGAATCATGCAGGTAAATTGCTAAAGAATCTCTTAATTTATATTAAGAGAGAAACCTTTAAAGGGAAACAGGCTTTGTTTTCTTTTATCCTCTTCACAAGAAAGTTGTAGTAACAAGCTCTGCCATTTGAGATATCGTCTCCGTTGATGTCTATTGCAACTTTAACATATGAATAAGGTCGGAATTAAGTACGATAGCACAAGGCAAAACAAATACCAGTAGTACTGTTATGTCAAATTAGAAAATTTGTTTAATTATTTTATAAACATATAATTAATAATCCAAGTTTAAGTAGTTTTAGTCTAATCATTGTTTTGAACATATCCACATGGATGCATACATGTAATAAATAGGACTTAGTCTAGTAAGATAAATGCCATTAAATTAAGATAAAAATAAAATAATAATATTCTGTCAGTTTGTATTACTTTATTAGTAACTCTTAAGAACTATATTAGTTTTTTTTAAATATGTTTCTAGATATTCGTGAACGCCGGTGGCGGTGGTTACGGCATATTTTCCCACTCCGCGTGGAACGGCTTAACCGTAGCTGATGTCGTGTTTCCCTGGTTCGCCTTCGCAATGGGCGAAGCACTAGTGCTATCCCTGAACGCAAGGCTTAGGACTTCTTTGCCCAGAATCACTGCTCTTAAACAGGTAACAAATTTAAATAAAACACTTTAACGGTTTAAAACGCGATATATTAGTTAGGTTAGGTGGTCACGGGGAGCAAAGCATCCGAAACGTCGGGCCAAAGTTAAAAATAATTTTCAAATAAGTTTAACTAATAAACGCGTAAAGTGTTTTATTAAAATAACTAAAAAATAGACAAAATAACATAACATAAATAAGATTACTGCATATCCTTTCATTGTCGTATGTTAAAAAAAATATTAAATTTTTATTACTAAGAACACATAGATTTTATCAAGTTTTTAATAATTTTTCTGCCATACATTGCTTCATATTTTTATTTTATTTTATTGTATTAAAAAAAGCAAACGAATTCGATTCATTTTCTCAACCTTGTCAATGCATCATTTAAAATATATCTTTCAGGTGGCTCAAAGATCCCTCCTAATGTCCTTGATAGGGATTTGCCTCAGTTCCGTAAATGTGTCCTGGTTTGATGTCCGTTTGCCTGGTGTGCTTCAGCGCTTGGCAGCTATGTACCTTATTGTTGGTGCTGTAGAATGTGCCTTTATGAGAACCAGCCAGAATATTACTCCAGGTAATCTTATCTCAGAATATTGTAATAAACACACTTTAACGATCTATCAAGGTATAACCAGGGTTACAAATGAAAAAATACATACTTACAAATTGCTAAACTTTAATGAGTTGAATGGTCGGCAATTGATGTTAATAGTTTTGGTCCAGCATGACACTAAAGTCTAAGCAATGAATTGCCTAAAACAGACATAAAAATGTGTTTACTTCATGATTTGGGATTTCATATTATTATTCTTACTAGTACGCTGGATTTTATTGTCTATGCTAATAATTAATCTTAACCTAGCCCTGTTTCATTAGCAAGTGTATGTTCTTTCTCAAAGACAATTGATTTCTGCAGGTCGTTCTCTGTTCAGAGATATTGCAGCTGGATGGCAGCAATGGCTTGCGACCATTCTTTTGGTGGCTATTCAGGTAAAAAGATTTAGGCTTAAGTAAACCCTTAGTAACAAAAATTAAATTAAAGCACATTAAAACAGCTAGAATATAAGTTTTAAAATCCGTGTATTATTTGAATGTTGTAATATAAAAATAAAAATTAATACATTTTGTCTCACCCACCGAAAGATAATCATTTTAATTTTAAATACAACGTACAAAACTATAGCTTGTCTTCGATTTTGAAGGTATGTATATCTCTAACGGTATCTGCGCCTGGTTGTCCACGCGGCTACCTCGGACCTGGTGGTCTACATCGTACCGCTCTTGGAGATTTCACACTGCAGAACTGCACTGGTGGAATCGCTGGTTATATTGACAGGTAGGATCGATTCCACTTGACTACTTAAGTGATTTCTAAATATTTTTGAAATATATATCGCGTTTTAAATCGTTATAGTGTTTTATATAAATTTAATTACATATATAATTTATACTTCTAGATTAATCCTTGGACCTTCGCACTTATATCAACGTGGTAGTTTCCGAAAGATCTACTTGCCAATACAGCCGCATGATCCCGAAGGTCTATTGGGAATATTATCAGGCGTTCTCGTAGTGCAGGCCGGCGCACACGCAACTAGGATTATGCTAGTTTACAACCATGCTAGGTAACCAATATTTTGTTGCTGTATACTTATATACACTTGTTTGTTTTTTTTTATTTTTAACATATTTTTCTAAAAGAGCAATCCACATGACAGACCGAATATCTCATTTTTTTTTTATAGGGCAAGGATAATGCGTTGGGTCTTCTGGTCTATAATATTCAGCGTGATCGGCGGTGCTCTATGCGTCTTCTCGAAGAACGGTGGGCCCATACCCATTAACAAGAACCTCTGGTCCGTTTCTTACTGCCTGGTGACTGCTGGTATGGCATTCTTCATCCAAGCTGTGCTGTATTTCCTAGTTGACTTGAAGACCAAGTGGGGTGGACGACCTTTGTACTATGCTGGTACGTATTTGGAATTAGTCTATATCTAACTAGTAAATATTAGGACCTTAGATTTGTATGAAAACAAACTTAGAGAACCTACAAAGTACCTAACATTTATGCTTCAGGCAACGAACCTATCAATAACCTACCATTAAGTTAGAATGTCTGTTTTTTTACTTTAAATTTTTAGACATTAAATATATGCTTAAAACATGCATATATTTAGGTTTCTAAAGAAAAAGAAAATATATTGAATAACCTATATAAACCGATCAAGGCGAAATATATTACTTACAAAGTATTTTTTACTATGACGTTTCGTTATTATTTTAATGTGTCCTACTCGCTTAAACCATTTTTAATGTTTTGCTTAAAATTTTTAGCTAGCTATTCTTTTTTCCATCTGATAATATCAATATCTGTTTCAGGTCAAAACGCTCTCTTCCTATACATTGGCAGTGAACTCCTAAAACGTCATTTCCCATTATACTGGCACGTCCCTGCCCCAACACACAGCCAGTTGCTGGCAACACACGCGGCGGCTATGTTAATGTGGCTGGCTGTCGGTGTTGCCTTACATCGGAAGCGAATCTTTATCACTCTTTAATAAACCAGCTCTGTGCTTTTATATATTGGTAACAACATCAGGAACAAGTGCACATGCTTTGTGCTTTATATTGGCAACACCAGTGCATTGTGATATTATTGTTCATTGAATCGTATTAGATCAAAAAGAATGTAGTTTAAAAAAGGCAAGAAAAATTGATGTAAATACTGTCTACAAGTTTTTTCAGGTGAACAAGTTTTTGGGATAGCAAGGAATGAGATCTGTGGGGAATGTAGATAATTAGGTATTAGCTATTAGGAAAGGTCCCATCATACAAAATTCTAAAATTTTATTTAACCAACCTTTACCATTAATAAATTTTATAACTAATTTTAAAAAGCTTAATTTTACCAACCTTATTTTTAATTTAATTATAACTAATTAAAATGTTTATGTCTTGGTTTTAAGGGGTTGCAGATTATTTTGTTTCCGTTAGACATTGGGAGATACTAAAGACACCATAGACAACGCTATTGTTAGTGCTTGCTAGGAGAAACTTGCAGAAAATTAGGTTTTCATGTATTTGCTGTCGCGATGCTAAGAAAAGAAGATGCAGCTACTTATAAGCGACGTCAATTGTAATTTTATTATTGTATAAAACGATATTTAGGTTTGATAACATTATAGTCGCTTTTGCTTCAATTCTGTGATGAACAACAGCACAACGCCAACTTTATTAATTAACGGGACTCCTTTTAGAATTGAGAAAGCTTATTTTTATCATTTGTAGTTTATTTTGCACTGTCTCAAAAGCAACATTTAAATCTGTTAAACTAAATTTAAATTTGTATACAGTTTACAGTCGTCTTCTAGATTTTTGAGAATGTTGACACTAGGAGACGTAATGTACCTTACTAAAATGACGACAAAGTCAAATGCTTGAACTTGCTTATGAATTTTGATAGAAATTAAAAATATTAGTAATCTTTTGAAAATTTCATAGATACGTAAATATGGTCGATATGGGTCTTTTATTGCTTGTCTATGGATATCTAAAAGAAGTTGCACTATATATTTTTGTAATTTTTAATAAAGAAATCGTAACGTTTAAATGAAAAAACTTATTGGCTCAATATTTGGTCGAAGAAGCATTTTTGTTTAAGACGAGCAGTTAGTTTCATTTATTATTACGATCACCCTTATTTATATGTTAGTTCTATTCTCAGTTTTATTGTATATTAATCTGACTAAAAAAGTGTACAATGGAATTGGATGTTTTACGTCAACGTAAATATTTTTAGTTGATTTGTTTAAACCAAACTAACCTTTATTTTAATTTGTAGATCATTTCGTATTGCACCATGTTGTTAGCGTATAAAGCATTGCAATATGTTTATAATAAATAATATTAACCACAATAACTACGCTCATGTGAAGTATTCCAAATATTCATATTTAGACTTATTAGACTTTACTTATTAAAATGAATAGAGGGAATATTGTTTTGTAATGAAATATACAAAATGTTTCAAATTGATTTTTATTTACCCACTTAAGATAATTTTTAAGGCCTTAGGGGGTACACATGCTATTTGTGCAGTTGTTACGAACAGAAAAATTCGTGTAAGTTTCTGTCTAAGGCCAAAGAAAAAAATTTAGGGCATCTTGATGGTATCTGGATATGGCTGGGCAGTTCCGTTTCGACGAAGTGAACCTCTTGCCGGGCCGTCCTCTGTCTAAAAAACGACAATCATGATTGCGTTTCACGTAAAAGACGGGTTATCTTAGAAACTTAAACGATTTACTTAATATTTTTTGTTATCTATTTTAGAATTTTAAAGAGGTAGGTATTTGTATATTTATAAAGTAGTATTAAATTAAATGCTTTTAGTCCGCGTCACCTATAAACAATTTAACGTTAAATCGGTCAAACGGAACGCAAATAACCTTCAAATGCCATTGAAACGTCAAGTGGACGTATGTTATCAGCTGTGTTGATACAGTTTCGGTTTTCTCGGTGTTTGAAATCACGTCCTTTTTGTATTAAAATTATGGAGCCAAAAGTGAATCTATTGCAAGACCCGGCTTATAAGAAGCTACAAGAATATTACAACACAAACGCCGATAAAATTAATATTCTACAACTATTCCAACAAGATGTTGAACGTTTTAACAAATACAGGTAAATAATATTAAATAGACATAGATAAAAATACTTTCTTAATTTAAAATAAATGTAAAATAAGAATTTGTTACTTTCAAAGTACGCGCTTAAAGTTTTTTGTCAAAGTTCAGGTGACTTTCAAAGGAATTTTAAAAGGTCATTCGTTACTTTCCAATGTCATTATTAAATAATTTATTCAGTCTTGGAAATATAAAACTATTATAATACTATTTATGAAGTATCTTTCAATACGCCCATAATTATTTGCTACATTATAAAATACAATATTTAAAAATTTTAATTAAATATTAGTTAATAATATGAATTAAAAAAAGGTCCATGGCTATACCTTTGAGTATAGCCATGTACTTTTCGTTTGAAGATAAATTAATAAAAATGAAAATAAAATAATTTGACGCATGCATGCATGACCCAGGAGTAGTGATATTAGATATTGAAATAAAACAATTTTTTGTGGCTATTTTTTAGCCTGTGCATTCCTACGCCTAATGATGGTGAGATACTCCTTGACTACTCCAAGAACCGTGTTGACGACAATGCTTTCTCGCTCCTTTTAAACCTAGCAAAGAGTCGCAATGTTGAAAAAGCCAGGGACGCTATGTTTTCAGGTAAACACAAAAATTCCCAATTTGTTAGAAAACTTTATTATTTTTTACATGTTATTGCACATGAAGGTACTATATAATTTAAAAATCGAAAATAAATTGAAAAAAATTTCGACTCGGGCAGGACTTGAACCGGCATCGTCAGCGTTCTGTGCTATTGCTTTCTCGGTAGCTCAATTGGTAGCTACACCACGGAACGCTGACGATACCGGTTAAAGTCCTGCCCAAGTTGAAATTTTTTTCAATTAATTTTGGATTTTTTAACTCAATTTGTTAATTTAACTAATATATATTATTATCTTCTCTAAATAAAATTGCAATTTTACATATTAAATGGCTGTTCACATCACCTTGCATTATTCTCTCTTTAATAGAATATGACACATATTATGTACTTCTCAATATTTTATTTAGCCTACTCAAGTAAATGGTTGGATTGATTAACTGTGGATTTTTAGTAGCTACTTACAGCATAATTTAATATTTGTGTTAATACTGTCTTAGATTATACAAATACCTGACACATTTAGATGAAGATTTCACCTTCTTTGTTAACATTCATTTATATAATTCACTAAGTTGTTTTTTATGTTATAGGTGAAAAGATAAACTTTACCGAAGATAGAGCTGTACTCCACATTGCTCTACGGAATAGACAAAACAGACCAATACTTGTCAATGGAAAAGATGTTACACCTGATGTGAATGCAGTACTGGCTCACATGAAGGAATTTTCACAACAAGTCATTAGTGGATCTTGGAAAGGGTAAGAAAAAATTTTATGTGACTTCTAATGAAAAAGAGCAGTATTGTTAAATTTTATGTAAATGTCAAATTTCGTTTTCCCTGGTTTGGGGCATAGGGCAGATACATTTTTGTGTTCATTTTCTGGAACGATTTTTAGTTTAATGGAAGTAGTTGATGTAATTACTTTGTTCGTTTGTGTTTATTAGACCAAGTCAAATTATCTTGTATATGGAGAATTAGAACCCTCTATAGTCTGACTGTCTATACATGAATGCACCGTAATACAATACATTTATTAGAAGTGTTATATGTAAATTACGAATATTAATTCTCTACAACTTATACTGTCAACAAGAATTAATATATATATACAACGAAAATATATATATTAATTCTTGTTATATAACAGATACACAGGAAAACCAATAACTGACGTCATCAATATTGGTATTGGTGGATCTGATCTGGGTCCCCTTATGGTAACAGAAGCCCTGAAACCCTACGCCACTCATCTGAAGGTATTATTTTATAACAATAAATTATTTATTACCTTTTTTTATACATATAATGCATTATGAAGCGTTGGAATAAAATTAAGTAATAATATTATTTAAATATTAAACTGAATAAACAAACTAACTTTGAGCGTTTCTTAGGTTCACTTCGTATCTAATATCGACGGAACTCACCTCGCGGAAGTACTAAAACGCTTGAACCCTGAAACAGCCCTCTTCATCATCGCATCCAAGACCTTCACGACTCAGGAGACCATCACCAACGCGACTTCAGCTAAAACCTGGTTTCTGGATGTGGCTAAAGACGTACGTTTCAATAGATTGTTTACTATCAAGTGTTGACAATTCGCGATATTTAAATAATATACTTAAAGTATATTATTTAAATAAAAACGTTTTAAAACGCGAAATATATTAGTAAAACATATTTGAAAATTATTTTAACTATGGTCCATCTGTAACTAAAGCTTTAAAGCAAATAAGTTTAACTAATATATTTCGCGTTTGAAACCGTTAAAGTTTTATTTAAATAAGTACTACTAGCATAGTACAAACAGTATTGAATTTGCGATATATATGCTAGATTGTTATCTTACAGTAATAAATGTAATTTGTTAGGCCTAAAAATGTAATGGAAGCTGTATAATTCATAAAAAATAAAAGTAATGTGAAAAAGCCCCTTTTGACATTACTTTTTAACATTATAATTATAGTTCTGTCAACCTTTTTTCAACTATTCTTCTTCTACAGCCATCAGCTGTCTCCAAACACTTTGTTGCGTTATCAACGAATGCTGAGAAGGTGACGGCGTTCGGTATCGACCCCAAAAACATGTTCGGCTTTTGGGATTGGGTTGGTGGAAGGTAAGATGAAGATGATTCCTATCCATTAGAATAGGATAGCCTACGTTCAACTTTTCTTATCCTTTTACAGAAAATAACTATGTACCTATTCCATGCCATACGTGATTCTATTAATTATAGTCTAGTTTACTAAAACGTTACTAGTGCGTTGTCTCTCTCCCACAATCTCCTATATAGAACAAGGAGGACAGACAATCTTGAGGTTCACTTGATGGGAACTGAAATACCCAGCCTAGCTGTCGACCTATTTTGGCTATTCGGAAATCCACAGACTGAATTGAGCGATTTAACTTCACGGCGTTTTTTATCTGTGGACGGTGGTTCATGGACATAATTTCGATATTCCTACCTACCACTCAACATCGAGATTTCCAGATGAAGACCAATTAGCCATTGCCATTAGACCAACTAGCCCGTCAAATACCAACATACACACAGTCTTATCACACTCATATTAGTATATAAATTAATCTATATCAGTTTAGATATACATTAATTTATATATTTATTACGTCATTTATTTCAGATATTCTCTGTGGTCTGCCATCGGTCTGTCCATATCTTTGTACATCGGTTTCGACAACTTCGAAAAACTCTTGGATGGCGCGAGTTTTATGGACAATCACTTCTGCAGCGCACCGTTGGAGAAAAACGTAAATAAATAAACTATAATACTTAAATGTAAAAGTAATTAAATTAAAACAATCTATGAAAGCCGGTCTCGGACCTGCGATGGCGTCCCGCGCATATGATAAACAATATCTCGTTATTTCTATACCACAAGTTGTGCATAAGCTGTCGTTGCTTCGATTCCCGCCGTTTTAAAATAATCTATAATATATAAACATGGGTTAATTAAAGTTTAATATTTTACCGTGCAATTACTTACAATATTACAACTAATCAAAAATAAAGATTTTACGTACTTAAGTGCGAGTAAATAAATATGGCACGTTTTTAAATTTAAGTCTTAGTTTAAATATACAATTTATGTGATAATACTAAAACACTTATGCGCAGGCGCCGGTAATCCTAGCTCTACTCGGCGTATGGTACAGCAACTTGTTTGGGGCAGAAACTCATGCGTTGTTGCCCTATGACCAGTATTTACACAGGTAACTTGATATATTTTTAACTGGTTTTTGTTTATTGTTGGATTGCGGTATTTTTGCTATCTTTAACAGGTCTAATGTGTTGTAATTGGTCTTGGTTTAAAGAGAAAGGTGTTATAATATAACTTTAATTAGAAATTTAGCAGTATAAAAGTGGAAAACTAATATCAGATGGGTTTAAAAAAAAACAATTGTACAGTAAAGTAAAGCCAAAATAAGTTCATAATATCTGTAGTTTACGGAGAGTACTATTTAATTTTATAAAACTCTTTACCGTAATTTTATTATTTGAATCCGTCGGGCCGTAGTTAACATAAATTGTAAATGAGGCCAACTAATAAGTAGATTTTGCGTTTCAAACCCTTAAAAATGCCGTATTTAAATATAGCTAAGGTCAAAAATTTATCTGATTTAGAAGCTGGGGTATTTAACTGTCACATAAAAAAAAAAAATCTTTACAAAAAATCTATCAACGCTTCCAAGATGTCCTAGAAATTTTAGAGTTGTCAACAAACTCGGAAATAATATACAAAATGTTCCTTTAGATTCGCGGCGTACTTCCAGCAAGGAGATATGGAGAGCAACGGCAAGTATGTGACTCGTTCGGGGGCTGAAGTACAGTACAGCACTGGGCCTATCGTCTGGGGCGAACCTGGTACTAATGGCCAGCATGCCTTCTACCAGCTCATCCATCAAGGAACCAGGTAATATTAATACCCCTTTTTATTTAGTGTTAATGTGTCTGATAGTGTGAAATGAAAAGAAAAACAGCAATTTTGCTGATAAAATGTGTTACCGCAAAACAAAGAACAAATAAATTAAAAATGTCCACAGCGTAACGTGCTGTTGCTCTAACCAGATTAGCTACCGAGTACTACAGTCATCTTCGATTTATTTGAGAACCTAATAATACATGCATATAACGGTTCAATATAACTAAACATTACACCCATCGTTACCACCATCAGAACGCTGTTGATGCCGATTCGAGTCCCTCCCATACGGAATTTTGTATCTATCTAAATAGATTTTTTAATTCATATAATGCCATGAAATATATGTAAGTTTTCAAAAGAAGGAATAATTATTTGCCTTCTTATAAAATGAATGACTTGAATATTCTTCTATATGCAGGTTGATTCCGTGCGACTTCATTGCTCCTGCGCAGACGCATAATCCAATCGCAGGCGGTGTGCACCACAAGATCTTGCTCGCCAACTTCCTGGCTCAAACTGAGGCGTTGATGAAGGGCAAGACTGCGGGAGAGGTACGTATGTGTAATCACTTATTCACCAACTCTTTCAGTTACCACTGTTGGAACTTACGCCTACTAAGAGCGGTTATATCCGCTTAAGCTTTATTTCAAGACGCTGGCCAAAAACGTGTTGGCTAACCCTACTTTTATAAAGCTAGAGATATATTGAAGATTTTTGACGAATTTATAAATAGATTCTATTATTCCTTACACTTACCTAATAAGGTTTTTTTTTATTTCTTTTCTCCTGTACCTGGAAGAGATCGCTGCTTAGTAATAAAACCGCCTTCTATTTATAAGTTAGTACGTAAGATTTTATCTCTTGTAGTTTTTGTTTTGTGGTATGTATTATAAATAATAAAGTTTTTTTTTGTAGGCGGAAGCGGAACTTAAGAAGTCTGGTATGGCGCCAGAGGCGATTTCAAAGATTCTCCCTCACAAAGTGTTCAAGGGCAACCGTCCCACTAACTCTATAGTCGTCAAAAAGGTCACACCATTCACCCTTGGTGCTCTTATTGGTAAGTTTTCTTCTACTTGGTTGGTCATATTCATAGGTTGTTCTTTTAATTCTTGAAGAGAAATTAGTACTGTAAATTAGTAAGTTTATATTAATATCTAATCACTATGATACATACTGATTAATTGTAAACATATTTGTTTTATTATCTTTTAACATCTGATATGAAATTCTTTAATTAACAAAGGATGTTCATTGCGTTATAATGGGTTTTTCTATTCAGCTATGTACGAGCACAAAATCTTCATCCAAGGAGTGATCTGGGACATAAACTCCTTCGACCAATGGGGAGTGGAGTTAGGCAAGCAACTGGCGAAAGCCATCGAACCAGAACTCCAAGACAACAGCAAAGTCACATCACACGATGCGTCCACTAACGGACTTATTAACTTCTTAAAGGCAAACTTCTAAATATTTATAATCACAATTTAAAATATTTGTCAACAACTGCCTATATCTGTATAGTTTGATAGAAGACTCCATTGTGTCTCTGCACCGCAAGTGAAAAATAGAAATTGAGTTAAAAACAAGAAGATGGTCCCTTTTTACTTTCATGACTTGAAATACAAATTATATCTTTCTACTATTGGTTTAACAACTACTCTCGCTTAATTAATATCAATTTTGGTAGTAGGTATTTTATGCTCAGTAATTATTGGTAGATGTTACAAAGAATGATATAAGCTTATATTTAATTTTTAACTTCTATATTTTTTTTAATAGCAGTAAAAATTGGTTGGTGATTAGGAATAGTATGGTGTATGTATCTCACCTACCCTCATCTCACACTAGCAACTATAAACAATGTTCTATTGTAGAGTAAAAAAATATATTATTGAAAATAAGAAACACTCTAGAAATGTTAAGCTTATGATGTCTTTTCAATATGGTTTAGAAATATTTTATTTTGTATGTTATTATCAAAATTGCACGGTGCATTTTGATAATAGTTAGTGTTGTATGTTTTAAAATTCTATTGTATGTTGAGGTAAATAAAGTATTGATAATTTGACTTTTTATTGTTTAATGTGATTAAACAAACAATTACAATCACAAATTTCACGTCCCAGCGGTGGGTTGCTAAATATGTATGTATGACTTATACTTATGATTCATTTCCTTCTTTTTAAAAAAGTCGTAAGGGCTAATTAAGAACATTTAAAAGGTCTTGATTCTTAATACAGGCAGAGTGAGGTTCTCAGCGCGACACGACCATCACAGGATTTTTTTCAATGTACCTTTCAAATATTACGTTTTCTATAAAATATATCGCACATTTAGCTCTGAGCGTAGAGCATCAGATTTCAAAAAGAAGGTCGATCGATAAAAAAAACTGATTTAGCTGGATACAATACAACATACAAGTCAAATCAAAAGAAACAATTATATGGATGGACAATGTATCAGATCCCGTCCGATGCGAATCTTTGTATTGCAGTAGATTAAACTTTATTACTATGTCAATAAGGTCTATTTAGGTTTTCTACCGCGTCCACCGCCAGTTTTAGCTTTTTTGTTTGCATTCTTCTTCTCTTCTTCGGCTTTACGTTTTGGGTTCGGCGTTGTTGAGAGTACCTGAAAAAGAGGGTGAATCTAAATTTATTTGTGATTTAAGAACATTGATACCCAGTACAGGATTTAGTAGTGTGGAGGTTAGGGCGCCACCAGGGTCCAAAGTATTTGACAAAAAGTGATCAATTCTTCTCAGTCAACTTGTTAAATAAATAATTTATTGTGAAGCAAAATAGAGTTTTTAGTATTTAACTTAATAGTTAAAACAAATTAAGTTTAATAAATTTTTTTTGGAATTGAAAAAAAATCCAAAATGTCTTGTAGACGGCCCCTTTTTGTGGGGAGCCTAGGGCAGATTTTTCCCCTAATTAACACAGTCCAGATAGAATCTTTAAATCAGAGTAGACTGCCAATACTCTGCCTGTAACCTGATACCCGCTGTCGCCAGTAGTTATTATTATTTTATATAACTGTCACACATTTTTACCTTAAAGAAACCGTCTAGTCTCCCCTGAGTAGTACCGCTTCGGGCTTTGAGTAGCTTCTTGGCTCCATTCCTAACTCTCTCTTCGTTGAACTGTTTATCTCCACATAGGAACTTAACTAGACCGTCTTCATCTGGATCCGACCATTTTAGCTGGAAGATATTACGAGTCCTAAATTACTAAGTCGATTTTAAGGAAATTTCAAGTTTCATTATATAAAAAGAATGTGATAAGTCAGTTGGCACCCTTTAATTGATAATAATATTAATTGTTCGTTGGTACGGATGTATGTTTTACTTTTTTAATCCCTAATAACTTAAATACTGTCTATAGTTTACGCGAGTAGTACACATTTAAATAAAACACTTTAACGTTTTAAAACGCGATATATTAGTTAAACTTATTTGAAAATGATTTTTAACTTCGGCCCGACGTTTCGGATGCTTCGGACTACGACTGCTGCTAAGCTATGGAACGGACAGACTTACCCCGTTTATTTCCCCTGCTTCTTTGCTCCTTTTGATTTCTTATAGTTAAGCCTTTCCCAATAAATGCTCTAAGCAAAATAAAGTTTTTTTATTGTACTAGTAGCGCGTTTAACCAAATAAACTCTTCAGCTATATATATATGTGTGTATAGAGTATAGATCTAAATAAACATAAACACTTACTTCTATTTCGCCAGCATCAGTCACCTCCGGTTCAAGAAATAGGCGTCTAGCATCCAAGTAATCCCAATTCTCCGGTGGCTGATATTTGTTTGTGTCAATATTCCTCAATACCTCTTCAAGGGAACGGTGTTGCCTAATTAATTCTATGGCTCTCTTGGGACCGATACCTCTAATTGATCCACAGTAGTCACAACCAAGGAGGATGCACAAGTCTATAAACTATTTTTTTTTAATTAGTTCAATAGTCGAAAATGTACTATTTTTTTACTGTTTTTGTAGTTTTTATTACTGTTTTTTCTCTGAATTACGACAGTAGACGCATACCAAGAAATTTATTCAAAATGTTTGAAAATGGTTTTATGAAGTTCAATTTGAATTGTATATGTCTATGTTAGTTTTAAGTGCAGTGTTGAATTGGGCCCCCACCTGTCATGCCATTGTAATTTGAATTATTAAATAAATAAATAACTTATTCTCGCGCAAGGCATAATAGAGTAGTTAACTTGCCTATTAATACAATTAATGAAACAGACAGAAATACACCTTGCACGAAACACAAACACTTTGTATACATTAATGTTGTTCACATGTTTTCGCACATGGCAGCACTATATAAATTATATATGGATTATAAATTGACAAAGTAGTTTAGTTGGTTAGAGCAACAGCGAGGATCTCCATGGAGACCCGTTTCTTATATTTCTTCATTTTATAATTTAGAAGCAGAATTTCCATTTATTAAATGTAGCATCATATTTTATTAAATCAATTACCTCATCGTGTTTAAGTTCTAAGCCTGATAATACTTGATCTAGGTGGAACTCTTGGACAGGCATTTTTCTAGCTTCGGAGAATGTAAGATGGCGCAACAGTACATTAGAGCCAAATGTTAAGGCATCCATATCTTCTGTTGCCACTGCGTACACCTTGCCTGACTTTACCTGGAAAATATATTTATAGTTGAACAAATATTATATATTAACAAATTCATATTTTTCTTTTATAGTCTTATGTTTTAGTATTTTACATTTTTTTCTACTTAGTAATTAAAATCGCTGATACATATTTCCCCTTTAATCATATTCAAGTATGAGCAGAGATATTTGATACTTTGTTATTGTGGTGATGAACAATTTAACTTGGAAAAATATGCACTGTCGTTTACGTAGCCCCACGCTCTGCTCCCAGGGCTGCTGGAAAGCATCCAAAACTTCAGGCCATAGTTAATAATAATTTTCAAAGAAGTTTTACTAAAATATGTTGCGTTTTAAACCGTTTAAGTGTTTTATTTAATTGTAGAAGTATTTCATATAATGTGTCAACCTCTCCAGTATTAAACTACTGGTAGTAACTGGTTAATGTGTTAATAAATTAGGAGCTAACAACATTAATATGTTTATAATGTGTCAATACTTCTGAAGCTACTGATTAGTTCAGTTTTACTTACAAAATAACAATATACCAACCAAAGCAGCACACTGTGCCTCTGCCTCACAAGGAGCCTCAACTACAGGAACTCCCATCAGCTTAAGCAATTCCCTTGCTTCCTCTCCATGTTGCTTAGTAACTTTCACTAGCCGACGGTTAAACTTCTCTATAGATGCTTGATCACCTAAAATTGATAGTTTAGTAATAGTATTTTAACATAGCATTATTATAATTTACATTTTAGGGACACTAATCAATGGCGTAATCAAAATATTTTTTTTAGTTGTTTCAGTATAGTAGCTTTAACATCCATTTTAATTATTTACTCTTGTAGGGATAACTTTATTTCTAAGTATCTTTCTAACCAAATATGAAGTATTTCATACCAGCTTCAGTAGCCTTTTGCAATTCCTTCTCTGCTTCCTCCCTTCTTTCAGCTCGTTTATTTAGTTGATGTGACTTCATTTCTGGTGGTTTTCCATCAAAGACATACACTGGCTTAATACCATTCTCCACAAGTCGTATTGTACGGTAAAATGTACCCATTAAGTGGGACGTGGTTTCACCATCCACAGAAGTTAATTGGGCACCTAAAAAATATTATTAGTAAAACTTCGTTATTAAAACTTCCTGTGGGCCTTTTATACGTCGGAGTATATTTTAACATACCTTCGCTCCGAACTGCTATTAAAAATTGGTATAGGCTCATGGATGCATCAATAGCAACTTTTCGGCCTGAAATAATGCGAATAATAAATTATTTTTTTCATTCACTGAGTGAATGTAAAAAAACAACAATAATTTTGTGTCCATACCAAAGTAGTTCTTGATCTCCATTTCTTTAACCGCTTGTGGGGCGATATCAGCGATTAATTTAGATAAACCAATAATACCCATTTTTATTTTATTGATCGATTGAAAAATTTGTAATTACATTCAAATTTTTCTCCTTATTTTATTGGGGATTTAGTTTAAAACACAAATCGACATGCCGTAAAGCAAAAATTACAAACGGCGCGAAAATGTGACACTGACAGCGAATTATACAGCATAACAGATTATAAAACTTATACTCCTCAAGTTGCTGTCATGAAATGTACTCATTATTTTACTGTTTCTTTTCGCGACAAAAAATAGCTTAATAATCATTTATCATGTTTAACGTTTAAAATTTGTGACAAACTGACAGCACATTAATTTAATTTTAACAATAAAGGGCTAGTTTAAAGTTATATGTGAAGTGCTAGATATGAATGTAATTAAACAGAAACTTTAATAATTTAACACACTCAAAAGATAATTTAATATCCATAAGAGTTTATTAGAGACTCGCGTTGCTTGATCTTCTACGTTACCCGCTCACCATCCCACGATTGCCTTGTGCATTTGGTACCGATAGCATCTTTATTATCGAACCCAGCTTGTATTTGATGTAAATTTTTACGTCTTGCAAAAAGTTTGATAACTATTTAAAGTATGGTCAAACAAGGACACCTGAACTGAAAGTGCAAAATTTTTTAGAGAAGGAAAAAGCCAACATAAATATTTATAGTCCTATATACCAAGTTATAAACGGGGCTGGCGTGGGTAAAATATCTTATTATGTATTTGAAAGGAAGCTCCAACGTTCGTCGTAACGTTAGCCGCTTCGTCGGGTACTTCTAATGTAAAATAAATGAATAAATCTATATTGAATGTACACTCCAAATCCTTATTACTGTAATGCACAGGTAAAGTAACATTGCGACGAATTCTGGTTAACGATTTGGGGTACCAATTTAAGAAATGTGAGGACGCCATATCAGCCTTGCTTGTAAGACAAATCCGATATTGCCACTTGGATCCCATATGACCAACAGAAAATAATAAATTCTTCGTTAAATTCGAACCATAAAACTATTGTGAGGCTGGAGGCAGGACCATCCAAGTCTAACCCCTCTGAAGGCAAGATCATAAATACATGAATTAATATAAGGATGACGTTGACATGAAGGTATTTTCAGATGCTAATTCTAACGCAGAAGACTATATTTGTTTCTTTTCTGATATAAACTTGAGCTATTGATTTATTTAATGTGAAAGGCAACATAAAATATATATTTAAAAAAAAGATATATTTTTTTGCACACCGTACGTTACGTCATCGACAGGGCGTCTTCAGAGATCCTAGTAATCTCGTTCGCTTTGTAAATAGTAGAACTTAGAAGGGATACTTTCAGATTGTATTCAGAGATGGGTAATTTTATATCTATAAATCTAGAGGATCATTATAAAAACAATGAAAAATTTCTTCAAAGCCTTAACGAGATTGCGGTGAGTGTTGTAACTTAATGTTTTTGTAAACAAACGATTATTGTCCTGGTAATTATTACAGTATATTTATCATAATTAACTTACAGACTGAAAGGCAAATCCAATTGCAAAATCAAATGGCTGAGAGGCAGCGCGCTGTAACGATAGCTCGAAATAGGGATTTATTTTTATGGTTTACAACGTTTAATATCACTGCCACAACTGGACTATTTACAGGGTGAGCTAAAAAATATGAAATCTAGTCTAATACAAATAAATCTTTCTAAAGCTTGATGTAAAGCATATGAATGTTTGCTATTTTTTGTTTTTTGTTTAAGAAGAATGTTACTTCTTTTTGTTACTGTATCCACAGCATATTTATAGCTGACAGAATTATATACTCGGGTACTAAATTAAATACAATATAATGTTACAGATTTAGAAGAACCAAGAGGCCATACTTTCTAATACCGTTGATACCGCTGAATTTCGTGAATTTGTATTACTGGGATCTCGCTTATGGAAACAAATTGCACAGGATTCGCTGTATGTACTACATCTTTGTGGTTTTATTATTAGATTTGTGCTTTGAACTAATTATTCTTTAAAGTGTTCCTCAGACTCACATTCATTTAATTTGCCAACCAATTTGTACTTAGGTATTTAATTGTAATTTTTTTTTGTTCTGAGACTATGAAATATGATATATGTTACCCAGCTTCTTTTAATTTATAAATTATAATAAATCTGCACTTTTCAGTGGAGGCAGAACATATAATGACTCATGAGTCGGACATGCTCAAAGTACCTTGTGGTCTCCCAACCCCATCTTCAATTGACCAGGGCCGAATGGTTGAAGAGGAGACTAAGAAGATTCATCCACCTATGCCTTAAATTGGTGACGTATAATTCAGAAGTGTGCCTTTGCAGCTTCGTATATATGTTTCTTAGTACTTATAAGTGATGTGACTTTGGTTATTTAGTAATTAGTGGCATTTAATTATTAATGAATTCAACAGACTATACAGTCCAGATAATCATCTTTTTAAAGTGTATCTAATCGCTAGAAAACTTAATTGAACTTAATTAAATATAATGGCAGAGAGGGATGTATCTACATCACACAGTATATCTATACTTACTTGTAATATGTATAACAATGTGTGTATATCTATCTGCATCAAATGTTTTATTAAACTGACTTTGCTTCATTAAAATGAAAGACGTAAAACATGTGGTTTTAAAAGTGGACTGTGTTTTTTCCATAATATATGTGAACCTGAAGTATAATAGTATCTAGTATTTGATTGTTGATATATGTAACATCTATTTAAGGGTTATATATCTCAAAATAGATCCTTGTATGTGATCTCTAAAATTGTCTCGTATGAAAAATGTTGTAAGTATAAGTCAATTTTGCGGCTGTTTTTAGGAGGCACTAAAACTTAAATTGAACCAATAAGAATGTTATGTAGTTACCATAAAAGTAATGATTGATGCAATTTATTTGTTGATTAGTGTTTATTGTTCTCTTTTAGATTCCTTTTATGAATTTATATTCTAAACAGATTATATTTAAAAAAATATTTCTTGTTTTTTTTACATATTTGAGTTATTTTTTATTTATTTATTACACTACGCTTATTTTATAATGTTAAGATTAATTACCAAATAGTGCGCCAGTGATTGATTGGTAATATCAATGAAGGTTTGATAAAGAATTTAAGTTATATTGATAACATTATTTTTTACAATTTGTCGGGAGTAATACTACATAGTCTAATAACTATTATTTCTTTATTATTTTTCTTTTTTTTTGTATTTTTTAAATTTTTTTTTTTTGGTAATGGATGAGCAATAAGTATTTATGGTGAAAAATAAGTATTATGCGTGTCAAAATTTTAGTGTTTAAGTTTGTGATAATATTTACGAAACAATTTTGGTGGACAAAAATATATCTCAGTGACAGAATGCTTACTAAATAAAGTTCCAATCAATATGTTGAATATAATTCGAAATTTAATAATAGATATTTTACTGTGATGTTATAAGGTTAAGGAAATCTTTTAGTAATCATTCCTGAAATATTCAAAATTTTAATATTAAAGCTTGTTAAATTAACTATGGACAAGCACAACTATTATGTTAAGCTTTAAGTACTTACAGTATTAAACTTTTAAAACTGTTCTAAATATACATTTAGAACATATACATGTTTAATAAATCATTCAAGTAAATATTTGTTTTTATTCTATGTTAAGTAGTTAGATATAAATAAATAAATGTATGGATTTTTAATTTAGAATGGCTGAAATATCAAACAAACAAGGTAGAAAAGCAATGAGGTACGGAAATTTTGTTTAGAACTGATTATTAATGATGCAGTCTGATTTTCTGAGGGAAAGCTGGCGGTGGACAGTGGATGTGAATTAACAAAATTTTATAAAACGGTCACCTACGCTCAAACTCAAGACATGCTTGATTGTTCTCTTCTGTCATAAAAAAAATATTCTAGTGAATACGTGTTCAATATTTATTTTTAAGTGATTGTATAAATTTAATGAACATTGATTTTGTTTTAACATACACTGTTTAAAATCAGCTGGGCTGTTTTTTCATCGATCACACGCCTCCATAGCATCGCTATTCTTGAAAGTTGTCATCCGGTCGCCATGGCAACGAGCATGTTGTTTAGCCGCCGTAAACAAATGAATTTCGGCGAGTCAAACATGAAACGTGCTCTTCACAGTATCTTTTGAAATATACAAAATTGTATTAAAAGAATAAATATGTCCGCTAATACGCTATCTTCTTACAAAACAAGTAAGTTATTCATACATATTTTTATGATTATACATAACATTTAGTACTTAGTGAAATGTAAGTTTTTTGAATCGGTACGTATTTCGGCCTAATTATATTCGGAATCGATCTTCGGTTGCTTAGTACAATGCCTTATTTAAAATTCAGTTTGTCATGCTCGTCTAATCAAATTTCGTATCAGGGAAAGCGATTCGAGACAATTGCCTTTTCGCAATATCATGAATATTAAAATCTATTTTAGCATACGTTTCAGTTGCTTAAAGGTAACTTGATAATGAGTCAAAATCAAGCTAATGTGAAGCGGGATGAAAAAAAAGGGAAGGAAAAGGATGAAAAGAAAAACTTGGAGAAAAATATGTCAGAAATTGATGAACACATTCTAAAGAGGTTTGATGTGAAGAAGAGACTCGGTAAGGGCGCTTATGGTATAGTCTGGAAAGCAATTGATAAGAAGAGCAAAGATGTTGTCGCGATTAAAAAAATATTCGACGCGTTCCGGAACCAAACAGACGCGCAGAGGACCTTTAGAGAGATAATATTCTTGCAATCCTTCAGGAACCATCCGAATATTGTGAAACTACACAGCATTCACAGGTAAGTTTTATTTTTATAATTATTTCGATTCTGCAATGTGTTAGTGTTTTGCTCCATAAGTGTCTAATAATCTCGGTGCGTCAATAATATTAGAAAAAGCAGGTTTAAGCATTTTACATGAAATAATATATACATACAATAGTATAATAATGACGGATACATTTCATTCCATGGCAGTTCCTCTCATTCGTTGTACGCCCTTAGTTTGAGAAGTGATTGTGGTTTGAATGGTGGGAGGTTCATAATGTACCCAGTTACCGTGAATAATTATTTTATAACTTTGATTTTATACTTTCTTGACAGGGCTGCCAACAATCGCGACATCTACCTAGGCTTCGAGTACATGGAGACTGATTTGCACAACGTGATAAAGCGAGGGAACATTCTAAAAGACATTCACAAGCGATACATCATGTACCAGATGTTAAAAGCTACTAAATATATCCACTCAGGGAATGTGATACACAGAGACCAGAAGCCCAGCAACGTGCTTATTGACAGTGCTTGCAGGTATTATTTATTGCCATAGGACTATTAAATATTCTGCTAAGTTGGTCTAAGAGAGTTGCACTAGACTTGTAGATCTAGAAGTACAGGGTACCTATCGTAAATCGGACGACGAAGTTTCAAATTGATATTTGGAATGTTTCTAATAAAAATTGTAGTGTCTGTCAGCACGAAGTTTTGGAGTTGTGATAACTAAATAGCGTTAACGTCTTCTTTAATCTTACGCACGTTATTGTACGAAATGTCAAGGAATAATTAACGACATGGACCGGACTTGAACCGGCATCCACGGCATTACGTGCTGGTGGGGTCTGGATTGAGCTGACACTTCATTGTCGAATATTTTTTCGTTATATTATCGTATATTTTGTAGGGTAAAATTGGCAGACTTCGGCCTAGCGCGTTCAGTTTCTTCAATGTATTCCGGGGGAGAAGAAGGAGCAGATCCCTGCTTGACGGATTACGTAGCAACGAGGTGGTACAGAGCACCAGAAATACTCATCGCTAGTAAAAAGTAAGTTAAATACTCCCTCCCCTCGTGGGGCGTGGGGCGATTACATTTCTGTGTCCATTTCACTGATCCGTTCCTTTTTTAACAGGCACGCAGTTGATCAGACTTCTGCGCCCTACCCGGCCGGAACAACTTTTTTTTTTGTTTCCCTGGGATTCGAACCCAGGACCTCTCGTGCATAACGCAATGCTAGGCAATACGTTTAACCGTTTGGCTACAGAGTTTACGCGAGTTGTACACATTGAATTAAAGACGAAGAGACTACAGGTGACCCCTTTACCCCATGGCTGCTTCACAGCATTCGAATCGTCGGGCCGTAGTTAAAATAATTTTCAAATAAACCCGTTACAGTGTTTTATTCAATAATAGTACTTACGTTTTCTTGCTGTAAAGCTATTTTTCTTTTTTAGCAAAGGTTTAGTTTTTCTTAATTGAAGAGTTCAACGTCTGATACGATTTTGAGTTGTCAAAGCTCGTGTAATATTTCTAAATTGTATTCAGTTACACAAAAGGGATAGACATGTGGTCACTCGGCTGTATTTTGGGGGAGATGTTGACGGGTTCTCCACTCTTTCCGGGGACATCCACTGTTAACCAAGTCGAAAGAATCATGGCCGCACTACCAAGACCATCGCCGGAAGGTAATTTTACGTTATTATTATTCGTTTCCTGTGGCCCTTAAGCTCCTGTTTGTCATTCTAATCTTATTTAGATTACTACTGAATCGAAATCCATGTTTATATATAAAGCTGAAGAGATTTTTTGTTTGTTTGTTTGAACTCGCTAATCTGAGGAACTACGGGTTCGAGTTGAAAAAATATTTTTGTGTTGGTTAGAGCATTTACGGAGGAAGGCTGTAGGCGAAAATATCGCCCTGTGTCTAATACAGCGAGAAATGTGAACAAAATTGGGAAAATTATTCATCGCTGCATAAACGGTTCAATACCCAAATAATATGTGTGAAAGAATGATTCCTCTTTAAATAATTAAAAAAAAGTCCGCGACGTTTTATGTCGCTCTTTTAAGATTACCTTGCAAGAACAACGCTGCTTCAGCTAGTAAATTATATGACGTATAGGACATTACAGCAAGAGAGGCATTGATAGACAACGTGTGAATGTGGGTAGAGGTGAAGTCTTTGTTAAGTCACCTCTTTGGTCGCCATGTTGCGGAGGATAAAGCTAGTTTTAAATTACAAGACCAATATGACCTTATATAGTAATTTATTTCGCCGCTAAATACGACAGATATGATTTTCTTGCAACTATTGCCGGCCAGTATAGCAAGTTTGGTTTATGTCGAAGAAGGTTGTCAAAATAATAAGCTGCTTATACACGCTCGTTATCTTCAACAAGTTCACAAACGAGACGTGTAAAATAGATTTTCTCAATACCTACCTCATTCTCGTAGATATCACAGCGGTATGCACGGGCTACGGTTCCTCATTGATCCGAGAGCAAGCTACTTGCAAGGGTACGGGTGCATCACTGACGGCACTGCTGTCGTGTGCACCGCGGGATGCAGCAGATCTGGTGCAGCAGCTGCTGGTGTTCAATCCGGCAAAGCGGCTGAGCGCTGAACGAGCCTTGCACCACGAATATGTAGCTAAGTATGAAACAGCGATTTTCAAACTAATCTCTTTCATGTTCGTCGGGATTCAAACCTATCTTTCGTCTATTATAAAAATGCTTTTTTAAAGATTTCACCGTGAACGCGACGAGCCCTCCCTTCCCTCCGACGTGTTGCTGCCCTTGCGTGATGATAAGCAGGTCTCGATTGACGACTACAGGAACAAACTGTACAGCATTATGGCCAAGGGGTTTCAGAGTAGCCCGCAACTTCGTAAAAGTAATTCCAGGTAAGATATATTAGTAAAAAAATATGTTTTAAAGATGATTTTGTTTATGTTTATACTGCTACTTAACACAAATAATTTGATACGTTTTTTCAGTTTAATCCGAAATAAGTTCTTTTCGCCCAGGATCGAACGCAGGATTCTTAAAAAATTACCAACCATTCAGACATTACAGTCACCGTTATAGGTAAATATGTGTAGCTCATTTTGAATATATCATATTGCAGTAGCAAGAACCACATTCTAGCGACGCCAGTGAAAAGCAAGAGTTTCCAAGAACACAGCGAACTGAAACACTACAAGGCGAAACTGACTTCGTCGGCCGATGCCAAGCCGCGCCCCAAGGCGAGTAAAACGCTGGAGCGGCCGATTAAAGAGTTTCGTTCCTATCAGACACTCGGAGATAAGGACAGAATTGGTAAGAAATTTGAATTAAGCAGCAACACAGCTTATTAAATTTGGATTGTTATTGATTTGAATTGTGGCGAGTATCTTTCATGGAAAAATCTACTTTCTTTTGCAAGTTGATTGAGTCATCTAAAGGACTCAATCACTACATTCGCTTTGACGAATGTTGGCATACAGCATATTTAAGTTGTCAAACATAAAGTGTTTTTACGAATAAATATGTCAAATTATACATATTAGACGTATTAATTAATCTTTGAGTCAATGTATAAGCTTTTATAAAAAATAACTAAGATTTTGTTAGCTTTAATTAAAATTAAAAGGAAGCTTTTTTGATTGTTTATTGCTAAAGACATTGGGATTGGGGGGTTAATATTAAACATATAGTTCCAATATCTAAGTAGTGTTAGAATATGAATGGAATACTTTCCAATTAATACAGATATTTTAGACCCTGTCCTAAGACAAGGGTATCAAAAATTGAGTTAGACTCATTTGAGTGTTCCCCTCCACGGAAATCTTTAGTAAAAGGCGAAAGATTTATACGTTTTGAAGGGAAACCAGAGTAACTTTGGTTTTCTCAAACGAAGATAATCATTAAAACACAAAGTATGTCAATACCGCGATTCACTGGCAAGTAGCGCCATCTAGAGGTTCGACGGACAATTAATAATACGTTTGATGATTTTGCCACTGACTATTAAAGGCCAACTAACACTGGAAATATTTTAGAAATAAATAATAAAATGTAGCTATACTGTATGTATTTAGCTAAAATACTCCTCAGTGTCGTTGGCGGGTGGTACATGTAAGTGGGTAAAATAATTGTTTAATACTAAGTATTAGACAACTTTCAAAGAAAAAAAAAAGTAATGAATAAGCACATTGTACTTAAAATTATTTATACGTTTTTTTTTGTATATGGGAGGGATTGTACTGAAATTAATTAATGAGCTTAAACATCATAACTTCTAATAAAATAATATAAGTTCCAAGCATTTAATATTGTGCTCGTACAGACTTAGCTTCGTTGACACTGATCGCATACATTCCAGGTAAACCGATAAAAGCGACAAAACTCTTTGACCACCAAGACTGGCTGGGGACCAACTGCCGTGGTGACTATTTGACCGACGTAAAGAACGAAAGGAAATCTCAAACCAATTTCCTCACCAAAGACTTCTTTCCCATACGTCAGAGCCCCTCGGACTCTAAAAGAAACCTCCAACAGCGGAGGAATTCAACTTCATTTTCCACAATAACCATCGGTGATTCGGAACTAGGTTATGGTAAGAATTCTAGGCATGGGGTTATAACTGCTAGTGCTCTAATGGACCTGAGAACCAGCATACGGTGAATTGCGAACGATCAACAAAATGGCGGTATCAGGCGCGACTATATTGATATACATTTTTGTAAGTCTCTAGGGTAATAAGGCTAAATTCACGGAAGATTATTCGGAGGTTAAGTTTTTTATATTTTCACTGTCTTGTAATAAAACATGTCTTGGTCATCAGAAATTTTGAGGTTTTGAACTTTTTATGATTTTGATAACGCAATAGACCGCGAGAGGGCGTTAGCATCTCTGAAAAGTGTTTATCATCGATCAACAAAGGGAATTTATTTATTAAATATAGCTTTTAAATTTCATATTTAAAAGATCTTTATTCGTGCCCATTTAGTTGTGTTTGCATGATTAAATAAATTTTGTAGGCCGCAGCTCGCGGGCCGCTTGCATTGATTTAGTTTTTTTGTGTGTAGAAATGGACTATATGGTCTATAGATTGTGATATCACTAGTCACTTGATGATACAATTTTTGTGCATTGAAAAGAAGCACAATTAAGAGTGAAACTGATATTAGTAACGCCAAAGCATTAATACATTGTTTTTGTATAGTATTGAATTACAAAACTATAATGTTTTTCTCTAAATAATTATATTACAATGATATTAGATAATAATTGGTTTATTAGTAAGAAAATCGATTATTCTATCTAGTCAAATGATTATTAAATTATGGTGATTATTTACGAATAGTTTAGAGTACCTATTGCGTTTGAATCGATTATAGATGTCGATATTATTTTAACGGATGACAATGAGATGTTGCTCAGTAATTCTCGGACCAATTCCACTGCCATTGTTTTGGTGTACTGGTGTATGCCAAGGATTATGAAATAAATAATAATTAGTTATCATCTCTTCATATGAGTTTATGGACTCGATGTATGATTTTCCAATAGAGTACCTTTAAAGACACAAAAAGTATTAGCCAAGTACATATATTGTTGAATTTATATTCCCGTATAATTTAAGGTTTTTTTTTTGCATTGGATTTACTTAAAAAACCGGATAACAGCAATGAATCTATTAATAATTGTATCTCTCTTAGAATTTTCTTTAATAAAATCATGATAGTAATTTAAATTTGTGATTGTAATGTCATGTAGAAATCACTATTAACTTCTACAAGACATGTCCTAGGTTTGATACAAAATAAACTTTAATTAAAAACTATTTGTTTTATTTCTCCAGACAAATCCATAGACTTCGATTTCTAGACCGTTTTTATAAATAAAGGGTTTGTTCTATGTCTATAAGATAACATTTTCTCTTCTGAGAAATTTTATGGTAGATACGTAACCTTCTTTCTTTAATCTTTCTTCAATAGATATACAACCTCTTTCTAAGAATTGTTACTTTAACTAGATCAGCAATAGAGTAATATAGTCATCTAGAAGTTAAGATATGTCAACGACCAAATCAAGGGCTGAAGAAAATAACAAAAATAAACAATGGCTGAGATGTTTTTTATAGTTTTTTTGCACATACTTCTCACCTGTAATGCCGAATATACGAAGAGTATGGTTCCCGTTTTATCCTTGGATAATGACCCGACAAAAGAGAGTACTGCAACTACTGTTAAACCCGATGAAGAATTAAAGGTTAAATAATATTGTTTAGTATGAAGTGATTTTTTAATTACCTTGTATAATTTTTTGTTTGTGCAAGAATGTGTAATTAATAGAACTTTGGTCGATGAGTTTTTGTGATCAAGAGTGTGGAACTTACACGTTAAATACTGTCTAGTTTTTGCAGTAATTCACTTGTTGTTTAAACACTTTGTTTATGAAATAATTTGTTTTATTTGAAAATTATTACTATAACTTTCGTCTGCCCAGTCTTCTAAGCAAGCTGAAACGTGGGCCGGAAAATCATTCAAGTTTAAGTATATAATGCGTTTTACGTTGGTATTTGTAGTTATTTAACACTTATACGTTAATTAATTTATATCCTTAGTTCCTTCCCTTCATAATGCTCATAAACCAAGAAGAAGACACGAGCGAGTTTTGGCGGGAAACCGAGATGTTGTCTCTGGTCCGAAACAACGAGATGGACATAGATTATGAAAGGTGCGAACAGAATAGTTCACAGAAATCCATAGTGCAATTCCCGAGTCGGCGGATTGTTAGACCTATTTGCAGAAGCCTTTATGGTATGTTAATGTTATAGTAAAGCTTTATTTATTAAATTAAGTCATAGAAATACATTTATTTACTAACTACATAAGCCACACAAAAACATTCAAGTTATTTAATATAGAAATATAATTAAATCATAACAGTCCTTTGTTCACTTTGAACCTTTTTTGAAAACTTTGTTGTAAAAATAAAAAGCATAGTAACTTGACTTGTTTTTATTAGTTAAGTTCAAGTTGGATTAGAAATATTTTGTTCCATTACATTTACATGAAAAAATATCTTATCTATTTGTGTAATGTTCTTGTTTTATTGAGATATACATATCGCACGCTTAGTATTACAGTACCTGGTTAAAAAAAATCTTTTTTGGCAAATCATATAAAACTGATGATGGCGTTATTATAGTAATGTCAGTGCATTTATCTAATTTTACTAAAATTTTTGAGTTAGGTCACTCTTATTTTATGCGTGAGATATACAATATTTTTTATATTATTTTTATTTGCGGTAGAGACTTTGATTGTGACTAAGCAAAGGTTTTTCTGATAGATTACCAACAATGCCCTCAATGCCCACGCTTCAGCAACCGAACGGAATGCGAACTCTTTCGAGATTCTTGCAGGTAGCTTTTTATACACAAAAAAACAATAACCCTATAACAAATAAAGGGAACCGTAACAGAGAAAACAGTCACAAGCTTTTAATCACTTAAGGAATCACCGGGCCCCCTTAATATGCTTCTCTTAATTATTTCTATAATAAAGTCAACGAAATTTTAAATTTTTCATACTTTATTTTTCGTGAAAAATATAACATTTTGCTAGACTACATTTTTAATTTCTTTTATTCTTTTTACCAAATTCAGTAATATTAATTCACTTTTTTTTTAAATTACTTTATGTAGGTTCCGTAAATATATCTAATAATGTATTCTTTGTGATGTTTATTATAGAATTATATTCCCGTTTGAAAATGCGTGATTTTCGATTTATTTAGTCTTCAAAGCCCGGGGAAACAATATTTTGGGGGGGCAGAGCGCAGAAGATCAAGTACCTACTGCCATAAGTAAACCCCCTTCCCCTAGTAGGGACGATCAACTTTGGTTCGTTTCACTGATCGGTTTTCTTTACACGCAAGTTCAGACTTATGTGCCCTGTCCGACCGAAACAATCAATTGTATTCTTGGGACTCGAACACGCGCTCCATTGCGTTACGGCAGGGAACACGATTAACCCGTTAGCTACAGAGGCGGTCATACAAGTATTAATAATTTTAGGGAAAGACGCGTTGCACCTTCGGAATATCGAACCTATTGTGACACGAAATACGGAAAATGGCGTGCTATGTTAATTCCAGCAGATTATTCGCAGTGCAGATGTTGCGATGAATGTATCTTCTATCGAGGTTAGTTTTAATAATATTCTTTAGATCCAGAAGCGAAGAATAAATGTAAAGGCAATCAAAAAACTGGTTCTATTTCTAAACTAAATCATATAAAAAACTAAATAATGGGGATCCAGGCACCTTTTGCTCGAATGATGCGATTGTACTGCAATGAGGCTGGCACAGCTATAAAAGTCATCACTAGTTCGCTACTTTTTGAAATAGGCCTTATTTGTTGTGGTCTTTTGCCAAGTTAGAAAAAATACCCTATAGACTTGTCACCACCTTAATGAGGTGATTTCAGTATTCCTCTAACAATATTTAATTGTAAATACTAGTACAGAAATAATTGATGTTACATATTTTATATTGTGTTTTAACATACCTTCTTACGATTTTTTTTACGGGATTCGAACACAGGATTTTTTTTATAACTCCACTCTTCTCTAAATTACGGAGGTCCTATCTAGATAATTTGAATGTTTTATTGTCGGGTTTTAATTAGGTGTTTTAATTATAAAAAAATTGCGAATTATTAGTGAAGATAAGTACTTTATGTATGTATAAATGGCTTGGTTGTTTTTATCAATAACTACATAATTTCTGTTAAATTTTTGTTTTCAGAGCTCGATCAATCTTGCGTTCAGGATGAATACAATTTTGACTCGGATGAATTTCTACCAGTCACTACACTAGGTACAAACGTTTTTCAAATTAGTTACCTATACAATTATTATTACAAGTTATCATACAACCAATTTGTCCAAACATTAAACAAAATGTTTTCTTAGATTTAAAATGTGAAACATATTAGTTAAATAATTCTAAGTAATCATTTAAGTCGAAAATTCCCATTTTGAAATTGTAATTTTGTTTTTTATTTAATAGCTCCTACTGCACGCGTATACTTTAAAAAAAATATTTCAAATCCATGAAGCCATGAAAAAATATCGTGAGTAGTAATAAACCTTTTTCTTATAGATTTCAGAGCTGGCTGCAACCCTTATTGGGGTCACCCTGAACAAGAGTACAGGGCACTGCGATGCGACAAGATTTTACGAAGATGTAAGGCTTTGAAGGGATATCGTATTACTCTATGTTGACAGCTCTGTGCCTGTTTCATAGATCATTTTTTTTCTGTCAAATTGTTAATCAGACTAGGCATTGATCGTCGCCAATATTCATTGTGTACAGGAGATCCAAACCCAGTTCCTTGACGCACTCTTAGGTGAGGCAAATAAGTCATAAGTGGCTATAGTTACATATATTATGTCATTTCATTGGAAGTTTTAAAAATAGTTAATATTTAGGTGTTCCCGTCAATATACCGCTGTTGCCGAATGAGACTTTGACCTTGTAAGTAGCGTATTAGTTAACTAATCTGTTTCTGTTTCTGTTTATTTTAACATTTTACATGTTATTCAAGTAGTTATAAGTAAAGCCTACTTAAAGAGTATAGTGCATATATTTCAGTCGTCGAAGTTTTCGATTTGATCCACCGAGCGGTGGAAGTGATTGCCCAGTGCTGTGTACTGGATACGACTGCCAAGGAGGTCTGCTAAAGGAGGTAGATTGTACTCCAGGCGCATTCCTACCAGATAAGGACCAATGCAATTGTTGTGGCCGGTGCAGTGCTTATCAACGTAATAATCTGTGTTTAATACTGTCTATATCTTACGCGATTAGTACATATTTAAATAAAACACACGGACGTTTATCCCGGTGACCACGGCTGCTGCAAAGCATCCGAAACGTCGGGCCGAAGTTAAAAATCATTTTCAATAAGTTTAACTAATATATATCGCGTTTTAAACCGTTAAAGTGTTTTATTTAAATCTGTGTTTACTAAAATCAATATTGCAACATTAAATCGCATCGAGAATTGGTTAGCCATTTCGGGGATTTCTTAAAGATATAAAAAAATCCAGGTTCTAGGCCGCATACATTTCAATTAAAAAGGGACCTTTGAGTGCTACTCGTTTATACATAAATGTTTTGGCCGCCTCCGTAGCTAGATGGTTAAACGTGTTGCTTAATATTGCATTAAGCGCGAGAGGTTCTAGTTTTGTAACCCGGAAACAATAGATTTGTCGTTCGGGCCGGACACGAAAGTATGATCAACTACTTGCTTGTGACATAGTGTACGTCCCATGCCTCACGGAGGAAGACGGGGTATCATATTTTTAATACATTCATAATCCATAATAATAAATGTTACATTATGTATTTACCGGAAAGTAGAAATATAAAAAAAAATCTCAAATATATTTTCGTATTATTTATCGAGAAAACGTTTTCTACTACAGAACTAAACCAGAAATGCGCTGAATTCAAGAAGACCGTTCATATTGTTAATGGATCAAAGGAGACAGAGGTACAATGACAAAAACTTAAATCATTATAAACGTATTTGTTTATCATTGGCTTCTATCTCATAAATAAGGTGGAAGAAGAATTTCTGGAACCCGGTTGCGACGACGGTCTGGTCTGCAGACAGGGTTTCTGTCAGGACATCCACACAGTCCAGATATTTGCTGGGCGCAGGAAACGTGATGAAGGGTTGTTTGAAGCTAATGGTAAGATTATTTTTGACTTATATTTCGAAAGCCAAAAAAGGTCGACAACGCATCTTGTCGCGATGTTATATGGCTGGGGTGTTTCATCTTCCATGGCAATTGAATACCATGTTTATCTGTCTCTCTAGTAAAACAGTTACATATTTGTAGCATTGTTTGAGCCCACACCAATAAAATCTCTCGTCGGAACTGAGTCCTATCGGCTCAAACGCAGCGGGTTCTGTAGAGGATTTACCACACTCTTACATAATAAAACAACTTGGTCTGTGTGGACATTATAATAGACTGCTAGAGGCAGAGTGGCCTAATAACAAAAAACATGATTTTCAATAGGAAAACTTAATAATAACAATGCGCAATTGACTTAGGCAAAAATGAATTTGTAATATTATTTGTGTAAGAATTATGTTAACAATTTTCGGTCACTGTGCTCTTGAAGATTTACACTTTATACTAAGAACAATTCAAGTCATAAAATTGCATTTAAGCTTCTCTTATAATAAAAACACTAAAATATTTAGTTAAAATTGTAAAATCGTACGTTACGCGATCAAGAATCGACTGGATTAAATTTACAAATTTCGGTACCTTTTGCAAAGAGCTGTTTTACTATATGCTAAATTTATAAGTTATGTTCGATAGAACCATGCAAACGCGAGATGAAACAGTTCAAGAAGAAATATGGTAAGGACGGCCATCTTCATTACAACGCGCCCCAATGCACTCCACTTTGGTTGTATGCTCCTGTGCAGGTAAATATTGTTGAAATCAAATAGTGCATTCTTAGTAGTGTCGTAGTAGTAGTGGCTTATTGGTTCTTTTTTTTGCAAGTAGGCATAATGCTCAATTTTATCTGTCCTATAATTGATGCGACTGATTTATAAGTATTTCTTAGGTTTTTAAATAAAACACTTTTAATTGTTTAAAAGTTAAAATATTTTTTACTTTGGCCAGACGTTTCGAATAATTTTGCTTAATAAAAAACTAACCAATCGTCTGATCGACCATTAATTGTTTTATTTAAATGAGTCATACGTAAACTGCAGACAATGCTAGGTAAGGTTGCATAAAAATGGCAAACAAATACATATATTTTCTTGTTTCCTTCTTTTTCAATAGTGTCGCCGCTTTGTATGTTACTGTGCCTTAGAAGACGGGACTTTCATTGATGGAATCAAGGTACCAAGGGTCGAAGTATCAAATATGAATTGTGGTAAGAATTTTTCATCGATTTACATTTTACATTTAGTCATTACTGTATATACTTTAATACGTTAATGGTCAGAAGTTCTCTCGTACTTTTGTTTTAAATATAATACTAAAATGTCAAACATCTAATATTTTAGGTTGCTATCAACTACATTTTATTAATTCATGTTTATTAGTTTTTGCATCACTATCATACAAACATAGAAATCAAAAAGCACTAAGTCTCCATTTTTCTGTTTTAAACGTCTAATATACGTTTAGGTACATCAATTACCTAATGATATTCTATTTTATTTCCATAGACTGTGCTCGTGAAAAATGCAGGACAGGATCACAATTGGAATGTGACGGATATGGTAACTATAAAGAAGCCGTGTTTACGTCGAGAGCCTACCACTGGGGAGACTATGAACTAGGTAAACCTGATTAATATTATTTTTCTATTAGTGTTTCCCACTGGCAATCAAACCTATAACATCGAAAAGCCTACGTGACATGCGTGCAAATAGAAACATTTGTTGCATCTCTAGGGATCGAGAGCCTATTAAACTATGATTTTTTTATCGGTTTTAAGTAGAGATTAAATTTAATATGTAAAGGTGCAACAAAACAACTAAATGAAACAATTTAACGGTTAAAAACTCGAAATATATTAATTAAACTTATTTCAAAAATACTTTAACTACGGCCCGTTTCGGATGCTTTGTAGCAGCCGTTGTCACGAGACTTGTTATCTTTTTTAACCAGACGAGATCTTTTTTTATACTATTTATTAGGGTTTTTTTTTTTATTTCAAACATATTTTAGGAACATCCAATCCGGTAACACTGGCATCCCGACGCACAGGATATGAAGCAGCGCTACCCACGGAGGTCAACCTTTGATATTTCTACTGTCTATGCACATCTAAATAAATGCTGTAAATTATTATTTCTTTTAACACCTAAAAAGTATATCTTTGCTTAACTTACAATATAGGAATTAAAATCTGTAAACACGTTAAACTATGAGCATTTAACAATATAAATCGTTATAAAAAGATTAAATTACCACTTTCTTAATATCAATAAAATTTAAATCTATGCAGTCTTTTTCTTTAGTTAATAATACACTGTACCAATACTGACTGTAGTTTACGCAACTAATAACAATAGATTTTACGCGCCAAAATATATATTTTTCACTAAACAGCTTTCTATGTGCTTATGTGCCAGTTCAAAATTAAAATTAAACCTTTTATAAGTTACCTCTTTGGTCGTCACGTTGCGGAGTAGAAAATCGTTCCATTTCTCGATTACATGACAGATTTGATTTTACATATTTATTTGGCTGCTAAACATGACAAAATTGGATTTTTATACAACAATTTCATTTATCTCGCAGAAAATTGTTCAAATAATGATCAAATTTCCATGCCTGTTAGATTTTCACTGTTGTTATAAAAGTGTTAGCATTGGTTTGTTGATATAAGCGCGCGTTCAATGTCGTATCATTCTGGCTCGTTACCTTCCGTCGCGCCTGCGCCCTGAAAACACGAAACAGCTGATGTTTTGTCAATAATCGAAAAAACCAACGCGTTTCTCTATACAAAATGAATTTCTTTAGGTTTTTCTTCATCTATGAGAAAGTTTATGACCTTCACCTAGCACTGATGAATTGTATTTCTGTCTGTCCTTGTGACGTCACGTCATACTACAGGGTTTCAGGGTTGCAAGCTATGGTTATTTGGAGTATTATAGCAAGTTTATTACAGCAATTAATTTCCAGGATAAAATGTTTAGGTGGAGAAGACTTATTATACTTATTTAATTATAAAGAAGGCGATCTTTATAACAAAATTTTAGCATAAGTGTAGCTTAATTAGTGTTAGCTTAATTTTAGATTGGTGTACAACATTATAATGAAGTGCATAAAAAGCATCAAACTCAATAAATACAGGTATTATATTATAATGTACTAATAACTATAGAATCTCCAAATATGTATAACTTCTGTTTTTATGTTAAAGATTTATCGCTTCTATACAGCGACATTATGTTTTCAAAGCATGGCAACACTTTGTCAATATAATATTTTGGCTGGTATACGAGTTGCAGTTACGCCAAGAGCCCGGCCAGTCGATACCGCGTCGTATCGGGCGTATCTCCTTGTTTTGACATAAAAAATATAAAATAACCGTTTAAAATGCCGAACATTATAAACGAAGTTAAATTGGACTTCAAGGATGTATTGCTGAGGCCAAAAAGAAGCACTCTAAACAGTCGAAATGATGTAAGTATTTTTTTCGTACAAATACTGAAGCTGAAAGATCAAGGTGCGACTACAAATGACTACAGTGATCTATTCATCAATGGAATGATTTTCGATTGTCTAGTTTGTATAGAAAAATAATAAGTAATGTTTTTTGCACGGTATAGTGATTGATTATTATAGAGTTCTTGAACGTTTAAGGTGATAAATACATTTTAATCAATTTCAGAATCAAACGTAAAGTATCAATTTTGTTAAAAGACTATACTTGCGCGTTGCATTTCACATTCTTCATATTCATCATTCTTACATTATTAGTATGTTTTTCATGCTTATATAGTTAAAAATAATTTATAGTTAGTAATAATTCAACATTTTTGTTCGTTAAAGTCTCTGGACAACGAATTAACCTACTTTTAAACTTCTGTTAAAATATTGATTAAAATTGAACATGTATGTCGAAGGGATTATTAAAATTATGGATGAAAAACGAACATTAAGTTTTTTTTAATGTAACATATATATGTTCAGTTATTTTCACGGGTTTCCTGATATAATTTATTGTTTTATTATACGATATATAATCACTTGGCGTAGCGAATTTAAGAGCATTAAGATGCAGTATCGGTTGTACACCATATCTTAATGTTCTTGTTGTCCGCAATAGTAGTAATTAGTGATGGGCCGAGTACTCGGTTGATACTCGTTACTCTACGTACTCGGCGGGTTTTTTGATACTCGTACTCAGCCGAATGCATCGGTTTTACTTTGTTATTTGATAACGAGTATATTTTGTTTAAGAAAAGCAATATATTTTGATAAATATAATAAAAACAACAAAGTCCATTCAAATGTATTTATTTGTAATTTAGGAAACCTTTTGAAATCTCAATTAATAAAATCAAAACTTTGCTATTAAATGAGTAGTAATATGACAAATTACGGGAGAGGAGAGCGAGACGACGTCTTGACCGGCGAAAACCTGTTTGTACTTGTTTACGCGCACGAAATAGAAATTTGATGGAACCTAGATAGGTACTCGGCCGAATACTCGTTTGAAAAAAAATTGAACCGAGTAAACGTTACTCGGTGCATCTCTAGTAGTAATTGTCCTGAGTTCGAGTCCCTTTGGAACCAGGAACTAGGTATTCTCGGGGAGGCCGTTTATATCCTTTATACATCTATCTGTTAAAAGGACATGAAAAAAAAATTGCCGATTGTTACCCTCTATAACGTCACATTACTCATCAGTTTAAAAATGTCAATATTAGCAAAAGGTACGTTTTTCGTGAGTATTTAATAAACGTTAAGCCTAGTTACGTTTTAACGATAATAATTTAAGCCAAAAACATTTACGCCCTACATTAACAGATAGGTGAAATGAGATTTAGTGACTGTTTAACATCACTTAAGAAAGGTTGGACTATTTGAGGTGAAATTCGGCACAGATAGCGTTATTTTTATTAATTCGTTCTTAAATTTACAGACGTAGAAGTGCAAATTAGTTTTTAATACAAAAATATAAATATTTATGGAAGTAAAACCTATTGACGGAAAAGTAAAAATATTGATATTTTATATGTAAATCAATCGGTTTTTAATTAAAATGATATTGGAATTAATTAAAGCTACTTCGAAGCGCCGTACAGTTAATCAAATACAGATTAAACGGTTTTTAAAGTCTCTTTAACTGAGTAATTAAATTCCAATACGAATGTACTTGTACTGTTTGTTATGATGCTTACAAAATTAAAACGCATATGTCGAATTTAAGGAATATTTAAAAGTATGATTAAAATCTGTTATACGTGGGACATAGGGACATTAAAACATATTTTCACAACGAAACTACGTAAGTAAAAATAAAATCTTAACATATTCAAATATATTTGTATTGTTTGTCATACCTATCATAAGTAAGTCCGCATGAGGGTTTTTACATTTTTTTAATGTTTGTCTTTTGTATTTAATAAATGCGCAATTAACTTAGGCAAAAATTAATTTGTACTTTTACTTGTGTAAGAGTTATGTTAACAATTTTCGATCATTGTGCTTTTGTAGATTAACATATTTAGACTATAAAAAGTCAAGTCATAAAATTGCAGTTCGCCCTCATATTAAACTAAGAATACTGACTGTAAAGGGAAAATCTATCTCGCATTTTTTTAATAAGTCACAAAGATGCCGCTGTGGAAATAGTTACTGTAAACAGAAGTCTCGCTGATAACAATTACATCACTGATAACATCATAATACGTCACGCGGTGTAACATCTCTTAACAATATCTTGAACTACAGACTGCGATAATTTGAATATGCCAGTTGTATCCCACTTTTCACTCAAAGTTGGTTGCTTTGGGCATTACCTAACTAAGTTCAGCTTTTCATGTTAGTTTGTTTTAAATCCGAAGTTTAAATAAAATTTTAAATGTCTTACATACGTATGTAATAAATACAAAGGAGCGCGACCTAAATCTAATATTTATAAATTTTTATTAACCAAAGGGGACAGCGTGTTGTTATGTAAGTTGAAACGACCAAGCCCTAAAACATTTAATTAGGATGCGCCATCGAGCTATTTTGGCTTTGTACATTAGAAATCCGCGGATTGTAATTTAAATTCGGATTTACATTTGACGGCTTTACACACCCATGTACACACCCCATACCGACCCCGGTTCTTACGTGTTAAAAGAAAATCCACCATTGATTTAATTTTTTTATCTAGAATCGATTTTTATTATAGATTTGAAACACCCAGAACCCAGTGAATATTAGCGCATTGCGACTGGACTCCAATTTCATTCGCCCCTTTAACTCGGCCCCTACGTAATCTGCAAAACTGTTTTTGCATTTGTTTGCTTCAACTGATTACCATAATTTTTGTATTAGCTACGGTTACCATAGAAAGTTATGTCAAATTATTGATATTTTTAGTAGTCAAATTATTATGCTGATTAGCAGGTTGTCTGATAAATAAAAACGCAATAGTAGTATAATACGGTCTTTTGTTTCTTTTCACCTCTAAAACAACTTATATCAGTTCGCGGTATCGTTTTAAAATAAACTTAATTAGATACTAATATTAAACAGATTTATTTAATGACAATAGATTTGTTACATAAATTTACCCAAAACACACAACAAATTTACTAATTTCTTTAAACAGTTTCTCGAATCTTTCAAATAATCTAGGTAGCTAACGGTGAATCAAACCGAATCAAATCATTTGTGGATTAGACACAAATGAACAAAATCCAAAAATACCTCTATTACCTTATATATAAAGCTGAAGAGTTTGTTTGTTTGTTTGTTTGAACGCGCTAATCTAAATGTTGAAAAATTATATATAACTATTTTTGTGTTAGTAGCATTGATTGAGAAAGGCTATAGGTATATAATATATTTTTGTCATAACGCTGCATAAAACTGTTCAAAATACCCAAAAAATATGTTAGAGAAAGCGTGACTCCTCTTTAAAGTATCGAAATAAAAGTTCGCAACGCTATATGTCTATGTTTTAAGATTAACTTGCAAGAAAGACAGGAATGGACGCACCGACGTCGTGGGTAACAAATAGCTTAATTTTATAAAGATGAAGGGGTTTGCAAAAACGAATTTGGATGCACAAAATCACGATTGTCGCGAAGTCGCTGACACAGCTAATCTATACTAATATGATAAATGTGAAAGTAACTCTGTCTGTCTGTCCGGCTTTAACTCTGAAACTACTGAACTAAATGAAATTTGGTACACAGATATTTTAGAGCCTGAAAACCACTTTTTATTGCCAAAAAAGGGTTGTTAGGGGTTGAAAGGTTTGTATGGAAATTAGTGGTTTTTGAAGCTAGAACAATGAAACTTTCTTCTTTGTTTTAATAGGAGTGGGAGTGGGAGTGAGTGTAGGAATGAGATTGGGAGTTAATGGAGTGATTACAACATAGATTGGCTGCCTTAAATGCGCCCTTACATAAATTACTAAACAGCCTAAATAATTAAAATTTTTACCCTAAGTCACCAATCCCGCGACGAAGTCGCAGGCACAGTGTACTTCAAATTAGATGAACCTATAGGTATGGAGATCTCTCCACTACTTATGAAGTATGTTATACGTAGTATGTACTACTTAGCAAATCAAGATTTTTTTACATAATGTTAGACCGGCTGCGTAGCTAAATGATTAAACATGCAGTGCGTTACGTCCCGAGTTCGAATCCCTAGAAATCTATCGTTCGGGCAGGGCATAAATCTTAACAACTAGACTGTAAATAAAATTACTTAATACAGAAATGCATTTGCTCCATGCCACACAAGAATAAACGGGACTTACATATTATAAATATTTTGGTCGGCCAGTGTCCAACATTTGATGACACGGCAGACCTACATATACGTTCTGGAACGCTATTTTTTCATCTTACATAAGAATCGCTGAAACTGTGAAATATATTTCAGAAGTGAGTCAAGGTTTTTTGAAGAAAGGTCGATCTTTTTACTATCAAGAGTCTTAAGAATATGTGCTTCTCTATTATTCAGGTGAAGAATAGGTTTTCTTCTAGGTTTATATGGAAACAAGAGAGTCAAATAGCTGAGTATGAGAGAAAAGAAGTGTGTTTCTTACCTAAGTTTGGGAATTTAATATTTAAAATATCTGGACAACAGATAAAATGGAATTTTGTTGATGAACAAGCTCATTGGTGCAATGGTAGCAACGCCAATATTCTATTGTCGTGGGTTTGACAACTACCAGATCCAAACGGATTCTGAAATCAATTTACAGTTTTTAAGAAACACTTATATTTAAATAAAACACTTTAACGGTTTAAAACGCGATATATTAGTTAAACTTATTTGAAAATGATCTTTAATTTCGGCCCGACGTTTCGGATGCTCACGTGTGTCACGAGTCTCCCCGTGACCACGGCTGCTGCAAAGCATCCGAAACGTCGGGCCGAAATTAAAGATCATTTTCAAATAAGTTTAACTAATATATCGCGTTTTAAACCGTTAAAGTGTTTTATTTAAATATGTACTACTCGCGTAAACTATAGACAGTATTTAACACTTATATTGGTAGGAATAGCGAAATTTCGTCCGGATTACGAGCCATCGACAGAAGTAAAAGCCGTGAAGTGTAAATCGGCGTTTCAGTTTTAATCTGTGGGTTTGTAAATGGCTAAAGCTGTAGGTTGACAGCGTATTATTTTAAGATGTTAGCGATATCCAAAAGATATACAGCTGGAGTCTGCTAAATAAACTGGAATTGAACTTGGATAAATGTTCTATCGTTAGTTTTACACGCGCCTGTAAATCTGTTAAATTCGATTATACCGTAGGGACAACCCGCATACGAAGAGAGACTCAAATCCGGGATCTAGGCGTCTTATTCACACGTACGTACGTACCAACTTGCTGATAAAATCCAATCTTGTCCGTGCTATGCGTGTTATTAATAAGCTGCAAGAGGGGATCGACATTTTTACGTGCAGCTTGGGTGAATTGACAAAAACATCACTATGAAATATGTATATAATAAGTCTATCGCAATGGATTTTTTCTGTTATGGTAGAATATGTTTATAATGAAATAAATAAAATGTTATATAGCTGGAGTAATTCGTTGTCTATCGAGCGAATGTCATGCTGGTCTTTCGCCCTATTAAAAAATGCAAGACCCTAATTTTTTTTTGTACAATATATAATAGATTTGTAGACAGTATTATATTGGCAACTATTATATATTACAGACTATTATTTGCAAGTGGCAATGACCGCCAATGTCTAGAAGAATGTCACATCATTGTAGTACAGTAAAAATAGGTTCTAAGATACCCTGGCGTGACGCCAGGGCAGAACAATTCATCCGGTTACCATGTTCTACTTCAATGTTATGTTAAAGTTCCATCTCGTTGCGTTGAAAAAGACTACTGCTCTAGTTTACGCGAATAGTAACATTAAAATAAAACTATTTAACGGTTTGAAACGCGAAATCCGCGGGGAGACGGATCACGGCTGCTGCAAAACACCCGAGACTTCGGGTAGTAGTTAAAAAATTTTTGGCGTTTTAAAACCGTTAAAGTGTTTTATTTAAAAAGACATTTAGACTAGAGAAATTAGACTAAATTTTATCAAAAACAGCCTAGCCGTTTGCGCATGAATATGTAACCAACATCCAATTTATGCAATACTTTTTTTGTGGGCTACATTCGTTCACATTTAGTTTATTGCAACGACAAAATACCAGGGTACCAGAAGTTTGTAGGAGATTTATGGATGTCGGCAATCAATATAAAATGCGCATTACCGAGAAAACAAACAATTCACAAAATTGACGATACACATAAAATTAGGAAAGCAGTTTTTCCATTTCATGAATACAAAATTAGGTGGTTTGTAGAAATGTTTATTGGTACCACTTCGTACCTTCTATAGTTGATTCGTATTTATAAATGTGAACTTTATCTAATTATAACATAGTTTAATTATTTATTGAGAACTTTCGAGTCTTATTACAGATAAGTAATACTGTATCATTCGCCGTACCATTATGTAAAAATGTTTCCGAGGTATTCTACTAATTGAACATATCTTTCTTTAATCAAAAATATTCAAATAAAGGGAGGGTTGTTGATAATTTAGGTACTTGGGGTATTAGGAATTGAAGATGAATAACAAGTCTTTATAAGAGTGTTAATGTGGCGCGTAATTTGTTAAATGACCTCTATAGGATGCCAGTCTCTTACTGGAATGATTGGACCTCAAATGAACAGATAATACTAATTGATTGACATAATATATCTAACAGGCTACTCTCAATCAAATTTTATTTAATGCGTAGTCTTCTAGTGTCAAGCCTTTAACTGGTTTATTGTCGAATTATATTTTTCTATTTTTATAAGCATTCGAGATGTGGGTTTAAACCTGATAAAGAATTATTATAATTATTAACAATTTACGTAAAAAAAAATATTTACACATTTTATTTTTAATTCTAATTTACCGTCTACAATCAATCGCTGCTATTTAATCGCGACTTTTTAATTAATACAACGTTGTCATACTATGATTATAAAATCGACATAACTTCTACTTAGTACGTAATTCTTTTTTACAGGTAGATCTATTTCGTGAGATTACATTCCGGAATTCGGGGCAAACATACCGGGGGGTCCCCGTAATGGCTAGTAACATGGACACCGTGGGCACATTTGAAATGGCACAGGAATTATCTAAGGTATGCGTTTTATTACCAAGATAAAATTATTAGGTGCAAGTATCAACAACGAGGATGACAGATGGCGCTAGCGTAGCAAATTTGACCTTGACATTAGGAGTGTCCACCATTATTATTTTCTTTTGTTATATATTTTTTGGGATTTTATGTCCGCCATCTTAAGATACGTAATGGAAATCAGGCTTAACTGTTTTTAACCATTAAGTTTTTTTTTTAAGTTTAAAAAATCGCAACCCGAACGCACTCTCGACATTGTATCGTGTTCGATTAATTTGCCGTGGAGTGGGTTCGAGTCTTTTCTTTGTACGAAGTCAATTGTTCTGTAGAGATATATTTTAATGGTGCATACCCTTTTGTTTATAATAATGCAGGTAGATAAATATAATTCAAAGAATACTTGAAGGCATATTTTGATTGCACAGTTCCTGTTATTATAATCGGTTAAGTGTCTAGATTAGAAGTACTGTTTATAAATATTTAGACTAACGAGCTGTTGGCCAATTGACTTACTATAATTGTTGTGTGTTGGCACATTTAGAATTTAAAAATTGATAGTTAGATATGACATTATATCTACATTAAGAGTAGCTTTACGCTTAGGTACTTAAAAATAACTATCCTATATACATGTTTTTATATTATTAAACTATATTATTTCTATTCAGTACTTGCACACACTTACTACGAACTTATATAAAGTGCCTCTCGTCGAACTATTTAGTACAACAAAGTTCTTAAAAACACATAAAAAATATTTTTTAAACGATTATTTTAAACACTTTGCTATCTGTTATTTGGCGAATAACGTTTATGTTTTGTTTACCTAGTAGAATTGATTACATTAACTAACAATTGAACTGATTAAAATAAAATTTGGTGATTTGTATTTTGATATCATCGTTTATTTTAAGATAAGAATATGCTTTTAACCTAATAGTAGCTTTTTTTTTATTAACTGTTTTAATATAATAATATGTATTTACAGCACGGCCTATTTACCTGCATACACAAGTACTATACCCTGGACGAGTGGAAAAAATTCGCAGAAGACTATCCTAAATGCCTAGAACAAATGGGTAAGTACCAAGTTATATGAATTGTCTTTTCCCACAACACTACACGGCTTCCTTATTCTATTAAACTATCACAATTTTTATTTTGAAGTCGTAATAATCAAAGAAGTAATCGAAAACATTATTTTACTAAAGAGTGAAAACTTATAAGAAAAATTTTAAGCCTAAACAGTGATAAACAATTTAAAAAATAAAAAAACATCATATTATCGTATTCTACACAAATCCCTGTTAAGTATAGAATATGTTAATGATCTTGTTTGTGAAATATCTAGGTGTTCTAGATTTAGTCCAGGTGTCTTAGATTTTTGTGTTAAAAATTGGAATTCTAGAAAAAGTGAGACTACCCTTGATGAATGAAAAAAGGAAAGCAAAATTAATGAATATATCTATAGTACAAACGTAGTGCACTTAAAGTACGTGCAGACTGCAAAATGAAACTTAGCGATAAAAGGAGTGACGGCGAGTTTATTGCCAGTATAAATAATACATTTTTACGGTTTAAAATGCGATATATTAGTTAAACTTATTTGAAAACGATTTTAAACTGGATGTTTTACAGCAGCCGTGACCGCGGCTGCATCCGAGACGTCGGGCCGAAAATAAAAATCATTTTCAAATAAGTTTAACTAATATATCGCGTTTTAAAACGTTAAGGTGTTTTATTTAAATATGTACTACTCGCGTAAACTATAGGTATACAGTATTTATTGCCAGTTGTTCTTCGCCCTTGATTTGAGAACTGGTAGTAGTATATGTAAAGTTAGATTCTTTTTTTGTGACGGTTATAAGTGTACCTATTTTCCTACATGACTTAATGATTTTTCACTGTTTGACTTTTGTACTTCCAGCTGCAAGTTCTGGAACAGCTGAGGCTGACTTCGACCGCCTTTCGGAGATCCTGAACAACGTGCCAGAACTAAAGTTTATTTGTCTGGATGTAGCTAACGGATATTCGCAACATTTTGTTGAATATGTGCGGAGGGTTCGAGCTGCGTTCCCGAAACATACTATTATAGTAAGTTATAACATCGATTGAGGTCAAAACTCTGTTTTTTCCGGTATTCGAACTACAATCCTTGTCGCCGTTAATGCAATGTTACGTTTAAACATTGTGCGGAACCTGTGGGGCGATGTTAACTTAATTACTATTATTAAATATAAAGATGTTATAGTTATCTAAAAGCAATCAGACAAATAAAAAATTATCACCGTAAAAAATAAGCTTTTTAGTGCTACAGATTTTTTGAATAATTTTCTCGTTTTCTAGGCCGGAAACGTAGTCACAGGGGAAATGGTAGAAGAACTCATTTTATCTGGCGCTGATATTATAAAGGTAGGTCAAAAATAATTTTTAATTTAATATAAGCGTTCCGCAGTCAAGGAGTTATAACGGGACCCTATTGCCGGTGCCAAGATAGCCCCCCCAAACTACAAGATCTATTACATATTTACATCGCATAACGTTTTTTATTTTCTCGAATAACACATAACAAGTATTATTCTAAAAAAACGGCTTAAAACCGTTAAAAGTGTTTTATTCAAATGTGTATTACTGCAGACAGTACTTAACTCTAGTATTTTTTATTGAAAAATCTTTTATGTTAAAAATATAATTTTCAGGTGGGAATAGGTCCAGGGTCCGTTTGTACCACAAGGATAAAGACCGGTGTGGGATACCCGCAGCTGTCTGCTGTCATAGAGTGCGCGGACGCAGCACACGGTCTTAAAGGACACATAATATCGGTATGATTATCATTTTAATACTCGTAAATAAATGATGTGATATGTAGATCTTTGGACAGTCGGAATTATAAGCCCTCAAATATACAACATACTATAATTATAAAAACCTCTGATAGATTTTCACCTGTCACGGGTTCGAGTCCAGTATTTATTTGAAAGAATTATATATTTGTTGGTTAGAGCATTCACCATGATGTTTTATAGCCAAGCCCTCCTCAGGGCTTTAGGCTATAAAATATCACGCTTCGACAAATAGAAGTCCCTAACTATTCTGCGGATCAAGTAGCTGGCACAGCTAGTACCTATAAACTTATGAGACTCGTTGTTTCTAGGATGGCGGTTGCACGTGTCCCGGTGACGTTGCTAAAGCATTCGGCGCTGGCGCAGATTTCGTGATGGCGGGTGGTATGTTTGCGGGCCACGACCAGTGTGGCGGTGATGTAGTAACAAAGCCCGATGGGAGGAAAGTCAAGCTGTTCTATGGAATGTCTTCATCAACAGCTATGTTGAAACATTCTGGTGGTGTCGCGGAATATCGCTCGTCTGAAGGTATGTTCTTGAAAGTACTTTTTCGTGTAGGCGTAATATCTTAGTTTAGATATGCCATATCAATAAAAATTTTATGGGCGGGACTTAAACCGCCATCTTCAGCCTTCATAATTCTTCTATAGCCAATTAAACTACCGTGCCGTCATTTTCCAATTTCTTCAACATATGCTAAATCAACTGCTGGACGTATTTAATTAAACTAAATATGTAAATGTGTTAAATAAAGGTATTAAAAAGATTTGTGTAAAGATGGTTGTCTTTTGATTTCAGGTAAAACAGTCGAAGTGGAGTACAGAGGCGACGTGGGTGTAACCGTTAAGGATATATTAGGTGGCCTTAGATCCACTTGTACGTATGTAGGGGCTGCTAAATTACGTGAACTTCCTAGACGAGCTACATTTATTAGATGTTGTAGACAAGTTAACGATACATTCTCGTAAATTAAATAGAAAAATTGATACTACAATTATATGCGGCCTGTATTTTGTAAGTAACTTCGGGCCATAGATATTGAACCTCCTGAAAAAAAACTAGGACACGACCTACTGCGGACCGGCCTACCATTATGCCAATTAAACAACCGTGTGATGTGCACAGTGTTTTCAATTTAAAATAATTTTATTCAATGCTGTCAAACGAAAAAAATAATGTCTCAAATATTTTGTTACCAGCAGTTTCAGGTTAATTGTCTAATGCGCTGGTCTACGCTGAAATTATCTTTAATTAATTTAAAGTATAAATATTAAAGCCACAACTTATTTTAATGTATTGCTGGTTTTTGTATGCTTATTTATCACCTAAGCGGCTACTGCCATTTAGGTGATAAGTATGTTATATCTACTTTATAACAGTTTTTAAGGCTGGTAGTACTAAGGTAAATTATCTGTGGCCCGTATAAGTAACGCTTCTGAACTCTGTGTGATTAAACTTAACAGATTGTAGAAGATTAAATTAAGTCTTATATAATCTGCACACAGTTTATTAAATTTAAAAACGCTATGGTCTATTGAAAAATTAGTTAGTCTAATTTCAAATTACGTAATTATTTAAGACACTCGTATTATAAGGTATGAACTGAAAACGTATATGCAGATGTTTAAATGGCTACCTCTATCTTAAATTTGATTTATAACTGCACAATAACTTGATTCTATATTTTTGATATTATTTCTATTTTAAATACAATGACATTGGTATACATTACGAAATGTATATTAACGACCATAACAATTGTTAATACCTATATTCTTATAAAAATGCATCTGCGATTTTTATATAATAATTATGGATTTAATCTCGGAACATACATAAATTCTATATAAGTGTAATCTTTCATTTCACAACTAAGCACAAATGGTATATCGAATGTCATTGTATCAACTTTATCTCATACATAGACAAGTAAAAATAATTTTGCACAAAAATTGAACGCTTTAGTTTTTAAGGATAAATTATAAGGATGTACTTAGGCTTCTGTTATTGTTGAAATCTTTGCTAATTAAATAAAACAGATAGTTTCGTGTTTTAGTTTAAAACTTCATAATTATTGCCTTTTAAAATATTGATTTAAGTTTTATTTTACAAATATTTTTGATTAATACATGAACATACAAGATACACAAAAAATCAAATAGAAAAAACCGTATGGTAAGAAGTTTAGGGAAGAAAACGTTAGACTTTATAATATGTATATATATTCTTCCAGATCTGGACGGTGCCAAAATCTAAGGCTGTGGTAAAACTCAACACAAGCATATGCTGAACACTATAAAAATGATAGAGCACTAGTGTATAATCGGATTTATCTTCGTTGGCTTATTATGGCATTTGGCAGTCGTACACATAGCGTTACTAGTGGACAGACAAAAGCACACATTACATTTAAGTTTAAAGGAATGCCCCTTCGGGCAAATGTCTCTCTGCGTCCTTTTAACAGGCACGATTTCTACGGAAATCGGATCCGACCTTTTCGCGCACCTTTTCGTCGTACACATCAAAGTTTCTCCATCCATTAGACAACGGCATTTATTGCAACCATTAATGTAGATGCGCAATGGTTCACAGAAGCCATGCAACGATTTCAAATCCACCGGCGCTTGACTGCTGTGACAAGATGGCTTCGAATGACAGCTTTGCGTTTTCTCGCCATTCACTTGTTCGCAGTTGCAGATCATACATTTCGATTCATACGCTGTGTTTAACACACAGTCACGTTTAACTATATCCAACGGGGTCTTTCTATCGCACAACTTGACTGTGCACCGTATAATCTTCTTACCGTTGCTAAGCTTTATACACTTGCACGTGTTACATTCCTTACTAAATACAGTGCCCGGAGTACAGTCTTCGTCGTCGACCGGAGATGTCGTTGATATAAAATTTACTGAGTGTTTCCCGACATCCGTCAAAGCGTCCGTTTTGTCCAGACATTGACGTACAGAACATATTTTTCGCTGCTTCTCATCGCAGTAGCAAAAGTTGCAATCATCTTGGAAGATGTCCCCTGGTCTCCTATCATGGCAAGGTCCTGGGTCTTCATTAATGGCCGACCGTTTCTTCGGTCCACATGTGTCACAAACGAGACGATTGTTCCTCAAACATTTACACGACATGCATCCTAATGAGTACAGCAGGGTGGGCTTACATGACGCGTAAATTTCCAAACTTTCGTCTAATCTATCGCTCCGTGCAATATGTGTTGTATTAGCTTCTAGAATGGGGTCATCATTGAGACATGTATTATTAGTGCATAAATCCGGGTCTAGATGACCTGCTGAGGGGCAAAAACAGACGTTACATCCAACTACATACAGTTTTGTAGGGACACAAGTGAAATTAGAGGTGGGTTGCGTCAGCGATGTTAGTTCTACAGCATGTAACACTCTGAGGAGGTCTCTGCAGACTGGATTGGGCCAGTTGCCATCCTCGTTGCAGACGCAAAGCATAGCTCCTCGTCGATAGTGTACTCCTGGAGAACAAGCGGTCGGTGTTGATCGCCAGACGCCATGCCCTTCCATACCAACGTTTATTTCTTGGATGGCATCTAGAACAAAACGAAATTCAGTAATCTTAAGCGCTTGTTTATTTAGGAAAACGTGTACACAATACAATTTCTATGTCGTTTTTATCACTTAATGTCGATTAAGAGAGTAAAGCACATCATTTATGGTAAGGATCTTGCAATGACAAACAAACATATACTTAGTGAAAGCCCGTTTCTCCGTCGTGGGGCATGGGGCAACCGCATTTCTGCGTCCCTTTCACTGATCCGTTCCTTTAACGGGCAAGTAGTTGATCAGACTTTTGTGCCTTGCCCGATCGAAACAATCTTTTTTGTTTCCCTGGGATTCGAACCCAGGACCTCTCGCGTTCAACGTAATGCTAGGCAATACAAACCATTTGGCTACAGAGACGGTCAGCATCAAACAAACAAGCATATAGCATAATTAAAATGTAAAAAAATGACAGCAATGACATGAACCTCTGATACAAATTTGGTTTTATTTTTATTATAAACTGATTACGTCACATATATTAACATCCTACGTACCTTTAAAATGCCCAAACATATCGATCTCGGTACAAACTCTTGCTTCGCATTGATATCGTTGTTTTTCGTTGCACCTACACCAGTTGCAGTCATTAAGGACTACATCATGTTTCTTACATCTCCCACTCCATAGCGTTTGGTGAAGAGCTGTCATAATAGAAATTGGATTTTATAATCTGTTGCAATAAAAACGTGTCCAACGAGAGAATTCAAATAAGATGAACGGAAAACAATACTCAAAGATTGGCAGATCAGAATCGAAGAATGGTACACCCAAATACAAAACAAAAATACGGAGAAAGTGGAGAAATGTCTTTGTCGAACTACTAAGCGAAGAACGTGCGTTGTTATAGTATTAATTAAATCATGTTAAGTATTATAACCGTATTTCATATAATAATTATTTATTTATTTAATGGAGCATACTTTTAAAAAGATTAAAGAGCGACTACTATAAAAAAACATACCATTTTGATGTGTATACGTAGTAATAAGAACATAATTTTGCACACTAAGTAAAAGAAAAACACATATCTTAGTAATCATTTTCCGTTTAAGTTTTGACTTTATCCATTATCGGTAGAACGCCGATTATTTTACTTTCATACGATATCAACAAAACAGCTTTATAATTTTACGACAGCAATTTTTAATTAGTTGCATTATACGTTACAATATATTGAATGTATAACCTAAGCATCGATTAGCATTTTTTTTGTAAACAAAGCATTTTCATATTTTTTAAACAAAAACATCTTTCACAAGCGCTATTAAATGTGGATCCAGGTCTGCAATTTTCTTTTTCACTAGGAGACAGCCTTAATTTTCTTCTTTTTATACTTAAAACATTATCTAGGAGTGATGGGAAATTTATTCCCGTATTTTCAGTTCCTCTATCAACATCTTCAATATCCTGTTTCGTTACTTCCAACTGAGTATGGTCCAAAACGTCTAAATCTTTCAAAGCTGTAAATAGTCCATTATTTTCATCATATAATGGTAGTGTTGGATCCGCTTCGCGCATTTTGTAGTTTGAATCGACAGTCCTTCTTCCTAAATTACTTCTGTCATTTCTCTTGCTTTCTGCTAACTCTGTGTAAACTTCATCAGTGTTAAAAGATTCAGGCGAGACTGTAGTAGTTGTTTTTTTTAATCGTTTCTTGATACTTTTCCTTTTTTTCTTGTTTTTGATTTGCCGTAAATTCTGCGATTCAGACACTAATTCTGTAGCTTCTTGTATGAAGTTATTGCCACATATTGTGAAATCGAATTTGCCTAAAGGGAGTTTATCCCTTTTATTTACACTATTGCAGACGAGTTTACTTCTAACTACACAGTAGCAAATTTGACATGGTTCTGTAGAGTACCAGTTGCCAGGTTCACAGCTACCGTCTACATTGTAGGATCTTCGAGTTTTGTGGCTTATATGGTTAGTACAAGTCCTATGAGTGCAAAATTCCCGATTGACTTTCCCTTTTTCGTCACATCGACAAACGTTGCACCCAATTACAATGATGGAATTAGGTGTACAATATTGTCTGGAAGTCAAACCTAATTTACCTAGAATATGAGAAAAGGCATTTTATAGATAAAATTTTACAATTAAGTATTTTAACTTATTTGAACAATATATTAATCTAAGTAGTTACTTGTTTTTCGAGAATCCGTTGAAATAATTATCGTAATTAAAATAAATATTCCGTATGACAGCATATCTTGTTCTAATGGTTACATTTACTGAAGATTCTTGGTTCGTACTATTGTAATTGTTAGCTTGAACAATTTTATTGCTCTATTTCTTTGATTAAAATTTTCGAATACTTATCTAACCGCTTACTGAGAAATCAGTTATGAAGTGAAGTAGAAGCGTGTTACCTATTGATTTTTGATTACTACAAATTAAAAAAGCACCAATTTAATATAGTACAACTTTATTATCCTTCAAAAACGATGGTATGGCGTTCGTACAATTAATAGCATCACTTCTAAAACAATGTTCTTCGATAACAATGTTACCCTCTTCACAGGTGCATATGAAACACTCGTCAAGAATTTTACCAAGTGTTTCACATCTATACTTAGTATGTTGATGAGTCACTTTTAAAACTATTGTTTCATTTACTTGTTGTAAAGCCTTCTCTTCTTCTTCTCTTGTACAATTATCTAAAAAAGTGTTAAATTAGTACACAAGAACGATATAATGCTGTCTTCTTTCAAGTGATATGTTTGTTTGAAATTTCTTACCACATCGCCTACCCATCGGTAAATAGTTAAATCCAGGATATGCCTGTTCGCAATACGTTGATTTTGGAAGTGGCCGGCAGAATTTATTTATGTTTCCCATATAAGGGCAAATACATTGCTGACATCTGTAAGTACATGTTAGAAAAAGTAAAAAAAAATATAACTGTTAGATATAATTCAAATTAATATAGTTCAAGACCCTGGTTAAGCCAAATGTAAGTGCCCTGAGCTTGTGGTAAAAATTTTATCACTACCCCTACCCTCGCGAACGTTAAGCCATCGGTCCCCAGTCATCACCTCAAGCTGTACTGTGGCGTGGTAACTCTTCAAACTTTTCTTGACTCAACAGAAATAAGTCTCCAACAATTAATAATATAATACCTGACTATATACATAGAACCAGGGGTGCAGCTATGTCTTTCAGACTCCACATGAACTGTATATTCCATACATAAATCCAGTTCAAACCTCCGCACGCGTTTGTGTGGTACAGAATTCACGTCCGATATTTCTGTATCAGTTACCTTAAAACTCACTTAAAATTAAAGATACCGTCAACCAAGACAGTATACAAAAGTCATTTTTTATTTTATTGAGGCCATCTATACAAATACTATTAAATTAGATGTTGGCGCTTTGTAATGCTAGATATCATTTACTAGTATTTTTTTACTTTGCTAGTCTATTAATCACTGTGTTTCTTTAAATAATAGGCAACACGAAACGTTTAACAAATCGTTCTCAAACATCTTCAAAAATGTTTAGAGTAGGAAATCGTTTGATGAAATCAAATAAAAACAAAACTAATAATTAGCTCCTTGGGTTAATCTTACCGGTAGATCATTGACGTCTGCCATTGTGTGATTTTTGGATTCGTCGCAAGTAATAGTTTCACAAGAAGCATACATTTTTAAACCAGTCTCGGGACATACGCATATCTTGCATCCCTTCGTAAATTCTTCACCAGGGAAGCAGTGATCTAGAGTCCGAGCTGTCTCAACTTTATCCTTGCTTTGAAGCAAATTTTGTGAGAGATTTGCTAGACTCAAAGGTGCTATATCACATTGGTGTTCTGTGCACGCTTTGTCTGATTTATCTCCATTTGGCGGACATACGCAAACATTACATCCATCTGTAAAGAGTTGGCCAGGCCCACATTCATTTGACCTCAAAAACATCTTCTCACAGTGAGTTTTGGTACATTTGGCGACGTTCTTAATGCCATCACGTGGACAGAAGCAAATATTGCAATCTACTTCATAATATGCTAAAGGCTCACACGTAAATCTGTCCATACCTATAGTCAGATCTTCTTCTGCATCATAACAATTATTTTTTGTGCAAGCTCGTTCTTTTAGAAACCCACTATCCGGACATATGCAGAAGTTACATTTAGCCTTAGATATAGAACCTGGGACACACGCTCCGTCTGAATTTACAGGCTTTAATGGCACGATGTTGGATTTATGTGCCGCTTCAATAGTTTTTTTAGCAATACAATCGTCGTATGTGCACCATTTTAAATCAATTTTTCCGGTTTTTGGACAATAACACGAGTTGCAGTCGACATCGACGTAAGTTCCTGGTTTACAATCAGTCGTAGTATTAACATTTTCTTTAACAGTTTTGGATGCTATTTGAACTTTCGACGAAGTGCAAAATTTGTAACTCTTATATCCGTTTTCAGGACATAAACAATATCGACCATCTTCCGAATATATCTTGTTTGGCTCACAGAACTCATCATCATCAGACTTTTTCAGAGTTTGTAAATCAATTATATCCATAATACTTTCGTTGACAACTTTTTCTAGTATTCGTAATTTATGTTGGTAGTTGCAGACATTTGTGCAGTAATTAGCATCTGTTATTGCAATTTTTGGACAGAAACATTCCATGCAATTTGGAACCACTTCACCGGGACTACACGAAGTTCTTTCAGGATACAGTTGTATATCAACAGCTTTTGCACAATCTATTTCTACGCAACTATCTTCTTTAACAGTTCCTTCAAAATTACAATCGCAGAAGAGACAGCGCGGCTTCATAAAACTTAAGGGCTCGCATTGCACTGAACTATGCCTCAAGTCGAAAAATATCGGTTGGCTACTGTCTTTTCCGCATGTAACTTTAGTGCAAAGAGTTTCGTCAAGGTTGCTATTTTCAGGACACAGGCACACATCGCAATCTTTCCTATAATATGTGCCAGGAATACATCGCCTTGAATTCTGTTTTGCTGGTGTCTGACATTTTTCTATACATTTATCAAGAGCAAAGAAGCCATTTTCGGAGCAAACGCATTCTATGCAAGGGAAGATATACATGACATTGGGTATGCAGTAGTTTCTTTTAACAACTTGAAAGTCAAAAGAGTTTGTGTCTGCTACACAAGAAGTGTCTTTAGAGCAATGTGCTTCAGATGATATACCGGAGGCTGGACACGTACAGAGACTGCAGTTAATATAATAGGATTTGAATGGAATACATTTCGGGTTATAGTCAGCCAAAGCTTGATTCTTCGAGCAGTAAATATTTGAGCATACAAATTGTCCATTCGGTTGACATATACATTGGTTACAGCCCTCCCTAACGATTGTACCGACTTGGCATTGTTGTCGCCTTTCAATAATTGTACAGCTCGCTTCAGTCCATAAACCGTAGTTATTGCAGAGACATAAACGGTTATTGATAACGAATTGTGCGTTGGGAACGCACGCACCTTTTGGAAAACGGAACGTTAACATCAAATACAAATGTAAGGGCATCTTAAAAGTTAATACTCACGTAAACTGGAGGACTGATATGGAAACCTCGATAGCAGAGTTAAGAACGTCACAGACATACGCATCTGTGTACTGTGATTTGTAATATAAATAGAAAAAGTTTAGAATAAAACGATGAATACAATGGATTAATTTCACGCAACAAGGACTACGACAATAAAAGGTTGCATGTTTTATGACTTTGTTTCATTTCAATTTTTTAAATCGAAGATTTAATCGCCCATTAAATCGGAGTTTGATCGATGTAAATCAAGCAAAAAATTAAACGCTGCAGTACATTTCTCTTTATGTAACTCTTTAAACCTCGTTAATCTTCTAATAAAATCTTTCTTTTCTTAAAAATAAAAGACACGATATTTTTAAAACTTGCATTTTAATAATAAAATAAGTACCATATTACATTAAGCAAACATATTAAATTATACAAAAGCTTTCGTTGATTCGTCGTTATAATCCATGTTTCTCCAAATGGAGACGTTGTTTTTCCAATTTTTGCGCCTGCGCATAGTTAAGACATGCTTTTTGAGTACATCTAAGCGTGGAATCCGGTTGACAATAGCATTGATTGCATTGGACCCTGAAAGGACAAAAGAAATAATTCATTTTCAAAATATTTGCGCTATTATATTTATATTTTTATTCGTTAAAACTATTGAAAAACGTCTCCTACCAGGCTGCTCAAAGCATCCGAATCGGGCCGAATTAAAAATCATTTTCAAATAAGTTTAACTAATATATCTTTTACCTATTTAAATGTAAACATATACATATCTTGTATTAAACTCTTATCTTTTTTTGTCTAGATTTCTTTGTAGCAGCCGTGACCAACGCGATTCCAACGCGATTTGTCTTTGAGGCATATATTACTCGTTTTAAACTGATAGAAATGGTCACATGGACTCGTGACTACTGCTGCAAAGCATCCGAAACGTCGTGCGGTAGTTAAAATTTTAAAATAAGGTATACTAATATATATCGTATTTTGTACCGTTAGTGTTTTATTGTAGTTATATTATAACTTACGTATACATAGTACCCGGTGTGCATTTCTCTTTTTGTGGGTTCAAAGCAGACAGCATCTTAGCAGCGTGTCCTGATAATTTTTCACGCTGCTCGCACTTCGGTATTGGCTTGCATTTGTTGATTCGATCCACACAAATACATTGGACACAGCCGAAGGTTTCGTCTTTAGTACATTTCGTACCTGAGAATATAATTAAAGTTTTTTAGAACAAAAGAGTTTAGGTTTATATCGTATTCTAAAACAAAATGTGCAGAAAAGAAATTCTTATCTTGAATAGACGTTAAATCGTTAATAAAGAAAAAAAATACGTTGGATTTCCCGAATCAATGCTTAAGCGCGTAGAAATTCGAGCAGATACTTGAGCATGAATAAAATCCGAATTTATTTTAGTATCCATGTCATCTTTTATATTTATTTATTTATACCATTTGTCGGCCCCTCTTGTAAGGTATTAATAACCCGCATAGCACGAACAAGAGCGGATTTTATCAGCAAGGTGTGCGAGACTTTAGCTCAAATAACAGTAGTCGTAAACGTCACAATAAGACTTACCAGAACGTCTATCAGCTTCCATTTTGATGAAAGCTTTTTTCGATAAACAGAGTTTCTCTTCGCAAATCAAATTATTCGATTCCTGACAGAGACAACCGTTGCAGTCGATCCTATACATCTTGCCCGGTTCGCATTTGTCCGATAGACTATACAGAACGGGAAAACTCGCTATATCTTCGGGCTTAAATGGAAATGATTGGACATTTACATTCGATTTCTCTTGGACTGAAATAAGCGAACAATTAATTACTGAATAACGATAAATCGAGCAATATAACAAACAGAATCTATTGTCATATTTCTAACAGCTACAGTATGTGGCGCCACAACTCCTTAGGATTTGGCTGGTCAACCATACACCCACAGGTCTTGGTATCTAGTCATACAGCTAAAATATCAAAAAAGACAAAGTCTTCTAGAAATGACATATGCAAATAGATTCTATACAACTAGACGAACCGTTGGTCAACCAAATTATTGCTATGCTTAATCAAAATGCTGCCAAAATATGTTGTAGTGTATCTTTTTTAACTTGGCAAAAGATCACAACAAATATGGCCGATTTCAAACCATAGCGAACTAGGGATGACCCGATACAGAGTGAAGTTTGTCCACAGATGACACAGGGTTAAATAGCTATACATTATACATGGATCCAACGACCTTAATATTCCAAATCACTTGACTGTTTTTTTTTTAATTTTTATGACGATATAATGTTTAATAGCACTTTTAAGCGACCGTGCATGAATGGGACTTCTACCCTCTATTGTCAATGACTTTGCTCACATCTCATCCTTATGACGTAAATGTTAAACTGAAGAAATTTTAATCTGTGCATTTACGAAAATTCATTTTAAGGATTTTATTCATATTATCATGAAATTGTGGTTTTTGAGTTAGTTTGAAGTAATTTTCCATTAACCTACACCACCTACCTAATAAACTACACCAAACTGGATAAGCCAGTGACTCAGAGTGTTTTTAGTATAAATCAATGAAAACTTGTGAAAAAATCACGATTTCGTGTAAATTGTGTGTTTGTTTACCAAAAATGCCAAGTAAGAAAAAATACACTTTACACAAACTTACATGTCCATTAACATATAAATTGTATAAATATAGACGTGTTGTATTAATACTTCTAATATGATAACTTGCCGGTTAGTTTTTCTTTACAAGTGTCAGTGCAAATCTGATCCTTTGAATGGTCGCAGAAGCATGTCTCACAGATCTTTTTTGTGATTTTGCCTGGTGTACAAGATGCAGCCCTTGCCACCTTAGGAACAACCCCGTGTAAATCCTGTCCGCTCCTTGCTGTCTTTATATCCCTCTGGAGTCCAGCATCAGTCTCATTCGCCCTCCAATGGACTTTCTGTAGAAGGATAAAAAAATAGATAGATATAAAAAATAAAAGATTTTTTCTATAGACACTTTAAACGGTTTAAAACGAGAAACTCATTGAAAACATGGCGCTTTAGTCTCCGCGTGACCCCGACTGCTGAAAAGCATCCGAAACGTTGGGCCGTAATGAATTTAATTTGTAGTTAAGTATAGCTACTCCATTTCGTATTTTAAACCGTTATTTTTTTTATTTAAAAGTAAAACAATAAGGTTTGGGATTTCGAAAAGTTATTGTTTTGTATTTAATTAATACATTTTGAAATCTCATAACACTTTTTATAAATACGAGATAAGTGAACCTTTAAACTTTTTGCGTAGCTCTCTTCTAGGCACGCCATTTTAGTGCACATAAGTGCATCGTTTGAAAGACATCGGCAAGTGTTGCATCCCAATCTGTATAGGTGACCGGCGATACAGCTTTGACCCTCATGAATCTCCGGTAGGTGGAAATTTGAGAAGTTTTTTAGGCCAGCTAAAATTGTACCATTATTGAAGACGCTTCTTTGAAATTAATACCGTAAAAGTATAACAATATCATAAACCACCATAAAATATATACATTTACGAATTAATTAGTAACTCGTTATAACCCAAAGCAACGTACCCTTTACATACCTAATAAGACGAATATTCAAAACCAAAATACGTCGACACCACATCTGATCTGAGATGCTATATGCCTTTCACTTTTTCACCTACCATCAAGTGAACCTCGTGATTGTCTGTCCTCTTCTATCATAAAAAATATGCATTCCATTTTTTATTAACCAAATATAACATCCTATATTATCTTCAAAAGATAACTTGTGACAACATCTAACAGTTCTTGTTACGAAATATGTAAGGGATAATAAATAAAGGTATACCAAAATTAATTAACTCATTTAATCATTAGTAGATATCAGACTCCTGCGCAGAGCTATACCATCGATCACAAAGTCATCCAAACAAATCATAGTTGTGCAGGACAATTCCTCATTTGGTGTGCAAATGCACGTGTTACATTTCAATTTATACTTCTGACCAGAGATGCATACTTCATTCTCGTTATGAACTGTTGGTAGATCCAATTTAGTAGGAACTTCCGAATCTAACCTTCTCAAATTACTTTTATTACAATCTTTTTTCGTACAAATCAGTTTGCCACCTTCGTCACAAATACAGTGATTACAATCGATATAATATTCTTTGAACGCAGTGCATTTATTTGATTTGAAATTAACGTTCGTGATGACTTTAGCATCTGTGATGTTTAATTCCTGAACTATCCGTGAATCTATTTTCCTACAGAGCTTATCTATGTAATAGTTAACATCACTGCATATGCATATTTCATTGTTGGTTCTTAAGAAATCTCCATAATTACATTTATCAGCTTTAGTACCAGTCTTGCAATGTCGATTTGTACAGGCTTTGGATTGAATGTGACCGGTTCTGTCACATTTGCATATGTTACAATCAATTAGATATAAACGTTCGGGAGTGCATGAAACATTAGATCTCATGTTTCCATGTAGAAGAGGAGGGCTCCTTTTGAGTGTTCCTATAATCCTTCTGCAAACCTCGGACAACCATCTTCCTTTATTGGAACATGTGCAGATTGTGTGATCTTTCATGTAGCGAATGTTGGATTGGCATTCTACTTCCTCGACCATGAAACCCGCTGCAAGATTGTGTAATATCGTATATCATTGCTGGGCAAGTATGATCAAAGGGCCGTGAGTTCGATCCCCACCTGGTCCAACATTTTAGTACCTAAAAATTGTTCTAAAACATATCGGACTTCTTCTGCAAATGTGGATAAAAAATGGGTGCATATCAAAATTCAATTCAGGTCATGAACCACCGTCCACAGATGAAAAATCCGTCAAATTTAGTTTCGGGTTCAGTCACTGGATATATCCGAATATCCAAAGCCAAAATAAGTCGACAGCGCTTCTTGTTTAAATGTTATATGGAAGGGATATTTCACCTAATATCAAGATGAATCACATCTTTGAAAAAAATATTAGTTATTATCGTCTTATCGATTTATTTAATTTAAAAAATAATACTTATTTTCCGTTCAACCTACTATAGCCAACCTTTCAAGAGTAGGCTGTCAAAGAAGAAGAAGGACGACGATTCTATGTTTTGGTCATTTAAAGCTTTCTTACTATTTTTCGCACACTTAACGGAACGGCAGATGAACACCCCATCAGTGTTGCAAACACACAAAATACAAGGCCCTCTAGTGGTTTCCGTTGGTACACATTCTGCTAATACATGTTCTACAAAATAGAAAGAACTCTTGAATAATGTATAAATTAATTTAAATTCCAATCAGAAATAACTATTACTTACTTTTAATTTTTCTATGCGATGTCCACCCAAAAGGCACTGGTGATAAAAAATCCTTATACAACTTATAATTAAGACTTCTTAATAATCGCGAAATAGCAACCCGCGATAAAATTACAGTAAGCAAGTATTTCGTTCGACTTTTAACGGCTTAAAACGCGAAATGATGATACATTTAATTTATTTAGATTATATTTACAATTTAGATTAACTACGGCTTGACGTTTCGGATGTTTTGTAGCAGCCGCACGGTCGCAGCATTGCACACCGAGGTGGTTACTGGATTACGTGTTCTAAACCGTTAAAAGTGTTTATTTAAATGTGTACTACTCGTGTAAACTACAGATAATACTTATTCAATTGGTGTATGTATGTTGTATGAATCGTATTAAAATAAGAACAAATGGCGTTTGTAAGCAGACTTACGTAATAGCGATTCGACGCCAAACATAAAACAAAACAGTGAAAATAAAATTGAATTCCACGCCATGTTTGCGATATCAACTAATCTTCCAATGAAAGATTTATCGGCTTCAATAAATGCTCATGAAATTGCTGATTAAAAGAGCTACTGTGGTTTTAGTACACGAAGTTACGGCTTTATATTAATATTCTAATTAACGTTAAATTGAGAGTAAGTGGGTATTGTTCAATGTAAAAATGTATGAAGCAGTGTATGAGTAATCATTAATTAACCACAATAATACAATAATTAGTAATCTACCCACGGCCATTGGGTCGAGGGCCGAAGGTTCGATTTCCACCGGGTGTAAAGTTTTTTTAAATAAATTTATGATGTTTCTGAAAAACGTTGTTGTCACCTGGAAATCTGGATATCAAATAGGTGGTTGGAATATTGAATTTCGAACCAAACACCGTCCACACTTGAGTTTTCAAGTATGGACGGTGGTGTGAAGTTTAGTCGCGTTTCAGTTCCAGTCGGTCGAATTCAGAAAATTCAAAGCCTAAATAGGGCGAAAGCGCATGGTTGTAAGTCCCACCGGCGTCGTAAAATTCTACAATCTAAATAGATTTTAATTCATTTAATTAGGACGTTGTCGAAAATAAACACACATTTAAAATTTAATATTTTTATTCAAAATTACTTTATATTAAGTTTGATATTGTCCGTTATTGGGTGATTGTGTTAATGCTGCAAATTTTCGATAATACAAAACACAACGGGGTGCTTCTACACATTTTACATTCAAAATACAACCGGGAAGAATTAAAAAAATAAAACTTGTATACTCTAAAAATCGCCATGAACTCTAATATATTGCAATAATAATATCATGTCCAGAAACTTGCTATGATTTGATTGAATCGTGTGATTTAATTGTAATATACAAACGAACTACAACCTAAGCGGATTGACAAAAAGTTTAAAAAATCACCATTTCTACAATAATGTAAAAAAGTGAATACCAATATTCAGATAATCTGAAAAATAGGGTATGTACTTTTTTAAAGTATTTTTTATAATTACTATATATTATAAATCGCAATATGAATAATACAAAATGGAAGATTACGAGAATGCAAAAATGTATTACAATACTTACTAATTAGTAATATTAGTGACGTAACAGCGTTACAACGACATAGAACAAATCAATAAGGACTTATCTAAAACGCTAAAACTAACAACAATACAATTAATTAAGTGAATACTATCGATGTAGTTTTGTTTGTCTAATGCAAATTTGAATTGGGCTTATTGTATTTTTTATATTTTTTAACTTCATTTGTGATTTAAATAAAACACTTTAACGGTTTAAAACGCGATATATTAGTTAGGTCACGGGGACCACGGCTGCTGCAAAGCATCCGAAACGTCGGGCCGAAGTTAAAAATCATTTCCAAATAAGTTTAACTAATATATCGCGTTTTAAACCGTTAAAGTGTTTTATTTAAATGTGTACTACTCGCGTGAACTATAGACAGTATTTATTTGTGATGTTAAATATTGTATACACAAATATTTTTTTAAATTTAAATTTAAAAAAATATTATTACTGACTATTTTTATGTGATCAATAAGACGTCTTAACAGTGTAAAACGCGAAATTAATTAAATTTATCGTCTTAGCTAAAAATTAATTAGTGCATCTTGCGTTTTAAACCGTTAACTGTTTCATTTAATGCGTCATACTCGCGTAAACTACAAATATGTAATACTACTACGAAAAATCGAAAAATCGAACAATCGAAAATCAATCGTTTCTTCATATTCCGAAAGCAATATTATGAAAATAGAGCCATGGTACCATATAAGTATTGTGAGTGACGATAAGGCACAGTTTCCGAACGTTTTTTAAGAATACGACCTCTAAACTTGCGTGGTGTAAATGCATCTACTTTGGGATAGGGGTGTGATGATGAAGTTTACAAAGCCGGGTTGATGTCTTGGTCGCAAAGACGTAATGTGCAGAAGACGCTCTTCCCATCAGCAGAACAGGTACAGTCTTTGCAGCCACGTTTGAATTGCTCGCCAGGATTGCAACGGAAGTTCGGATCACTCTCTGTGAAAAAGATAATTTATGAGATACTTGGGTTTCTAACAGGGCCGTCGTAATTAAGAATTGTTTCTCATCGCCATCACGACTGGATGATCAGGAGAAGTTACGCATTTCTCTTCTAAGCGAAAACCTAAACAACTTTTCATCATTAGTTATATTCCTTTCGGGACAAAGCTACCCAAACACTTTCAGGAAGGGAATGTAATAACCACGAGTTTCAATTTTTTTTTATCTGTTTCCAAAGTCAACATACCAGGTGCATTGATGTCGTTATCTGTGGTTTCTTCGTGACATCTTTTCATTGTGCATACTGCGTGGTTACCGTCTTTTGTGCATTGGCAGACATTACATCCCTGATCGAAGACGCTACCTGGAGGGCAATCCTTCTGCTCTTGGGATGCTACTTCTATAAATACAGAATTTAGTGAATCCGTGCGATTTGGTAAAAAAATACTGTTGTCTCTTAATTTCAATAGTGTAGCCAACTAAATTATTGGATGTTAGAAAACCTCTCAGTGGTAGCCTGTAGTGATTAAATATACGGACAGAACTTTCCATAAAACTTCCAATGCAATGTTTCCTATTCTCTAAATTCTTTTTTTAAGTATACGTACGTATATTGAGAAATGATAAAGCAAAGATAAGTAACATTTATCTATTCTACTGCATTTATAAGTCCATGTTAATTAGACTACTGCATGTAGATATAGGTACCTCGTTTCGCCCTGTCACCGCCGTTGTTGTTATTGTTAAGGGCGGTACAGTCAATACGCGTGCAAGAGAAATTCTGTCCCTCGTTGTCACACAGGCATTTATTGCAGTCCAGTCTGAATTCTTGATTAGGCTGACAGTTTTTTGGTGTGCCCTGCGGAGTAACAGAATATAAGAAGGCATTGTTTAATTTAAATGCGATAAGTATTCATATATCTTCTGTGAAAGAATAATAGAAACTGTGATAGTAACCAAAGAGAATAGATAAAATATAAAATGTATCGTAGTTGTTATTGTGATTAGGTGGAACTTTATGTAAAGGTGTCTTAAGAAATTGAGTTATATGATATAATAAAAAAATCTTGTGCTCGGTGCTGTCTAGATAAGGTGTTGAAACAATGCTAAAACACAGTTGCAATACCTTAAGCACTGGAGCAAGCCTTGACATATCAGCCGGATTTTGGTTTTGCTGTAAAATATTTAATACAAGTATGGAATATGTATAAATAGTAAGGTTTATTTAAGTATTGTATCATACCTGTGATGTAGCGCGTTTTTTTCTAAAGACGTTCTGTAAAGAAAAGAAAATATTTTGTTGATGGATAATATTACAATTTTTCAATTCAGACTGACGAGATTATTCCAAATATATTATACCTCTATTACTGAAGCTGGTAAACTTTTGGCAGGATTTTTGTCCTGAAAAGAGAATAATATATATGTTTGTAACTTTTAATATTTTTCACCTTTTTTGCACATGATGGTATTATATAAATTAAAAATCGAAGACAAGGTAGCTCACTTCGTAAGAGCGACAGCATCGCTAGGGATGCAAGAACTGCTCGTATCGTGGGTTTTTTTCTGAATCGATTTTTAATTTAACATATTTATATATATTTGAAGTTGTGTCCAAAAGAAATTGTTATGGCAATTTAAATATTACTTATGTAACAAAAGGTACCTTAATCTATACACGACACAAAACCACCAAAGTTCAGTAGACCTTCCACCAAGCTTTGAAAATTATTACACCATCAAGATAATAAAATATTAGAAGAATGACGACTATGAAATACTCACAACCTAGCAAAATCGAGAACGCATTTAGCCTAGAAGGAGATACAAAGAAATCTACCACCACCGAGGATATTTGTTTTATTGAGACACAAACCTTATCATCAGTGTCGGGGAAACAAATACGACGGGTACAGGAATATGACTGGCCATCAGTACTGCACCGACAAGTATTACAATCGATCTCAAAAACTTCATCTGGACGACATTTTTGCTTAAGCGTACTCAATTTCTGAAGTGTACAAAGCGATGAACGTATTAAAATAATAAACAAAATATATAAAAAAAGAAAGGTGTTAATTTTTACTATGAGCTATAGCAAAATTTCAAAATTTTCAGATAAAAAAAAAACATTCGTAAAATAATAATCAACTCTAAAAAGGTTTGAGCACAAAGTAAATTATATTTTAAAATGCAACAATTTCATGATGTGTATTCATATTAAAATTAAATTTTCGTTCCAGTTCTTATAGTCCAAAGACATCTCTGTCAACTATTTTTTACCTCAGTACTTTCCTCAATATTCTCATCTGGTTCAACTATACAAACTTTCCTAGTGCAGGAGAAACCAGTTCCATCCTTATTACACCAACAAGTGTTACAGTCCTTAATAAACATCCGATTAGCTGAACATACGATCGCCTTTGTAGCGTTGAACACTGATTTTGGAGCCTATAACGACACAAAAACATCTGAATCTTTTCTACCTATCTAGTAGTAACATCAATCTACATGCCAAAGGGTAGAAATAAAAGACCAAATAATAAATGTATTATAATTTTTTAACTTTTAAGAATATTTTGAATTTTAATTCTTGTAGCTTGTTAATGTTCTACGGTACTACTTGCTTCATATCCTGAAAAAGAAAAACAACACATTAATAGAATTCATTATTCTACCATATTTACCAAGTTCGCTATACCTCCAACTCCTTGAATATCTCAACATCATCAGGCAGTGGACAAGGCTTATTTGTGCAGGAATAGTTAGTGCCGTCGACATTGCATTGGCAAGTGTTGCATCCCATATGAAAGGTTCCTCTGGGCTTGCATACTGAGTGACGCTCTATGTGATCCGGACCCTAACAACCCAAAAGAAGTCTTTATTAAGCTGTTAGAATATCGACAATAGCAGTGTGTTTATCTTATAAACGATAGATAAATAAATAAAAAATGTTTACACATGCCGATTTTCATACAGGGCAAAAAAGATTTCACGTTTAATGAAAATACAAATAATTTCGTTGTTATCCTAATTTATATTCAAAATGTAAGTTCGAAAGACTTGAAATGAATGACACGAAAGGACTCGGGCCTATATCCAACAGCGTACCGTACTGCGGCTCTACATATGGAGCTATCATTTATGGTTATCATAATATCATCAATTAATATAAAAATATTAAATCATCAAAAGCGAAAATTTTATGACTAGTGCTCAACGCCTATAACTTACATCCTCCTCTTTAAACACCTCAACATCATCAGTGATAGATCGTTCATCACAATCATCGGCAGTACACGAATAGCTCAATCCATCCACTGCACATTCACATTCATTGCAGCTCAATTTGAATAAAGAGTTTGGTTTACATATCGTTCGTTTTCTATTACTCAATTGGTTGTCAAAAGAATTTGTTTCGATAAGTTTCGTGAGCTGGTTCTGTAAAAAAAAGTTTTTTATGCTTTAAAGTATTAATATACCACTGGGCACGAGATATGTGCTCTTTTAAGATAGAGGATTTATGAGGTGAAATCCAAAGCCATAGCTCTAAGAGCGGGTTGGCAGATGTCGAACTGAATTTATTACAATAAGGTTATTAAGGATTCAAGTATTAAAAGCGCAGATGCTTATTATATTAATCATCTTTGCATGCTCGACCCATAATGCCGCTCCACCCGACGACAACCATAACTATGCAAATCAAAAACTTTCAAACTTCTTAAAATAGTTCTAAATAATGAACTAACATTTCGCCTGGTGTTAAAATTACTTTCTGTGTTATATACTTATTTATAGTATTAATATTCGATAAGTAAGCTAAATTAATTTATAACCATTACCTTTTGTTCATTCAAATCGTCATTACTGCCAAAACAAGGTCTAGCGGTACAAGTGATCTGTACACCATCTTCAGAACAAATACATATATTGCAATCCACTTGTAATATTGCTCCAGAAGTACAAACATCGCGCTTCTCTATTTTATGAGTCGTATACGGTCTGTTGTTTGTTAGTAATTGCATATGGATCTGAAAATGTTTAAATTGAGGGATATAATCAAAAGTATAATAAAAGAATAAAAGTGGTCCCACACTGGAGCCTTGACATACTAAAAAGAATAAGAGCATTCTTTACCAACTTACGTATTACAAGTAAAATAAAGTTTAAATACTTACATACGTTCGGAAGCCACAACCACGGTTACAGAATTATCACAATATGAACACACAAATGTAAATTAAAATCCATCACCAAGTATGATGTCTTAGGGCTTAGTCTTCAGACCAAGTACTTTTGTAAAAAGAAAAATGAGAATTTAATAGATACGATTTAATACAAACATTTTAAATGGAGATCCGTGTAAAATATTATGATTTTATACTTCAAGAAAAAGATCCACGGTATTTAATATTAATATTTTAGTTATATACCGTAAATGTTACGAAAGTAACACATTTACGTTACGTTAGCTATGGCCGTTTACTATTTCTTATAATTAAAACATGGTGATTATTATTACAATTAATACTGTACTGTAAATGTGAATGTTAAAAATTGCACAGTGACAATGAAACGTTGTGTTACAAAACCTTAAATAAATCGCATTAATTATTACTTACCGCTTGTGGCGTCGTATTTTCTACTTTTTTATTTGGTTTTGGATTCCAATTTGTGACTGAAAAGCGCGATAATAATAATATGAATGATTATAAAGATAATTTATAAAAATAATACTATTCTCGGAACTAATTGTAATAATAAGGATTTTAACTGAAGAAAGAATATTATATAAATGGACCTTTATCAGTAGCAAAATACTATCGATATCTAAGACTATTACTTGAAATAGCAACTTACCAACATTCAACGAACATCCTATCCTGGTACACATAGCATACCCAGAAGTAGTGCACCAACAAGAATTACAATCATCCTTCCATATAGAATCAGGGGCACAGTGCATTTCTGGTTCTGGAAAAAGTATATGATTCGGAAAACTATGTACAGATTTGCCCTTAGGCGAGACCTGGATTTGAATGCAAACAAAATAATAGATTTAAAGAAAACATTTAGATTTATACTACTGAGTAGAACTGAAAATTCAATGAACCAACAAATTATTTCATTTTTTTTCTTTTGGCAAAGTATTCTTCAGTCGTAAGTACTTAGTCGTAAATACTCTTTATATCTGTACAAAAGTTCTCACCATTTTCCTGTCCAGGACAATCATTCTTGCTGCAGTTAGTTAAACCTTCTGGAGAACATACACACTCATTACATCTACTTTTCCATCTCGTTCCCGGAGAACATTCTTTCCCCGGTAGTATTTTGGATTCGTCGGGAACTGAAAATAAGCATTTTACCTTAAGCTCGTTTTTTTCATAAATATCGTATAAGTCTTAGAATTTATTTAAAAGGAAGAAAAAAAGAGGATGGAGAATCTTTAGTTCGATCAGGATCGATAATAGATACCAAAAAAATGGAAGGGAATAAAGGATTTTTCTCTTCTGATGTACCTACTTATAATCAATTATTTATATATGTTAACCCAACCAATATAGTTATTTAACAAACTGGATGTAAAAACTGAAGAGTCTCTTCCTGTCTAATGTTTTTTAACCTCCTATAAATAGAAGAAGCATACTGTCTACTCACTAGTGAGCTTCGAACATCCCTTTAGCGTGCAAAGAACTAGACCATTATCAAGACATCTGCACGTATTGCAGTCTCTTTTGAATGACGTTTGTGGTTTGCACTTTAGTGGTTCTCCTGAAATAAAACATTTTTGATTACAACTAGACAGATGTTCTTATTTTACGAGACCGTAAGAATGGCCCGTTTCTGATATCTTAAAATCAGTTGTATTATTTGATTACGTTTTAACCAGTCACCATTTCTATCTTCATTGCTTGCTATTTCTGATATTCTTCCCACCAATACAAAAATATTGCTAATCGTTAAGACGGATATAAGTCAGTTACTTGACTAGCCAGTATCATTGCAAGATGAAATTAAACCTTACTATTTATCTCTTTCGAAGTAAATCTTACCAAAAATGCCTTTATCACAGACGTCTAACTTGGTGCAGATGGCTCTGCCCGCGTCAGAACAACGACAAGAGTGGCAGTTGCTCTGCCATTCGCTACGCGGCAAACATTCCTCTTCTATCCGGACATCTTCAAAGGTACTGGATTCTGTTGTTTTGATATAAGCTGTAATGTTGTTTCGAGTTGTAAATATAAATGCAACAGATTGTAATGTATATACAATGTATTATGATTTATAATTAAATATTTTACATTGATATATACACTATGATAATACCTTGTTCTGTACCATCTATGACTTCTGGCAATTTTTCAATTGCTTCGTTTGGTGTGACTCCTATCGCTGAAATTAATGAAATAACACATTTATTAAACTGTCGATATGAAAAAAATAGGTTAGGATCTAGGGGCTCTCAACACGGGTTCTTATAGTTTGTAAGTCTACCGACAGTAGTGACTAATTGTATTATTTAAAAAATAATAAGATTCTTAAGAGAAGTATAAAGAGAGGTATTCCTGACCGACATATAAAAGAAGACGTGTGAAGTAAATAAAAAAATAGATTAGTATATCTCGTAAATATGTTTCAATTAGCTAGTGAAGTAACAATCGTAAGAATTTCTAGGTCAGCATTTATTGTCTGGACAAAAATCACGTGTCCAGAATATTTCGGGTCGGGCGGCGTGGCTGTGGCGAGTCCGATCAATTTGCCCTTTAGCCTTCACAATTATTGCAGTTCTATTAATAGCAGGAAACAATTGGCTCGATAATTACCCCCTGTATGGCTTTAACTCGAATAACGGAGATACGTCGAAAATACATCTAAAAGGAGGTTTGTGTAATCCTAGAGTTTTTTTCGTGACGAAATTTACAAAATACACTAGAAAATTATTATTTAGCTATATTTTAGGATATAAAAATACACTCTTTTCGTTTCTCCTCATGATAATATAGATGTAAAAATCAACTAGCAAATAATACAAAAAAAATCCTTATCTGATCATTTTTTTAAAAAATTTTTCTTCCTATTAAGAAGTAAATAATTTAAACTAATCCTTATTTCAAGGACGACTATCTAAGACAGTATTTTGTAACTTAGTAACTTTAGTGTCTCTGTCAAATGTAATCCTTTAAAACGATATATTAAAATAATTTAATTGTAATTTACCCAATATAATCGGCCTGAAAAATCTCATGCAACATTGAATATACACCACGTATTCTTATAAGCTACCCGAATTGGAAAACATAATATTGGCTACATAAAATAGACATAATATTATGTTCCAATGGTTTATCAATCAATACGATTAGCTCATTATGCATTTCGTAGTAAAATTATACGCTATCATTAATTCTAGTAAGTCGGGTCAACTGATAAGCCAGAGATAAGAACTTCATTCATTACACACTCGTTTGAACTTCTCACCAAAAAGTTTAATTGAAAAAGATTTGATGACATTTTCAAAAGTTATCATGAGAGACTATAGTTATTAAATACTAGCTGTGCTAGCGACTACGTCCGCGAGAATCGTTATTTTGGCATCCAAATTAGTTTTTGCAAACCCCGTCATCTTTATAAAATTAAGCTATTAGCCACGACGTCGATCGCTTCCCTTTCTGTCGTTCTTGCAAGTTAATCTTAAAAGATAGACATATTGCGTCTCAGACTTTTTTGTAGATCATTTAAAGAGGAATCATTCTTTCATACAGATTTTTAGGTAATTTGAGCCGTTTTCGCATCTGTAACCCATGAGCGATTTTCAAAAAAGTGATAAAGTTACGTAATTATCGAAATATATTTGAAAACTTTATTATTTTTTACATGTTATTGCACATGAAGGCACTATATAATTTGAAAACCCATTTGCAATTAAGTTAAAAACTCTCCCTGGTAATAAGTTTTAAACAAATGGAGACAAAGATCTCTATTTCAATATAGAAAAGGAAATTCTCAAATGTGAAAAGTTACTCTACGTAACACCCTGTTTAGGCTACTTATTCTATTTTAAACTGGCAACTTAGCTATTTATAGCAAGCAAAGCAATTGTCCGTAGCATTGCTATTAACCGATTAATTGGTGTAGAGGCCAGCAGACGCCATTTTATTAAATGTTTTTAAACATTGATTTTTGGAAATTGTAATTATTTATTTTTATACTTAAGACTTAATTGTTATTATTTGTACGCGACTACTGGTATTGCTAGGGAGCATTTACTTTAGACAACATATAAATACAAATACATATAGTAAAAAAAATAAAATATAAACAATTAAAGTAATAAAAAACCTTAATGATAATTTTTTTAGCGATTCCAATATGTCGTTTAAACTCGACTGTAATTAATATTTTTCTTCCAGAAAAGCGCCTGATTTTCAAGGAGCTTTTAAAATTAAGGAGAACCTTCTAACATTTAATATGTTCAAAAGTTTTCTATCAACAAATGGCAGTATTCTTTAGTTTTTTTACATTATCTGTCTAATTTCAGTTATGGTTACATTATCCTATTGAAACAAGACCAAAAGAAAAGAGAACTATCGTGAACTTTTATAATTTAAAGATTCGTTTTTTTAATAATTGCGTGAAACATGCAGCCATATAATTTCTTAGAACACAACCCCCTTGCATTTAAACCACGGAAATGACGCACAGGGCTAAAAGCTTACCGAGAAGCCGTGTATAATAACGAATGACCTCATCCTCTATCGATTAATTCCTCTTATTAATTATAACACGAATTATTTCTAGTATTGATATGAATTGAAAATAATTTTAATTTGTATATTCATGATATTTACCCGTTTCGAAAGCTTTTCAGCAACCGCGGATAGGGTTAAAAGATTAAATACTGTCTATAGTTTACGCGAGTGGTACACATTTAAATAAAACACTTTAACGGTTTAAAACGCGATATATTAGTTAAACCTTATTTGAAAATGATTTTTAACTTCGGCCCGACGTTTCGGACCCCGTGACCACGGCTGCTGCAAAGCATCCGAAACGTCGGGCCGAAGTTAAAAATCATTTTCAAATAAGTTTAACTAATATATCGCGTTTTAAACCGTTAAAGTGTTTTATTTAAAAGGGTTAAAAGATTTCAAGATTAAAAAGCGAAAATAAATTGAAAACAATTTCGACTCGGGCAGGACTTGAACCGCCATCGTCAGCGTTCCGTGCTATTGCTCTACCAATTGAGGTACCGAGTCCCACGCCTCATCGTCGATTTTTTGGATATATTTTAATATAGTGCCATCATGTGCAACATGTAAAAAATATTGAAGATTCCAAGAGTTTGATTAAACCAATATGCGTGTGCGCAGTTTGGTCTCAGAATGGCGTCTATTGATAAGTAAAGAGTATAGTAAAGCTTAGTAACCCGGCCCAGTCCAGACCCATGGCCAGTGCGTCTTATACAAATGCAGCGAAATTACAATAAGTTCTGTACTACACTCCGATTTTGTGGGCCCGGGACGGGCTGTGTTTAACACATATGAAAAATGACACATTTCTGGACGTAAAGATGCAATATTAAAAACTCGTTGATCAGATCTGTACCCTGCCCGACTATGTTTTCTGAACCCTGGCCCACAGGGCTCTGTAATCTAACCTATTAAAAGACGGTAAATTCCTCCAGTACAGTATGCCTAAAATTACATCAAACAGATAACTCGCAATAAAAGTTTTACAGCTAAGAAAACGAGTGAATGAGAAAATATGTTTGGTATGTGTATATATTTATGTGACGTAGTTCGTGAGGATGTTGAAGTTAGTACGCAAATACCTAGTATCCGGTCTATTGTACAAGAATAAACTTATTTTGACCAATTCTTTGATCCAATGATAGGAATGTATTGCAAATAAACAATACGTCGTGGGTTTGACTACTGGCCACATGTTTGTAAGTTACGATTTTTCTATACATGAATTGAAGCTGGGTTTTAGGAATCAACTTATTGTAGAAACTTTAGGGGTGTCCATTAGTGACCTTTTTTTAGAATTATTAAACCCCCCTCCCCCATTGGTGATAGTAGTGAGGTTAAGACCACCCCCTCCCCCTTTTCAACATCACGTGTATTTTTAGTACCTACAAAGAATCTTAAAATTTTCTGAATATTATCTTAATAAAGGTATAAACTATAATCTTATTTTATTCTTAAATTAAGGACCATAATAAAAATGTCAACCATTTGTTTAAAAATGTTTGACGAAAAAATAAATACACGAGATATCTTACTATACCCCCTCTTCCCCCTTGTGTTATTCGGATTTATCAACACCCCCCCCCCTTCAACCTCAGTGATAAGGAAACCCTTTATGTTAATATTATTAGATGTAAGAGACGTTATTTTACCTTACATTAAAATTCGATTCCTGCTGAATTATTTTAAAGGATATGTAAGTAATAAAATATGCCCCATCGTTATACACTAATATATACATACGACAGTTAAAACTTTTAAAAAAAATTTTATTAATGGTTCAATTTCAGGGTTTGTCTGTTGAACTATTTTTTATGATAGAGGAGGCAGGCAAGCTTAGGGTTAAGCAAGGTTTAAAATGGGCTTTGGATATTCGGAAATCAATATACTGAAACCGAAAGGCGATGAAACTTTACGCCTTTTGTATTTGTGGACGGTGGTTCGTGACTCGGATGGAATTTCGTTATTCCCACCACTTATTTAATATTCAGATATTCCGGACGAAGATATTTCAGAAAAAAAAACTTATTAGAATGGTGGGGATAGAACCCACGTGTATTGTTACTATTACACAAAGCCCGTAAAAACTGTGAAGGGATAAAATACTCTCTATAGTTTAGAGTACACATTTAAATAAAACACTTTAACGGTTTAAAACGCGATATATTAGATAAACACGGGGAGACTCCCTGTCACCACCGCTGCTGCAAAACATCCGATACGTCGTCGGGCTGAAGTTAAAAATCATTTTTCAAATAAGTTTAACTAATATATCGCGTTTTAAATCGTCAAAGTGTTTTATTTAAATGTGAAAAGATATTCATAAAAACTGTCTTGTATACAGCGTGTCCTACATAATACTATACACATTTGAATACTTTCCTTATGCAGTGCTTGTCTAGTAACGGTATCTTAGGATCCGCTTAGCGGCTAGAGGTTAATGTCGACCCGTTTATTAACATTTCTCTTACGGTTTTCCTTCTATAACAGGTTGGTTATTATAGGATTCATACGATATAGCATAACAGGTTTCTGAGGATTATTGCTATTAGAATATATTATACTAGCGATGCCAGCGACGTCGTCCGTGTCGAATCGGTATTTTGGGCATCAAAGTTTGAATTTGGTAACCACCTCCTCATCTTTATCAATTCAAGCTGTTACGACGTCGGTTTCTTGCAAGTTAATCTTATAAGGTATCGCGGACATTTTTTAATTTATTTATGAGGAACAATTATTTTATACATATTGTTTTAGTAACCATGACACGAGTTTGTAGCGTATGCAACGGGAACCCTTAAGGATAAATCATTTTCCAGTTTTTTCCACATTTCGCACTGTTTTTCGCACCTAATAATCACAGCGAGCCGCCATTTTTATAGCCTTCTTTGATCAATGATCTTTGGTAGACCAACACAAAAAAAAAACAATTCGAAGCAATAGTTCCTGAGATTAACGTTCAAACAAATAAACAAACTCTTCAGCTTTGTATATTAGTATAGATTGTGTTTTATAGCTCTGTTTAGTGTTCTCGAGTCTTGTAAAAACTATAGCCTAAGTTACTTTAAAGATACTATGTAATATAATTTCTGATCCTCTTTCATATACAACTTTTTGCACCATATAGTGGATTATCTTTTTATTGTTCACGAGCTGTTATTCATGTCTTATTATAAACATAGTGCCCCCAAATAAAAAAAAATAATGCCTTCCGCCGGGAATTACAAGTCGTTCAGTTTTGTACGTAGGTAAAAAAATATAAGTAAAATAGTTCGGATAAGGCTACAAGACTCAGTTTCTACTAAAATAGAGTTTAAATAAAACGTATGGAATGTAAGATTATTATGTACGCCATTTAGCTTCAGAGACTGTCGTCGTACGTATAGCAGGAATTGTTCACAATCACACATCATTCATAATTACAGGAACGTAATTGAATACGTAAACACTTATCAAAACTCGCGGTATACATAATATTATGATGTCATCAAAACCACGAAACTGTCATACACTTTAGGTCATATGTCTAGTTCCCTTAACGTTTTTCAAGTTATTTCAAAATTGAGGTTTCTCAAAGGTAAGCTAATAATAAAGCAAAGTAAAATGTTATATTCTGTTATCGATGACGTCATTGTGCCATAGATTATTTCAGGTTCATATATATATATATATATATATATATATATATATATATATATATATATATATATATATATATATAAAAGAAATAAATATATGTATATTTTAATTTCCCTGGTGACGCATATGAATGAGAGGATTTTATTATTACGAGAGATACAACTTAGACGCATTATTAGTAGCGACGAATATTTATTTAAAAGAATAAGATACCACAAAGTATTCAGGAAAAATATCGACAAATATGCAATATATTAATATGCAGGAAGCTTTAGTGTCATTCATATACTTATTGGCTAAAAAAGCATATAAGAAAAGTCAGTGAAGTTTGTCTGCGAAAACAATTTTATACTAAGAAATACATACTATAAAATGGGAAGAACAGTTATAATTATACAAAATTATACAAGAAGGACTATAAATTATGTCGATTGTCAAGATTAAATTGGGATTAAAATTTTATTGTATAGTGATTATATTTTTGAAACTGTTAAGGATCATTTTAACCTTATATTTTTTATAGTATTCCTTAGCCACTTATGCTAAATAAATAAATTGATTCTTTAAAACGATTTGGTATTAAAGTTTTTAGTTTGGGTTGAACACAGTAGAGTGTTCAATAAGATTGATTAATTGCGTATATATCAGTTAGGTTAAAAAAATCGTCGATGAAAAAATTGGACTCGGTAGCCCAATTGGTTAAAGCAACAGTACGTCATGCTGACGATGCCGGTTCAAGTCCCGCAACTTTAAGTCAATTTTTGCACTTTCATTTAAGATAATTTAAAAAAAAAGTAACACTACAATTAACCGACTTTTCCTTATACTATAGAGATTTTAAAGTTTCTTGCAATTAAAATAAAATTTTAAAAATCTTACATCTATTTAATAACGTTTTAAAAATACAGATAATAAACACTTTCTAGTTAATGAACCGGATACTATCTGATCCCATAGATAATAAGTAAATCAGATAATAATTGAAGTAATAACTATGATTATCCGAGTATTACCAACAGCACAAAAAATAATTCCCACAGATAATAAATGTATTGTGTCATTGTTGTAGGACGTTAATTGAAATGTCAATTATCTCGTTAGTCACTTTGTTATACAAACTTTTTTATGCCGACTTTATTAATTAGTAAGAGACTAATCCTTATTGAGACTATCGTCAATTGCTTAAAATTTTTAACCGGGGTTTGTAACTTGTAGTTTCGTTTACAGATTAGGCGTCAAGATTGCTTGCTGTGTAAACTTCGAAAATTCGCTCGTTGAAGCAATAAAAATTTAAAGGGACCGGTTAATTTTAAAATATTATCAATTAACAGGCAAGGCAGTTCTTGAGAAACATGTTTCGTTCAAAGCAATTCAAAGTTTATATAGCTTCTCCTCTTTTTATTAGAAGCTTATTGAAAGGCTTTCTTTTTATAAAGCTTCATTAATTTATATGTTATCTTTGAAAATAGGCAATTAACCATATGCATAGATTTTTTTATGAAATAGTAAAAGCGCGTCCCGTTAGTTTAAGCTTACTGATTCCAGACCAAAAACTTTTCGTTTTTTTTTTTAATTTTATTTTGAATATTCTTAGCGAAAAAAAAAAAAATCTTTTTGTGTTTTTTTTCGTAATGAAAGGATGGATAGATTTTTTTATTTTTTAACTACAAAAATATACAGGCATTGGTTAGTTTAATTATTACATGTAATACCAATTAAGTAAACACTCCATAGTGAGAAATAAACCGCCCACAAATTAAATTATTTGTATTTTCTTTCTAAACATATAATTTAAATTATATCGCCCTTATTACTAATCGTGAATCGTTTTTTTAAGACTGGTTAATGTTTAGTCTTCAATAAAAAGTGGGTAGACTCACCGCTGCCCTCACTCAGCGACGAATAGTAAACAAAAAGACTAATTACAATAAACCACTTCATTTCACACAATCCTTAAATTATCACAACACTAATAATCCGTGGACACGACCACTATCTACCACAGCTTTCTCACTACTGATCCTACTTACTTACAATTATACTGATCAGATATGCAAAAATATGTATGCTCCTGTATTTAAAGGCTTTTATCTAAAGCATTGGGTTATAAGAGCTATTTTAGAACAACGCTTGTTATAAAACAGCAGATAACTTTGTGAAGCTGTACACTATAATTATGATAATGTTAATAGTTCGAAACGCATGTAATGCGTTGTAGATCAAAAAGAGTGATGGGGTGGCCTGATGAATGACCACAGATAACGCCGGCATAATATTAAAATGCAATTAAGTCATTAATAATAGAGCGTGGTGGGTGGGGTCAAAATTAACTGTCAAGTTTCAAACGCTCCATCTTGATATGCTAATCGTGGGTTATTTTTAATATAATATATAATTTACGCAAAATATTGATGTGATAATCATATAGAATCAAAGGCGATGAAGTGAATTCATTAATTATTACTGGTTTTTTGTATAGTACTCTTAGTAATATCTCTTAATAATGTTTAAGAATGTATTAAAATAAATTATTTTTCTCTAGGTGGAGTCAAGTTTTAACAAAATGTTTTATGTACTTATGCTTTGATACATATATTTTACTGTAGAAAAGAATACGTACAGGGGGGAAAGGGGTTTTAAAAAAAAAAAAAAAACCCAATTTTTTGGGCAAATAACCCAAAAAAGGCATTTTTTTTGAAAAAAACATTTGTATTGCAGATCGACGCAGGTTTCTATAACGCAATATTTTACTGTGTGGAAAGTAAGAAATTCTGAGCCATATTAGTTAGTCAAATTTCGAACACCAATCTACAATAAATAAGAACACATTTAAATAAAGACAGAGATTGGTTTTTATTGGCGGTTGGTTTATGATTTATGGTGGCATTATCGAATGCAGATAAAGTTGATTTAATCGATACCTATTTTATTATATTAAATCGTAGCCCAGGGTTTCCAAGTAAGTTTTTACTAATATATACCTACGTATATATCAGTAAAAACTTGTACGAGAAGCAGACCAGCAGCGCACATAAAACTTCTCTTTGGTTTCCAAAAACAAGGATTGGCCGAAACGAGACTCCTTAAAGTTTAAAAAGTAAAAAACCACAGCTAGCAACAGACCGGACATTCAAAAACAAGAAAGGTTGGAAAATGCGAATTCTAAATTTAAACGGATACATTCCAAGCAGAACAAGAACTGTAGTCGTAAAAAGCGCAGTAAAGTTAAGCTCACTTTTACATTGTACGACATGTGAATTATGTTAACAATAATATATTGTATGTTCATTCTAACATGACACACATTAATATGTCGTAAAATACCTCAGCCATTTAACGTCTAAACAAGATTCGCTGTCAACCTTTGGCAAGGCTTTGGATATTCGAAAAATGTCTTTCACATTCGACAAATAGCTACCCTTAAGTATTAGTCTGCGTGATGCTTCTACAAATCATTAGGTTGTGTTGTGTAAACTTTGACGGCTGTAGTAGACTGTAACTAGATGCTTAAGACTTATATTCTTATATCATTCAAAGCCTCTTGAAACTAATCGTATCGGGTTCGTATCGTGCGATATAAAGCTCTCTAAAAGCGCGGAACCTTTGACAGCGCCGGGCCGTGATCGAGAAACCGAGATAGGCATGCATTGCCAGAATAAAGCCAGATTAGTGAATATATTCCATTTGAAATTCCGAAAACGTCGCCATATTTACGATAAGCCAAAAATAAAACAAAGAAGTCGCGATCTCGGCTCGTTAAGATTACCCGATTATATATTTTACTAGAAAATGGTTCTTGTTAGAGAAGTTGCAAAAAATATGATTGTAGGCAATTAAACTTAATGAACTACATCTAATGAAATGCGGTCTATGACGAATGTAAAATTGTCAATTAGTAAAAAATATTTATTATAGAGTACAATATTTAGACATAAAATATGATGATTTGGAAGGCAAGGATAAATATTTCAACTGTATTAATTTTTTTTTAAATCTAACCCATAAGCTTCGATTGTTGTAATGCAATAGTAGTTTTAATTTTAAAGAACATAACAATTTTGAAAATATCTCAACTCATCGAGTTTTTAATCCAATTTATTTGTGTAGCAGTGGCTTAAAAAATTTAACCTCCTGCCATATTATAATGTCTTTGCAAAACTATCAACCTTTAAATCGTTTGAGTCATTAAAGCTGATAATATTACAATAATTTCATAATAAATGTAATGAGGATGTTCCCACGGTTATCGTCGGTATTCCGGCGCTATATTCTATATCTAATATCCGTCATTTTTTAGTAATAATAATAATTTGTGTATTCATATAAGGCGAGAATAATCAATAATTATCTGATAACATTTAACTATTGCAATACAAGTCTAACATATTTTACTTTTTTAGAAAAACGGAACAGAAAGTTGTTTTCTATCTTACAATGATCCTCTGTGTCCTATATTCAATTATGTTTTTAAAGATTTGTATTCTTTTGCTTTGAACTTCTTATATATGCTATTCATCTAGAGAAATATGTTCACCTTAAACATGCGAAAACTATTCACAACTAACATTTTTACTCCATATCCTGTTTCCGATTTTAACTACAGAATACAGTAATAAAAATTTCATGGCAATTGACATTGAATGTAGATTATATGGTCGGACTGTCAATGTCACAATACAAAAACAAATCAACGAAACCAAACTCAATAATTCTTTAAACCTAATTCTTATTCACTGCTAATTGTATTTACAAGTAAACAAAGAATAATGCTTTAAAACTGTTTATAAGATATTAAAGATGGAAGAAGGAAATTCAATTATATACGGGCTTGAACACCAGGTATTCGAAAATATTTCTTATACCACCTTTTTTTAGGAATTCAGAGACTGTAAAAATCTTCCTTTTTTACAGACAAGGGCTTTGTCGCCACAATATGAGAGTGATGCTATTCGATTCCTCATCGGAACACAGAGCTTAAAACCGAACACTAATCAGGTGCATGTTGTGGAACTCGAGGAAGATACAGGCGCTCTTCATACTAAAGTAAATATCCCATTTATTATTGTTAAATTGATTGTGGGTTTCGTAAAATTATCGGCCTAACTTATTGGCCTAGTCTTTATTTTCAATGCACATATTCTTTATTTTTAAATTTCATTAATTTGTCTCTGGTTTTGGGCTATCAACAGAATTTTGTATTTTCTCTTTCTAAGAACTGTTTCCTATTTTTTTGAACTTCAGGTGTACAAACATGATATTGGAGAAATATGGCACCTGCGGTGCTCTCCTCATGATGCAGCCACCTTAATGACAACTCACAATTCCTACGATCCTGAGACATCACAGTGCACAATGGGCGTGTCTATTTATAAACTGCCTACCTTAGATGTGAGATAGCACAATTATATTATTAAAATTTTCCTATCTCAAAAAGTTATTATATTATTAAATTAGTTACTAATTACCAAAATACAATTATAATAGATACTATGCAATGATCATCTAGACCAAAAATAATTTACAAATATAAAAAGATTTGGGTTTCTACTTTCGCTCCACAAAACTTCGATGCATGATTGATGTAAAATTTAGTTTCATCCATTTTTAGGTCATACCAAAAGATGCTGATGACCTTAGCGCCATACAAGGAAGAATCGCTGAAGATATGGCATTGGTTACAACTATAACACCAGAAGTATGGTCATTTGTAGAAATAATTAAAGTTTAGATATTTAAAAATTAAATGATAATTCTATTAGCTGATTTGTAGGTTGTCACATTTTATAATCTCACAAGCAAAATTACGATTTGCAGAATTAATTTATTACTTATTTTCTGTGTTAAAATAAAATAATTAAAATGATAATTTCAGAAACCTGAAGAAGAGATCCGCTGTTCTGAATGGCACCCAATAGATGTTACCCGTATTGGTATTGTCATGGATAGCAGTGTAAGTGTGCGTGATATCACAACAGGGCAAGTTGTCAACAGCATCACACCAGAAGGGAGAAACAGGCTCAAGTTTAGCAGTGGAAAGTGGAGCCCACAAGCAATCAATCAGGTACTACCACCTACCTGATACTTTGCCACATTAATTGATTATTAAATTAGGAAACTAATATTAACTGATAATTAGAGCTCATATTATCTACATGGAGATTTGGTTGATAAATAGAAATCACACACATATTTGTGCTCCTGGTATGGACCATAGCACACACACAGAAATTTGTAAAGTAAATTTCTCCCAGAATCTATAAAAGCTAAAGTACTGTTAAAAAATAAATTGTGTAAGTCATTCACGGCCTTCAAATAATTTTCGGGCTGTTCGGCCGGATGTTGACTCTTCGATTGCAATCGATGATGCGTCCACACGTGATGGCGAAACGTCGAGAACCCCTCCCCCCTCCCCCGCCCACATCGGCCGAACAGCCCGAAACGACAATGCTAAGCTAAGTACTGTTATTAGTGGTCACATAACAATGCCTGTTTTTCTATTACTATCTCTTTTGATATTTCTCAATAAAACTTACTATTATATATCATTGCAGTTTGCAGTACTACAAGATACTCATATAAAATGTTTTGACACAAGGATGGATGGATGCAAGACAGCGTGGAATATAGACAATGCACATAGACAACTAGCTAGAGATCTGGACTTTAATCCAAATAGGTAACTAATTTTGTTTAAATAAAACACTTTAACGGTTGAAAATGCGATATATTAGTTAAACTTATTTGAAAATGATTTCTAACTTGGGCCTGACGTTTCGGATGCTTTGCAGCAGCCGTGGTCAGGGGAGGCTGATATATCACGTTATAAACCGTTAGTGTTTTATTTAAGTGTGTACTACTCGCGTAAACTATAGACAGTATTTAACTTATTTTGTTTTTTCTTAATGTTTGTTTCAAGGATAAATTATAAGTCATAAAAATAGTTATATACTAAATATATCACTTATCTTGTTTCACAAATTCACATTGTTTAGGTTGTATCTCTTAAGGGTGTCCAACAATTGTTTATCTATACTAATATTATAAAGCTAAAGAGTTTTTTTCTTTGTTTGAATGCTCTAATGTCAGGAACAACTGGTGAAATTGAAAAATTCTTTTATCGAGGAAGGCTTTAGACATTAAACATCATGTTGCGACCAGTAGGACGAAGATTCCTCTTTAATTTTATTTATGAATGAATGACTCCTCTTTAAATTATAAAAAAAACACTAAACTAATCCATACTTAGTCGCGGACACAGCTAGTTAGGTTAATTACTGGCATACTTTTTTATAACGTTGAACTTAAATCTATGGTTGTATATAAAACAGTACTAACAATTGACGTTAATTAAACCAAGATTTGAAATGAGGTGTAATTCAAAAGCATACTACTATAGTATAATATAAAAGCTTATGTTTATACGCTTTTAATTCTTTCCATATTAGGCAATTTCACTTGGCAACCGCTGGGGACGATGCTGCATTGAATATATGGGATTATCGAAATGCAAAGGAACCAATATTCTCTCGGACAGACCATTCACATTGGTAAGAGTAAACACGTTTTAATTTAAATTACTCTAAAACTATTGTCAGTTTAATTTTCGTTATAATGTAGACTGATTTATTTTAGAACAATCTATATTACTATATATGAGGCTGCTGGAGGCAGAGAGGCCTGATAATAAAGAACATTATTTTTAATAAGGGGCAAAATTTAAATGCGCAATTTACTCATGCGAAAATAATGTTTATCCCATTATCTGTTTAAGAATTATGTTAACAATCTTCGGTCACTGCTCCATTAACTAACTAGCTAACATTTTTAGACTATGAAAATATAAATAAGTTTAGTCATAAAATTACAGTTAGGCTACTGTGCCTCTAGTGGCCTCATATAATTAATCATACAATATACAAATGGATGTTGTACATATGCTCTTATAAACAAAAGGGCCACAACTCAAAATTAAGATTTTTGAGGAGAGTAATTATAATTTATTTATTTATTTTTTGTTAATATTTCAGCACTCGTCTTTTAAGTTTTTTTTATTATTTAATGTTTAATCGTTTTATTTTTTTGTGGTAACTGTAAGGAAGATATAGAAGAATAATCCCTTTTATATAAATATTTTTACATCAATTATTTTAAAAGGCCAGAAGTAAGAAAAAATAAAATTATATTAAAAATTTCATCTATAGTTGAGAGATAATAATTTAATTAAAAGAATGACATAAAAATCCTTGCTTTTGAATATTAATTTTTAAAACAAATCAAAAACTCAACTTTTATTAAAGAATTGTTTTAACTATAAATAAATAAAACAACATTAAAACTTTAAAACCTCAAACATTTTAAAAGGCTTTTTATTATTAATTAAACTACTTCTTACTATTTTTAATCATCTTCTTAACAAATTTAACTATGTTTAAGATTAGAATTAAAAGCTTATAATACTTTGATATAAGAATACCCTGTTTTTTTATTGAAACTTTTAAAATACAATTTTTTTGTGTGTCGTAGTACTAGTTTTAGATTGGATTGTTTTGTAAGTGGACATGACTTAAACTCTGTCTCTGATCTTAAAAAGAGCTTTTGTTTTCTTAATCAACTTTTATATCCCCTCTCATTTTTCTCTTTTAACGGTTATTAGAGCAACTTTTAAGTGAAGAAACTATTTCCATTCTCTGAAGTATTAGTGGCTTTTTTCTTAGTTTTTAAATTTGAAATTGAAATTTAGCATTATATTTCTCCCTATAGTTATGATCACCCTTTTTTGGGTATTTTATCAAATACTTTTGTTAGCTTTTATTTTGAAATTCTCATGAAACAAGTAACTTTTTGAATTGCCTTTTAATATAGAGGTTAGTGTAAATATGTTTTATGTTATCAATTGATATTGTTTTAAAAGAATTTTTTTGGAAATATTAAATAGTTTTTAATTTTTATATAAATAATTTAATTTTTGTATTGCGTTGCAGGGTATGGACAGTCCGGTATAACACATACCATGAACAATTGCTAATAACAGGAAGTTCAGATGGTAGAGCGTTACTCACAGCTGCAGCAAGCATTTGCGACACTGAAGACGATAAGAAATTAAGTCAAGTGTAAGTGTGTCGTTTTTATTTTTATTTTATTCTTCATAATACACAAAACAAAACTTCCAAGAGATAAAATGTTACGTACTGATTTATAAATAAAAGGTGGCTCTATCGCTAGAAAAGCAATCTCTTCTAGGCAACCTGAAGTACAGGAGGAATAAAAGATTTATTAAGTTGTATGTACTTGTTTGTTACTCGTAATATCATATACATATACAAATATTGTATGGTATTTCATTTTAATGGGGTGATTAAGGTTTTTAACTGAAAAAAAGTAAAAAGTCAGACCAACAAAATTTTATAAAGAAATAAATTTTACTACCATTACACTAAATATGTATACGATTTTTTTTTTTGTATAACTAGCAAGGGAGCTTTAATTATTATCTATATGTATCTTTGATCATTTCAAAAGCTTTGAGATGAATACATCTGATAATACTCAGACACAGACTGTAGGTGTAACTAACTATAAATAATATTGTTACAGTTTAGAAGATGGCGTCCTCCAATCATATGAACAGCACGAAGACTCCGTATACTGTGTAGAGTGGAGCACTGCAGAGCCCTGGACATTTGCATCGCTTAGCTACGACGCGAGGCTTGTGTTATCTCGAGTGCCAAGGCATTTTAAATATAAGATTCTGTTGTAAATATATGTTAAAAAATCCTAAACATGGACTTGTTCTAGCCTTCCATAAGGTCCTACCAACCATGACACCCCATTCACGACACTTAAAAAGCGTTGCTTTGTATAAAAGTCTTGACTGACTTTACGCTTTAGTAAGACGTGAGAATTGTTAAAGCTATGGATAACTAGTAATAGCGGCTTGTGTACGCGATGATAATAAAGGAAGGAAGTTTTATGAAAGAGAACCGACAAGCGTAGGGTTCACTTGATGAAATGTAAAATATCCCAGCCATTTAACTTCTGTAGATACAGCGTCGACCTGTTTTGCCTTTTCATAAAGTCCATAAACCGATAATGTAACGCGCATTTTCATCTGTCGTTTTTTTTCATATTAATGTTCAGATTTTGCAGGCAGAATCCACATGTATGTAAAATTTATAGAAATGTTAGACTCTGTGGGGATCAAACGCATGACTATAATATTAGCTATACAACTTTGTCATGAGACCGAAGAACCTGTGAATGGGTCCATCCACTGGACTAACCATGATAAATAAAAGGTTAAAGTGTGGCACTATATGATGCAAATATAATATTCTTGCAGTGGTTTTGCTTAAAGAAGTCCATGTGAGCAGACGTACTCACTAGGTCTGCTCACGAACAAAACTGTTGGGATTTAAAAGCCCTGTCTGTGAACACATACTTCATAATACCCAGGTTCTATTTTAACGTTTTCTAACATGCATTATAAAAGCTCTTGTGTGAAAGGGGTATACATATGTTACCTTACATAAGTAATTAGTGAATTTAAAACAAAAGTTGCATATCTATGTGCATTTAGAGAAATCAAGTTTTAAGCTTTAATCTAACTCTATATTGTGAAGAAGCAAAGGTTAAAAAAACTGTCTTTGATAAATATCTTTATTAACAGCTAAAATCTCTCAGCAACCCTTTTTGCTACATTTCTTAAATTACCATACACTTTTGAAGGAGGTGATCCCATAATAAGGTTACATATAGCTCTTCTTGCCAGTGCAATATTTTGATAACTGCCCAATATATGAATTTTTGAATCAGCCAAAACAATTCTTGTTTTAGTGACATTTTCTATAGTAAACTTTGTTCTACCAGCCTTACCCGCTAACCTTCCAATAGCTCTGCCCAAATGATCTCCTTGTAGTGTTTTTACATCTTTTATTTCAAAGGTTTCTACAAATAAATCATCTAGACGGAGTAAAGCTAATGCATCATCTACTTCAAATCCACAGATAAAGGCCTAGAAAAAAATAATCATACATAATATCATATTATTTTGTTTTCTTCAAAACCTTTTTGTAAAAGTTAAAATTTTTAATTACCTTAACAAAATCAGCAGCTTTTTGCAAATTGGATATATCTTTTGTTTCTGGTCCAATTTTTATTTCCACATTTCTTGACTTTGTGTTAAACCTCACTTGAAGTAGCAAATGTTCAACAATAGGTGTAAATATTTTTAGCCAATTCTCTCTTAGTGGTGTATATCTATAAATAATTTAAACTAAATATATTATAATCATGACTAATACAATTCACCATTAATATATAATTTATAATCAAAACACATAAGATAGTCGTTTCTATCATTGTCATATCTAGTCTCGAATATGTTCGTAGTACAAATAAATTCAAAATACAATTTGTAGGTTATACCTGTGAGGAGGGACAGCTACTTTTCTCATATTAACTTTACTTTCGTTTGGTTCAGCACCTTTCTTGGAACGCTTTCCCTTCGGCCTCCTCTTTTTGGGTACCGTTTCGTCTCCATTATGTTGTTCTACCTCCATGCCATCGCCAGATTCCGATATGGCAGATCGTTTAAGGTTTTTTAGTTTTATTGGGTTTTTAGCGGGTAGGAATTCTTCCACATTAATGTTTTCCACCTCCATTATATGTTTCACTATCTCTTATTCAGACGCAAGGGAAATATGAGAAATTATTAGTAAAATTTTGAATTCAAGATATTTCCCACATGTCTATTGACATTCACAACAAATAAAAGACCATTTGACAGTTTGACAAATAATACAATGAATAACTGTAACAATTGACTCTATAGTCAATTGTCATGGTGGTGTTTACTTTTATTTTTATTAAAGTCAGCTGTCACCAAACATTTGTGACAGTGTTATGTCACACTTTTCTTAAAAAATTATTATGAATTAAATCGGGGTAAGTCCTATTTATATTTACCTAGATCGATTTTACCACGAGTATTAACAGATTGACTATTCCGTTCAGGTCGGCAAATAACATGGCGACCCTCATCCGAACGACATTCGTAAAGGTGCTAAGCCCTGGACAGAGTGGGAAGATAGCAGGATGTACCATCCTGCAAAAGAGGGATATTATGGGAAAATCTCTAAGAGATACGCTGCCACCTCGACCTCCTAAGCCTGCACCATTTGATTACGTGAACAAGGACTATACTTGGTTTCGGAGCTTGTTCGACAGAACTACTCATAGGCTAGATGAAAACTCGAAGGTAGTAGTCATTGAGGGTCCTGTGGCTGCTGGTAAGACAGAATTCGCGGCAGCTCTTGCCGAGGACTTGGGTATGAAACATTTCCCAGAAGCCAATATGGATATCCATTACATTCAACAAGGTGTTGATTTACGTACATTCAACGATCGTATACCACCCGATACCAGAACGTTTGACCATGTTGACTTCAATGAATGCCCAAACCATCGTCTAGCTGGAAACTACCAGATAATGATGTATATGGCTCGTTATGGTCAGTACATTGATGCTTTAGCTCACCTCTTGAATACTGGCCAAGGTGTAGTTTTGGAGAGGTCTCCCTACTCTGACTTTGTGTTCTTGGAATCTATGTTTTCACAGAAGTATATCAGTAAGGGAGTGAAATCTATGTATTATGACTTGCGGGAACAAACCATTGAAGATTTGTTGAGGCCACATTTGGTTATATATCTTGATATTCCTGTAAACAAGGTTTGTTTATATGTAATATAAAAGAAACATAAGATGCATAAAGCAATAATGCCTTATTAAATCAATAACAATTTTTATTTTAGGTCCTGGAGGCAGTCAAGAAGCGAGGCCACAAGCATGAAATCTCTGGTAAGGCACTCACTCCACCATTCCTGCAAGAGATGGAACGTCAGTACAAAAACAAGTACCTGCGTGATATTTCTACGCATGCTGAACTGTTGGTATATGACTGGTCTGGAGGTGGAGAAGTTGAAGTGGTAAGAATAACAAACAAAAATACTTTATTAGTAGTAGTTTACTAAAAAGCGTTTTTATCTAGGCAACCTTGAAGATGGAGACGTCTAGCAGTAAATTTGGCTAATCTATATCAATCACTCCAAGATGCTGAATAAATATTTATTTTTTTCTTATAGGTTAAAAGCATCCTATTATTATCCTTCTACAATAACAGTCGCTTTTTTAGGTAGTAGAAGATATTGAGCGTCTCGACTTTGACCAATATGTTCACCGTGACGAGCCAAAAATGAAAGACTGGAGGCTGCCCCGTGAAGTAGAATGGTCTGACCAACGGATGATCTTCACAAACAATAAGCACTTCCTAATGAACCTGTTCAACATTCCCAGAACAGATGTACCAGAATTGATTACCAGCGCTGAAGACATGCATGAATATACACAGGTAATTTTTCATAATAATATCCTTCACTGATCATATCTGAAGCTTGGATTGCATGGAATTAAGTGCGAGGTATTTACTTTTTTTCGTAATGCTTTCAGGTGGTATATGGTGACCCCAGGATAAAATTCTTGCAAGGATATAACAAAGATGCTGGAGACACTGGTCTCGCCTTGAAGAACAAACTCCCAAAATACACAGAGTACTTCTAACATGTTTTACTTGTGTAAATTATTTGTGAATATTTAATAAAGTTAGAGATTTATATTGGTCTTTCCAGACATTTTTAGATTTTATGCTTCATTGCAGTTGCAATTGATATTTTAATATAAATTTTGAGTATTAGAAAAAAATTGTTCATATATTATGGTCACGTTGTATATGGTTACGTAAAACTCTATAACTAAAGAAGAAAGGGAGACAAAGGGGGGTATAAGGGGAGACTGATAAAGCTCTATTAACCTCTTTTGTTGAATAATATAAGGCCTTAGTTGTAATCCTAAGACCTGGTATTCGATAAAAAAACAAACTTGCAAGTCAATATTTATTGTAAGTACACCATACTGCTGTATGCTCAAAATAGCACCGTACATCACATACTCTCCATATTTAGTAGCAAAATCCATAGTTATGTGCGTTCCCAAACTTAGCCAAGTAAATATCGTTCGTCTTTCTTAAAAAAATATACCTTTTTATTTACATATAATGGGAATGTAAAGTACATAATTGATTAATTTAACATATACAATCAGAAATTTTTTTGTTATGTTTTTAATCTTATCGTAATAACATACAAATGTTATAAATTCGATATTACGTAATGGTATAAATCTTAAGTATATTCTTTTATTTATAATTAAAATTGGGTATTTAAGATTGTATAATTTTTGTATATGAAATAATTAATGCACATTGTTGACTGTGGTGATAAGAATGAAAATAATATGGTTTAGACCTGTTATAGCATGGCAAAACTGCTTTTTAAAATCTTCGATGCTCACATTTGATTTTTAGGGAAATCTATAGGGCTATTTTAAGCTTACTCATGGTAGTCTTTTAGTAAAATCAAGTCTATTTAAATGCAATAAATTCATAAACATAACAATAAATGAAAAATTCCATACAAATTTATTTAATAATAACCCACGAACTTAACGAAAAGGCTTTTGAGTGTTTTATTCACATTATTTCCAAATAAAAAATATAACTATAGACATTTATAAGTTACTTTCAGGTAATAGTAATTGTCTGCTCCATGAAAAGACTAGTCTTTAACTAGGTCCTCTATACGTTTGTTCAAATAATTTTACACCTCCTACTCGCCTGCCGTAAGTTTAACAGTATAAAAAGTAATAAAATAAAAATATATTAACATTATAAATCGAGTAAATATGGCGAATCTAAGGCCCCGAGGCCAGCGGCCACGCCTCCCTCGTTCGCGTCCGCCAATTTGGTACGTAACATGTGTCCCACTTGACGATTGCTGTGGATTTTTTCTTTGGTACTGGAAAAAAATAGGGATAAATTTTAATTATTTAAGTTTTGTTTTTAGGCGAAAATATATGCTTGTTGGTTATTAGGTACTTATTTATAAATAGGTCGGTTGGTAGTTTCTCGATCATATAAAGAAAATATCTATTCTTTGTTTAAACAGCATTTCTAAATAATCATGTTGAACTAAAACGATGCAGGAAAACAGTAAGTAGGTGTAATTCTCAAAAATGTAATATTAAATACTTATCAATCGTTTTTACCGTCACTTCGTTGATTTTCAAAGTGTCTTAGAAATATATAGTTTAGAATTATTTAATAATAAACATAATATATTAGCAGTAAGAATAAAAAAGTAATAATATAAAATACTGTCTATAGTTTTCGCGAGTAGTACATATTTAAATAAACACTAACCCGTGGCCACAGGGCCCTTGACCACGGTTGCTGCAATGCACCCGAAACGTCGGAGCATAGTTAAACTAATTTTCAAATAAAATGAACTAATATATATATATATATATATATATAACGTGTTTTAAACCTAAAGTGTTTTAATTGATAATAAGGATATAGTTTTGTTTAGAAGACAAAAGTTGGATACAAAGACAATATGGTTTAAAAATGGCTTACCCAATAATAACACCGAAAATGCCTAGCTCCGATACGAGATCGCATAAAGTTGGGGGCATACTACCGCCCGCACGCACTACGTACCCGGATATCTGTGTAAAAAAAAATAGAGCAATTTAAGACAAAATGCTTTTTTCTCGACCCCACATGCTCTTTTTCTAATGAAAAAAGACATTTATCCTCCGTTTGTTGTCCTTATTAAATCACATTCCTAGCCCCATGTAGGAAAAGATGGAATTTACTTTCACAAGCACTAACCAAGGGTGGTAAGATCCTCTCCATGAGGATATAAGCGGCTCGTTCGCGGCTGTGTCTCATCCTTATCAGTGCTTCTTTAACGTCAGCGCCGTACAAATTGTTGCCACCGCCTTCACGTTGAGGTTTTAATACGAATCTGTAATATATTATATGTATAAATATAAAAGCGCATGGCATTGCTTAGTTTTTATTTGTAAGGTCATGGTATACGATGGGGGCTATTAAAAAGCGATTTTTTTTTCAATAATGAAAAATCTAGTTTGAGTTGCAACTTTACTTGGTCAAGGAACAGTTAACGTCTGATGATGCTGTCCATTCGTGTTTGCCATTTCACACCTACGACGGACGAACAGCTAGAAAACTCAATTATCTTTGTTACTAATTACAACATCCTGTACTCCTAAAATAAAAATCTATTGAAAAAGTTTGATGACAAGGGCTCGACTGACTAGACTATATGCATATACTAGTGCAAAATAATTAAGTTTTTTAAACCACGCGTTATTAAATACTGTCTATAGTTTACACGAGTAGTACACATTTTAATAAAACACGTTAACGGTTTAAAACGCGATATCAATTAAACTTATTTGGAATTTATTTTACGGCCCGTAGTAAAAGCGTTTTTAAACCGTTAAAGTGGTTTATTTAAACACTTGTTATTTTTATATACGGTAATAAGGTGTCTTTGTTTTACCTCTCAGCATCAGCGATAGCCATCTCCACCGCTCTCTCGCCGTTTTCGTCAAAATCGAGCGAGTACAGCCCAGTGAAGATATCCCTCACTCTGGAACTCACTTCGCTCTCAGACATGAATTTTTCGAGCGCGCCTGGCGCTGCGAGGGCCTGTTGCACCTTCTTCGTGCCGGCCAACTGGTAGTGGATCGATGGACATTTTATGGCTCTGCACAAATGAACAATTATATCAGGGTTCATGTAATATATACCAACAGTTCGAGTATCGGTGGCCTTTATAACTGCTTGCTAGTAAAACAACTTTAAAGTCATATAAATAAAACAACTATTAAAACAGTGAAATATATTTAAAATGCTATTAACTTAATCTATTAAGTTTAACTACGACCCGACAATTCGGATGCTTCTTTAACATCTGACACGAAAAGACTGAAGATGAATGAGTGACGCTTGCGTAGCAGGTTTAAATTTGATGTTAAACTATAGACTACAGAGCTATGTTTAGCTTTTGGACTCTTGGACAAAATTACCGTTTAGAGTGACTTTAATTTACCACTCTTTCAAAAACTAGGATGGATAGGTACCATAGAAATGACCTACATATCAAAATTGACTTAAAATATGACACTTCTTTACTTTTTATTTGTACTATGTTCAAAAACGCTACAATGATATATATAACAGAATTCTCATTATTACATACATTTTAGGCCATTTGGGATAATCTATTATACCAAAAAGATGAAAATTTTGAGACATAATATATAAGTAGTCACTTACGAAGACCTCTCGACTCTAAGCCTGGCGTCCCACTCTTTTTGCGACGGATACTGCGCCGGCTCATATCCAGACCGGTAGTACACTACTGCCACTGGCTGTCCTTCACTGAAATTCAAATATTTAGAGTTTCTTCGTATGTCAACCATTTGCAATGTTGTTGGTGTAATTTCATAATTAACAGATGGGTTCGATCGCCCTGGGTCTGATATATTTCTCATCAATTTACAATTGTTCTGAAAGATGTTGGACTTCGTCTTTATCTTGACATTCGACATATGGCTAGGGTATTTTACCATCCATCAAGTGACGCCCAAGCGTGTCTTCTCTATAAAAACTAAGTGAAAGCCTACATGAGGTATGGGGGCGGACATATTTATGTCCGCTTCACTAGTGAACACAGGTCAGGTGCTCTTATTATCTCCTAACCATGGATCTTTATTTGAAATATCCTTTTTAACCAAGATTCAAGTAAAACGACTCCGCTTCCAAGGTCATTATTTACTAAGGAGTTACTACTCACATAATAAGTTGCTTCTTATCATTCAACTCTGCCTCTTCAAATATTTCGTTCAAAGTTTTTCTATAAATCTGTAAAGATAGTTTACAATTAGATGTAAAAATACGATTTTTCTACCTTTTTTATGTCGACAATGTTTTACATTATAATATATATTCTATTTTTTTTTTATTATCCTAACTTATAACATCAATAATTTACATCAGTTAAAATATATGATCAGCGATTCGTACTAATATTAGGTAGACTTGCGAAATAGGTATTTATAGACGTACCATAATATCCGGCCGCTTCTCCGATATTTCAAACTCGTGGAAGCGTTGATCGCAAATGTTGTATGAGACTTCTTCCACTACGAAGAGAACGACAGCCGAAGGCACAGCGAACAAATCGTACGCTTCGATTATACCAGAGCATAAACCGGATAATGCTTTGTTTTCTGGCATCTGTGTAAAAAATATTTTATTAGAGTTACTTAAGGATGCAGTATAGTGGCTATTTATAATCATAGAGGAGTAGTTTACACCGAAACGAATTAACAGAGGTACATTCAGTAAGCAAAGCACATTCAAGAGGCAACTGTTTACTCAGTTGCGTCAAATAAATTAACATTAGCTTTACATGATTATTTTGTTTTTTATTACCGAGCCATTTTAATAAACAGGGCGTTGTCTCTTTCCCACAATCGTTTTAATGAAAAGAGACAGAATGCTCCGCCATGTTGATTGTTCCGCCAATCGCGTCGCAGTCTCGGATCTTTGTTAACTCGGTTAGGGAACAGACTTCTATTTTTTTCTTTAAGGAATTTTCTTAATAAAAATACAATATGAAGAGTATACTAACGTTCTTAATAAGTTCACCATGACCCAGCTGTCTCATGACGTAACTGAAACACAAAGAGTTTAATTACTAATTTCCCATTGACCGTATACAATTAAAACAATAAATAATAAACGCATAGAAGACGTTGATATTTGGTGTACAAATATATCAATAGAACAGTGTAAATAGGCGTTTGTAAACAAATTCATACTATTGCGCTATTAATAATATCAACATCTTTATATTTTAAAATATAAGCAGAACATACAAAACAGAAACGGAATGTAACTTAAAAACAATTTTTTTAGACGGTCGAATGTATCAAAAATATAAAATAGATAGAATTTAAATATCAAACTGATTTATTGTTTGAAAAAAAATAACACGTTAAAGAATTGTAAGATTTTTGGAAATTTAGAAAAAATTGTGACATAATCGACCGTGTAAAAGGCTCTGCAACTAGATTAACTAGGGGCTTAAACAAATAAATACCATTTGCTACAATATTAACAATTCCAACTACAAGACAATTACAGGGACTACACATATATATGCTAAATATGTTTTAGTTATACATAAACTTTTGAAGTGGAATGTGTGTCTCAAGATGTTTGAGTGAAATACTTTGTTTTACGCGTTTAAACTCTTAAAAAATTAAATCGTTCTATTTATAATACTTGCTCATGCAAGTAGATACTATATTTCTTAACGAAACATTAAATTTATATGTGAGTTATTCTAAAATGCGCAGAGGCAGTATTATTTTTTAGTATTCAGTCACAAATAATTATAAGTCTGTATGTATTCGTTACAGTACCAATTTTACATTCATAAGCCTTTGAAAGATGTGTACCCTACCCGACCTGTTTAAAAATCGAACACAACAAGTGACAACACCATAATCATTTTTTTTTATTTTCACCGACACTGCAGGCGTGGCCAGGGAACATCTCTCAAGTGACTTTAAAAGCCAAATAATCATGCACGCTATTATTATCTAACCAACCACATAAAATACATAAGTACCAAGAATGCAAAACAAAAATAAATAATACACATTATAGAAAAAATCATGCTACAACTAAGTGCAGAGAGAGAGAAGAAAAGTGCGGCCATAGACAAAAGAAGTGAATAGAATATGAATGACAGCGTGCACAGATAAGTAATAGCAAACACATGAGAGATGTCAACTGAACGAACAGTTACCTCAATGGGCGTAGACCTTAGATGACTTTAAGGACACATATATAACACGTTTAGCATGGTACAAAATAAAGCATGAAATGTATGCTAAAAGTATTGTATCTGCGGAGACCTTAACATGATAACACCAAGCATTTCATTAATAGCTATAAGATTGGCAACATAGATACGCAATTATCCCGTTTATGTTCTTTAGTCTAATATTTTCTAGCGTTAGACATCTGCAAGCCCAATATTTATTTACCTTTGATGTACCTGCGCTACCATGAAGACCTACCTTAGCACTGTAATTCTTGTTTTAAAAATATCAACTATTTTCTTTAAATAAGAGCATGGTACGTTTGAAGAACAATTAATCTTTGACAATAAGATAATTAAAATCTTCAAGGAAAATCGTTTTCTTGCAAATATTTAAATAACACACTTTTAACGGTTATTTCGCGTTTTAAACCGTTAAAAGTGTTTTATTTATTTGTGTTTACTCGTGTACTACAGTAAATTTTAGAAATTAATTATATTAATCTGATCAAAAGAAACACTATAGAAATCGCTCCTAAAGGTCCTACTAAAGTCGACGCCCATTTCTTAAGGTCTAGCAAATGTCGGTACCGATACATGGTGGGTAGATTTGATGTGATGGCGCCAAAACTCGCAGCCACAGTATTAAATTCCACTTGTTTTATTCGATTGCTGTCAGGTTGTTGCATGAGATAGTCCGAGCGGAAGAGACCCAGACTCAGTGCCTGAAAGTTGGTGCATAACATCGGTTAATGTGTACACAGATTATGCGATACTGAGACAATTTTGAATAACCACAGATTAAATTCAAAGCCAATACATTGCACGCATATATTAATTTTGTTTCCTGTTCCTATTTTAAAATATCCCATCACCAGTCCCAATTTATTCTACACAGATTAAACCACTACTTTACCACTTATGCCGAATTTTGTTCGCAACGCGTGCTGGAATATATAAACAAATTTTGAAAGACACATTGTACCTAAATTAAAATAATAACTTCTTAATAAACAAAAATTTTGAACACATTTCAGGCAGTTCCTTGATTCTTAATTACTAAATTACACAAATATTTATTACGACAACAGAACCTTAAATCACATCATTATAGGCTTATGAATGAGTTGTTAAAATTTCAAATGTACGTCGAAAAGGCGCACGTGTTAATAAACAAACGGTCAAGATTGAGTTGGGTTATCAACGATTTCTAAGGATTTATTGGAAAGTTGGATTATGATCTTAGGGAAACAGTAACTCAAAAAGGCCGAACAATGGTACGGAACGATATGGTGGTGGGTTTGTACCCCGTCAAATTAAACTTGGAACTAATATCTTTATTGCAACAACGTTTGAATTATTTGAGAAATTGAATTTATCACAATGAAAAGCACAATTTGAACAACTACATTGTAAAGAAATATACAAGTCATACAACTCACGTCACATCAGGAAGTAGAAATGACGTAGCGTTTTGTGTCGAGATTAAACAATATATTCTATATCTTTTTTTTCACTTTAAGTAATCTTGTTTGCACTATATTTGTTTACTATAATTTTTATCAGAAGTGCACCGACAATCTTTGACTATGTGGAAAGTAACTTATTTTTTTGGTTTTATTCGGAACTAGCTGCGCCCGCGACTTCGTCCGCGTGGAATAGTGACTTGGGGTAGAATTTTTAATTATTTAGGCTGTTTATAAATTTATGGAAGGGCGCATTTAAGGCAGCCAATCTATGTTGTAAGTGCTACTTTGCCGCAACACTCTCACGTCACATCACTCCTACTCTAACTCCCAATCTCATTCCTACACTTACTCCCACTTGCACTCCTATTCCCAAAGCCAAAGAAGAAAGTTTTATTGTTCTTGCTTCAAAAACCACGAATTTCCATACAAACTTATATCCCCATTTTCGACCCCTATCAACCCTTTTTTGGCATTCAAATAGTATAGTAGCCTATATCCTTTTTCAGGCTCTAAAATATGTGTGTACCAGATTTTATTTAAATCAGTTTAGTAGTTTCGGAGTTCAAGCCGGACGGACAGACAGACAGACAGAGTTACTTTCGCATTTATAATATTAGTATAGATTGCGAAGACTGAAACGGAAACACGAATATTGTGGTAAGAAGTTGTTTAAGAGCCAGTTAAAATTTCAATAATATCCAAGTTTTCCAAACGTTGTATGTAACGTGTAATCAAACATTGATATACAAGCAATGTGAAGGGTGGGAAACATAGCTACAAACCGTTTGTTGCTAGTCGAACCTTGATGCACCGCGACCAAAGCACCAGTCTAATAAAAATGACTGTTATTTGACTTTAAAGACATTTTACATGGAAACAATAGGGACATTGGAAAAGGCTCAAACTTAACCGTTTTCTTAACTGACAATGTCATTTAATACAATTAGTAAGAATAAAATTTAAAATCTAGGTTTAACGTACCTAAATATATGTACATAATAATAACAATCCAAATTATCTACGGTCGTTATTCAAAACTTATAGACAAACGGTAATCACCAGAAATGTAACGTTGTATAAAATATATTACGTGTTTCGTGTATCTGAAAAATATGTTTTATCTACGTGCCCATAAGATCCACAATACAATGCAATTTCAATATTTACATACGTAAATGTTAGGTACATACGTAAAAGGTATGGTAACATTCATCTAACTACGGTAATTCTCTAAACGCCCACATCGACTGCACGTTATGCCAAAAGACTTATTAGTTATTACCTAGTTCTTTGTTTGAATAGGGGAATCCCCTGTTTCTTAAATATAAAAATGCACACAGTTACAATGAAAGCATGTACTTAATCTTATATTATATGGTACAGTTATGTCATATTTAATTACATACATAAATATCTGTTTTAAATATACAATAGATACTAATATTAGAATATACAATAATATTAAATAACAGAATCTTGTATGTTGTTGTCGGTAACTTATGTTTTATTAATGGTTATTAATATGTCAAAATATATATAAACAAAAGGAAAATAGAAATATAACAATATGACAGACGCAAATTACAGACTGCACCAACTTGCAGCTTATTGTTTAATAAAAAAAACCACACCACTTCTGCAGTAAAATCAAAACTATGAGTATAAAACAAACAAGTAAAAGTCAGTCATCAGTTTTGACTCTACAAGATTAATACCCTACACCTTAAACAAACGAATTTCTTTTAAATAAAACACTTTAACGGTTTTAAACGCGATATGGTCACGGGGAGACTGCCCACGGCTGCTGCAAAGCATCCGAAACGTCGGGCCGAAGTTAAAAATCATTTTCAAATAAGTTTAACTAATATATCGAGTTTTAAACCGTTAAAGTGTTTTATTTAAATGTGTACTACTCGCGTAAACTATAGACAGTATTTAAACGAATTTCTATAAATCTCAATTTAAGCATTTTGGCACAACGGTACAGTACGAAGCCAAGTTTTCTAGGACCTTGAAAATTTATAGAAAGTTTGGCGCATTTACTTCATTTGTATCTAGAAATAAAATATAGCATTTATCTCAAATGTGCATTATTAATCAGAACAAAAACTGTAGAGCAGCTATAGAGCGCTATTTCACGCCCGATATAACGAGCCAGAAAACTTGGCCAGCCTAATTTCGTGGGCTACCTTTGTATCTCCCTCGAGACGGGCCCAAGATGGCCGAAGCCAGACGCAATGCTGTTGATTTCGACTTGTTTCCACGAGCAGTAGGGCGTGTGCTTCGCGCACTGATTCTCTGTGTGAGGACACCTCGACTCCAGCATGATGTCTGAACGCAGCATTCCTAATGATACGGGCTAACACACACAGGGATGTTTTGAAACACGGACGGCACACATTTACACCTAACTACGAACTAAGAAACAAGCGAAGGAAACAACGAACAAACATCCTGCAATGCTTGCCGACAAAATAAACGAATATTATATTCATTACATAGTAGTCCAAGTCAAATTTAATATTTTAATAACTTCTTTCAATTCTCATAATACGCTAAAAAAGTCCCACAAAATATAAAAAATAAATTAAAATTGTAAAGGTGAATAAATTTAGCCGTATTGTTGCCTAGTAATGTATAACACAAATAAAGAAAACTACAACTTTAACCGAAAATTTTTAAATGATTTTCTAATAATAATATGTTACAGTGATTTAAAATTGTTTGTAAATTGTACGAGGCTTTCGAAAACCCTGTAACTGATTTTACAAATTTTCTTAAATGCCTTAAATTTAAAGAATGTTCATAATATTAAACACGTCGACTTTTATCAGTGGTCAATTACATAAAATTCATTACCTGTGTTATCCCCTCCTCCCGAACTTTAACCCATATGTCATATAACTTGGCTGTGAAGTCATCAACTTGGAGTGCATTTTGAAGAGTTTTCTCAAGGAATTCGTCATCATGCGCCACCTACAACAGAATTTGTATTAAAAAAGCCATATTATGTTTTTTGTTAGATAACATTAGTGAGAGTTTAGAAGTTTGTAGCATTCGTGAACATTTCTTAGAACTTTCAAGATCACGATATACTATCTTCAACCCCTTTGCATTTTTTTATAACAATCCTATAGTTAGGATAGACAAACACGGGGTTTATTATACATCTAAACAAAATGAGTTTGAAACCGAAAAGCGAACTGCATCACTGTTCATTCGTGCCAACCGACGATGCTGTAGTATGTTGTCTTGCCAGATTAATTTATCTATTTGATACTGATGAAGTACTCGGATAATAGTTCAGCCTATTTAGCATAATATAGATTATATCTTAAGACCAATATCTGTCTTTGCCAATAATGTAACAAGTAACATGTATAATTTACAATGTGATTACCGCAACTTCAAGTATGGACCATTTTTTAAGTAGGTAGGTGTTACACGACGACTTAAACCGCAATGGTTTCGAATATTCCATTTAAGAGCTACACAATCAACGATTGAAGTGAAACGGTTGCCACAAAATCTTACTCAAATGAATTTCACAAGAGTCTCTCTAAAGACATTAAGTAATTAATTACTCAATAAATAAATTAGGACATTTCAAACACAATCACATTATTATTAGTAATGACTTAGTGAGGTTATAATAGAGATAGACTAATGTGAATATCTATTGTAAATATTGGTTCTAATCTATACTGATATATAAAGTTGAAGAGTTTGTTTGTCCATCGCGCTAATCGCACTAGCGCTCAGGAACTACGGGTTCGAATTAAAAAAAATCTTTTTGTGCTGGTTAGATCATTTATCAAGGAAGGCTATATAGGCTATAAAACATCAGGCTGTGACAGAGAAGCGATGATATAGCAGGAAATGTGAACAAAACGGGGGAAATTTTTCATCTCTGTGGGCTTCATGCGACTCACGAAAACGGTTCAAGATACCAAAAAACGTCCGCGACGCTATATGTCTATTTTTTAAGATTAACTTGCTAGAACAACGGGGAGGGACGCGATCGACGTCGTGGCAAACAGCTTAAGTTTATAAACAGGCTTTGCAGAAACTTATTTGGATGCCCAAAATAGCGATTCTCGCGGACGAAGTCGCTTGCACAGCTAGTAAACATATATATTTAATGTAAATCCATTTGTCTGCAAGGTTAATATGGCCATATATATTATAGCTAACACCCAATCAAAATACTATATAATATTTGTTTTGTTGTCCCAGAATTGGAAATAATGACTGCTTGCATAAAATACAACACATTATACAACTAAATCAGAAAGTACTTTTCTTATCTTTTTTAATTAGTTATCAAAAATTATGTATATACTTATACTTAACATGACACTTTTAAACCTAATTACTAGGTCTAACTAAATGAGACAATTTTTTTTTCTATAGTAAGTTTGTGATCGCTTTAGAAAAGAACTGTGGTTAATATTATACTTGTATTAAATAAGTAATAATAAAATTAATAGTACCTTATGCATCAGTTCATTTAGCACTGGCTGGAGATCCACTGCTTTTGTAAACTCTGTCCTTGGAAAAGGTGACGGCAATAACACAAATGGAGCTATCTGTTAACAAAAAGTCAGTCCCCCATATATCTTTTTAACATAATTTTAGTGTACATATAAAACACCCTATTTTTTAATAATAAACAAGTTCATTATATTAGAAAGATGAAGTTTAAGAGATGAGAGTTTCAAAAAATCTGTTTGCTTGAATTTTTAGTGTGTATAAATATTTTAATTAAAGTGTTTCTGTATTTAATAAATATAAGTTTGTTTGTTGTAATTAAAGAACATGTAGACAGATTTTCACAGTTCTTGATTTCATGAATTTTACCCATCACAATAATAAATTAAGTCATACAATATTTACTATGTAAGTTGAGTCCTTAAAAACTTACCTGTATAGAATCCTTGGAAAAATGGACCTTATCACGCATGCCCACACCATGCATTAGAGCCCAGTCCTTCGCTTTTTCAACAACATTGGTCAAAAGTTTATTCTCAATAGGTAGAGGAATACAAGAGGCAAGTCGTGATTGACTCATATTGTCGTGTTCACTGATATAAGCGACAAATATAATATAAAAAACACCTTCTCTGTAATATAGATTGGAATTTTATTGAACCACAAAATCGACTACCTGCTACGAATGTTTAAGACATACTGAATCTTGCTGAATCGCAATTATAAATACGTACCGAACTTAAGAATTAGCAAATATTTGCGGTGTAGCGGACTATAAGCATTAATAAAATAGTAGAAGCGAGAAGGATGAAGACGAGTTTTAGGTAATTTTAATTACACGGCATATTAAATAATATTGGTTAATTTTATATTAATTTCAATAACTTTCAATTTAAAAAAAACACATGATTAACAATAATAAAGTCAAAGCAACATTTTTTAGTGTCAACTGTCAGTTTTTAGGTAGGTAATAATTTAAAATAAATAATAATTCAGGAACGTATAAGAACTCTTGCTTCTAATTTACTTATTTATTTTTTAATATGATGCATTATATAAACACACATATTATGTATAACATTTCAAAATACAAAAACAAATAAGCCTTTGTATAGTCTGTGGCATTTTAAAACCCATTGTCAGTTGTGTTCATCTGACATGTGTCAAATATCTCGTTTTGCGGTGTGCTCGGCTGTCGGTAAATAGCATTTGAAAAAACTTAAAGAAATTTAATTTAATGTTCTCACAGCCGTTATAGCATTTGAATTTATTGAAAATTATTCGTAATTATGGAGGTCACTGACGAAAATCTCGCAACCTTGGCTAATTACTTACAACAAACGCTGAATCCCGACCCTAACATAAGAAGGCCGGGTAAGTAAATCTGCTTGGTATCATTGACTATAATTGTTCCTATATTATAAGTACGTCAAATATTATTTGTGTTTTATGCTGTATAACTTATAAGTGATGAATGTATCTATCAACATCGGTTTATTCGACGATCATTGCTATATTAAAAGCAAAAAAATAAATAGAAAACTTTTTCTTAATAAGTAACTTTTAATTTTTTCAGTTCCTTTTGCACTCGTATTTTTGTATAATGATTAATTAATATAAAAGTCATATACGACATCTTTTGTGCGAGTGTTTCTGTAAATCAAGGCAAACTTTTAATTTTTTCAGCTGAAAAGTTCCTTGAAGGTGTAGAGGTTAATAGGAACTATGCAATTCTACTGCTGCATCTGATCGACAAAGATTCTGCTGACATGACAATTCGTATTGCAGCCGCCATCACTTTTAAGAATTATATCAAAAGAAACTGGCCTGTGGTAAGATACAATTTTAAACTTCTACAGATTTGACTAAATCTGCTACTTGGTTTAAGATTTCATTATATTGTCAGTTTTCCAATTTGTGATTTAGTTCTGAAACTAAGTCAGATAGAAACAACATACTTAATCAGAAGTCAAAATATAAATACTGCTATAGAGGTCTATATAACCATCAAGCCATATAGCTTGTTATGTGATTTACTAAACCAATGTATGACTTTTAGGAGGAAGATGGACAAGACCGCATACATGAAGCAGATAGGGCAACTATCAAAACCCTTATTGTATCTTTAATGTTAAAATCACCAGAAGCAATTCAGAGACAATTCAGTGATGCCGTCTCTATTATTGGCAAATCTGACTTCCCTGAAAAGTGGCCAGGTTTAATAACAGAGATGGTAGAGAAATTTGGAACAGGTGTGCAATATATTTTTATCATTTATATATTATTTAAATAATGTGGTTACAAGACCAAGTCTGTCCATAATCAAATAAAGTAATCTGTTAGTCTATCTCACAACTATAATTGGTATCATTTATGTTGTACAAAACTGATGACAAATAATTAATTTTTATTTTGTAATTCTGAGTTTAACATAAAAACAATGGAACAAAGTCATACAAGACTTATTTTATTCTTATTGGACTTAATATGAAATTGAGCAGGACTAAGTAAAGCATTAAAATTACATATTGCTTTATTGTATTTTTAAAATAATCAATTTGCTTTGCAGGTGATTTCCATGTGATTAATGGAGTTCTACGCACAGCACATTCCCTCTTTAAACGGTACAGATATGAATTCAAATCGCAGAAATTGTGGGAGGAGATTAAACATGTATTGGAAAATTTTGCAAAACCCCTCACAGACTTATTTGTAGTGAGTATATTTATTCTTATCATTGGTAGTTTCAATATTGCTGAGAATCAAATGTTATCCGTATCAATGAGAAATTTTCTTTTTCATTACTATTGTTACATAAAGCTTATTTCTATAAAACATTCTATTATGTTAGTTGGTAACATGTAATTTAAGCTGTATTAGGGTGGTCTGTGCTGGTTATTTCTATTTCAAGATCAACAAAAAGCAAAGTAAAGACACTAGATTTTGGTTTGTTACCATCATTTTCCTGCGAAATGTACTATTTTCATTCATTAGAAAGTACTTTCCCAAAAATTATTTAATTTAATAGACATTTGTAAATAATTAAAAAACACTTCACTAAATTTGGAAAATTTTCTGTTGTTGTATAATACTGTATGTTAATTTACCAAAATAAGTACAGTAAATACCATAATATAGGGTATGGTTAGTATTGGTTTTGGCAACTGCTTCAGTAGTAACCAAAGATTTTAATATTTTGCATTGTTTAATTTTGCAGATGGTTATAAATTTTTAAACATTTGCTAACATAGTATTTGATTTGTTTTCAGGCCACTATTGATCTTACGACGAAACACGCGGACAATCCACAAGCTTTGAAGATAATCTACAGTTCACTAGTGCTCATTTGTAAAGTTTTCTACTCACTTAATTATCAAGATTTGCCCGAGTTTTTCGAAGACAACATGCCAATATGGATGCCAAACTTGTTGAATTTGCTGCAAATCAAAGTGCCATGTTTGGAAACTAGTGTAAGTATATCCAATAAGTACGTTTTTCTGGTTTTGTATTCTATATAATCATACTTAGTACTATATTAAAGGAATAAATTATAAATATAAAGGTTAAGAAGAATTGTGTATATGATAATAAGCAATGTAATGGTATTAATATTATTGAAAATCTAGTCAACTCTCCAAACTTTTTTGTGTTATAGACCCCTAGCCAGGTTTTCCGTGTTGGGGAGACTTACTTACTTACCTGATATTGATTTCCTGTAAATTTCTTACTGTAGTGAAGTTTAGTGTTAAAAACTTAAAATATAAACATATGTACATCTATAATAGTTTATTTACTTTTTAGGTAGTTTTGTAAATAATGTTTATGAATTGGTAGATATAGAAAAAAGATATATATAGATTAAGATAGTATGATGTAAGTAAATAGGTACTATCAGTGTATGTCTTGGGATCCACTATTGTGGACTCCCATTTTCATTTCATGGGCCCCCAATACATACATGCTGACATAGACCCCTTTCAGGTTGTCATAGATGTTGAAGACATTTAGGAATCACTGATCTAGATTTATAACACTGGCAAATTCAACTCTTCCAGTAAGAGTCATGTCCAGCATGATTTTGGTTTTTGGTTCAGTTGTAGTTCTAATATACTAAAAAAAATCTTCAAGAACAAGCATTTCCAGTCATATACCTACATAGACGACATATACTTAAAAAATACCCCCTATCTGTCTATCCGTGACCAAGGCCACAGGAAAGCAACCAAATATATTTCGCATGTTAAACCGTTAAAAGTGTTTCATTTAACGTCTTATTAAATAGGATGATGAAGACAAACCCGGAGTAATGGAACAATTGCGTACTGAAGTTTGCGAATGCGCTGCGTTATACGCCCTTAAGTATGAAGAGGAATTCGGTCCATACGCACCCGGTTTCGTCACAGCTGTGTGGAATGTACTATTGTCTACTGGACCACAGACTAAATATGATGCTGTAAGTATTATTAAATCTGTGTAGCTTGTGGTTCTCGAATATCAGGTGTATAATAAGATTGTTTGTATTGAAGTGATTGAGTGTCCATCTATATCAATAAAAAAACACCAAGACAATCATGGGACTCATTTGACAGAAGGTTAAATACCCCTTTATTACATCTTGACAAGATGTGCTGTCGATCTATTTTGGATTGTATATCCATAAATTCCACAGACTGAAACCGAAACGCGATTAAACTTCACGGCTTTTTCGTGTGACAGTGGGACGGTCCACACCTGTTGAATATTAGCCATACATTACTACAATAAGATCAAAATGTGTTAAAAGAAAAACTTTCTAACAAAAATTACATACAGAACTATGCATTCACTTAATGTTTACTTCTAGTTGTATGTATATGTATATCTATTTGGTTAATTTAAAAAACATATTTTTACTTTCAGTTGGTATCAAACGCTTTAACATTCTTAGCGAAAGTTGCCGAGAAAAACGCGTATAAAAGCCTATTCGAAGACCCGGCCACGTTGAGCAGTATTTGTGAGAAAGTCGTCATACCTAATATGGAGTTCAGAGGTACGTAGCTAACGTACTGAAGACATAAGTGTTTTTGTTAGTGTGAAAGATAGATTAATTAAAATGGGTTGCCTGGAAAAGATCTCGCTGTTGCAATAAGGCCGTCCATTGCTTTTTTCCCAAATAGATATTAAGATAACTTTTGTATATACTTTTTGTGTGTTGTTGTCGAAATTAAAAAAATTGAAAACTTATATTTAAGCCTAAAACCACATGTTAAATGCGATAGTGTTTAAATAAGTCTTATGTATGTCTTAATACCTATAGGATCCTCTTATTCCACAGAGTCCGATATGGAATTGTTCGAAGATAACCCTGAGGAATATGTAAGAAGGGATATAGAGGGTTCAGACGTGGACACCAGACGTCGCGCTGCTTGCGACTTAGTTCGAACTCTCGCTGTGCACTACGAACAGAAGATAATGAGCATATTTGGGCAATATGTTGAGGTGAGTACGAATATAAAAACAAGACATAAAAATCCTAGACATGGACACTACTTGAACTGGTATCCAAGACCATCTCTGCTGCTCCAATCAACTGAGGTCCTGTGCCTCATTATAACCTCTAAATGTTGTATAATTTATTTCGCGTGGTATTGCTTAAAGAAGAATTTCTTTAGGTAGAAAAAAATATGATACGGGTAAGCACAGAACAAGCTGTAGTGCGGAACACAGTGGAAGCTGTTTCTAGTCCCGCCCATGTCATATTTGGGTCAATCTGAATAACAGCGCTACTGAGTGTGACAAAAGCATTCAGCAGCACAGCTGAGACTGGTTCCGATTGAAATTCTTATCTATTTTTTTATCGTCTTACGATATTTATTATTTACATTTAATAGTTTAATGTACATGTGAAAAGGGCAATTAAAAGTTTTGAATTTTAAGTTGTCCTTAGGTTATGCTTAAAAAATATGAGGAGAGCGGCAACACGGCATGGCGTGGCAAAGATACGGCGTTGTTCCTGGTGACGTCATTGGCTTCCCGTGGAAGCACCCAAGCCGCGGGAGTTACTCGCGCTTCGCCCCTCGTCGACCTCGCGCAGTTCGCGCAGACGCACGTCATACCTGAATTGAGCAAAGCCAACGGTAATTTTTAAACTAAGTATTTACATACATATAGTTTTTCTTGTATTTAAGAACTATATAATGCTAGGGGTTCTCTTTACTAAAAGGTTCGAATGAGAAAGACTAAAACAATCTATTGGTTATTTTCTTTTCAGTTAACGAGATGCCAGTGTTAAAGGCAGATGCCCTCAAATATATTATGACTTTCCGGACACTTCTCCCCAACGAATTATTGATAACAACATTCCCGATGTTGGTAAGTGTTATATTTAACTAGGGTAATAAATTGTATAAGGTTTTTTCAGCCATTTTTAAAAACTACTTCAGTTTTGATTTTTGGCCGTCGATTGTCTTAGTTTGAGGAACACTGAACATCCAATAGTGCAACCCAGTCGTGGTGAAAAAGCACTGAGAACCATTGCCCAATTACTAAGGCTGGAAAGATCGAAATCCCTAGTTGCTTAGAAAATAACATATAGGTATTCAAAAAAATATCACTTAGATCTTTTTGTCCAACTATCACATCGCATGTTATTTAGTCGCAATTAATTGTAATATGATTACCAGGTGCAACATGTAAATGGCCGCGGTGTAGTCTGTACATATGGCGCGTGCGCAGTCGAAAAGTTAATACTCGGTGGCATGGTACCGCGGCAAGTGATCGAACCCCATGCCCCAGCTTTACTCAGCGCACTATTCACAGCCCTCGGGAACACCACCGATCCTACAGAACACAACGAATATGTAATGAAAGGTATGCACTATTTTTTTGAATAGGTTAGACATGTTCAAAATTAATTCTTTTGACAGAAATCATATGAACTCTTAATAGCATAAAAATAACATGTATTTTGATTATGTAAAATATAACCATTATTATTAACACATTGACAATAAGTTGGCAGCAAAATAATAATAAAAAAAACAATGTTAAACAAACTAAATTAATAGTTCATTATCAGTAACGTCCATTTCTCTATTTCATTTTATTTACCGGGCTTTTAATACTTGATCGAACTTCTGTGTCCTGCTCAACCTTTAGAATGAAACTGATTTATGTTGTGCCTTAACATAATACGTATTCCCTATACGTTTAACCCACGTGAGACAGTTTATTTGTAGAATCATTAAGATAGTTTGCTTCTTTTATATTATTCTTAAATATTTTTAGCTATACTTAGAACCTTGTCCTGTCTCCGCGAGTCCGCTCTGAGTTATTTGGGAGAGGCGCTGCCCAAACTGGCCAGTTTGCTCGCTGTCGTCACTAAGAATCCTTGCAAGCCACACTTCAACCACTACTTGTTTGAAACCTTGTCGTTATCGATTTCGTAAGTTTCTTTTTTCTCGTATTAATAAACCCTATATAATATGTTTACATAATTTAAATAATGCAAACATTTGAATCAGTAAGGTGATATTTTAATTAAAGTAAATTGTGTAATTACCTGTCTAATATGTCTGTCTAGTCAAAAATGATTACTTATATTATAAATCTAATTGTCTTGACTCTTTTTAGGGTATCATCTTATTTCAATTGTAAATTCATCTGGCTCAAAGGACGAAAAGCCACAAAAAATGCAATTTTTGTAAATTAGAATTTCATACGTTTTTTCTGGGACAGGCTGGTTGTGAAATCGAATCCGAGAGCGATAACTGCCTTCGAAGATGCATTGTTTCCGATATTCCAAGAAGTGTTGCAGAATGATGTTCAAGGTTCGTAATCAACTATCATACTACTTTAACTAAGCGAGAGAGACGCCTTATTGTTGCCATGCCAACCGCACAGCTCCTTGCGCATGCGCCGAAAAACATACTTTTTTGTATATAGTGAGTTAGGATTTCGCCCTCAAGCAAGTCGGTCGCGCACTATTAGTGCTGGGAGCTTCGGGGGGTTTTTATTTTGTATTTTATGCCAATAATAATGTTAACAGTGCACATTTTAATTTATCATAATAGATCATTAAACGATATTGCGCTTCCTTTATTTAACTTTCAACTACTACAATTCACATATGTTACTAAATGCCTTTAATTGAGAAAGGAAAGAGAGATATTTTTTTTATTATTCTGTATTTGAAAATGGAAACAGCCGCTATGGATGGCCTAATTAAAATTATATTTTTATAGAATTCATGCCCTACGTATTTCAAATGCTGTCCCTCCTCCTGGAGTTACGCGGACCAGAGCAGGCCGGTGGTGACGGCGAGGCATACGCGGCGTTACTGCCGTGTCTGGTAGCGCCACCGCTGTGGGAGCGAGCAGCAAATATTAGGCCGCTCGTGAGATTATTATGTGCATTTATTGCTACAAGGGAGGAACTCGTTAGATCTTCTGGAAAACTGGTGAGTCGAAGTCACTATTGAAACACAAAATACCAAGTTGTAACCTCTTCGTTAGACCATTTACAAGACACATATGTTTGATAGGTTTTATATGATCTTACTACATAGTGCCATTTTAAGATATCCGCTAAAGCATCCTTCATTTCACGTTTTAAACCGTTAAACTTGATTTATTTAAATGTGTACTACTCGCGTTAACTACACAACTGGACTTATCTTTGTTGTACATAAAATACCTAAAAATATTTCAAATTGAAGAGAAAAATAATTTAACAGTCTCAAACTTCTAATATATCATGATTTATCAATGTATATATTTTATTCGTAGACGGCGATGCTGGGCGTATTCCAGAAGCTAATAGCATCGAAAACCAACGACCACGAAGGATTCTATCTTGTACAATCTATGCTCTACAAATTTGGAACGTAAGTATTTTTATATTGATGGTTAGTGATTTTTTTCATTCATATCATAAATCTGTTATGTTGTTTTGACTTTTCCTTCAGTCATGTATTAAAATATGTATTTTTTGCCAACAGCACAGACATGCAGCCATACACCAAGCAAGTGATGACGCTACTCTTCCAAAGACTTTCGTCGTCAAAGACGACGAAGTACGTGCGAGGTCTGATAGCGTTCCTAGGATTCTACGCGGCCTGCTTTGGTGCTGATCCACTGGTGGATCTCATCGACTCTATACAACCGGGGTAAGTTTCCATCACTTCAGTGATGTTAAGTGACTTCAGTCAAACAGCCACTTAGTTTAAAGAGACGATTTATCTTTTTAGTGTACTGTATTTATATTGTGCTGATAAGGCTACTGTTTATTTAAATAAAGTGAAATTAAAAGGGTAGGAGGGATTTGAAATAACTAAAAATGGTTACAAGGTCACTTTGCTTTTAATTACCTCACCAATGGTCGACTCACACTTGGCCGATTTTTCCTAGTCATTTAATAATGTTTTGATGTTTCCTTAATTTTTAAGATATCAAATTAATATTCATTTTTTTGTACCAACATTAAGAATAACGTGCGTTACAAGTCACCGCATTATTTTTGGATAAATTGTATGTAACATATTGATATGTGCAGTGCTGATGAAGCAAAAATTTACTAATATTAAAATAATTTTTCAGCTTGTTCAAAATGTATGTGCAACGAGTGCTGATACCAGACCTCCAGAAGGTCAGCGGCAGTTTAGAGAGGAAAGCAGCTGCTGTCGGCTGTGTCAAATTGTTATGCTCTTGCGCACACTTCCGGGAGGGTTCGCTCGGAGATCAGTGGGTCGGAGTTTGTCAGGTTCATATTGTCTTTTTAATCTACTAATTGAGCTTGTAGGACTGCTAAATATAAAGGAAGTGTAGTTTCATTAAATAATAGTAATAACAGAGAATAATTTAAATTAAACACCAATTTCAAAACTGTTGTCAAAGTTTATAAATAAAGATCCTCCACCCATCTGCGGAGACGTTAATACAGTGCCTTACATATGGATAGTCTAACTTACTAGCTATAAGATTCAGAATGTATTTTTATGTATGTGTACATTTTCGATTATCCTGGTTGGGTTTGTGTTGTTTTTGACAGAAAGTGTTTTATTTCACAATAAACGCTTTTATATGCGTTTTAACGTTAGTAGTGGTTTAAACATAATATGATATAAAAATTACAACTCTTTGCAGGCATTGATTTCTCTCTTCGAGTTGCCGGTAGACGAGTCGAGCTTACCGGACGACCACTTCATCGAGGTGGACGACACGCCTGGATATCAGGCGCAGTACGCGCAGCTAGCGTGCGCTAAGTCGCAACACGCTGACCCACTTGCGGGTAAAGTATCCCAAATATACTATTATTAGTATTGACGGGTTCGTTGGTCCAATCGTAGCCAATGTATGACTAATAATCAACGGGTCGTGGGTTGATCCCCACCGGTTGCAACATGTTTTGTAATCTTTCAATTTAAATACTGTCTATAGTTTACGCGAGTAGTACACATTTAAATAAAACACTTTAATAGCAGCTGCAAAGCATCCGAAACATCGGGCCGAAGTTAAAAATCATTTTCTAATAAGTTTAACTAATATATCGCGTTTTAAACCGTTGAAGTGTTGTATTTAAATTTTTTAATTTATATTTTTCTAAAACATGTTGGATTTCGTTTGGAAACCTGGATATTAAATGTTTTGTAGGAATATCGAATTTTTCGGGTCACGAACCGCCATCCACAGATGAAAAAGCTGTTATGTGTTGTTTAATCGGGTTTCAGTTTTAAATCTGCAGATTTCCGAATATCCAAAGTCAAAATAGGTCGACAGCGCTTGTCTGTCCTCCTCTATATTAAAAAAAAGAGAAATATATTGTTACGGTGCAGCGTTACAAAAACTCCAATTAGCCATCAATTTTTGTTTGATATCGTTAAACAATGACAGGCAGACACTTGAAATAACAAAAGTTTACAATATGAAATACATAGTCAATGTCAGCACGTCGTACTTGGCCCTTTTTTTATTACATTCAAAAAATAATAATAATGGTAAAGAGCTACCAAGATTACCTTTAATCACAGCAAAAAGTACTACTTTAATAAAATTTAATTTAAACTTAGCACCGGTTACCACATAAAGTTAAAAGCTGCACTCCACTAAAGTAATATATAAATAATTAGACTTTAGAAGCGTGTATAAACATTCAGCTAAGCTAATTCTTTCTATATTCAATTCACCCACCCTACGATATTTTTTATATGTAAATAACTTATTTTTACAGGAATAGACGACCCGAAGAAACACTTAGTAGAGAGTTTATTGGCTGTGTCGCAGGCGCATCCCGGCTTCCTCCCGCCACGCGTCGCAGCGCTAGATCAACCACACAAACAGGCTCTACAGATGTACCTAGCTGCCTTCAATGTGCAAATCTGCTGATATCTGGACGGAGCTTAAATTTATTATTTTGAATAATAAACGATGGATCTTAATATTCACATTTAGGTAAATAGACGTTATTACTACGATCGACTCTTTTTACACGAGAAAACATTGATTGCACACACTAAAATTTTCGTCTACCCTCTTATTTTAATGAGAATTATATTTCTACCCTCACACTGATATGTCTCAATTTGTCTAATGTCATGTATATTTGATTATCAATTAAAATTGTGTATTATGAGTTAAAAAATTGTTTTTGAGTGGCTGGCAATGTCAGATGCTGAGCGTCTTTCAATGTGATTAACAAATATTGTTACTAAGTTATGGATAAACTTGTATGCAAAAAAAATGTTTAAAGAAAGTTGAAAAACCAGGCTGTTAGTTATTATAATGGTATTAATTAATTTTAGGATAAGAGTTATTCGTTCATTGTGAATCATTGGTAAAATAACTTTCTTTAAGCAATATTTTACGTTGCATCTAATAATTTTCTGAATTTTGATCAATTTTTGTATGATAATAATTGATTAAATGTTTCATATAAAGTTATTTTCATTTTCAAATACCACGCATTTTACTAGTTTTCAGTAAAATTGTATTTTATATGGGCAAAACAGCTGAATAAAATAATGCGTATAACCAATATAGTGTGAAGTTAAAATTGAACCCACATGATGAATAAAACACTTAAATTATAGGAATACACATAAAAAAACGTACTTTGGGGAATATATTTTATTTCGTCTCGCTACATAGAAACGATCTAAACAAGTATTAATACGAAAACTTGAATACATCAAACGTTAAGTGAAAAATTTAACTACAGAATTAGCAAAATATAAATACTGCAATGGGGCAAAGTTTTACCATTGTTTTTCTAGACGTGAAACACTAAAAAACTCCGGGGCACCGAGTTTGTTACAAAGCGTTACACATATTCAATGACATTTATATTATATTGAAAAAAGCTCTCGTTACACGAATAGCTAAATAAGTTAAAAATAGTCCAATCACCGCTTAAGCTAACAACGAAACAAATGCAAAAACTTAGTGACAAATTAAAAATAATAAAAAAAAAATATTAAGTGTTGATCTAATTACAAACAATTATAAAATCTTACATAAATAAAACCTTAACAGTGCCCAGCAATGACATGCGAAACAATGTAAAAATGTTTAGTCTCCGAAAGAGAACGCTTTACAACAAACAGCTGTCTCTTTCTATAGATTCTTACAAAACATTCTGACGTCACTTCAGCGACATGCCACTGGTAAACCAAGGTAAAAAAAATGAATCCAAAATTAGCCCCATAACATATGGTGACAACAATGATGCCTAAAATCGGCGGCCATAATATAGCACGTTTCATTGAACATTGCCAGGCACTGTAAGTTTTCAAAGACTAAAAAAATGCAATATTTGAAAATTTTAACTCAGAAAACAGTTATAAAAAACGTGCAACGTTTCGGGAGATAGAGGGCGCTGTTACTTGAGAGCGCATTCAACGAATATGGTGTGATGGGTGTCTGGAGTGGGAGATGGTGTAGCGGAACGCTCCGAGGGGGTCAACGAATCTTCGGGGGTCTGGGGCCCGGTGGGGCGACCCTCCAGGATGAATGTGGCTTCGTTTAATGGCCACATGTCTTTGAGGACGGCCCTGAAATAAAAAATAATATTTTGTTAAAAATTTAAAGTACTTAAAAAATCGTTTAAATAAGGCTTGTTTTCAATTTAGACTGCTCAAATTACAAGTTCGGTTTTTGGCTTATAAGGCTCGAAGATACAAATACATTTTTTATCTAGGTGTTTTTTTATGATAGAAAAAGACAGACAAGCATAGGGTTCAAATTTGACACTCAACATATTATACCTATTTTGGCTCCATAACTTACCAGAGCCTCTTGTCAACAAGAGCGCGCACCCGCGGCACCGGAAAGCCGTTGAAGGGCGAAGCGACGGGCAGGGTGTAGGCGCCCATGTCCCGAAACACAAGCCAAGAGCCGGTGTGCTGAGGTGGAAGCTGGCAGGATCCGATCACGCAGTCCAGACCGTCGCAACTCGGACCCCAGATGGAACAGGTGGTGGGACGAGTAGAGCTTGGCTGAAAGAATATTTTATTCAATTTACTGGCTGACTTGTTGAGACATTTTCGAATCGGAATTTCGGATTTGTTACTTAAATTTTATTATGGGACATGATGACACTATGTAAATTAAAAATCGATTACAAAATTAAAAAAAAAAAGGTTACGGGCAGGTTTTGAAAAGGCATCCACAACCCACTGGTAAAGTAAAGCACGTATTTTTTATTTTCATTTGTAATCGATTTTTAAATTTTTGTTTTCTACTTTTTTAACTAAATGTACATAAAATGAAGAAATAATTATTATATAAAAAAAAATCATTACATTTTACTTGACCAACTAATTTCATAAATAATTCATATTATATCCTATTTTTTTTTTAATAATAATGATCAGTCTTTATTATGATATGAAATTGATCTTAGACCACTAGACAAATTGACATTGTTTTATTTTATTTTTTAACACAAATAAGCCGCCATCTTTTCTTTTAACACAATAAACATAAGTTCAAACAATTAACACATAAGTTCTTAACGCTTCGTCGTTGTCTAAGCTAAATCCCATTTTTATATTATCTACTAAGAGCGACACCGAAACCACCATCCACGAATAACGCAGATTAGTTCTCCATGTGCCAAACCACTAATAGTGTATTTTTTAACTTGGAAAAGATCAAAACAAATATGGCCAATTTATAACCTTTTATAAAGTGAATTTGAGGCCACAAATGACGCAGAGTTAAAGTTTTTTGGAGGTAGTTCATTAGTTTAGTATATATTGCAGTGCTTCAAAGATTTTTTAGTCTAAATCAATGTAAACTTCGTGAGAAAATCACGATTTGTTTGTTTACCAAAAATGCCAAGTTAGAAAAAATACACTAAACAATGCCTAAACCCTTTAGTATACCACTACTTTAATAATTTATGTACGTACCTCCAGTGGCTCAGCCGCAACAGTCTGATGATCGTAAAGCACACAGTTAAAGGAACCGTATACCCCGTCGTTGATGAAGTACATAGTGTGACCCTCGTCTGTGCCGGTCGAGAGCTAAGATACAAAATCATTTATCATATAGTCAAAAATAAGTGTCCACAAATTTGACACTCAACATGTAATAAGTCTAAGAATCTTTGGCGCTATGCTTAGAAAGTAAGTATGTTTAGTTTCTTTGTTATGATCATAATTTTCATACTCAACACAAAATAAGAATGGAAACTAAGCCAAATTACGTTAATAGCTGTAAAAAATCATATAACTTTAAAAGATCTGATGTTCAATATTTCTTTACTTCTAACCATTATTATTTTTTCTTATAAATCTATAATTTAAACATATTTAAACCGAATAAAGAGAATGGTTATTTAAGTGTCTAAAACTACCCACAAATATTACCTCTCGGGAAGCATGTATCATGGCGGCGAGGGTGTAAGCAGCTGCCGCGAAGTACCTTCCCGGTTCGGCTATGACCCGCACGTCTCTACCGCCAAAGTTGGTCTCAATTGCAGCATTGATTACTTGAGATACCTGTTAAATACAACCGCAGAAATGTAGAATACAAACATACGAAATTGATACATTTGTTTAGATATATAATTGAACGGCTCTGAGGCTTAGTGAAAAGCATGTGATGTTCACTTGTTGAAAGGAGATGTGCTGTCGAACTATTTTGGCTTTATCGTTATTACTAATCCACTTTATATAGTTACAAAGATGTTCTAAAGATTAACAGAGTTGCTGCAAGTCGGGCAACACGAACCTCTCGCAGATCGGAGTTAGAGTTGCCAGCGAATCCGCCGCCGATGTCGAGCAGACGCATGTCCTTCAAGCCGAGCGTCTCTCCCAGGTCGAACAACACGCGCGCCATCTTAATTCCGCGCGCGTACACGAGGCTTTCGCCCGCTCCGGAACCCACGTGGAACGATACACCGACAACCTAAATATTAAAATCGAAAAAGACTATTGAATAAAAAAAAATGTACGGATGTAAATAATAACAGTTATTAACTGTGATAAACAAGATCGAATTTATAATCGAACTAAATCTATAGGGAAAAGTAGATTTTAAATAATCTGCAAAATAGATTCTATAAGAAATTCCACACGGTCGTTTGTTTGCTCTTACTCCTAGTAAACTTAAATATTAGACTTGTATTATAACTTACATTGAGCTTCAAGACAGCAGCTAGCTTGAGCAAGCGAGGCGCTTCGGTCAGCGGCTCACAGCCGAATTTGATACCGAGAGGGCACTGCGCATCGGCCGCATCGCAACGGATACGGATCACCAACCTGATAAAAACAATAACAATATAATTATATATACACTAGCTGAAGCAAGCAAATGTTCTTTTGCCGTATCTTTTGACGGAATATTGTTACCAAACCATAAAAAACGGTTCTTGTGAATCAATTTACGGAAATTCATTTAAAGTAGAATAATTATTTTGTACATATTTTGGGTATCTTGAACCGTTTTTACAACGCACGCAGTGGAAACCCTCAATGATAAATAATTTCCTCCACTATTTCCCACTTCCGCTACTACTAGTTGCGGGCAGATGTTTTATACCTTAAAGCCTTCCTTAATAAATGGACCAGCCAACACAAAAAAAAACAAAGTAGTATCCCTCCTTCACCATAAAAAATCCTTCGCGTTAGGCATTTGGTTCACCCGATTCCTGTCGATCTTCTCCAACACGTTCAGTGTCGGTATTCATAATCATCTCAGACATATAATAATACAGATACTCTATGACAACTATATCAACGGAATAACCTGTACCATTGCTTGTAGCCCAATAATTATTCGCCCATGGAACTATTACTAATATTGCGGGAATCTGGTTGTATATTCTGTATGTATACTCACTGCGCATCAGGCGAGCATTGCTTGATCTTATGCAGCTCGGTCTCCGAGTCGAAGGTCATGGTGGTGACACCACGCGCCGTCGCATAACGGATGTGCGATGCCATCTTCGCTGGGTTCGCGAAAATTATGCGCCTGAAGACAATAATAGAAAAAAATCATTATTTGTGGGGCCCCTTGTTGTAAAGGGTAAATGGTGAACGATGAAGAGGTCGTGGGATCGACTCCCTCGGGGTCCAATAGTTTAATTTTGCTAACCAATGTATAATTTTTCCGAAACATATTGGACTTCGAAAATCTGGATAACAAATGGGTAGAAGAAATAGCGGTACCAACTATGAAAGAGCCGTCAAGTTAATCGCAGTTCCTTTTCAATCTGTGGATTTCTGAATATCTAACGTCAAAATGGGTCGACAGCGACATCTTGTTTAGATTAATGATGAATGATAAAGCCTGTTTTTTTGTACTTACTCTGGCTTAATACCCATATCCATGACGAGTTGAATCTCAGCCTTGGAGGCGCAGTCGAAACCTGCGCCGAGCGAAGCCAAGGTACGCACGAGCAGCTTATCGTCGTTACACTTGACAGCTGCAACATCAAGAAAACATCGAATATAGTTATTTCGATTGATTTAAATTCGTTTTCTTATCGAATTCAGGCTTTCGGCTGGACGGTAACAAATATAAATAAAACAATATCTAAAGAGCATTTTTTCTAACTTGGCATTTTTAGTTAACAAACACAATTTAGATGAAATCGTGATTTACAAGGTTTACATTGATTTAGACCAAAAACACGTTGAGACAGTGGATTATAAATAAAACTAACAAGTCTAATTCACTGAGTAAAAACTACATTTTCATGAATTAATTTACGTGAATGGACAAATTATAATTTCTTTAGTTTGACATTTAAATAAGGATAGGATATTTTTTTTTTTAATATTTAATGACCTGGTAAAAGGATAGGATATCAACGACGATAGAAGGAAGCATTCCCACTCATCAAAAAAATAATAAAAATGATTTTGAATATTGAGTGCGTTTGGTCTACATATAATACCCAGATATTTCTTTTTTTTGTATATGTATGTTCTCACCGTAGAACGGCTCGACGCGCGGCATCAGATCCTTCCAGTTCTGGTATCGCTCCACGACCTCGCCCAGGTCCATCACGTAGAAGGGGTCTTCTTGCATCCCTTCGTCGACGATATCGCGGATCACGCTCAGTGGGCTCCAGTCGCCCTCCATCACGAACACAGACTCTTCCTCGATTACCCTCATGTTGGTAAACATTCAGATCTTTCCTGTACCTGTACAAAATAATATAACTTATATAAATAAAATGAATTCGACATCACCAGATCGGTGAAAGCAATCAAATCTTTAAGTCTTTACCCACCATTTGAAAGTTTCCACTTTTAAATGGATTAATATATGAGCCGTTTCTCTTTTTTTCCAGCTTTCACATTTTTTTAATAATTTTAAACGTCATATTTAAAGTCTAAGACTTGAACAAAATTTCCTACAACACTTAAGACTTCAATCGCAAACCAAAATCTTATCACAAAATCTTCGTCACGTTCTCGTTTCGATGGATTCGTAAAGATATCGAAATCGATTCCCGTTTAGATATACAATAGCGGATATACAACAGCAGGGTCAAGATTTCAATCATTTTATTGAGTTCAGAATATACGCATTAAGAACATCTGCATAATGACGCAACATACAACTTTTACACACGATATCGCTCTTCTATAAAATTCACAGTAATATGGAGGATTCACATAAATCTAGTGGACCCTGTTCCTCCTGTACCAAACAAAAGGAAATGGTCTCAGTACCGTACCGCACTGTACTATAAAACAGCATAAATTAAAATACTGACCACTTGTTCCGATCTTCTCACGGATCTTGACGCAGCCAACGGCGATTTTGGCGTGGAGTCTAACGCTGGCTGTATAGATGTCCTCCGACGGGCTCTGAGCCCCGGCAGACGCCGAGGCCGAGACAGTCGGCTATCCTGCGCTCGAGAGAATTGACGGCAATGCGGAGAGAGGGTCAGTCAAGTGTATTCGGTGCCCGGTGGTGGTGGTGGCCCAATAGCGCTACTCCACGAATGTCAGCTGGGAACAGGATATAACAGTAAGTTACGCGGGCGTGCACGTGTAGATGGGTTTACTGCACTATGTTTATTTTTATATAAATAAATATTGTATTGTATGTATTAACACTTTTTTTAAAGATTAAGAGTTCGTCCTGTTTGAATGCGCTAATCACAGGAAGTACTGTCTGCCTTAGATTAGTCTAAGAGTTTAGGGCATACGACATAATGCTGCGGCCAATAAGAGCAAGAAACAGTGGAAAATGTGTAAAGAAATGGAAAAATTAAATACTGTCTATAGTTTACGCGAGTAGTACACATTTAAATAAAACACTTTAACGGTTTAAAACGCGATATATTAGTTAAACTTATTTGAAAATATTTTAACTTCGCCCGACGTTTCGGATGCTTTGAGCAGCCGTGGTCACGGGGAGACTCCCCGTTTAAATGGAAAAATTATTAATCTTTAAGGCCTCCAGTTGCTTGCGTTTCGAAAACAGTTTGAACCGTCAACGGGTTGAAATATAATATGTAGAATGAAGGAATGATCTAATAAAACGTCCGCGAGTCTATCATTTAAGATTAACGCGCAAGAACGACGGGACGCGAACGATGTCGTATCTAACAGCTATAATTTATAAAGCTTAGTTCGTTTGCAAAAATAAATGTTCATGCCCAAAATAACTATTCTACGCGAGATCACGGGCAGAGGTAGATTTAAATAAAAGGTATTTCCCTACCCATGTAGTGGTGGTACTTACGCGTGAATGGTGTGTCGTCAGCGGGCCGGCTCTCGTCGGAGCCAGGGTGGGTCAACGTTGAGGGTACGACGCCAGCAGCGCGTTGCGTGTCGCCCGGCACTGCTAGTTGCGCCGGACTCGCCCGGTCCTGTCTGTTGAACAACAAACGAATGCAAACTTAACTAAGTAACAGAATTTTAACTGCTTTTGTAAACAACTTAACTAAATACCTAATTAAAAAAAGGCTCGCGGCTTACGAATGGGTAAAATTTGAAAATATTACACAACCCAGACATATAATTTAGAGACGTGACTATTTAAGTAAAATCTTATTATTTAGTATAGTTGGTAATAAGCCAAATTTTCTTAAATGTACAGTAGAATTTCAGAAAATAGGCCTTATTAACACAGACATAGAACAATACTACATCTATCATTATTTATTTTTATTTATTAGACATAAAAAACTTACAGCTAATAACAATAGGACATTATATAAATATATTAAATATCGTGCCATTTTAAAAATCGAAAATAAATTGAAAAAATTTTCGACTCGGGCTGGACTTGAACCGGCATCGTCAGCGTTCCGTTACAGAGCAACAGCACGGAACGCTGACGATGCCGGTTCAAGTCCTGCCCGGATCGAAAATTTTTAAATTAAATAGTGCCTTCATGTGCAATAACATGTAAAAAATAATAAAGTTTTCAATCAGTAAGCCAATTAAAAGTATTATTTTTTAGCTTCAGAATATCTGTGGAAAGGCTGTCACTACGTAGTAAATCAATCATGGCCAGTTTTTAAAACAGTAGCCACAAGACAGTCTCTTTTCTGTCCCTATGTACGCTTATATCTGCAAAACTACATTTTTTGAGTCTTTGGTTCTTCTTAAAAGATAAGAGTGCATCAAGAGGAAAGTTTTTATATACGTTTCTCTGTAGTATATTTAAAATCAGCATTGCACTCGTACGAAGCCGGGGCGGTTCGCTAGTTATTTGTAAATAAAACCCACCCACTATCATATGTCATCATTAACTAATTTTAGTTATAACTACAAAAATACAATACACAATTTAAATTTAATTAATTCACATTATCTAATGATGTAATGTTCTTATTATGTCTGGTCCCTGTTATAGCAAATTTACGATATTGCAAAGTCACTCCGTAGTGGTAGTAAGTATATGACATAGTCAAATTGTTCAACAGGGATGCCAACAAAAATCGTAACTACATACTCATAAGACATGAGCTTACATACAATGTTGTTACATAATACATTCAACGAGGTACTATATGATACGTGGGCTAGAATACCGCAAGCCTTCTTTTATGAAAAGAAAGAGAAACTGCGCGACCATACAATATCTATACAATTTGCGCGACCTATTTTAGCTTAGTGAATTCAATTCATTCAATCTGAAAGTACATATTATCAATTTAAATTATTTGTGCGACCACCGTTTGTGGTACCAATCTGATCTAAAGCATCCAAAAACTCAGGTCGTAGTTAAAACTATTTCGTCGTTTAATTCGTTAAATGTTTTTATTTCTTCTAATTAATTTACGTCAAAAGTGTACGCGACTTATGTCTGTCTATACTAGAACAAAAAAGAAAAGTAACGTTTAAATTTATAACTGCGAGCGTAACCACAATCTCTTGAATTTTATTTTACCCTATAATTTATCATAGCAGCCCTATTATTTATCAGAAAAAAATACGGTCACATTATGTCTACACGCCACGAAGCCTTGAACTAGTAATAGGTAAAAGTTGAATTTTCTTCATCGATTTTTTTTCTTTTTCCAGCCAGTTGACTTTACCGTAATGTTTACAGGTTTTTTTCCAGCCAGTAACATTGTCCGCTAAATTTAAAGCAGTTTTGCTATATTTTTTATCTACGCCGATCAAAAAGAAAATAAAATGTTAATAGCCTAGATTTTTCCAATAACTACAGCTTTAACACATACCTACTGGCAAATTGTTAAATCTTCTTACCATAAAAAACTTCAACATTATAGTCATGGCAGTACGCAAATGCCCTTAGAATGCTATTAAATAATTAAAATATTGCTTAGTAAGTAATTTTCATATAATCTATTCATTGTAATTTGCATATGTAATACGACAAAGGATATATAACACCTATGTTCACAACAGTTGCTTTGAAATTTTCACTCTACATTAAGAGGAAGATTAAAATATTCTTTCGTGTTTTTTTTTTCAAAAATAACGAGAGACGGCTCGATTAGACGCTATCAACAAGGTCAATGCTCAGTTCATTGCTTGACGTTTTACAGACATTACGCATACGTAATTACTAGGAAGTTTTCGTAATTCTTTCACATTACTGTGTTAAATGACATAAATCATTCGACCATTCTATTGGACCATCACGTTTGTTTAAAAAAGCATTGGTTCATTAGATAATAAATACTAAATATCATTTATTTTTATGATTGAGCAGGACAGACAAGTAGGTATGAGGTTCATTGATGGCAGGTGAATACCCGAGCCATATAACATTTAAACAAGATGCGCTATTGCGTAATAATAATAATAGTGAAAGTAATAGATAATTTCTACCTGAGCAACTTAAAAAATACTACATATTTCTTAGTGAAATCCCGCTTCCCCTCGTGGGGCATGGGGCGAACACATTTTTGTGTCCGTTTCACTGATCCGTTCTTTAACAGGCAAGTAGTTGATCAGACTTCTGTGCCCTGCCCGATCGAAATTGTATGTTTCCCTGGGATTCGAACCCAGGACCTCTCGCGATTAACGCAATGCAAGGCAATACGTCTAACCATTTGGCTACAGAGGCGGTATATTTCTTAATATACGGAATTCACACACGTACGTACTAGAAATATAAAAATATAACATACCCTTAGTGGCGTAATTCTCAAAGCTTTTTGATACCCCTAAGCAACAACCCCGCGGTTGTTGCTAAATCTACAGCGAAAATGACAAAGAAAAAAGCACAAAAAAGTCAAAATCGACTTTCTATTCTCAAACGAATATAATATTCGAAATTTAAAATCCCAAACGCAATCAATCTGTCACTCGCCAAAAGCGCGGCAAACTGATAAATATGGCTGCCGTTTGAACGTATTTAAACGCAGACTATCACGAGTGAGATTTGTAGGATGTTTGCTTAGCTTTATTGTTTATTATCAAAGTCAACAATTTAATTAGAGTTATAAAAGTCACACTCGAGGCACGAATTTGTGGGCTGGTACGACGCAGACACTTAATCGTGAACAATTTCAATCGCTCAGTAAACTTGACTGTGAGCCTATTGTTATAAAAATCCAATTCCTATATCAGTACTATACCGTAGTACGTCGCGTACTACGTAGTGATCGATAATACTCGTCGCGACCGCTACGAACCGCACACTAACAAGGTCATAACTATCTTCCTATAGATTACACCATAAAATCATAAGATAATTTACGTTGAAGGTTCTTCTCATTCGGTTTTTCTTGGTAATAGTACTATTTAAATATACGGAAAAATATAGTTCTTTACCAGCTTTGAAATAGGTTTTATTTACTGTTCAGATTTTTAATTATTTAAATAAAATTTTTTAAAAACAGCCCTAAGGAATAAATTTGCATTATTTTAGTTTGTAGTTGTAAATCTTCAAGTTAACATTAAAATTTCAAACTAAGTTGATACCTGATAATAATGTTAAAAAAATCTTATCTGTAACGCGTGTCACGATTAGAAGAGTCAAGAGATAAATTACTTTAGTTATATAATAATCCGTTTAAAGGACAAAATTCTCTAAAGTGTACACTTTATTATTTTGGCATAGAATTTTGTTCTTTACGCAAAAGCGATACAACTCAAACAATTCTATCAAGTGGGAAAAACTGAAATCATTATCTAAATTATCTTCAGACACTTTACTATCCCTCATTATTATTTAACTAAACAAATATAATTATGTACAGGTTTTATCTTCATTCCACCTGTTGATAACTAAATTAATGCAGTATTGTCTAGAAAGCAAATCTTTGAGTGTATTTAGGATAACATAATGACCAAGAAAATTTATTGTTATGTGAGTTTTATCTATTAAGAAACTGTAGTGTATGTAATGATTACATATTATGAAAAACACATTTCAATCATTTCAACGTTTGTTCTCAAAATATAAAATCATATAAGTAGATGAAAAACAAATAGTAAAAAATCTTATTTCATATTATTAAAATTTAAATGTCTTGATTTATGTACTTTCAGTAATTAAATTATATGATATTTATTTAAAGACAAAATCGAGTATGCAAGGAATTGTAGTACATATATGTACAATGTTTCACCTAACAACAACATTTTTGTCGTATGATAATATTAAGTAGACGAGAGATAAGATAAAACAAGGCTATAAAATACTCACATTTATTAAAATTCACATAAATCAGGACAAAAGAAAGTCAACGCAATACCAAGTAAAACTAAGCGACTTACTATCTTAATCAGAAGTGCTACAGTAAAGTTCATTACGAGCTATTGGCTTGTTCTCCATTCCAATAAGAATATTGCAAATAAGCATACAATGCAAAATGGATTTCTCTGACAAAATAGAAGGTCTTAGTTTTATTACAATTGAATATTATGAAATGAACTTAGAAATAAACATTATTGAATACAGTATGACTGATAAAAGTATTGTTTTGTTCTATTTTATTCCCTCAGGATATTCTTAAATATTCTGAATTATTCAAATTTAAAATTTAACTCCTAATAATGAAAAATCAGATCTCTGAAACTTTCATTGAACAACAAAGAAGACAAACTTACTTTTTAGTGTCAAATGCTCTAGAGCAATCTTGTATAACAAAAACTTATTTAGAACTCTTAATTTTATCAAGCAACAATTCCATTCTTCCTGCCATAACCGGCTGTCCCTTTTTGTTCTTCTTACTTAATTTTTTAAATCTTTCTTGTTTCTTTTTCTTATATTCTTGCAACTTCTTCATTCTCTCCTCCCTGGCTTTTTCTTTTGCCTCTTGTTTTTGAAGTCTCTCTTCTTTGACTTTATTAAATTTGTCTTTAGCTCTTTCAAATGGTGCCTTTTTAGGTTTCTGATTAAGTTTTTCAAGTAAATCTGGGTGTTTCACAAACCTTCCGACTTCAGTGGAGTCTGTAGTATCTTCATCAAATGATATCGGTTTGTATGTGCCTGCCATGGGATCATTTTTGACACTCTTCTGGTATTCATTCAGCAACCGCTTTTTTCTTTGCTCCTCCCACTGCTCCAACTTGTATTTCTTACTATATTTTTTTAATCTATATGTCTTTTTGTCAAAGGGCTTTTTTCCATTCTCACTTGGTTCTGACGGTCCGACATCATTAACATCATTACTTTCCTTTTTCTTTTTTTGAGCAGGTTCACCATCTTTGTTTTGAAATTTCTTATCTTTAGGCTTTTGTTTCTTGTTTGAAAGAAAAAAGGAATCCCTTTTCTTTTCCATTTTAACACTCTTCAGACCTATAAAGAAAAAGCGTGTTTCAACATACAAGAAAAAAATTTAAGAGTCAGCCCCTGAAATATTATATTAGAAATAAAAAATGAACACGCTTTTTCTTTAACATATAGCTGCATAGTTTGAATTTATTATACAAATATAGAAAATATATTAATAACTACATTAATGGTTGATAAATAATATACATACATAGTTAAATAAAATATAATACATATACCTAGAGTTTTAAACAAAATAAATTAACCAGAAAATTAAGACACTACTTACATGACACTAGTATCTATAGTTACAGTATAAGGGGAGACAGCTTTGTTCTTTATTAGCTTTATATTTTATGGGTTTGGATGTGAGTAAGGGATAGCAAAATAATATTATATACAAATCATTGATAACTGTTTTCTAATAGCTATATTACTTATATAATAAGGGTTTGTACTTAATAGAATAATTATACCTAGTAGAGTGATATGTTAGCAACTTGTTATAACTGATTTAGTTCTTATACTTTTACTATTTCACTGCTAAGTTCCAGAACTTTCCGAAGGCGCAATTTAAAAAAGTTTACACATAGCAATATTGTATGACATACAATGATTCATAATTTTATTTTCTTTATAAAAAAAGTTATTTAAAAACCAAATTTAGGAGCGTTTCTATTACGTTAAGCGTATATATTATGTACAAGTACAACTGGGGTGTCAAACAATATGGTTTCAAGGACTTATAAAAATTAGCATTCTAGGCTGTAAGAAAAACTTGTATGGGTAAAAATGCTTGATTATGTCAGTTCCTGAGGCCTTTTAAAGAAGCTATGAATATGATTAGTATTAAAGTAGCTTACCAAATTTAGCCACCCACTGGGTAGGCTCTGTAGTATCGGCGGAATCTTGATAGTTTAGTTGCACTTGGCACGAAAAAACTTAACCACGATTAAAGATTTTTTGTCACGGTTATTAGACTCTAAAACTTTACCGACCATGCCCTAATGTGAATTTTTGATAAAATTTCCACAAGGAAACAGGTGCACAATTCGCGAAAATGTCACAAAAGGAACGAGTAGTGCTGTCACACCTCTGTCAGTGACCATTGATCGATTACTCACCATAGTCGACCGGGTCATAATCGAATTTACTTTTGCAAAACTCGATTTTACTTGGCACCTCTTAATTCTCTTAAATATGCTTATTTTTAATATTTTAAATGGCCTTTGCAGAAATCACTCTTTGTTAAGATTTTTTTAAGATTTACATTCACATTAAATTTGTATCACTTATTGTTTTTTTTCTTTGAATTTCCTTCTATAGTACGAAGCAAAATTGAATCGAATCGAAGTATTTAAAATCTGTAGTACATCAAGAAATATAACTTACTCTGTGCACTATCAAGCAAATCAATACGACGGCAAGAATTGCCGTCAGAAATTCTATATTAATGATGTGTTATGTATGTTATACATTAAAACTTAATGAGAGGAAATTCTGAACAGAATAGTTAACAGATATGCTGTTTAGACTTGAGTTAATAGTTATATAATTGGCACTCACAATATACCTAAGTTCTTAATTTCACAATTAAATTTAGTTAATAACTGTATTTATTTATACTGGCGTCAAATCTTGTTTTGCCTACCCGTTTCGATTGCTGTGGACTCTATATTCTAGAAGTTACGGATGATAACGACTTTTCAAAAGAAGATTCATATTTGTTTAATGGTTTTGGAGATTGACACGAAAGATCACACATAACAAGAGACGAAAATAATTATTAGTTCTATTTGCTACTGTATATGTTTTACGTTCTTGAATGTCTTACTTACTTCATTTAATATTATTTTTACACTTTGACTATTATACATGGAACCTATTTATATATACCTAATTATATTCGGGCCGTAAAACGAACGATCATAAGCCTCTTTTCGTAGTTAGTAAACTATATCTATTAACTATTTAGGTCACCTCAGATGACCTGAAGTCTTTGAAGTACAGTCACGCTCATAATATTCTTATAATATAATGTGGTTTAATGCCAACAAAATCTAGCTTCAATTTAATAGCACGTATTAAGTTACACTAAGAAGAGTACAGTCAAGTACGAAAGTCATTAAAAATACCCTTTTTTAAGGAAAATATCGTAAGGAAATTGGAACAACCAGTTGTCATAAAATCAGGTAGTTAACGATCTTATGGTGATTAGTTAATTATAATTACCATTCAAAACTTATTATAACAAAAGTTTACTGTTTTTCAGATAAGAATCAGCATATTAGACGCTGTCTAGCTTAAACAGCTGGATACAATAGTAGGTTGTTGTTTTAAAATTATTATTTTTTAAACAAGATTGACATGAGATTATACTGATTTTTTACTATAACTTAAATAAATTATAATAAATATTGTCTTTTTTATTATAGAGGGGACGGACTAGCATGAAGTTCGCTTGATGAACGGTAAAAATCCCAAACCCTACAACAAGATGCGCTAACGCCCAATTTTGGTTTTGGATGACCCAAAATCGGATAAACCGCAACCAAATTAAATTTCAAGCCTTCTTCGTTTGTAGACGGTATTTTGGGACCCGAACGGAATATCGGTGTTCCTACCACTTATTTAATATACCGTCGTAATCCAATATGTGAAGTCAAAAAATTATAAATTGATTAGAAAAACGTTGGATCCGATGGTGATCGAACCCACGACATCGATCGAACAAACCAGTCAAAATATTTGTATAAACTGTTTTACGGTCACGAAACTGATTAAATAATTTAGGGAATTGTTAAAAATTTATTTTAGCTAAAGATCCGACCCCGTTTAAGTGTTACGTAAGCATATTCAATTCTGATATGTATCAAATCTCTCTTTCATGCCAAGTCAGTCTAGTCAGCAATACACCATTACAACCCAAATGATAAACACCCCCCAACACATCCCCTATACTTCTCACGTAATACTTGAATGCTCCACAAGTTCCCTCAAATCAGTCGATGTTATAAAGAGTCAACTCAACTTTTAACGCTTTTATTATGTCATGATTCTTTCTATACAAATAAAATGTCAATTTTTTTTATTTACATGTAACTGCCCCTGACTTTCGCTTTCCTTGAAGCTTTTTTGCTTTACAGCGAACTCAAGCCGGTTCCTAAGAACATTCACCTCTTGCGAATACACTAATTATATAGTATATACGATGAGTATATATGTAATGTGAAGATTATTTATTTAAGTAATGAGTATACTTAGAGCAAATGAAAGTTTTATCGTCATGTTTTAATTTTATATATGTACTTCTAGAAGCTAAAGCATCAAGCACCTACTTGGTTTTATCCACTAGATTTCGCGTGATAAAAATGAATTTTAAATATAACACTTTAACGGTTCCAAAAACGATATATTTCGGTTAAACTTGAATGAAAATTATTTTTAACTACGGCTCGACGTTTCGGATGTTTTGCAGCAGCCGTGGACACGGGGAGACAAGGCTGTTGCAAAACATCCGCATTTTAAACCGTTAAAGTGTTTTATTTAAATGTGTACTACTCGCGTAAACTACAGACAGTATTTAATTTAACTTCATTTATGTTATAGTTTTATAATAATAGTGACCACACAAAAACAACTTATATTTAAAATTGTAAGTTACTATCGTGCAGCGTCAGTCATGTGTTCAGGTCCCACATACGCTAAATAACGCATTGATAATTTCTCAATTTCATCAACATGGGATCAACGACCCCATTTTTACTTCCAAAAGATTATATAAAGTTGTATTACACGATATTTGTACTCTGAAGAGTACATTTTACCATCGGTACTCAAACTTAATCACAAATTGAATGGCGGTAGTTGCTTTTCAAAGCAACGTGGTGGCCTTGCTCTCAGCAGTTATTATATATCCCTATTCCTACGAATTCTATTCTAGTTTAGTAAAAAATATTCTTATTTTAATTTAGCCCGACAGTAGAATATTTCGTTGAATCGAAGACCTAACGTAAAATTTTTCCCTTTTAGTAACAATTAACATTATCAAGTAAAGTTTCATGTAAGTACATGAATAAGTAATTTTATTTATTAGCATTAAAAGACGTTCTACGTCATGATCTAGTATAGATGCATACTAATATATAAAGATAAAGAGTTTGTTTGTTTGAACGCGCTACCTATCTCACGAACTTCCCGTTTGAATTGAAAAATTATTACTGTGTTGGTTAGAGCATTTATCAAGGAAGGCTAAGAAACAATGCGAAAAAAACGCGGCATTTCAATGATGTAAATAATGCCCGCGATAGTATATGACTATCGTTAAAGATTCACATGGAAGGACGACGGCGTGGGTAACAGCTAAAAAAATCAAATTGATTCCCAAAATAACTTCAACGCGGACGAATAAAATATATCAATTAAACTCAATGTACAATGCGTGATGGGTGTTTTGAATACTTTAAACCTATTTCTTAATAAATGACAAAGCTTTTCATGTCTCGCTTCCGTACTCCGTCTTTCCTCGCAGTCGGTTAAAATAACGAAAATGCACCTCTGCTTCCAACTGTCCGCCCACTCTACAGAATGAGCTTATTAGCTTAATCCTGGCCGCAGAATTGAACGCTGTATCGGACACAATCGCACGTCGCTTATCGAAATATTATATTAACAATCAAATAATGTAAAATCTGCGAGTATTAAGCACCGGAAGCTTTGCATTTTAGTTAAACGACTCAAATATAGCATAGAATATATTTAAAAAAATTTCTTAACAATAGTTATATACGGGCGAAGTGTTATCTTATATGTTAAGTAAAAGTGGAATCGAAATATTTTGGAGTGTGTTACTGTTTTTTGAAGTGAAATAAACAAAAAACGTAAGTGTACAAAAGTTTAGTTTTATGGTAACGGTACTGTTTACGTTATTTTTTTGAATTATTGACGTACAAATAGCAGTCTTTTATTATAAATGAGTTATTACTAGTGGTATTTTTAATATTATATGTATTTTTTTATATGGTTAACTGTATATTTAGCCAAAATTATTACTTTGTTTTATATAATATTCCATTACTACAAAAAATCATAAAGTAACTTTATATATAATATTAATATTTTAATTTGTATATAATTTTCAATCTTTCTCTTATCTAAGTATACTATCTTTTTTTTATAAATCCTGTCAAAATTTTCAAACGGTACCTAATAATTTTTTAGCTTAACAATGTTTAACTCGATTTTCGAAAATTTAATTATAAAAGGAAATATTTGATTTACTCGTAATAAATTATTAAACGAATATGACATATTTGTTATTTAATTAAAGCATATATTTGTTTAATATTCATTAAATTGTGTTTGGCATTAACTTCAGTTCATTTTTTATTAAAATGTCAATAATCTCATGCAATGAAAAACTACATTCTAAAAATATTACGTAACGACTCTAGCATTAATTGTTGATCTTTTTAAATTTTTTGTGTAAAGAAAAGATAAAAAAATTTATTGTAAACTATTTTTGTACGCCATACGCCTTCTGCCAATCTGAAAGTGAGTACTTCGTGCACATATCAAGCCGGTGCCGTTTTTTTGCCATCCGAATCGAACTACTACCAAACTATCGAATCAAATTTATGAGTAATTTATTTTTAAGTCAGTTAATTTTTAAACATCTGTTCGGTCTTTGGTGGCAGGTTGATATTGTTTTCTTTCTTTCTGAAATTGAATTATAAGTAATATGCATTACAATAATGATACGTTATTTGGAGTTTTCAAATATTATTTAATATTTACATAGTACACACCTTAAGATCTATTTGTAGCTAAAAAAAGTCCGTACGTTATCGGTGCCCGTTTTATATCTGTTACCGGGTAGTATTTTCATCAACGAACCTCAACAGCTTCCGGGGACAAAGGTATTGGGTTGATCGCAAATAGTTCTTAGGTTAAAACCCGGATAAAATTATTTTCGTCGTACGGGGCGATAAAATCAACACAAATGTAAAAAAAAATATATAAATTAAATTGTATTATTCGCGATGTGTTTTTTTTGTGACCTTTTCTTGTAATTTACGTCAATACGTCTATCATGTTTTTAAATATTCCCATAAAACCTGTTCTTTTTTAATTGTATTCGCTTATTCAATGAAGCCTAGGCACAGCGGAAGTTGAATGCATAATGTAGACTTTAAATAATTATGAATATAATCTGAGCTCTATTTTTGGTCTAAAATAGAAATACTAGTTTGTGCCTTGTTTAAGAGCAAATAAAATAAATTTTTTTTCGAACTTGAAGACGCTAAAGGACTTCAACACATGTACAGCTTCCTAAACCCTGTTCCCACTGTAGTTTGACTTAATAATAAATTTAAATTAGTTATGATAATTGAAAATAATTGCTACAGTTATCATTTTTTAATCACATATTATACATTTTCTTTAAAGTTTACAGAACGTGTTTAACATAACGTGTAACGTAACTCACGTGAGTAGTACACATTTAGTAAAACTACTTTTACAGAGTTAAAACCCCTTATTTACTCACATGTTTTGTTTTTAAAAAACGTAAGACTAATATTTGAAAATGTAAAATCTACACGATACCTACTGTAAGAAAAAAAATAAGCAAAGCTTAAACTTAGAAAACTGTTCGTGTCTTAAATGTTTTGTTTAATCATAATTATACCAAAAATACTAAAGTTCTCAAACTTTTTCTGCTCTTGTACAATCCCACGGGCTTAAAAATTAACTCAGTTTTGTATTGTGTTATATGTAGTGCTTGCGTAATATGTAGATTAATAAAACATACGTGTCTTTGCCCCATGCCCACAAAAAAAAAACAATCGAATCTAGATGTTTCGGATTAGATCAAGTCGGATTTAAATAAAACACTTTAACCGGCCTTTAAGCAGCCGTGAACACGGCTGCTGCAAAGAATCCGAAACGTCGGGCCGAAGTTAAAAATCATTTTCAAATAAGTTTAACTAGTACATCGCGTTTTAAACCGTTAAAGTGTTTTATTTAAATGTGTACTACTCGCGTAAACTATAGACAGTATTCAAGTCGGATTTTATCATATTTTACCCCAATTATTTTTATTGATTCCCGGTGCCCTTAATTGATAAACTTATGAAGACAGTTAGTCAGTCATTAACACTTATACTGTTTCAGGATAACCTTTCTTTCAAGTAATCGGCTTAACTCGTGGCAAATACTGACTTAACCTTTTTATTGATTATTTTAATGAATGGTTTCTCACTCTGTTGTTTATTGTTTTTATCGATTGAACAATGAATGTCTATAGACAGGGATCAAACAGAAATGTATTATCAATAAAACTAGTTCGTTTTTAAAGATTATTAAACTAGCACTAGGCTTGCGAGTATTACTTGAAGTTTACATCACAAGGTGACGTTGAATTAAACACTTTTAACGGTTTAAAAAACTAGATAAGTGCAATTTAATTTAAACTACTAGGTACCAAAATCTACCTACGAGTATTTATTTCGGGTTCAAATCGTTACATTGTTTTTATTTAATAGATAAATACGGCGAACAAAAATAAAATTTAATATTTTTTATTAATAAATTTAACTTTTCCAGAAGAATCATGAAGCTGTTCCGTTTCTCCGACGAAAGTGTCCTCGGGTCTATACCAGGAAAAGCCACCCAAGTGATGATGTACCACGACAGGTACACAGCTGGCGAGACCACGGGAGGCCTGAGCGTCCTCTTCGCTATGCTCTGCATCATAGATTTGTTCGGAGTGTTTCCGGTTGTAGCCTTGCCCAAGAGCATCATATCATGTGGTATGTATCAAAGAAGAGTATCAACGATTGACCGCCTCCGTAGCTTGAATTGAGCGCGAGAGATCGGTTCGAATACTTGGAAGGCTATGCAACTGTTGCCAATAAAAATCTCTAATTGAGGACACAAAAATGTACCCTACGTCGTCTTAGTCATTTCATTTGATACGCAAGTTTGTTGTCAACAACTAATACAATTGTAAAAATGTTTATTTCAAATCTAGGTCAAACGTTTTCTCGCGATTTTTTATTTATTTTGTGATATTGATGCTATTAAAAATAAACGAATTCAAAATTTTAGTATTTAACATGTGACACTCACAAGACTCGCAGGGTCTTGCAGTCATTGAAGTTAACGAAAAGATTGTCATTTTAATAAAACACTTTAATGGTTTAAAACGCGATATGTAAGTACCTATTAGTAAAACTTATTTGGAAACTATTTTAACTACGGCCCGACGTTTCGGATGCTTTGCAGCAGCCGTGGTCATGGGGAGACGACGGCTGATACAAGTTAAAGTAATTTCCAAATAAGTTTAACTAATATATATCGCGTTAAACGCGTTTTAAAAATGTGTACTATTCGTGTAAACTATAGACAGTATGTTATTGTCATGTTATAAAAAACTTCGTTTTCGTAACTAACAACCTTATACTAGGAAAGAAACAGCTTTGTATAGATATCAAATATCGTAACGCAACACCACCTGATACCACATACCTCCTCTCTCACGGGGATTGTAGAAACCGCAAAACCTAGTAAAACGGATTACTACTTAGCACCTGTACTAATGGCTTCTAAACAGTAAAATAACTATGACTGCTTTTAAATTTAAATCAATTAGTTACGTTTTTAAACTCCTATCTTATCAGTTAAACGAAAATCTAGTACTATTCTAAGATTGGTATGAAAAGGCTTCAATTACCTAATATACATCATTGTAATAACTAATGTCTATTATATTTTTTCCACATATTTCGTAAACATTTTTTCAATTATCCTTTTATAAACATTATTGTATATTACTATAAATAAAGGCCCAAATACAGAACACATAAAACTCTTTATACACAGGAATCTACGGAATACCTCTCGTGTTAGCTGTGGTTGCTTTGCAGCTCTATACTGCTGTACTGCTGGGAAGAAGTTGGATCCTGGCACACGATATTGCCCCGAACATCAGAGAGAAGAGTCGGTAATTATCACATTCTTTTATATAAATGTATATCTGGTAGCTACCTTAAATAAAGCAATAATATCGTTTTCTAGATTTCCATACGCTGCTGTCGCAGAACTTGCTTTCGGGAAGACATCACGGAGTATAGTCACATTTCTCATCGATGCAACTGTGTTCAGTGCTGGAGTTCCTAATTTTATTTTCGGTACGAATCAATTAATACTTGAACTTGTTAGATTTATTTTCGTATGCAACTGCTAAAGTGTTTACATTGTTATAGCATCACAGAGTATGCAATTGTTCTGGTGGAAGATCACAGACGGTGACGTGGGCATCACATACTGTGTATGGATGGTCGTTATTGGTTTGCTGCTTTGTCCTATCATGTGGCTCGGTTCGCCAAAGGATATGAAGTTAGTAACACTATAAACACGTTTGATTGGTGGATCAAACAAACAGACACATTATTATAGTTTACATAGTACAAGACCCAAAGTAGAACCTTGTAGTATACTTTAGCTAACACTATGTATTAATGTATTTAACCTTTCCTAGACCACTAGCACTGACTTCAGTGTTTATCGTTACAACAGTGGCGGTATCCACTTGGACGTGCATTATAAACGATGACACATCACCCCCAGCTTCTGGAGATGTATTAGCTTATTCGCCGAGTACAAGGGACTTTTTGGTAGCATATGGGATTATGGTGTATCAGGTAAGCGCACTTCATTGGTAAAAAAAAATCTAAGTGGTTACGATTGAGATTTTGAAATCAATCGTAGGTCACGCACTGTTTTTTTCTTGTTTTTAAGTGGAATTAATTGAAATTTGCACGTAGAATTGACAAAACAGTTTGCATTAAATTAAATACTTTCTAACGCTTTGATACGTGAACCATATAAGTTAATACATTTTTATAGTTAAATAACGGAATGGCCACACAAGACTCAGCCGCTGCTCTGCAGTATTCAAAACCGTTAAAAAGATTTTAAAAGTACAGGCATCAAGCGCACGATAGACTCTGGTTTTGAATAAAAGGAAACATAATGCGTGAAGTGTTTCGGTTGGAGGGGGAGCACAGATGTTTGATGATCTACTTGCGTCAAAATAAAAATGGATCAGTTAAACAGACACAGAAATATACTCAGTGCTCCACGTAGGGTCAATTCACAAAACTCGTTAAAGATACAAATTAGTAGGATGATTAGGAAAAACTGAAGCACCCATTGAAATGGTTTACTTTCGCTTTTTAAATAATAAGTATTTTATTTCCCTCTTTTAGTTCGATATCCATCCAATGTTGTTGACGTTACAAGTAGACATGAAAGACAGTCGGCGAATCCATTCGGCTGTTCTAGGCGGCTTCATGGTCACGGGGCTTATGTTTACTGTCACGTCTTTCCTTGCTGCCAAGCGATACGGCAACAATATACAGAGCAATATTCTACAAGGTACAAATAAAGTTTATCGGGTAAAGGTAAAAAAATCTAAAGTTTGAACTTCACTTGTAATATAAATTTACCAGGAATAGGACTTTAATATTAGACCCACTATTTATACGCAAATTTAGAAGATTTAATAATGCTTTTATTTTTTTCAGGGTTGCCCCCATCCATAATTTTATACATCGTCGCGTTACTGGTCACACTCCAACTTTGTTTATCTAGTGCTGTTGGGAATTCCGCACTGTTTCAACACTTAGAAGATCTACTTAAAATACCGAGAGGTAAAATATATAATCAACACTTTTTACTGCTTTTTTTGTGTCTTTACGATTCATATTTGTTATTTATTTTGTACCATTACTAATCAAAACTTTAGCGTCAAGCTATTAATTTTTTTTCTAAGTAGACTATTCAGTATTTATACTTCTTTATTTATCTAGACTAATATTATAAAGCTGAAGAGTTTGAATGTGCTTATCTCTGGAACTACTGATTCGAATTATTATATTATCTAGTCAAGTCACTTATTGCCTCAAATAAAGACCTCTGTCATAGACGGTAGGTACTTTAACAGAGAGCTAATGCGGTCATATTAAAAAGGTATTACAATGATATTTTGTGATTCAGAAAAGTGTTATTTAGTTTAACTTTGTTATAACATTTACCGTATTTTTTTATCCTTTCCAGAATTCTGTATCCAGCGTTGCATCATGCGCTCCGGGATCATTGCTCTAGCGGTGTTCCTTGGCGAATCGGTTCCACGTTTCGACCTCGTCATGGGCCTCATCGGCTCCACACTAACCGGCCCTCTCATGTTCATCTTCCCGCCATTATTCTTCCTCAGATTATGCTATAAGAAGTCCTCGTTACCCAACGACACTGTGCCATACAAAAGTAAAAGACTCGGCGACGATCCGTCAAAGATGGCGCTGTTTATACACTCGTTTGACACTAAGTATAAGACGTTCACGACGACTTTGGAGAAAATGGGCGAAGACGACATGGACGAATATAATATTAAGTGGTACGATATTGTTCTGGCGGTGATAGTTATGTTGTTGGGTATTTTGGCGACGGCGTTGGCCACTTATTCGAGTTGGTCGGATGCGATATCTTCTGCGTCATTTTCGCCGCCATGTTTGGTTAACGCGTCTGCTGCAGCGCGGAGTTTTATTGAGAGGAATACTCGTGTGACGTAATAGCGTAGTTGTTACGGCCAAAACCAATAAAGTTGAGTAAAAATACGAACTGCACTACTTCATATTATTATACTGACCACCTTCGAAGCTTTATGGTTAATGGCAATCACGGCAATACATTTTTTTATCGACTGATCCGTTCTATCACTTTGCTTATAAATAAAATCTATCAGTTAAACCGACACTGAAGTGTTACGTTCCTGTCCGACACTCGAACAGAAATTCACGAACGTGCTTGGCAAAAATAAATTACATTAAAACACTTTCAACGTCGAAATCAAATTAGGCTAGAGCCATCTGTTAAGGACGGGTCGTAGTTAAAATTAAATAAAACATATTTTTACCTAAAATGTACTCCACGTTTTAAAACGTTTATGGTGTTTTTTTTAATGTGTTTTACCCGCGCCACCAACTACAAACATTATTTGATTATATATTGAAAACTATATATTTATTTATCTAATAAATATATAATTGGAACGTTTTACTAGGGTTTTAGTTGTGTAATGTGTTTCAACAAGGTTATATCTTATCCGCCAATATCAACTAGCATTTCTGACTCAGAGTCTAGTATGCAGACTTTTGTTCTCTGGATCATTATTTAGTAATAAAAAAATGTTGATACAGATAAGTTAAAATATGTATTTGGAATGATGGACTTGGATTAAGAATGTATTAATCACTACGGCCTTAAATTTACCACCGTCTTAACCTCGAAGTATCGCTTTTCTAGACGCTATTAAATCGACTGGAAATGAGCTACATATTTATATCTTATAATTAGGACGTCCAATTCCATGTTTATTAGTAAAAATAATAGTGTTAAAAAGCATTTCTAGTATAAGCTTTTCAATACGAATTTAATTGTAAATAAAACATTTTTAAGATAAATATGTATTTATTTAAAAACAAAACAACAATCAGTCCTTAATATTTGATAATAAAGCGTACAAATATAATTAAATTATATATTCTATATTTATATCTCACTCTTACATAACAGTGAATGAGCGAGAAAACACGATAACATCGTCATCTATGAATATTGTGACAATAAAATTTAAATGCAATTTTTGAAAAGCATAAACAATTAATTATATTATACAACCTATTTTAATTGTTCGTAGAAGAATCCCAGTTGATATCCATTTCCACAGTACAGTCGGCAAAAATATATTTTCCACATATAATTGGTATAAATCATTTACTGAGTAGTAGTAGAGATAGTGCGTGAGATTATCACGCAATTTGCTGACTCTACCTGCTACACGAATATTTCCAGGTGCTTACAATATTAAACTCTTCTCGAAAATATATTTAAAAGAGGCCTTGATCGAAACCTTACACATGAAACAAACTAAGCGACATATATTTAACATAGTTATATACACTCCATCAAATTATTGAACAAAATAGAAATATATTTGTGGATTTCAACGCACAATATAAAACTGACCTTGGTCCAACGCTAAGTAAAACCGTTTGCTCCAAATTCAGTTTCCTTATCGCGAAATTAATTGCACTTGGTCGTTTTATAATTAAATTGTTAAGTACTTATTGACATTGAGCAGAATTATATGTAATTTTAAAACGTGTTTTGCATATTACTTCTATGTCATTATATTATTTAATACAAAGCATAATTTAGAACAAAATTATTCTCCGAAATGGCAATTATATCATTAGAATTGACAACTGCAATGGCAGTGTAGTTTATTATTATTATGTACAAGATGGTTTCTTATATACTGCGTGATAAGAGAACGGATATAGAAAACTACACCTACCCTCCAAAGAGTGACATTCTCTGGAGGGTAGGCGGGTAGATATTATTAGGCACGAATTGTCATTAAATTTTACTAACACTTCCAATTTGATAATTCGTCTAATATATAAACAAAGATTATACGATCGACATTGGTAGACATATCTAAAAAGTTAAAGCAGTTATATCACTAACGAAAACTTGAATGAATTTCTTCCAAAAATTATGTTTCTTCAGTTGGAACATTTATTAAGACAGGAAATGTAGATTTAATTTTGGGGATAATTTTATAATTAAATTGCTTTACGAGGACAACACTTTACTGCATTACCCTAAGACTTCTTAAAAACCAGGTCCTTACCGAATAACCTCCTGATTTCCTTCTTATCAAGTTTCCCCATTACATTTCTTGGCATCTTCTCCACTATCAGCATAGTTTTCGGCAGTTGATACGGGGCTAACTTCTTCCCTGCCTCATCCTTTAGCTCTCGTAACGACAACTTCGTATTTTCCTTCAAAACTATTACAGCTGACACTATTTCTCCGTAACTATCATCATCGATGCCCAAAACTGCTGCGTCAGCTACGTTAGGATGTTCCAAAATGGCGGATTCAACTTGTAACGCGCTTACTTTGTACCCCCCAGTTTTGATTATATCTACGGAAGATCTACCTAGGATTCTAAAGGTACCGTTACTGAAGGACGCTATGTCGCCTGTACGGAACCATTCGTCGCGTGTAAAATCTGGGTTGTCGATACTTGGGGCTCTATTCCAATATCTGGGAGTATGATGCATAATTTGGAATTATCATAACAGATGGCTACAAAAAAACAATGTTAATAATGTTAATATTAAATCGATAAGAAATACACGCAAAATGAGCTTACCTGGTAAACACATTGGGGCCTTTGAGAAATAGTTCGCCTTCGTATACGCCATCACTGCTTTCTTTATACTCTGTCACTTTAGCGTCTGTCCAGTCATTGTCCTCTACAAGATTCTTCGTAAATCCAAGCCGATCTAGCGATATCTGAAAACGACTTGCGCTAAATATAAAACTGCATTTATACATTTAATAAAGTCGTTTAGTAGTATAATTATGAATTTATACTAGTACTTCTCTACCTGCTTAGTTTAATGGACTGGAATTTCTAGTCTATTTTTCAATCGCTATTTTTTTACAGTAATACGATAATAAAATAATTATCACTGTAGAAACAAAGGGCAATAACACGTAAATATACAATTTTATAAGAGAGATGAAAATTTAAATGTTAAAAGATAATATTATATAATAATTTGTATACTATGATTATGGACCTGCAAGTCAGGCATATCGCTCTCCACGCTGACTAACGGCTCGTAGCCTTTATTTTCATCGGAGACCATAATGCAAGCGGCTACCCCAGGTAAGGGCCCACCCACACAGCCCACTTTTCTATTTTCCACAGGTCTGTATGGATTGCTTAGGGCCATACCCACTTCTGACATACCATATCTCTCTAGTAGACGAACCCCTGATATCTGAAAATAGCTATTTCTATTAAATATGCATTTGTTTGTCTGCATTATGGAGGAGTAACGTATTAGATGGACGTTGAATGGTTTTTGGAAAAACTAAATTGTTGAAAATTGGGACTACTCTCTCATCTACGGTCATCCGAAACTACCCTCATTACGTAGAAATGAAGAATTACATTTTGCGAAATTAAGAATTTGCTTTATATAATATAATTGTAACAAGTCAATGTTCTTTAAAATCACAGCTGTAGGTTACACCTTTTAGTTTCTTAGGAGTTTGATAAGTATATTGATAGGCCTATTTACTGGACTATTATTAGGCTTTCATGTTATATTAGTAATTTTATCTGAAAATTATTTTTAACGACGGCGACGTTCCGACGTTCCGACGTTTCGACTGCCGCACGTGCACCATGGCCACGACGATCGCGTTTTAAACCGTTAAAATGTTTTATTTAAATGTAAACTATTAGCGTAAACTACAGACAGTAATTAAGATTACCTCCTCCCATTTATTGAACAGCGTCTCGGGCAGCGGCGCTGAACCGGCGCACATGAGCCTCATCTTGCTAAGAGTACTCCGCACGTACTCCTTAGTCTTGTTATCGGTGAACATGGTCGCGTGGTCTGCCGCTAGGCGCGAGTACATAGCGGGCACTCCGTGGAAGACGGAGATCCGGGCCTCTTCGTTGCCCGAACCGAGGAGGCGCGCCCACACCGCGTGCGACGGGAAGGATGCTAACATTCGGACCCTATAAATTACACAAATGTTCGTTAATGTCACAAAACAAAAAACGATCTATATGAATTTATATGAAATAACATATTGAGGTGATATATCGCTGGGGTATTTTACTTTACATCCAGTGAATCGCATGCCTGTCTATTCTCTTCTTTCATAAAAAAAAATACAAAATGTAATATTTTTTGTTTAACCCGTTCCCATGTAGGGTAGTCAGTAGACATATTGTGTGTTTCTGTCCTTTTATTAATCTGAATCAAATAGCTTATAACCTATACAAATAAAAAAAGAAATCTAATCATTGAAATAATAGATGCTCTACTGTTCTATCTATGCGCGCGCGCATTTTTAAAAATTGAATTAAATATTTTTAGTATATATTTAAAAAACTGTTCAACGGTTTAAAACGCGGAATTTGTAATAATAAATCTCCATTACCTAGCACCCGCAGCCAAGGATGCATTAAGCGAATTCAACTGCCCATGAATGTGGTGGAGAGGCAAAGTGTGCAAGACCACGTCGTGGGCTGAGTACTGCCACGCTGAGTGCAGAGCGGATATCTGGGTTGCCAGCATGCTGTGCGTCCATACTACGCCTTTGGGCTTACTTGTTGTACCTGGAAGGTTCTACAAATAAATCAAAATGTGACATCACGCGAAGTCCCACCCTTCCAGAGTAACAATTTCTCTTTGGGGTTCCTTATCCAAATAGCTCATAAGATATATATAACCCACTAGCTGTGTCAGCGACTATGCTCGCGAGAATCGTTCATTTGGGCATCCAATTCGTCGTTGCAAACCCCTTCTTCATCTTTATAAATTTAACCCACGACATCGGTCGCGTCCTTTCCCGTCGTTCTTGCAAGTTAATCTTAAAACATAGACATATTTTTGAAATATCTTAAACCGTTTTTGCAGCGTACGCCTCGGAAACCCATAATGATCTATAATTATTCCCATTTTCAAGGAGGAAATGGGGAAATGGGTGAAATGGTCAGCGGACAACGTGGACTGATCACCCGTCCTGCCGAAGGTGTCCCCGAAAGAAAATAATAATAATAATTCCCATTTTTGTCACATTTCTCGCTGTCTCTTTCCTTATATAATTACAGGGCGATGTTTTATATAGATGTTCTAACCAATACAAATATAATTGTTCAATTAGAACACGTTGTTCCAGAGATTAGCGCATTCCAACATACAAAAAAAAACTCTTCAACTTTATATATTAGTAAAGATAAGTGAACGTTAATCCATGAAGAATACATAAATATTGCACATTTTAAACGCTTGATACAAATTATATTCTACTAAAATTTGATTGCAGTAGACGGTTCGAGTCATCCCCATAGCAATTTTTTCAATGTGAATTGTGTGGCGATTATCGCCCTTAGTTTAAAATTCCGACAACAAAGAGTATGGATGCGATATTTTATTAAGTTATTGTGCTCATTTAAAAGGAGATCCGTATCTAAATTCAAGGCATAGTGGTAGACTTTTTTTACATTTTTTTTTGCCTTACGATACATCATAAGATCATATAAATTACTTTCATATAATACCTATGATAGGTTGATGTTAATACAATCAATATTAGTTTCTCAGTTAGGTTTTAATTTTTATATCCATCCAGTATTATATAACAAAATATGTTATCTTATCGAAAATGTCGCACGTCATTTAGAGAAATTCTCACGCATAGATAAAAATGTTATTGTATCTCTGCGATATTACATAATTTATTTACATGTTTATTAAGCAAATAAAAAATATATATAAAAAGTGAAACTTGTCGAGAATGGGGCGAATCTTTGACCACTTTGCTAATGAATTTTATTTACATATAATTAAACTTCCAGGGCTTAACCAACTGATACAATTTATCAATTCCCCGGGTTCAAAGCATCTTAACAATTAGCTAAGGAAGTGGTACAATATTAGATACCTACTAAATTTTATAAGTAACCTTTTACTAATACAATTAACTTAAAATAAAAAAATAAAAAACCTTTTCTATCGATACCTCTAAGTATTATTGAGATTTAGGTACCTACATCAAAAAGTCTTATATAAATAATCTTTCAAAAGAATAATTATATAAATAATCTTTGGTGTGGCTTGGGAAGGGGATGTAACGGCATTTGTTAGGCCACATTTTCCTAGCCACTCTAACGCCGCTGCCATAATAAATTACTGTTATATAAAACTGTAGCATTAAAGAAACGCTTTTTTACATGTTATATGCTGGCAATTCCTACATCAGACATTAAAGAAACTCACAGTTTGAAACAATTGAATTAACAACTTACCACTAGTGTAAATCAACATGGCATCCTTCCCACCGTACCATAAGTTGGAAGGTCCAGACTCCCCAAGACCTGTCTCCGGTTTCCAGTGGTCTGGTATTTCATCTTCATCCTTATCTCTATTGGACACTAGCAGTGCCTTGGATAGTTCCGAGGTGATGGGACGGAGCAGGCTTTCATGGTCTTTAGTACAAATAACGAGACTCGTCTGGCTATCAGTTACAAAATACTTTAACATCTCAGGTGGGTGAATTGGTGTGAGAGGGACAGCTGAAACAATAGTTAAGATAATGCAATTACTAAAATTGATTAGCGCTATTAATAAATTGTTAATTTAAAAATGAGGCAAATAATCGATTTAAATTGTTTCAAAAAAATAATAACAAAGAAAGTTTTGATTACAAATTATTCAAGAAAAAACTTGGGAAAGGTGCATTCATTTCATATAAAACTGGAAGAAATTTATAAAGCTACTGTAAATCTAACATTGCCTAACATTTATTTCCATAATCATTCAGACTACTAAAATCTTCTGTCAAAATGGATATTGATTATCTGGTATTATATATATGTATGTGAAATAAAAGATCTTCACTTTTTTGTAGTGAAAACTATCTCACCAATATTTCCAGTCATCCAAATAGCCCATTGAGTTATGATGTGTTGAGCATTGTTCCCGCACATGTATGCAATTGTCCTTTCCGTTTCACCCACTGTTTGAAATATATAAGACTTAAATAGTTTATGGAATCATAAATTATTGTTTATGAGAAATAACTGGAAGAGTTTTAGGAAGAATTGGGCAATGGTTTTTGATCAATGTTTAAACAGAACTCTGTTTAAATGTTGATCTAGTGGACAAGTCCTAAAATATTAATAACAAGCTAAAATTCAGACTGGGTGTGTTGTTTATAGAAAAAGTTACTGTATGTAAACAAAAATGATGCAGAAAAAACAAAGATATTATGATGAATGAAATACCAAAGTCTTCATAAACATGTAGAGTATGGATGGATGGAACAGTATTAATAACACTTTTTTAAATTTACAAAAGTCACTAAAAGAACCTTACAAAGTTGTGCAGCAATATCTCTGCTGAGGTCGTTAGCTGCGTGATAAAGGCCAGCATATGTGAATGTCCCTTGGTCATCTTGTACTGCTACCCTTGATGGAAACAATAATGCTCTCCGAAATACTGGTACAACACCACCTGTAATAAATTTGTAAGGTTCTGTACAGTTTAGATATGCTATGAGATTTATTGTAAATAATATTTATAAAATTATAATTATTACCTTTGTTGTACTTAACTTAGTAATTAAAAAGAAAATGTTTTTGATGTTTTTTTTATAGTAAATCTAAATTTTCTAAGGAAGAAAGTTAAATTAATTATTTTAAATATGTAGCTATAAAAGTAAAAATTGTCGAAGGCATTTTTATATGATAATATTATCGAGTCATAATTTTCAATTTCGATAACAGCTGCGTGAAAAACAGTTACATTATTTGATAAGACGAATGAATATTTCAAAAAAATATACTCACCAGCTTTTATATCTTGATTATAGGAATTCAATAAATCTAAATTGTTGTCTTCTTTTGGGACGGTATGTGAAGCTCTTTTAAATGATACTATTGTTAATGGATTGCGAAAAAGCCGGTGATATGTTCTCGGTCGAAAAATTAAACTCATTTTTTATAATTAACGTGCAGTATACGTATTTAAATATTATGCTTCTAACTCTCGAACTAAATCTCGTAGCGCGTCTTAAAGTAATACAATTTTCAAATGATAATTTTAAGAAATAAAAATACTTTGATAAGAAGAGATGATATGAATATTTATTTTTTTTGATAACATTTCCTTTCGTGACATGAGATTTTACCGATTTAGGCGACATCTCTTGATACAAATCGATTTACAATGACAGACTATATATAATTAAAAATCGATTATAGATTGAAAAAATTCGGACTCGACTGCTCAATTGGTTAGAGCAACAGCACGGAACGCTGTGTATCCCGGTTCCAGTTCGAGCCGAGTCATCATTTTTTTTAGTTTAAAATCGGTTTTTTATCTATATAGTATCATCATGTGTCAAATATTAAATTTCTAAAGACTATAAATAGTCGATTTAAGTAAAATTAGAGTATTTAAAATAAGTAAGATGAAAAAATATATGTATTTCCTTTTAGTATATCATATTTGTGTAGATTAAGCATAAATTTAATGAAACACCTTATTATACTCTTACAATGTAACCTGTTAGCAAATTACTCGTAGCATTATTATAGTCTGTAGAATGACTTGTAAAATATTAGGTTTATCGCAATGTAAAATGTCACTATTTTAATGTCATTAAAGTATTGAAGTAGGATTTGTGTTTCATATTGTTAAAGATTGGATGCCGGAGTTTTCATAATTTATTCTACACATTCATGAGGCACCACTAAACTACAAAAATGACTCTGACAAAGATGGAGGTGGACTCGGCGAAGGGCGAAGGATTTCGCCCTTACTACATTACCAAGATTGAAGAGTTGCAACTCATTGTGGCTGAAAAATCACAAAATTTGAGAAGATTGCAGGCTCAACGAAATGAACTTAATGCTAAGGTGCGTATGTTGCGTGAAGAATTGCAACTGTTGCAAGAGCAGGGTTCATATGTCGGAGAAGTGGTTAAACCCATGGATAAAAAGAAAGTTCTTGTTAAAGTACACCCGGAGGGCAAGTTTGTCGTGGACTTAGACAAGAACGTTGATATCAACGATGTCACCGCCAACTGCCGTGTTGCGCTACGCAACGAAAGCTACACCCTCCACAAAATTCTACCTAACAAAGTTGATCCTTTGGTATCTCTTATGATGGTTGAAAAAGTGCCTGATTCCACTTACGAAATGGTCGGTGGGTTGGATAAACAAATTAAGGAGATCAAGGAGGTCATTGAACTTCCGGTTAAACATCCAGAGTTATTTGATGCTCTAGGTATAGCTCAACCGAAGGGAGTGCTGTTATATGGGCCACCTGGTACTGGAAAGACCTTGCTAGCTAGAGCTGTTGCTCATCATACAGAGTGTACTTTCATCCGTGTGTCTGGTTCAGAATTGGTGCAGAAATTCATTGGAGAAGGAAGTCGTATGGTCCGAGAGCTCTTTGTTATGGCAAGGGAACATGCTCCATCAATCATATTCATGGATGAAATTGATTCTATTGGTTCTTCCCGTATTGAATCTGGTAGCGGTGGGGATTCAGAAGTACAAAGAACTATGTTAGAGTTGCTAAATCAGTTAGATGGTTTTGAAGCAACAAAGAACATTAAAGTTATCATGGCGACCAATCGAATTGATATCCTGGATCCTGCCTTATTGAGACCTGGTCGTATTGATAGGAAAATTGAATTCCCTCCACCGAATGAAGAGGCTCGTTTGGATATTCTAAAAATTCATTCCCGTAAAATGAATTTGACTAGAGGTATCAATTTGCGGAAGATTGCCGAACTCATGCCGGGGGCATCTGGTGCTGAAGTGAAAGGTGTGTGTACTGAGGCTGGCATGTACGCTTTGCGCGAACGCAGAGTCCATGTTACCCAAGAAGATTTTGAGATGGCTGTAGCTAAGGTCATGCAAAAGGATTCTGAGAAAAATATGTCCATTAAGAAATTATGGAAATAGAATAATTTTTTTTTGTGTATTCTTTATATATCTCAAATAATTAGATTTTCTTTGTATTACATTGTTGTTTATTTTCTCTTCAAACTAACTACTCTTTGACAAATTATAAAATCAATTTTGTCTAAGTTGGTATGTGCTAAAAATGGCCTTTAATCTTTAGTAAAATAAATGATTTAGCATTGATTAAATTTCATACATAATGCCTGGTAAGACTAAAAAATTACATTGATGGCAGAAAGGTAAGTATTGTAAAACATTGATTTGTTCATTGAAGAAAGATTAAATGAAAATGCATAAGCAATCATCATACAGTTTAATTACAAAACATAAACATTTTCGAGTTATTTCATTGAATTATGCTAAGCCATAACAATTTGATAACTCATATATCACACCACATATTCACATTAATGCTAATAACAATAATCAATCATTCACATGAACAAAAATAATTATCTTAATCTTAATAATTTCTTGCTTTCATTTATATCAATATCTGACTCTGTGTCAGATATATTCTGTTGTGTCTCAAATGCCAATTCTTGTGTTGCCTGCAAATCAATAATATTTTTTATTAGATATTTGCTCGTAAAGTGCATGTAATTACATCAATTTCTAATATCATTACGCATTGTGCGATAATGTTGTGCAAATGAACGGTGTTTTTTTAAATAAAGTTTTAAGATACTCCGTCTCAAAATGAACGATCTTTTAATCTAATCTTAGCAAAGAGGTTTTATGTCAAGAAAGTGGTCAATATTTTATGAATAAAATTAATTTTAATTAAAGATTTATTCGTTTAGTTAGAGTTTTACTAATTTCCTCGTAAATATGTTATAAAACGTCGTATAACATGCGTGCGCTTTGAAAATTAGAGCCTCTTTTTTTCGGGCGGGCTAGTAAGCCTCTGCAACTTTCAACTTACCGCACTTATATCATAATGTACTATAATATTTCTTATACAATTGGCTAGATTATAAACAGTTTTACTCTCCCACATCTCGAAAGTACTCGGGAAGTTAAAATAACATATTGTAGAAGCTAAAACTATATAAAATAATCTGTGCTTCTTGGGTTCACATTAGTTCATCACAAGTTGATGACATCATGGTGTCAGATGATTCAAACACAGAAAACCGAAGAAGCTTTGCAAAATGGCCGCATAAGCCTTACACAATTAAAACTAATAGGTGTTCATCGAGTTGTACTTAATTATATTATTTTAAAACTATCTTAATCAACTCCAATTTATGGTTTAACTTACTATTGGCTTTGTTCTCTGAAATGAATCATTCCATATATTTCTGACATACTGCAGTGGATTAACGAATTCATGATTTGTTCTTCTGGAAAAGGATTTAATTTTTATTTACGTAATTCGACATACAAAGCAATGGTTAACACCCACACTCAACCCTTAGAAAAATCAATAGCATTATTTATTTATAGTAAGTATGACAGCTTATGTATCGTTTATTAGCTACAATACTCAAATATGCATTAATACAGAGAGCTTCGGACACAAGGATGACTTTGATTCGGAAAATAAGTTTAATAATCTTGCAAGGAAAGAGTATTCAAATAGGATTCAAAGATTAAATTAATAATAAAATAAAATCTACCAATATTATCTTTTAAGTATATATAGTATAGTATTTAGGCGTGGGCAAGAATTTCGGTTTTCTTCCAATGAAAGAAAAAACAACAAAAATTATCTTACTTTGGCTCGGAGTTTATATAAATAACACCATGAACCGTCAACCAAATAAAAAGGACAATAGATTCGTTACGACTAAACAATTTATTAGGTATGATATAAAATCTCACCCAGCAGTAGGAATCTCAATAATTGAGTTTGTGAAACGTGTCACTCCATCTGATCCTGGCCGATTCTCGTATCTAACCCTGAAAACAAAAACGTAGTTTTAATAATTTATTCTTAATGTTATAAACGAAAGTCTGTTTTTTTATTCCCCGCTTGCTTCTAGTTAGAATACCTACGTAGTAATCTTTAAACTTATAAAAAATTTCAAAGCATTTAAAATTGGATTAGTTTTCAAAATATTATATTCTTCTATGATATATGTATTAATGTAGAATTCATATTATTTATTTAATTACTCATCCGTGCACATGTTCGTACTGTTTTAGAGTTCAGTTTTTTAATTAAATAAAATTCGTTAAATAATTTATAACTTAATCAATTATATATTTTTATTTGTTGCGTCACGAACTTTCAGTGTGTCAATCTGCAGGCACAAAAAATAAATAAGACTTAAGGAAGAAGACAGAAAGCATGGGCTTTTTCGATGAGACTCGGACAGAATTTCGATACTCCTACCACCAGACGAAGTCCAACAGGTTTCAGAAACCAAAAACATCGTTCTTTTTGTTTCTGATGTTAGACCTGGTGGGGATCGAACCCCTGACCCGTTGATTGGTAGACATACATTACTACCTTTAGATCATCGAGCCCGTCATATATGTTATGAAATGTACGAATAAATAAATTACTTACTGCACGTAATTGTCTCGGCGATTCTTGCGTACCTTTACGATCTGATAGTAAAGAAACACGCAAAGGTATATTCCGAACAGGACAAGGACAACAATAATCAGAGTGGAGGTGACCGATTTACCAGAAGAAACCTCTTGAAGAACTTGCCCATTAATAAGCGGTAACTGAAAACAACCATTTATCAGGAAGTCTGACAAGGCAATAGACACTGTCTATAGTTAAAGTGTACTTTAAATAAAACACTTTAAGAAACAATATATTAATAAACATTTGAAAATGAGTTTTAACTTCGGCCTACGTCTCCCCGTGACCACGGGCTGCTAGCAAAGCATCCGAAACGTCGGGCCGAAGTTAAAAATCATTTTCAAATAAGTTTAACCAATATATCGCGTTTTAAACCGTTAAAGTGTTTTATTTTTTAAAAAGGCATACAGACATCTAAAGCTTAACAATGAAATAGGATTTTTTGATCTCAAGTTATTATTGTACATGAAGGCTTCGTGTTGAAGTCCTGCCGAGTCGAAAATGTTTTCAATTTATTTTAGATTTTTTAAAAATGTATAAATTAATCAATAACCAGTTGTCAATTAATTAAAATTCGATTATAAATTGAAAAACATTATGAGTCGGGCAGGACTTAAACTGGCATCAACAGCGTTCCGTGCTGTTGCTCTAACCTATAAGCTATCGAGTCGTTATACCCTATAGTGACATCATTGTGAAAACTATTACAAAGTTAAAAAAAAAAAAAAATTTGGGGAAAAAAATTTTTCCGGACTAAGGAAACTTGGACAGAACAAATATATATTATACAACTATGAATCTCCCTATCTTTAATAATTGATAATTAATTTAAAGAAATATAATAATTAAAAAGAGAACCTACCTACCTAAACCAAAAAGAGAAACAATATGAAAAATATTAAAGTTTTTAATAATCGCGTAAGTTTTAGTAATATATGAACTTAATGTAATGTTGTTTCCATGCAGTGTTATTATGAAAAAAACATCTAAGAAGAGACAAGCTGGTGATATTTTAAGGTCTATTTTGGTAAAGGTTAAACGTTGTACGCAAGTCACGGTCGATAGTACAGCGCAGACCTCGCGCAAGGATTGCTCCGCCCATATAAAACCCAGGGCCCAGTAATCGGGCAGGACCAGGAGACCAGAAAAGACGTTCAGTGAGTAAGCTGAATTAAAACTTTGCAAAATCACATTTAAACTGCTCATACTAATTGCATAAATGGTTATAAATATTTTAAATGCTTGAGGCTGTAACTTTGTTATTCCCAAAAAAAATCCTTAATCAATATCTATGTTCATGTGCTTACAAATCACTATAGTGATAAAAGTGTTCTTAGAAATTAACAATGTATTTTTATCGTTCGATTTTTGAATTAATAATGTTTCTGTTTGTAATTTCCGCGAGAAGTACTGTAAGTATTTGAAAATTATTTGAACTACGGCCCGACGTTTGTCTCCCCGTGACCACAGCTGCTGCAATGCATTTTTAGTAAGTTAAAGGAGTTCAAATAATTTTAAAATAAGTTTAACTAATATATTTCACGTTTGAAACCGTTAAATTATTTTATTAAGTAAATTTTGTTCGCATTGTATAGACTTATGTCTGTGTATATTCTTAAGTGCTAGAAAGGATTTCGTAACATCAACAGACACTAACGACAGTTATCAACGGTTGCTGGTCTTCAGGATGGAAGATTTTGTACAACAAGGATTTGCTCTTCGAAGTACCCGAACAGAGCTGATGTGAAGCAATCTGCACTGTTCGGGTATTTCGGTAAGCGGCTCCGAAACCCACAAGAAATAAGCGGACCATTGCTTGAGCTACGTCCTTTAATTGATGAACTCCCAACACGTATCTTTGTCCCCATTACATATTATGACGTTTCGTGTTGTGGGTCTGATGGCGTCGATGTCAACTTTTATAAACTGTATACCTAAGCACTCGTACACATGTGCTATGTATGTGGTAAATGGCTGTGTATGTGGTAATAGATAAATAAATGTATACTGTTGGTATTGTCAAAAGTGTGTATGACTACATTCATTATTTCAATGACGTATTTTTTAGCACACAAGAACTTTGAACTAAATAAATTTTAAGTCTTAAGAAGATAAACAAACAAAATTCATTTAAAACTATAATAGTTATGCCTTTAAACATTATTATTGACTAGCTATGTCAGCGACTTCGTCCGCGTAAAATAGTTGTTTTGGGCATCAAAACTTGCAAGTTTATCTTATAAGAAAGATATATAGTGTCGCAGAGTTTTTTTAGATCATCTTAAGAGTGATAATTTTTTTATAACTTTGATAGATGCTTTAATAAAGCCAAAAATCATTGTTAAGTTCCCACCAGTGGTCCCTGAGAATAGCGTGTTCAAACAAACAAATTCTTTAGCTTTATATATCAGTATAGATAGCATAGATCAAATGCCTTACCTCAATTTTCTTCGAATCCGCACAAATGCCATCTCCCGAAAGATCACCGTTTCCACATACGCAATTGGGGAAGTCTGCCAGCACACACACATTTGAACATGCACTATTCAAACATCCGTTTTCAGCCTCTACGCTTTGACGGCGAATCGCAAAGTTCGTAGCGTTTATGTATAAGTAGGTTTCACATGTCTGAAAGCCTTTTAGTAAGCAGCGATTCAATTTGTAACCGTCCAGGTAGTAAATGTAGCCTTCTAGTATAGTTGGACTCCTTGGAGATTGTATGTGCGGATTGCGCTTGAATAGCGGAGCTCTGAAATAATTGTTCACAGAAACACATATTATTTAACAAATAATTTGAAGGGCCGTCTGTTCGATCTCCACCAGGTCCAACACGTTTCTATTTTTCTGAAACTCCGTCCTGTAAATTCCGTCCGAGTCCACCACAAACCACAAATGAAAAGGCCGTGAAGCTTAATCGCGTTTCGGCTTCAGTCTGTGGATTTCCGAATATCCAAAGCCAAATGTGTGCTTGCAAGTGTGGTCGTGATGGTGTGTATTATGTATGTACTTACATATGGAGCCCGTTATAATCGACGTGCCACAACTCTCCAGGGCTGTCAAAAATATATAATTTCTTCGCTGAGCTATCTATGGCCAAACCAGTGCAATTACTAACGTACGCTACATTGGCTGAGTCCCTTCCAGCTAAGGAGGCGGATTTTACGGCACTGCCATTCGTTTGGGATATACAGTAGAACATTAAACGATGTACTGGATCTACTACTAGAGCTGGTACCTGTCAAAGGTAAGATCGTTAGCTACTTTTTGTAATTCAAATATTGGTTAAAAATCGATTATAAATAATTGAATGACTCGGCCACTCTAACCGATTGAGCTACCGTGTCATACACGTCGTCGACGAATTTTTTCAACCTATTGACACATGCACCTCTCGCGCAACGCCTGCGCGCGCAGGCACTGTGGTTGCCGGTTCGAGTGCTGCCCTTGTTGTAATATTTTTCAATTTATAATTGATTTTTAATTTATTTAGTTCCATCATGTACAATAACTTGTGAAAAAAAGTTTAAAGTTTTTAAATTATAATTGTATACTAATTTCTATGTTACTTTTAGCCTTATCCTTGCAAAATTACTTTTTGAATAATCTATGACCCTCTATGAAAGAGAAATTTGTTTATGGTAGGGTTGTGGCAGCTTAAGTTTAAGTCAAAGATTTTTAAATTTTCAAATATTCATTGGCATTGAAACTTAACAATTAATAAAAAACAAATGAATATCGCTTTTGATGAATCTTACCACAGAGTTAGATGGCATTCTTTCTAACCGAGCACAAGACTTCTTGGCGAAATTACAGACCCTGATGAAGATGTTATCTGGCGTGGCGTCCACAAAGTATACATTTCCTGTTATCCAATCTACAGATATCTAAATGATATGTTATTAATTAGTCAAAAAGTTTTACAATTTTGTATTGTTTATTCGTTTTTATAGCTGTGATCGAGTTCATATATTTTAAATTTTTAAGCCATTAAAAATAGTTTTATTTGGTATTTAAGACTTTATTTATATGTGTTTAGTAATTTGTGACACTATTTTCCTCAAAACCTAAGCTTTACACAAAATTATCAAAGCTGAGAAGCAAAATACAGCTAAAAAAAGTTATTTTTAGCTATATTTTGCTTCTCTGCTAGTACTTCTTTCTGTTCTTACTCTCAACTCTCAAATTTTGATGCTAAAAATATATATTTGTATACAAATTTAAATTTTTTTAAGTTGAATGGTATGGCGCTAATACGTATTGAAGTTTTATACTGAAATTATGGTTCTGTACGTGGACATCTTACCTTAGTAGGCCAACCGATATTGCCTATAGCAGTGGTAGTTGAAGTGTTTTGATTTCTGTTAATTTCTATAACCTCTCCACTCTCTAAAACGCTTATATACAATTTATTGTTCCTGAAAAATATATTACATAATAATGTCTGTAGTTAACATGAGTCTGTAGTACACATTTGATTATAACACTTTAACGGTTTAAGGGAGGAGGAGGTTTAAAATGCCATATATATTAGACACCCTCCATCTTTTGTCTCTCTGCGACCACGACTGCTGCAAAGCATCCGAAACGTCGGGCGGTAGTTAAACTTATTTTCAAATAAGTGTCGCGTTTAAAACCGTTAAAGTGTTTTATTTAAATATCACATAATGTTTATTAATACATATTGTATTGCAAAGCTTTTGTCATTATTTTTAGATTAAAGGTTTACTTTAAAGCCTTGTCGCTCTTACTTGCACTTTACTGATCGATTTAAAAAACGAGTAACTTACCTAAAATCATAATCTAGGTCAGTGATAGATATGTTTTGGAAATAAGTGTGTTCCAGGAAGTGTCGGTGAGCGAAAACCGACCATATGCTGTTGCCGTTTGAGTACAAGATGCTTGTGTCGCCGCTTAAGGCTTTGCAGGTACGGTGGTCGGATCTGGATAAAAATTGGCAAAGTGCACTTTATAATGAATTATAATGTTTATTTCTAACTTAATCATAAAATCAAAATCAAATAGCGTCCCTTCTTTGCAGTTATGGTCAATAAACATTTATCAACATAAAACAGTGAAATCACGTCATCCCGCGTGGGGCATGGGGCGAACACATTTCTGTGCCCGTTTCACTGTTGAGTACGTACAGGTCGGTTGTATAACAAGTTGATAATCAGACTTCTATGCTCTGCCTGACTGAAACAAGTTATTGTTTTCCAGGTATTCGAACTGAGGACCTGTCGCGCTTAACGCAATGCTTATGTAAACATTTAGCTATAGAGGCAGTTTATCAGTGTATTGCACTAATATAAAAATAGGTACCCTAGAAATAAAACCACTGTCAACTGGCTCCCATTTGAGTCCCTTTTATGTTTAGTTAAATTGTTACCTCAGCGAATATCCGAGGTGACACGAGCATACAAAAGATCCCGGTGTGTTGTGACACACTTGAGCACAGACGTCTGACAAACATTCATCTACATCGTCACAATCATTGCCGTTCTTTTTATATCCATTTGGACAAACGCAGGCCGGTCCTTGTGGTGTGGGCCGGCAAAATTTCGGGCATAACTCCGTACACGGGTTCGCTGAAACAAATTTATCTCTGGTATTTTGATGGCTGGATTTTTTTTCCAAAATATTAAGTTTGATATTCGTTGTAAGCCTAATATAATATGATAAGTACATATATTTCAACTTACTGCAATTTCCATTCTCATCAGAGCCATCCTGACAGTTAGTGACTTTGTCACAAACTTGTTCCCATTCTATACATTCTCCGTTAACACATCTGAAGCCATTGGTACATGAGGTCGTTGGGGTGCTGATTTTTTTCAATGGGATGTTTTTATTGGCTGAAAAAAAAAGAATATAATTTTAGAACAATTTTGTAAAAAAAGACTAAACGTTGGTATTACGCGAGCAATATACACTTTTAACTTTATCATGGATTTTTTTTTTAATCAAATGCCGTGATTCACAGATTATGGAACAGCCATGATTTGGTTTTAGGCTATAGATTCCTGTTTAATAGCAGGTCTTACATTTTATAGAACATAGGTGTTTACTCCAAATGAACTCCGAGCTTGTCTTTACTAATCTTAAAAAATTGTATTCAAACAGCGCTCACCCTTTTCACAAGCTTCCACCGTTTCATCAGAACCATCAGCACAGTCGTTGCGTCCGTTGCAGAGTTGCCTCTTCGTTACGCAGACGAGCTCCTGTTTGCAGGGAAACATGCCTTTCGGGGCACAATGGAAATCACATCCAACTTCGTCGGTACGCCCAGGACATTCCACTTTGCCGTTACACCTGCAGAAAAACTTAATACTCTTTACAGAGTATTTGGGGAGCAGTTGCGAATTTTAACCGGTCTATGGTTCGGTGGAATAGTGATTGGGGTAGCATTTTAATTATTTAGGGTTTATTAATTTATGTAAGGGCGCATCTATGTTGTAAATGCTACTTTGCCGCAACACTCTCACCTCACATCACTCCTACTCTGACTCCCACTCTCATTCCTACACTCACTCCCAACTCACCACTCCCATTGCCATTCCCACTCCCACTCCTATTCCTATTCATATACCCAAACAGCCAAACAAGAAAGTTTTAATTGTTCTAGCTTCAAAAACCACCATTTTCCATACTAACTTTCATTCCCCTTTTCATCCCTTATCAACCCTTATTTGGCATTAAATACCCTATGTCTTTTCTCAGGCTTTAAAATGTCTGTGTACCAAATTTAATTTAAATCAATTCAGTAGTTTCGGAGTTAAAGACGGACAGATAGACAGAGATACTTTCGCATTTATAATATTAGTATAGATTATTAAAGATGTCTAATAAAAATATAGCTTCATATGTAAATGTTTTTAGGAAAGTTGTTTGAAAGAAAATTTTCTCTCTTGTGTTGTTTTTTGTCCGATGTTTAAGCTCTTTCGTTTCTTTTTTGAGTTTATTTTAACATATACAATTAGTATAATAGGTACCGTTATTACCATTAACAAAATATTAGGCGATTTTAACATTTAAAGTATTAACATAGAAACAATATATATAAATAGAAATATATCTAGACGATATAATGACCATGGACCCTATAAAGTTAGTCTTACCGAGCTGTTAATGGTAAACAAATGCTTGAGTTGAGTTCGCAGCTGAATTCCCAAGGATGACAAGATGGGATGAAGTCCTGTAAAAATAGAAGTTACATATAGAAAGTAAGTAACATTAACGGGCTTGTTGGTCTAACGGTGGCAATGGATGGCTAATATTTAATATTATCATCCGAAACATCGGGTTAAAAAACAAGTCAAATGAGTTTAACTTACATACATATTGCGTTCTAAAACCGTTCATCGCGTAAACTACCGACAGTATTATCAATCATCATTTTTCAAAATATTTTCCTAAAATTATTTTGACTTTGTCTGGAAAATCTGGATATTGAGGGAGGGACACCACTTGCACGAAACCTTGCGCGAAATTTAAATTTTAAAGTAAGTGTTTATTTACAGTGTACAACTCGCGTAAACTATAGACAGTATTTAGGGATGTCTAAAGACAAATTAGGTCGACAGTCATTTTATGACTATCGGCCTAATATGGAAAGGAAATACCTTCCATCAAATGAAACTCATATTTGTCTATACTCATCTATCTCAAAAAAAACATAATTCATGCCCTTTTAAGGGTTCTCTTTTTTTATATTTTGGAGAATCTATGAGCATTGGACTTACGATTACATATATCTCAATTACCTAAAACTTACCGTTAAAATTTCCGATGCATCGCAGTTATTCTCATCAGATGCATCGGAGCAGTCGAAATTGCCGTCACAGCGTTTGATCAGTTTGATACAAGAGGAATCGCCGCATTGAAAGAAGTCTTCTGGGCAGGTTTTATCACGTGGGACTAGAAAGATACATTAAGTGCCGTTAAAAATATATTCACGTAGGTAACTTAGTAATAAGGCATATTATAGAATGAGTGTATGATAATAGTTTTGTGCCTTTACCAATGAAATTTATTATGTGTTATGTTGCCCTAGATTTGATCCAGAACGCTAATGACCTATGTGCATACAAAAATATTTGAGATTGAGAGGACTATTTTTTAATTATAGAATTATAGAATATCCCTATTAGAGTCAAACAATCTGTCTTTTATTTTTAAAAGATAAACTTCATACCACAATTAATTTCGTCTGATCCATCAGCACAATCCATTGACTCGTCACATCGCCATGTCGAAGGTATACAGTATCCGGATGAACACCTTTCGATAAACAAACAATTGGTTAATCACATTTATAAGGCATAAACACTTATAAGATTTCGTAGCTATAATGGTCTTCTCCCACCACTTTAATTTCCACCAGGTTTAAGTGTCTGGTAGCAAGATATACTGTTGAGGTCACGAAAGGAACTTATATCTTCCTACGCTTGGTTTAAGTATGCACGTTTCCAAGTATCTATTTAGTTGTCCGTACATTTTCCACTGTCATAAGCAATAAAAAAATTACATGAACTCTGACTGCAAGCACGATAGGGTATCACATTCAGCTGGTAGTTCATCACTTCCATCTGGACAGTCTATTATTCCGTCGCAAATTGACGACCTCTCTATGCATATAGATGTATCACCACAACGGTCTTCTGTAGGACTGCAAGTCACTTCATCTAAAAGAATTATATCAAATAGAGAACGGAAAATGAATGAAAGTAAGTGGGTAGATTTGAAAATAATATTACCAGTTTTGCATATTGCGTTTCTATTGATGCACGTATTATTGCACCATTTCTCATCAAATTTGCATAGTGGATTTTCTGTGATAGCCGTCGTTGCTGGAAAATATTTATTATTTTTATATTAAGTTCTTTCTGGCTAGATCATAATATAATCTATATAAAACCACTTTTGTACTCATTTTTATCACTGGATTTTTGGGCATTATAATAGTAACCTTTGAGAATTAAAAAACGGCTGCAATATCCAGCTTAATTCAATATTTTTAGATAGCACTTACGTGAGCAGTTCTCTTCATCCTCGCCGAATTTACAATCATTGTGGCCGTCACACCTTTTACTTGACAAAAAGCACTCGTTACTTCTATGGCAGTAATGTTCATAAGGCTTACAGGAGACTATCTCTTCACATTTATTGTCTATCTGAAGTAAGCCAACTGGGCATAGACATTTATAACCCATGTCAAGGTCTTGTGGGACTGGGTGGGAGACTTGGACACAGATGTGAGAACAAGGAGTCGTGTTTTGGTTGCATGCGTGTTTTAATAGAGGATTTGTGCTGTGCATTGGTGGTGTTGTAGCTTGGAGGTGTAGGAACGTTTTATTACTGAAAATTGCTGAAAATTGCCCGTAATACTCGTTATCACAATGTTACTAATATATAATATAATAAAAAATATAAAAAAACATCATACATAAACTCATTCTACGTAATTTGTAACCAGCCTTGTGTACGTCAGCCCAGTACAGATGCTGTGTATGTCTGTCTGACCAGAAGACGTGTGTGTCTGTAACCGCTAAACTTCCCAACGAGGTCACGAATTTACGAAAATGTTCTCGGCCCGTACCTTTAAATTTCAAAAATAGAAAAATATTAATTGTAATTATAAGGTAGAGGCACATTCTTGTAGAAATAGTGTTTTGTGCACAACAAAACATGTCTTAGGACTAGATTATTTGAAGTATGCTGTTTTACACCTCATCGTCGAATTTTTTCAACTTATTGATACATGCACCTCTCGCGCAGTGTAAATTCAACCTTAACACTTGCGTACTAATGTTTTCAAACGTATGCTGTTTTGTTTAGCTATAGAGCTGCCTCACCAACTATATTTATTCTTTTGTTTTTACAGCATTCATGTACTTACCCTCTGGATGCAAGTAATCAATAACACCACTTCCTTCATCGGCAACATAGATAATGTCCATTTCTGACGAATATCGCAGACGGATATTGGGACCTAAGTGAAATATACGTTGTATACGTGTATGGTATATATACCTATAAATTGTATCTAGTTTTCGAGTGTACAATTAATTGAAACAACTTATGAGTAGTCAAAAATAAGTAGTCGATGTTCTATCATTCCTTTAATTTTCAGACGATGTCTAGTACTTTAAGATTTTTAAAAATTATTAGTGGGATCGAAGCCCCGACCCGTCGATTATTATTAGCCGTACCTCCTATTAGACAAACGACCCCGTCGAATTATACAATTCATAATTAGCAACGGCAATATTAATAATTGTCTAATATGTTTCAGCACTTAACCCATTTACTGTTAATTTAAGAAGGAATTAATCAAAATATCATGGCTATTATTAGTAATCAAGTTTGACAAACCTAATAGATTATTGGTGAGAACATGTTTTCTATCGTTTCCGTCTAATCCTATGCTATCTATATGAATTTCGTTGTTGAGCTCACTTTCGGCTACTGCTATTACTAGACGCCTGAAAAAAAAGGTAATATGCACATATTACAACGTTAGCGTCAGTTAAAAAATTACTGAAGATAACAAGGTAGTGTGTTCGAAGCCCGCACGATATTATAATACAGTTTAGAATTTTTCTAAGATCATTCTTAATACTACGCAGTTACGAATTAGGAAGTGCTAATAGGAACCGATTATCTTTATTAAATTTGTGGGTAGTTATTAAATTTTACCACCTCTCTTTTATTAGATCTGTGCCCCAAATTAAAATAATATATACTAATACCCATAATCTGGCACAATACAAAAGCTTATTAGTGTTTCTTGAGTACGAAAACGATGTAGCAAAGTTCTTTGCTTATTCCTTAACGATATAACATCAATCATACGACGGCCTGCGTCGAGTATGTATAAGTTATCGGAAATGTAATCTGAAACAATAGAAGGCATCTGATATAAATCTGTTTGTGCCCCGGTACATAAAGAAAGATCGGACCCTCATGCTCTCGTTTCGATTAGCTTAGACTTATGTATAAACCTCCAAAATTATACATACGTACAAGAATATTTCATTTATTTTAAGAAAAAAAAGCTTTCTTTATTTTCTTTTAAACTTATCTCTTTTCGAAGATGAGATTAGAAGCCCCCCCCCCCCCCCCTAAGCTTTAAGACCGTAGGATAATAAATAATTAAAGAATTTGCAATTACTTAATACTTTTACTTTTAAATGGGTCCAAGTTTAAAACCCCATAGATATAGTAATTTATGGAATGTGATCATCTATAAGCAGATATTGTAGCAGCCCCATAACCTGTACAGGGGAAAAGGGTACCTTACTTACCGTAATCCATATCTACAACATTATCAAATCCAACATATGACACTAAATGCGTGACGCCAAGAGTAAAGTCACTCATATTTATGTAGTTAATAGATTTTCTATGGCCATCATACAAATATAGGGTATCTGTAACGGTTAATTTGTATTTTAGAAAAATAAAAGCTTAATTTTCTTTACAATTCGAGTCTGGCTCGAAGGACCAGATTTATTTTACCTCTACGATTATCGTATGCCATTGCTTGTACACGTCCTATGTCGAAGTGTGTGGCGTGGGTCTCCGGGTTCCCTAAGGCGCTGTATTGTATCCGAGTGAATAAGGACCCACTGCCAACGACCAGATGCTGAGGACGATACTCCGGTATTGCTGGAAAGATTGGGTGAATGATTTTCAATAATTGTAATTTGGTTACCTTATTCGTCTAATGGTTAGTTGACTGTGTATCACGAGCTCCAAGGAATTTTCCAGTAACAATATAGTTACATTAAAATTAAGTCACAAGTCTTGGTTATCAGCGATAGTCAAAAGCCTATCCACAGTAAAAGCCTATCAATCCGCAACGATAGGCCCTTAATCAATGAACAGGCTATGTACAGCCGTGGGCCTTTGTTAGTATGTTAGTATGTCGTACTTACGTTTGCACATTCGACCGAAAAAGTTTCATTCCTTCGGGACACAGGCAGGAAAAAGTTGAGTTAGATGTTGGTACACAAATGTGGGTGCATCCACTACGAGCACACGGGTTGATAGTTCGTTGCATCAGTAAGGGATGATATATATGCATGTCTGTCAAAACAAAAAATAGTTAGAGCTTTCTATCACAACCACAACTAAAAGATTTTATTGAACGACATGTCATACTTCTTACATAAGAGCGCATGTTTCTTTAGGTTTTGAATATTTATTTAACTAGGTAACTCATCTTGTAACTTATTTAGTTAACTTACTTTGACCCGACGTTTAAGATGTTTTGCAGCATCCTGACTATGGCGTATTCCGTTAAAATGTGTTTTATTTAAAATAATTAGATAGTTGAAAGTTAGTCGTACCATAATTAGGATTAAATATAGCAAGTTTGAACATTTACCAAAAACAGGTTCTTTTAGATTAGCAAGTAGATCCCTCTTTTCGGAACTGTGTAGTTTGTCAGCAGTCTGTATGGTACCGGACGTCCAGTCACTCCAGTAGACAGTATTCTCGAAGACTGATATTGAGTAGGGCTGGTGGTGAGGCTCTTCGAATAGTGACTGCGAATTCATTTCGGTTTTATTAATTACAAATGTATCAGTTTGAATTGTCAACGCAAGGGTAATAACGCAACGTTTTGGAATAAAGAGAACCCGTGTTTTACCAATTTTATGTTATCATTTAGATACGATTCGGAGCCATTTGTGTCACTTCCAATGGAAAAAATATCATGTTTCTCCAAGCCACTATGGTCAAACCTCTACTTTCGTTAGACTTTGGCGCCAATACGAGTAACATACACAAATCGAACAATATCATAATTTTCACTTACATAAACTTTCCTATCAAACAATTTAACTACTTTTATAGTGCCATCAACGAAGTACATCCGTTGGTTGGGGCTATCAAGGGTAAGACCTGTAGGCCTTAGATGTCCCAGGTTATCGACCAAAATTTCGGCTTTGCCATCTGAACCATCCATTCGAGATGTTAATATCAGCGCCCTCTCTTGCCAATCCGCCCAATACATTTGGCTGTAAATAAAACATAACACAATTCATTTAATATATTAAGAGTATAAGAAGAATTACGGCAAAAGTGGAAAAAGAAAAATCTAATCACTTAACAGAATTTTGCATTTACATATGTACTAATATTATAAAGCGAAAGAGTTTGTTTGTTTATTTGTTGAAACGGGCTAAGCTCAGGAACTACTGGTTGGTTGGACCATTTATCGAGAGGGCTTCAAGCTGTAGAACATCAAGCATCAGAGACAATAGTCTCATAGGAGTGAAGTGTAAAAAACGAAAAACATTATTCATCTTCTAGAGTTACCGTTGCGTGAGTTGCAAAAATCATTCAAGATACACAGTATTATTGAAAGAATGACTTTCTTTCAATAGTCTTAAAAAATGGCCGCGACAGTATATCTTTTAATATTAACTCACAACAACCGTTTTTATTGTAATCGATATAATGATTAATAATAAAAATACTTCGAATGCCGAAAAAAATGTTGGTTGTTAGGTCACCTAAATAAAACAGAATATAAGATTTTTTCTTCCTTTTAAAAACTTATATCTTTTTTCTGGTTCAATCTATAATATGAAACACAATAATGCAATTGTTTGACAACCATACAAAGAAGGGCGGAAGTCAAGAGCCTTTAATTTACTTTTGATAGCAATAGATACGTAAGTAGGGATTTATTAATGTACATATGTAAAATTAAAATGGTCCAATTGAGTCCTGGAACCAGCTCAGGGGGAGGGGGAGGTGGGAGGGAGTCGAGACGCCATGGCCCCCCTGAATTCGCAGGTGCGTATACAATGATATTTACCCATTAACTGGATCCAATGTGACGTATCTAGGATTCTTAGTCTTCGCGTGCAAAACGCTACACACGGATCCATCAGTTTTGCAAACACCAATAATACCACGTTCTACATCTGTGAAGTAAATGTTTCCACCGAGCCAGTCCAGAGCTATATCACCAGGGTCTTCCAAGCCCAGAGCAACTATTACCTGATAAAGTAAAGGCGACATAGAATTTAAGCGAAAGAAAATATATATTGTACATAATATTCTATTTATTATATTGGCAAATAAGATAGAGTTCACTTAATGGTATATGAAATACCCGTCCTATAGCGGCTATAGCATCTGAACGAGTTGCGCTGTCGACTTATTTTGGCTTTAGACTTTCAGAAATCCACAGACTGAAAGCGAAACGTGACTAAACCGTTTTTTCCTCTGCGGACGGTGGTTCGTGTCCCGGACGGAATTTCCAGGCGAAGTCCAACATGTTTCAGAAAAATATAAAATTACTGGACCCGGTGGGGAACGCACCCACGATCCGTTTATTATTAGCTGTTACACAGACACACACATTTTTTTTAACAATTTTACTACATACACTTACTTCTTTCGTTTCTTGAACATTGGTAATCAGAGCTCTAACAATAGCTTGGTGTCCGTCAGCCGTTTCAACCCAGTATACATAAGCCCCATCGTAAGTGACTCCATGCGCCTGTAACAAAATAAAAGATGACTCAGTTGAGACCCGAACCCACGACTACCCTACTCTTGACGTACCGTATCAATTGGGCTACTTATTAATATATGTCAAAACTACTACGTTGAGTGCTTAAGCAAAAGGTAAGAAGTATTGTCTGTAGTTTATGCTAGTAACTTAAAAAACGTAAACATTTAAGTTTCTTAGAACGGTTTGAAACAGTGATTTGAAGCAGTTACGATCCCCGCGTGACCACAGCTGCTGCAAAGAATCTGAAATGTGTGCGTTGCACCGTAGTTAAAGTATTTTGTATCTTAGTTAACTAATATATTTCCTGTTTTAAACCGTTAAGTGTACTATTTAAAAGGTAAGTAGTCATATATTTACAAGATAGGTTTCTTGTGCTTGATATAAAACTTCTACTATTAAAACAAAATGAAAATTTATATATTTATATAAATATAAAATATACCTGTTTAATGCCAGATGCGATAACACGCTGTTCCTTAGATTTCACTTTGATATAACTAATGGCGTTGCGTGTGCTGAAGAACAACATGGCTTCGGGATCTAGTACAAAAAAAAAACTATTTTAAGATAGTGATGAACAAACAAGCATGTGGTTCAATTGATCGGTGAAATACATTTTAACATTTTGGTACCTTTTGCGGATATTTGCAAATCCACTGACTACAAACAAAAGGCAATTAAACTTGGCGACTTATTCTTCTGTGGTAATGGACGTGACCCGGGGGGAACTTTGGATATTTCTGCCATGAATATACGGATTTCCAAACGAAGTCCAAAATGTTTAAAAAAAATTATACATTGATTAGAAGCATGTTCGACCCGGTGGGGATCAAACCCACAATTCGTTGATTATTAGCAATAGGTTGCTACCATTATACCACCGTGCCCTTTTAAAATATCCAGGGAAACAAGAAGAAACCACTAACAGTGATTTGTGGGAGAAGGGCGAGGGATCCATTTACTTTATTCGTCTAACTTTCATAATAGTCTTTAGCTAGACCTACCAGGAGCGTAGCAGAGGTATCTAGCGCTGTCCATGACGTATCCTGGCTCACACAAACACCTGAAAGCGGTGCCCACTCTTTCACAGCGATGGGAACACCATGGAACATCATCCAGACAATTATTAATGTTCTCACACACTTGCGTCGTGTAATTGTATTTGTAATGAGAGCTGAGGCAGTCGCAGTAAGGGCCGGTTCGGTCTGGTACGCATTTCGTACCGTTGCAGGAGAAGTTCGAACACATCGTTTGCCCTGAAGTCAGAAGCAAATATAATATTTTAATATTTTTTTAATGATAGAGGAGTGTCTATAGTTTACGCGAGTAGTACACATTAAAATAAAACACTTTAACGGTTTAAAACGCGATATATTAGTTAAACTTATTTGAAAATGATTTTTAACTTCGGCCCGACGTTTCACGTGGTCACGGGGAGACTGTCACCCCGTGACCACGGACTCACTTAATGCGAGGTGAAATACCCCAGCCATATAACACATATTTACTTTGGCTTTGCATATTCGACTAAAACCGAAACGCGATTAAACTTCACGGTTTTTTCATCTGTGGACGGTGGTTAGTAACCCGAACGGAATTTTCGATATTTCTATTTTCTACCACCCATATACGGTTTTCGATCGGGCATAGCACAGTAGTAATTCTAGCCTCCATTATGAGTTAAGTGGAAGGGTTAATGTGACGCAGCAAGTTTTTTGCCAGTTCTTCTCGATTCATTGTACGCCATTGATGAAATGAATGTTAATTTAGTCTTTAGTTATTAACTTGTTTGACGTTCATGAGTGTACTTAGTTGCGTATCTGAATAAAAGATTTTTGACATTTAACTTGCAGAAGTCTGTTCTTAAAAAAGTTCCCGATTTGTAGACAAAACTATATGACATTAATTTGTATATTTTGTGGAGTGTCAAGTGGATAGTTACTTTTTAGTTTTAGTTACAGTTTCATCTAGAACACTCATAAAACCAATTCACACTTTTGTATGCCTCTAGATATAAAAAATTAAGATTGTAAAGCGTCTCAACTCAATATTCGTAGTATGTAATATATGTATAAAAGCACCGTAGAGGGCTGGTGGTGTGTTTGGTTCTGGCCGGCTATACAATTAAATACACTCTCCACGTCACTATTGCTCGATGTGGGAGTGCATTAGATACACACATAGTTAAAAAAAGATGTAACTCTTACAATGTTGGCAGAATGTCCCTTCGTCGCTGCCATCTTTACAATCTTTGATACCATCGCACATATTGTCCTTCGGCAAGCAAAAGGATGTGTCGAGACACGAGTACTCCTTCTCGTAGAGACCGACCACTTCGGACTTGCAATCTTGGCCGTTGTTCACACGACGCGGATGTAGAGCGTGCCCTTAAAGAAATATATGTATGCATAAGGAATATAATAATCTCAGGAATTACTAGTTCAAATTGAAAAACTCTTTGCGTTGGTTAGATTATCGAGGTAGGCTATAAAACGTACTCGAGCTACCACTAATCGGTGCGAAGAAACAGTGGGAATGTCGAAGAAACGGAGAAAAATATTAATCTTTGTGAGTTTCTGTTGCGTACGCTGCGAAATTGGTTCAAGATACCCAAAAAAATGTGTAAAATGTGTGGAAGAATTATTCTTTTAAATTTCTTTATTAATTTTTACATGATATTGCACATGAAGGCACTATATAATTTAAAAATCGAAATAAATTGAAAAAAATTTTTTCGACTCGGACAGGACTTGAACCGGCATCGTCAGCGTTCCGTGCTATTCCTCTTTAACTATACTAAATGTTTTACCTCTTTAATAAAAAAAAATGTCCGCAACAATATATGATTCACTCAGAAGACCCGTTTTTTATGGGAATCAATTTACGTCAAATTAAATAAAACAAAAAAGGGTTTGCTAGGTCACCTAGTAAAGAAATGAATCAATTAAGTATGTATTTAATGTATAATATATGAAATTAACATTTTTCATTCGTCAGTTACAAATTATTGCTTTCTAACACATTTGCCGTTTATTTTTGTGTAGCCTGTAGGACACTGGTCGCCGGAAAATACTGCCGCTGGCCCGGCCTTCGGGTTCGGTTGCCCGGAAGCATCGTCGCGTTCAGGGTCTTCTCGCGTATTGTTTTGGGCGCAGCCATAGGCCAGGTTAAGAACGACAACGAAAACGAAAAGTTTAGTCCACATTTTCATAGAATTCTCCGTTTCCAAGCCACGTTTGGGAAGTTATGGATATACGCTGTACTGACCTACTGTACTTATAGTTTAGTTATGAAATCGATTTTGATAGTTATTAGTTGTTGAATAAATTTCATACGATTTGTATATTTTATATTAAATCAAAATTGATTTATAACGCTGTTTTCTAGAACGAGTTCCATATTGTGCTCTTTGACATATTAAACATGAAAATAAATGTATAATGTATAACTAATATTACAAAGTTGAATAGTTCGAGTTTCGAGTAGTCTATGACGAATACAAGCGAAGATACAGCGAGAAATGTGAATCATTCTGGGAGAATTATTCATAATTATGGGTTACCGAGGCGTACGCTGCCAAAACTGTTCAAGATACCCAAAAATATGTATGAAAGAATGATTTCTCTTTTAATGATCCAAAAAAAATGTCAGCGACAGTGTATCTTAGAAGGATAACTCGTAAGAACGACGCGATGGGACGTGTCCGCGGTCGTGGATAACGGCTATAATTTTTAAAGATGTTGAGAAGGTTTGCACTAACAAATTGTCGCCCAAAATAACTACAATACGCACGAAACACGTTGGAGCTGGTCGGCATCAAGTCCACGAATTATACATCTACCATTAGTGATTATACAAACGATACAGAAACGTGTCTCTCGTATAATATATAAACAAGTATCAATTTAAAAAACATTTAACATAAACGGTTTTATTTTTTGTGCACTGAAAATTACAAATATTTTAAGTGACATAATCATCATGTTTTACTAGTGTAGGCCTTTCATTTGATATCCATATTGAGGGTGTTCTGGAAAAATATGTAATCCGCCATTTTGTAACGGCGGCCATCTTGGATTTAAGTGTTTTGATTTTATTATATTGTATTGTCATCTAAATTAAATGTGTGTACCAAATTTCAGATTCACAACAATCTAACAACGGGAAGGTGTATAAATTTCAATTTCTAATTATGACCTAAATAAATAAATTCCGTACGTGTCGAGCTAAATAAAACTGCTTGTAAAGACTAGCCGAGTAATAAAGAAATTAAACACTTTTGTATTTGTTCTGTGTTATTAATAAGCTAAAATTTCTGTTTTTTATAACATCTGCCGTTGCTTTTCTTATAGCCCGTAGGACAACGGCTAGCGCTAAAAGCGCTTGGTGACCCGGCTGACGGGTTCGATTCCCCGGAAACACCATCGTCGCGTTCAGGGTCTTCACGTGTATTGTTTTGAACGCAGCCATATACCAGATGAAGAAGGGCAACGAATAGGAAAACTTTAGTCCACATTTCGATAGAATTGTCTGTTTCATACCACGTTTGCGAAATTATGAATATACGTATATGTAGTTATATAGCTTAGTAATACAATCAATTTCGAGTGTTATATGAATAGATTTCATACAATTTGTATATTTGAAATTACATTTAAATTGATTTACGTCGCTGCTAAGTCGATTTCCACGTTGAGGTTTTTTTTAACGATAGAGGCGCACACACAAGCATGAAGCTCACTTGATGACAGATGATATACCTCAGCCTATGGAATCTAAACAAGATTTGCTGTCGACCTATTTTGGCTTTGGAAGTCCACAGACTGAAACCGAAACGCGATTAAGCTTCACGGTTTTATCATCTGCGGATCGTGGTTCGCGACGCGGACGGAATTTCCATATTCTTACCACCAATTTATTACCCAGATTTCCAGACGAAGTCCAACATTATTATAATGCAAATTAGAAACATGTTGTGCCTGGGGGGGATCGACCCACGACTCATTGGTCATTAGCCCTACATTACTTCCATTAGATCAACGAGCCCGTCAAAGCTTCGACGCACTAATCATGAATCTATACTAGTATTATAAATGCTTAAGTAACTCTTGTCTGTCTGTCTGTCCGGCTTTAACGCCGAAACTACTGAACTGATTTAAATGAAATTTGGTACACAGATATTTTAGATACTGTCTATAGTTTACGCGAGTAGTACACATTTAAATAAAAAACGTTTCGGATGCTTTGCAGCAGCCGTCGTCACGTCGGGCCGAAGTTAAAAATCATTTCCAAATAAGTTTAACTTATATATCGCGTTTTAAACCGTTAAAGTGTTTTATTTAAATGTGTACTACTCGCGTAAACGATAGACAGTATTTGATAAAATAGAGTTGACTTACTGCAAGTACGCTCAATATCCTCATCAGATTTGTCCTCACAGTCATATACTCCATCGCACATCCAAAACTTGGAGATACACTTACTACCGTCACACTGGAAACCCATGCACGTAGCCTACAAAAAACAATGATCGAGGCGGAAAGACTTGACACTTGAAGGTGGGTGAAATATCCCGGAGATACAACATCTAAACAAGATGCGATGTCGATCTATTTTGGCTTTGAGCAGTCGAAAATCAACAGACTGAAACCGAAACGCGATTAAACTTGACGGCTTTTTCATTTGCGGATGCCAGACGGAATTTCGATATTCCTGCCATGTGGGGTGGGGATCGAACCCACGATCCATTATCTCTTATTCCTCTATCTCTTATAATTACATTTATAAAATACCATTATATTACTTAAGTGAAAGACAATGTATGCAAATTATATGAAAGGAAAAGTTTGCACCGCAAAAGAGTGACAGAATAGAAAATTTAATTTAAAAATCGAAAATAAATTGAAAAGATTTTCGACTCGGCACGGACTAGAACCGGCATCGTCAGCGTTCCAGAGCAACAGCACGGAACGCTAACGACGCCGATATAGTGCCTTCATGTGCAATAACATGTAAAAAAATAATAAAGTTTTCAAAAGAATAGAAAATTTTAAAAGGATCTTATCTGTGTCTATATATTTATCTACTGACTTACATTAGGGGCTATAACAACCACAGTGCAGTTCCACTCATCACTTTGGTCGTCGCAATCAGGGTCTTCGTTGCATACCCACGTGTTTGGGATGCATTTATTACCATCACGACACAGGAACTGGTGAGTTTCATTGCAGTACTTCGAATCTGGTTTCTGGTTCACTGGAACACGAAGAGGACTATTTAGAATCAAGACATAGTTGATATCTCCTGCTCTGTTATATGGTGGCTCAATTGTAAAGGTATCGCCTTGTATTTCGTAAAGCTAGAAATGTGAAATATTAATCTATGGCACAACACATTATTTTGGCTGTGTTTTATTGGTCGATGGCCTTCATATCTAAAACTGCTTTAATAGCTCAGGTTTTGTTCATGTCGCCAAGCAATGCGTTGCACCGACTTTTCGTCGGTTCGAATCCTGAGGAAATAATATATTTTTTCGGTCTGGCAAGTCACAGTCTAATCATCGGTGAAAACGTGACCAGTGGAAACATAAGGGTCGTCTTATAATAAATAATTAATGTATATTATATACCGGTCTTATCACTAAATTTATAAAAGCTTACCACAAAAGTTTTCGTCGCTGCCATCATTACAATCGTAGTTACCATCGCAAATCCTTTCTTGAAATATGCACTCGCCACTCCTACATTCAAAGACGCCCTCGCCGAGACATTCTACGTTAAACTCTTGAAATTCATCGATGAACTGGGCGGACGTGGCAGCCAAAAAACACAGTAGTATAACGTTCACTGCCATTCTGTAGAAGAAATATATGATGCATGATGAAAAATCTATGTGAATCCTTTGGAAATGCAATATTTCACAGGTGTATCAGGATAGTTCTAGGTTCCATCGTCATTACTATAACAATTTAACTTTCCCTTTACAAATAAGCCACGTGTGCCAAAGTTTGTACTCACCCCATTATACCAGATATCCGATTATTGAAGCATTAACAAAAAATATTATTTATTAAGTCATTGAACTAATGTTAGACTTAAAACTACAAATCCCTATAAACTAAAGAGGATTAAAACGTTAATTTTTATCTATCTTCTGCCTCCGTGAGTCCCGATGAAGATGGAGACTAGATGGTAAAATGTTTAGTTACCCACATAGTTCTTAAGTAACATTTGTAAATTAAAGAATATAATTTACTACCCTCCGTTATAATAATTTTCGTAATTTACTATCAAAATTCCATCACTCTATTCTTTATACAAATTACATATATTATGTCTTAATTTGTGCCTTGATTTACTAGTAAATTGTACAATGTTCAACTAAAATCGCATTAGACGGCAATTTCATGATCTGTTTATTTTGTATCAACAATTAGCAATCTGTGAAATATGAAATTGACAGATTCATTATATGTCATTCTGTGACGGGACGGGTCATAGTCCAACTTGGTTCAACTTTTACTAAAGTTTCGCTTCATAAAAAATAGTTTAACGAAATATCTACAAAAACCTAATTAAATAGTTGCGTTTGAAATATTATTTAATTAAATACAGCACGATGGCTTCTCAAATCGCAAAATCTTTATTAAATTCTACACGTCCGGCTACCAATTTAAAGTTTGGTAAGTATATTCCTATTTATATTAGAAATTTTCATTTTATTTCACTATTCCGAAGTTCATTTTTTAATTTAATTTAAAATTAAGAATTCCTTGCTAATTTTATTTTGTAAGGGTTACAATTGTTACTATCGAAATTTTATTTCATAATAAACTTTGGACTTTAATCCAGCAATCTTTGCGTATACTTTGTAGGTATCAATAATAATTGGCAGAAAGACAAATATGAATACTTTCTCTTTTGAATACATTGTAAGAGTCTTTAATTTCAGCTAATATTTTTATTTATTATAATTATAAACATGTTCTAACATTACAGAACAATATCCATTGCGATAGAATTATTTAGTACATATTTCATGGAGTGATGTTTTAGTCAATATATAATTAGTGCTGCTTATTAGGTCATAGACTGAATAAATTATTTCTTAGTAGTAGTTATTAGTAAGTTAAAGATCTCTTCTCTATTAGTTATGTAGGCTGGTCTCTAGGTGCTTTATTACAATAATGTATTGTTTATTTAAACAGATACTTTTTTATTGTTCTTCTTTTGGTCCTCCTACAGCTCTTCTTAGTCAAAAATATTAATCCCACAGATATTGCTCGGCGAGCCCTCAGTGTAGGTGCAAGTCTACAACAAAAGAAAACACTTAAAGACAAAACAGGCAAGAATGTTGTTCTTGTCGATGGAGTTAGAACTCCATTTCTTGTCTCTTTCACTGATTACTCTAAGATGATGCCACATGAACTTGCAAGGCACTCCCTTCTGTAAGTAGACATTAGTACATAAGTAGTACAATAGAAACTCTTGATCCATGAATAAAAGTTTTAGACAAAAACACTTAATATCTATTTGATAGAAACAATGACATTGCAGAGGCCTCCTCCAAAAAACTGGTATACCAAAAGAAGTGGTTGATTACATCGTTTACGGCACGGTCATTCAAGAGGTAAAAACGTCGAACATTGGCAGGGAAGCAGCTTTGGCAGCTGGCTTTAGTGACCGTACTCCTGCCCATACCGTCACTATGGCCTGCATATCTTCAAATCAAGCCATTACAACAGGTATGTCATAAAAAAAATAATACAAAAATGAGTTTTAATGAAAATACCTTCTACATAATATAGTAATGTATCTAATATCAATGCTTATATGATTACTTTTCTATCCGTAGGTGTGGGCATGATAGCTGCCGGAGCATATGACGTTATAGTCTGTGGTGGAGTAGAATTCATGTCGGATGTGCCAATTCGTCACTCGCGTAAGATGCGATCACTCTTGCTGAAGCTGAATCGGGCAAAGACCCCAGCTCAGAGGCTATCCTTACTTGCTTCTATACGGCCCGACTTTTTAGCTCCTGAGGTAAGCATCACAAAATTTTTAGAACCATCAATGATTTAAAGACTTCATATAATTACAGTATAAACCCTATTACAATCCTCAAGAAAATATGAAAAAAATTACAAATTTATTTTCGAATTTTAAATTATATGGTGCCTTCATGTGCAATAACATGTAAACAATATTAATGTTTTCAAACGTTATAAACTTTGTAATTTCATCTTCAATGATTTCTCAAGCTGCAAAGCATAAGACATTGAACCTTAATACGCAAGTGTTAGGGTTGAAATTACAATGCGCGAGAGGTGCATGTAGCAATAAGGAAAAAATTCGACGATGAGGTGTAGGACTCGGTAGCTCAATTGGTAGAGCAACAGCACGGAACGCTGACGATGCCGGTTCAAGTTCTGCCCGAGTCGAAAATTTTTTCAATTTATTTTCGAATTTTAAATTACTTTCTTGTTACTAATAATAGCCTTATATACTTGTTCCTCTACCAATAGTTACCAGCGGTTGCTGAGTTCTCATCTGGAGAAACAATGGGGCACAGTGCTGACCGTCTTGCAGCTGCATTTGGGGCGAGTCGTGCTGAGCAGGACGCTTACGCATTACGTTCACACACGCTTGCTGCTGAAGCTCAGGCTAAGGGGTACTTCACTGATCTTATTCCTATCAAAGGTAATTTAACTTCTATAATGTTACTTTTATTTAGAAGTGACTTATATGTTTTTGGCACTAATATTTTTTCTGTGTTGGTACTTGCGATATAAAAAGGAGAAAATTGACGTATAAGATTAGTAATATATAGGTTACTTATTGTCTGTAGCTTACACGAATAAAACACTTTGACGGTTTAAAAACGAGAAATAGATTAGTTGAAGTTATTTAAAAATTATTTTTGCTACGGGCCGACGTTTAGGATGCAAAATAGTTTTTAAATAAGTTTAAGTATTATATTTCGCGTTTTAAGCCGTTAAAGTGTTTTATTTAAATATATAGGTTCCTATGGTGAGATTTATTGCTTCGCGTGGCAAGAAATTTTGAATAGTGCGATTAATCTTCACATGATCTATTTATATATATGTAGACCATGGATTGTTTTATGTTCGAAAGGTAACTTATGGGCTATTCTTCATGTCATGTTCAATGTGTTTTTCTATAGTGGAAGGGAAAGATGCAGCCGTGGAACGCGACAACGGAATTCGAGTTTCCACTCCCGAGCAATTGGCTAAGCTGAAACCAGCCTTTGTTAAGCCTCACGGCACAGTCACCGCTGCCAATTCCTCATTCTTGGTAAGTCATTATAGTTTTACAAATTTATTCACCCGTTTTCTCTACCCTGAAACTGTTACTGTTACCGATTTTTTTAATATTTGATAAAATGTGGGAATAAAAATATTTTATCCTGTTATTTTTGTAGACGGATGGTGCGTCTGCATGTTTGATCATGTCCGAGGCAAAGGCTAAGGAGTTGGGGCTCAAGCCAAAGGCGTATGTACGGGACTTCACTTATGTAGCTCAGGTATTTTGATATATTAATACTTATCACCACCTAATTCTGAATATCTATGAGGCCGCTAGAGGCATAGTAGCCTAACTGCAATTTTATGATTCTATTTTTTATAGTCTGATGTTAATCTAAAAGAGACACACAGTGACCAAAAATTGGAAACTAAATTCTTACACAAATAATAGTACAAATTCATTTTCGCCTAAGTTAATTGCACATGTTTATTTTCGTCTTTTTTGAAAATCATGTGTTTTTAAGGCCACTGTGCCTCTAGCAACCTCATATATAGATAAACTGTTTAACAAATACCAGTGTACTCGTCCTTTTGTCCCTAAATAATCTATTTTTTTTCTCTAGGACCCAGTAGATCAACTGCTTTTGGGTCCAGCGTATGGTATCCCGAAGATTTTGGAGAAAGCTGGATTGCAGCTTGGCGATATTGACACCTGGGAAATACACGAGGCGTTTGCTGTAAGTAATTTAACCTGATATAAATAGAATTATGCCGAATTCAATTAAAATAACCTTTTTTAATATTTCAGGGTCAAATTTTGTCTAATCTTAAAGCGATGGACTCAGAGTGGTTCGCGCAAAACTACCTCGGAAAGCAGACAAAGGTAATAAAAACTTCTAACATGTAACAATGAAAATTAAGTATTACTTTTACCTGTTGTTTATGTGTTAACCCATTTATGTGGACACAAGTCTCACCTATTATAGGAGAGCATATGCCATGGGGCTCATAATCTGAAGTCTACTGACTACAGCAACTTACTAAACTACTTCTTGTTCCTAGGTTGGAGTCCCAGACATGAACAAATGGAACAAGTGGGGCGGGTCGCTCTCTATTGGACATCCCTTCGCCGCTACAGGGGTAAATGTCAAAAATACTTTACAAAACTCTTAATTTCATATTTGACAGAATATCAATCATATATTTTTTTTTATTTATTGCTTCCATTCCTACAATTTTAATAATAAAAATATTTTTATTTACCATAATATTAATTAAGTTATATAACTTTGGCATAATAAAAATTTGGTGTTGGATGAAAACCACAATGTTTTGAACGATTTTACAGGTTCGTCTAGCTATGCACACCGCTCATAGATTGGTAAAGGAAGACGGACAGTTGGGCATCATTTCAGCTTGTGCAGCTGGCGGTCAAGGTGTTGCCATGTTATTGGAGAGGCACCCGGACGCACATACAAACTAAAATGTTTCACGAAATTTAATATCCCATTTTATATAGCGGTCTTTTTTGATAAGGTTTTTATTAGAAATGAGGTGAAAAGTCCTTACCTAGTTTCAATATTCCTTCTTGTTATAAACCGTCTAAATATTGTTATTCAATTTTGTAATTTTCAAGGTAAAGTCCAATTTGGAATTGGAATCCCAAATGATCAGTTTGCATCCTTCGTAAATCTTTTCATTTCAAAGATATAACACAACTAGATAGGTCTATTTATCATATCTTTTTTAATTAAATAGGTTAAAAAAAATATTTTATTAAAAGTATATTTCGATAATTCTTGTTTTATTTTATATAAAGAGATTGGCAAATGAAACTCTCCGTTATAAGGCAACAAATTTATTTAGTCACCAATACTTTCTATCAAAGTACCATCTATTATAACTTAAAGACATACAGTTTATGCTCAATTTTTACATACGCTGCATGGAAGCTGTAAAATTTATAATAAAAAACATACACGAAGCATAATGAAAGTGATCTTAGAAAAAAAATAGAGTGGAGAGTTTGGAGATAGACAATATTATATAATAATAAAATAATCGTACATAATCGTGAAGGTTCAAGAAATATATTTAATTAAAAATTTTACAAAGGTACCAGAAAGTCTCGTAAACATTACAAATTAACCAAGAAAAAAAAATTAGCATGATCCCATTTTTAAAATATCGACTCTCATAATTAGGCATTATTTACAGTATAATCTATATAGTGTTACTCCGAGCTATCAACAAAAATAAAATTTTCGCTATTCGTCTTATATCTAGCGAACACCTATTGTTTCAAAGTTACCCGACCCATTTTGACGGAGCTTCGCGTACATGAACGAACAACAAAGATATAGAGTTGCGCGTTTTATATAATTCTATTGCATTTCTTAAAAAATGATTCAACTAGTGAAGGCGAAACTTCGAACTCCATTTCTCATTTACGACGCTTTGCAAAATGACTCCGAAGCATTACTGACTATATTATAAATGCGAAAGTAACTCTGTCTGTCTACTCTTTCACGCCAAAACTACTGAACGGATTTGAATGAAATTACAGGTATACAGATGGTCTAGACCCTGAGAAAGAACACAGGCTACTTTTTATTGCGAAAAAAGGGTTGTAAGGGGTTAAGGGGGGGGGGGGATTGTTTGTATGGAATTTCGTGGTTTTTGAAGCTAGAACAAAGAAACTTTCTTCTTTGGCTTTTTGGGCTTCTAAAGTCACTAATCCACGCGAACGAAAGCACAGCTTGTATATAATTCTAATATTTGATGGTTTAAAAAAAATGCGGATATAGATTCTTAAATTTTATTCTTGAAAACCATTATAATATACTTAGATTAAAATAATAGATATTTTATGTAACAGGGAAAGCTTTTTAATTTTCTGTGTATTTAATTGCACAGATTGTATTTAATTAAATTCAAAACCAAATATTCGTTCCCAAGGTTTTGATTTTCTGTAAAAGAAATGTCTTTTTTTGGTTTGATCTATTAAAATAAAATAAATGACTACGTTATTGCCGATAAAATGCTATTTTGGTGAAAATGTGCGTTGTATTGAGATCTACAATGTACTTTATTTACCATAGCAGAGAGTAATTAAGATTAGATTAGTTCAATGTGCAAGATAATTCAACTTTTCGCATTTGATAGATAAATGCAAAATATTTACTCGGTCCGTCAAAAGATTCAAGAAACATTCAAGTAACGAAAAATGTATCTAATAACAGTAATGAGTTAACAAAATGTACGTTTTCCAAAAGAAACAATGAAGATTGTTACTGGCCATTCTTGGCCTATGCCACTATGGAGAGTGGACATTGATATTTTTCATTTAACTAGACAAGTATATAGTACATTAGCGCAAAATTTTTAAAATAAATACTACGATGTCAACGATCAATGATTTGTTTAATTCTTCAGACATTTGTATATCTAGATCATTATAAAATCCCTTTAAAACTACGTATCACGTTTTCTCAATATTACAATTTATAAATACTCTCACCGCCCGATTCTGATAATAACCATTTGTAATAATACAGAACCGAAATATCTAATATTAGTAGAAGACAGATTCTACCAAAAAAGGCTCCACTGTAACGACATAGTAACTACGTGATTACAAGAATCAGATCTTGGCCCTTTGCAATAAATTATTACAAAAAATAAATGTATTTCATCTAAGCCAAGTTTGTGAATGAGGGATATTTTTGTTATGAATCGAAATTTCGTAGCCGTCTTTAAATCAAAAACTACTATTGTAGATACTATAGAGACGTATATTTAAATATAATGAATTTTACAAGTCAATAATCAGAAATGCACATAGAATCTGTCTTGTAATAGACACACGAAATGTTCTCTCCATTCGGCGAGGTCGGGTAAAGTTGCATAACTGTATAAGTCTATGTAACATAGATATTGCTTTTATGTTCCAAATTATACATTTCCTTGTTAACTGTTTCTTAATGTAGTCTAATAATTATGCTATATCTGACAGTCACTTGCCTCAAAGATGTATAATATATAGCGTATGCTACTGAAAATCTGCGAGCGTTTGGCGCCAGGTGGCGTGGAAGGGGATGCGCAGGAGTTTTAGTTTAGTGTTTGGCAGCTGCGCGGAGAGCAACCGCTGAAGGGTCGGGATCGGTAAAATCTCCACCTAAAAACAGTTATAGTATTTTACATAGATGCCTGAATATGACCATATTCAAAGTAATAAATGCCACAAAATTTTACTGCGATATATATTAATTAAAAACATATTTATAAAGGAATAGTACCTGTGGCGGTCCAGCGACATGCCTCAAGTCGTCCGGTAGCCTACAACCGGGTACAGGTTTTAGCACAGGTATACACTCGCCGAGTTCGCGCCGGGCCGTGCCCCCGTCCCCGCCTTCGGTCCCCAGGGTCTCCACCATGCCTCCAGCCTCACACTGATCTATAAAAAGCTCGGTGACGCGAAGCAACTCGATCGTCACGCCCCACATTAGGTGTGTCAATGTGTCCTTTAGTCGTAGTACTCCGCTTAGCACCTGAGGGGTTCAAGTATTAAGAATGAATACCACATACCAAGCCAATTTACTTACAATGTAGAACATTATTTCTAATTTATTACATTTTTTATTAACAATTTTCACCAAAACATGAGTACAATTATGAACGTCATTCCAGTTTATGTTAAAAACTAAAAAGGCTATAAACTTCAAACTTTAAATTCAGACCGTAACGAGAAGAATTGGGAGAAAAGTCGCCGGGACTTTTTATTGCCAAGTTTAACTGTACGAAGGGTTCAAACAACATAGGTCATCAATAATAATGTTTAGCTTTAGGAACATTTGTAAACTTACAAAGGAGACCTTGTCTATTTTATTGTCAATCTTTGTGGTTAGAAATAAATAAAATTAAATTAAAGGTAGCCTAATTTCCACATTTTTATAAAACTTATAACCCAAAAAAACTCACGAACCTGTTTATTCGTGGTTGCCGATTGTGACACATATGTCGGTATAATGAGTAGTCTCTGGATGTTTTTACACTCCGCTAGCGCATCGTCAAACCCAACCTGTAATAGAACATTCAATGTTTCCAAATTCATTTATAATTGGGACATGTTTTTTGACAGCATTCAGTTTTCTTTTAAAAAATTTGTGACCCGAGTCTCATTTCTCTTAATACTAAAAAAATCCTGAAGATGAACTCTATATACGCTCACCTTAACATCGAAATTGACGAGTTCCAGTCTAGTCAGTCTTGGCAGAGACGCGAGCGCTTTAAGTAAGGCGGACGCCGCACAGTGCGGGACACCTCGTTCGAGCCGTAACCGCCGCAACCGGACGAGGCGAGCGAGCGCCGAAGCGAACGCACCGCCGAAAGAACATTCACCGAGCTCCAACGATTCGAGCTGTTCCAGCTGGCCGACCACCTCGCAGGCGCACCAGCCCAGCTCCTTTATTGATGTTAGCGACAGGTGTTGTAGATTGCGTAACGTGTTCAACGGTTGTAGGTCTCGCGTTAACGAGAGGCCTTTTAAACTCTGTGAAAGATTATAATATAATGATAGTAAAATTCAGCTAGTGCATTGGTGCTTTTATTTTTAGACACTGGGCTTTATAGTGTCTGGAATTATTTGTTTTTATTATTTATTTATAAGGTACTCGAATATACACACAATAAATGTTTAAAGTCTGGTGATGACTTTGTATCTCAATTATATGCGTGTACGCATGTAATTGAGATTAAGTAAGGTAAGTTATCAGAGAAAAGGCACCATTGTCAATAAACTGTATTAAATGTCTCAACAAACATATGCTCATATTTTTTACCTTGAGTCTGAGTAACTCTAGACGCGGCAAATGCGCGAGGGGTGAGGGATCCAGCTTTGTATCACAAATCGCAGGCGCACATAGAGCTCGCAATGTGCCGACCCGATCGCATACTCCTTCCACAACACGCGCCGGGCACCGACACAGCTCCAACCTGTTTATAATTTTGGTAAAACCCAATGTGAATTCCTTAAAATGCGTGTTTTTATTATAATGCTAAAGAAATGTGTTTCAAATTTTGGTCTTTCAAGCCGGAATACAGTCCTGTAATATAAAATAACTAGCTGAACCCGTGGCTTTGTCCGCTTGGAATAGTTTATTTTCGGCATAATATTATTTATTTTTGTAAACCACTTCCGTAGCTTTATAAATTATAGTTGAGGAGGTCCCGCGTCCCGTGTTATTTTGGGCATCCAAATTAGTTTTTGCAAACCCCGTCATCGTTATAAACTTAAGTTGTTAGCCACGACGTCGATTGTGTCCCTTCCCGTCGTTCTTGGAAACCAATCTTAAAAGATAGACATATAGCGTCGCGGCCTTTTTTTAGATCATTTAAAGAGGAATAATTATTTAATACACATTTTTTTGGTATCTTAAACCGTTTTCGCAGCGTACGCATCTGACGTCATAAAAAATTTCCCCCATTTTGTTTACAACACAACAAACTCTTCAGCTTTATATATTAGTATAGCTCACTTATTGTTAAATATGTGTTGTATGGTTGTACCTCTCAAGTGAATCCACCGAGCCAATATTCTCGATAAATTGATCCCAGAATATCGTGTCGCTAGTAGGCAATAGCATCTTCCGTAGATCCAGCCATTTCGTCGAATGTTTTTTCAGGACTGCACATAGCCCTCCCCAATCACTGACCTGCGAAGACAAAATGCTGTTAGACAGGATGATGATGTGACATGTGTATTTTAGAAGATATAACGTTGTATATATACTTTATAACAGTAGTGTATGTCTTACGTGTGAATTTTTCATTCTAACATGTCTCCACAGCGCGGGCGTATCTGTTATTGTCTGCCACTGTTTGCAGACGCGTGCGCACCTAGCTAGATCACGCATACCCACGTATTGGAATATCTGAAAAAGAAAAAAAAAAAGGTTATTATCGGTATTTTTACTATTGGTATTCTTTACGCGAAAATCTAACACAAAACTTAAAATAATACCTACGGTAAGGTTGAAACTTAACACTTCTGTACGTGTTTTAATAAGTTCAAATTGATTATAGTTATGAATATTTCTCTTTAAAGATAAAAGTACTACGGAAACTGTTATACTGACCTGAACAGCCACATTGTAGTTCTTTTCCTGTGCGCGTTGGTAGAAGCCGCTGAAGTACTCCGTATCGTCCACTTTGGTTCTGCCGCGGCGGCGAGGCGAAAGCAGCGAAGTTGGAGGCGACGCGGCACCGTTCGCCACTCGACCCCGACTCAACTTATCGCTATACACATATTTACATCATAAACCTATAATGTATTATTATTTATACGTTAGCACTACATGTAACAAGTACTTTGGATACATCCGTGTATCGATTGAATTTGAATTCGATGTTACCTTTAGTATCAAATTGAAAAATGTTCGATGCTTACAAGGTAAAATCGAATTATTGAAAGTACTCTAATTTCCAAGCATTGGGACCTTTATATGTGGTTCACGGCTTTAAAGAAATATACTTACCCGTTCGAGAAGAAATCGTAAAGGTAGAAAAATGCGATGAAAAGATACTTTGTTTATTATTTTTATATGCTTATACATTACAAAGGCTGTATAATAGCGACATTATTCGTAAAAATGTATATATTTATTTCGCTTCATGTATAATAAGACGGTTATGGTATATTATACAGTAAAAGTAAATCTTTTATCATTTAATTAAAACATTTTAGTGGTTTAAAAGTCATATCTAATTTTTTTTGAACTTTCTAGTAAATAAATTTAACGTGAGCAAAAGGAGAAGGAAGAAATTTTAGATACGTTACAGTTGTTTTTTTGCTTTTAAATTACATCGCATATAAAATCATTGAAGTCCGCGCGCGACGACTATAAATCTTCGTCCATTAATAAGTGCTAAAGACTGCGGCAACGTATGCCTTGGAGGAGCGTTTGATGAGGTTATTTGGGTCGTTGGAGTAATAGGAGCCTGTGGGGCGATAGCGGTCTGTTGGGCGGCAGTGGTCGACGGGACCTGAGCAGTTTGGCTAGGTCCACCAGACCCACTGGGGGATACAGCCCAAACTTTTTGACCGTCAGCTCCACCCGACATCTGTAATAAAAACGTTTCATTAATACAACTAAAGCCCAAGTGTTATATAGATGCAATTTATAGAAAAATGGTTGCATCCTGATTCTATTATTATTGTCTCTATAATATAAACTTTTCAGCTGTATAATATTAGTTTACATTAATTTAATAACTGAAGTAAATATACAAAAAAAAACTTAGCTAGTTCAAACAATAGAATGGTTTAAGAAAAAATATTAATTGTTTTATAATTAGTAGTAATTAGCGTTAGTAAAAATTATGAGTTTCATATACCTTCATCCGTAGCAGAACACGTTTATCGTTTTTCTGAGTTTTAGAGGGTACTGGGACAAGTCGGGGCACTGGAACTGTACTCTGTCCCACTCCCACGGGCGTTACGGGTAGAGGTGTGGGCATTTGTATTCCAGATGTGGCCGGCACACCGGACTTATGGACTAGCGGCGGAGGATCCCGTGGTGATGAAGTGTCACAGTTCTATAGGAAACATTCCGCTCATAAAGTTTTTAAAGACACGACAGCATAAGTTACAAATATGACAACATTCAGCAGTGGCAAAGATTTTATTAACATATAAAAGAACAATTCTGAAATAATTAGATATAGAATATTTTTAAATATTCCATGAGTACTTTTTCTAGTCTTTATTAAAAGCGCAGTTATGTGAAGTGTGTACGATTATTTACCTTGCAGAAGAACGGATGAGGGGGAACGTGCGACAGTCCCAAGCAAGCTGGATGGTACAGACAAAGGCAGGCGGCACACGCTAAAGACGGTACCGCGCCACGCCCACAACTCATCGAGCAAGGCTGCTGAACGCCCCGTCCCACCTATTTTTTTGTTTTAATTATAGCGATAACAGAATTTTGATTACATTTAGTAAAAGGTGCGTGTAAGACTGTTCTTGACAATCAGACATAAGAGAGAGAGAGAAAAATATACTCTGGAATATTTCACTTTTAAATGATAGTTTCCAGAGTTCTCGCATGACAAGCTAGTTAATGGTCCTAGGTACGAAATCCAGGGAAACATATTACAATATTTTGGCTAGGGCACATTAAATCGTTCAATGAAGTGAACAAGGGAATTTACGACACGAAAGGAAGAGATAGACATTCTTGCTATTCAGTCGTAACAATTTAAAAAAGCATTTTGGTTTTTTTTATAGAACTCCAAATAATGTAGTGTATAGAGATATTTACCTGCGAATGCGTGTTGGAATGCTGCGGACGCGCGTGCAGCGGCGGCGGCACAATCCTGCACCCACACTACACTCCACCACTACTCATAGCCAGAGGGCTCTTTGCGAAAAGGGCGCGTTCACACCAAAGGGCCCGATATTTAATATGTCCGATAGATGGCGCTTCATACAATAGGACCCGGGCAAAGGAAAATTGGGCCACTTTTAATTGAGCTTAAGTTACGACTACGGTTTCTTTTTGTTTTAAGAAAGTATTAAGAATATTCAAGATTTATATAAAGTAAACCTTTATTAATATAATTATGACATGATTGTTGCGGACACAACAAGCGGAAAGAAAATAAATTTATGCTTACCTCTTTAATATAACTTATATAAAAGTTAATCATCTCGTTTTTTTTATTTTTAGTATCCTACGGTTTTTGGTTTTTTATTTGTGAAAACGCACCCTTAAGCTTGTCGCCCGACATACAATATTCTACAGTCATATCGAGATTAATATAATGCTCTCGAGATAACTGTAAAATACAAAACGTAAATGTACCAACACTTTAATAAAATGTGGATACATTTATACAATATTAATAATTAAAGTAAATAACTGTAGAAGCCGTAAACCACTTGTTAACCATAATTTTTTAGGAAATCGAATTTGTTATTGGGCAAATACTTAGATCTAATAAAGCAAATAATTTGTAATAAACATTACAAATTCCTTCCTTTGTATACTTCCTATAGGTAAAATTATTTTTATAATTTAGATAGAATGAAATTCAAAATATAAAAACGACGAAAGTGCAGGTGTTGACGAAAAAGTCAACATACTTTTCAAATAGTGTTTGCATCTCATTCATATTTAGTGCTCGTGAGCGAGACGCCACTTGTATTTAAATCGTCTTATTCTAAAGGTAGACGAAGTGCATTATTTTCTAGAACAGTTCTCATTCAAGTCTAGTAATTGTGGCCGAGGACACAGCACTGTTATAAATAAAACACTTTAACGGTTTAAAACGCGATATATATTCGTTAAAAAAATATTTTAACAACGGCCTGACATTTCGGATGCTTTGCAGCAGTCGTGGTCACAGGGAGACTAAATAAATAAGTTCAACAAATATATATCACGTTTTCAACCGTAAAAATATTTTATATAAATGTGTACTACTCGCGTAAACTACAGACGGTATATACACAGAGCCGATTTTGAATTCTATTGTATTGTTCACGAGCATTAAATATGACCAAGAAGCAAATAACAGTGATCAGCCAATAGACTGTACCAAGTTCATACCTAGGTTTCTTCCAAGCGGCAGTGTTGTTGTTGTCTCCGGCCGGTGTCGTCTGCGTCTGTGGCTGGGACTGCGCCTGCGCGGATTGTCGTCGCGGTTGCTTCGTTGCCACCGGAGTGGCCGGCGAGCCGTTGCTGTTCAATCTCGAACCGATTGATTTGACCTTTTTATACAAAGAGGTTCTTACTAGGTGTAGTGATAAAATTAAAAGACAAACTAAAAATTGCATAATTAGTCTTATTCGGAGCGTGACGATCAATCAAAATAATTTAGACTTCGGTTAAAATTAAAATACAAAATTATTTATCAATGTTAATATTATCATTTTTCTTAAAACTGATGTTAAAAATGTATGTTATACCTTTAATTTGGCCAGAGGCGATTTGGGTGTGTTGGGTTCAGGACTGGCACCTTTGGGTTGCTTCGGTTTTGGCGTTCGCTTGGCATCTAAAGCGGCAGCCGGTGCCACTGGAACTGGCGACTCCACGCGGCGCATAACTTTAGCATCTCTAAACAAATATACTGATAATGAAAACTGACGTCTGTCTATAAGTTTTTATTTAAAAAATTTGTACTTTATCTGTAATATTTTTCACCGAGGTTCTTTCACATTTTTTTAGAAACAACACTATACATAATTGAATTCAGAGTTATAGATAAGAAATGTTTAAACGTGTATTATAATAAAACTAAGCGTAATTTGAAATACTGACCGAATAATTTCCTTCTCCGGATCGTCTATTCCTAGTGGTTCCTTGAAGAACGAGAAGTTTTCCAATGAGAGTCCAGTACCACTTAAATTTTCAGCCACCTGAAAAGAAGCACCATTTCATACAGATTCCTCTGAAAATGAGTATTTCTTTATTTAGTTTTATTAGAAAGATCAATAATAAATGAGAACAAACTACTAAATAAACTTATCACTGAAGGATCAAAAAACTCCTTTGGTTCATATCGATCAAACACCTTTACACTCGTGTTTAATGTGTTAAAATTAAACTCTCTCTCCCCAATTAACACATTGCTGAGCACTATGTTCAGTCATTGGTACTGTATATGTATGGTATACTTAGAATCCATATCATCAATGTTGCTTTCCTGTGTACTAGGTGGCGCCACAGATCAATTAGTTTTCTAATCACCTCTCTGGTAGAGCGTAGCTTCTTGCCCTGCGGCGTGTAGTAGTAGATGTCGGCGTTGCGTCGCGAGTGCCCGTCCAGCGCGGCGCGGAACACGAGCTCGCGCTTCCAGCCACGGTCGAGGGGTACCCGTAGTAGCGGCGACGACATCTCCGTGGTTGGCCGTCGGCCGCGGTTGGCCGGTGAGGAGGACGCCTGTTAAACAGTCACCACTTTGAAAGATTTCTAAATAGTGAACCAAAATATTAAGAATAAATAAGGAGTACTGTAGTATCTGGCAAGAGCGAGTTGACAAAAAATGGCTGAAATCTTTGAAATGATTATGACAAGTTTTTAGTTTGGATCCCTAATTTGACAACAGTCAAAGTTCTTGGATAAAAATAATATTCATCAAAGAAACAGACACACAAATGTGTCTACTGTCTAGAGAGTTAAATACTACTCTCAATCTTGTTTACACTACAGCCTGATCTAATAAATTAAATATTTATTTACAAAACATTAAAAAGGCATAGGTTATATTTAAGTATTATTTAATTTTCCAGAGATACTAACTTTCATCTCGTCTTTCATTCCATTTATCCTTTGTTGCTGCATAAACAGAATTGAGGACTTTGCTTTAACACTGTCATTTTAAATAATGAAACTATCTATTATTTACTTTCAATTTCATTTAAAATTCATAATGTTATACCAAGTAAATCTATTGATATATTTACTCACATCTGTTGCTGCATCTCCATCAGATCTTGATGACAGAGCTGATGATGGTCTGGAACTGTCTGTGTTGACAATTATTGAATAATTAAAATATATATCTTTCTTAAATTATTAACAGCTAATTAGAATGTTTTTTTAACCAATCAAAGTTTTAATTGAAAATTCCCATGTTATAGTTCTATGCTTACTTAATCATTAGTATTTCATTAATAGCCTAAAACCATGTTCCTCATAAAATTGTGCTACATATGCATAAGTACCTGTGTCTTGGTGTGGTCTCTTAATTGCTCTAGCTGCTGTCAAAACTCTCCTCAATGGAGTCAGGTGCTTCATAGCCTCTGACACCTCAGATTCCAAATGTTCTATTAAAATGAGCATAAGATATAGTTGTAAGAAAAAAAAATGCTACACTTTAAAAATATTCATCTAGTCATCATTCTAGGTTTAAAATAATATATTCTTCATGAAGTTTAAACAATCCAAGTTATGGCTTGCCCAAGTTGTGGACACCTGGTAGAAATCAATAATACACACACAGTTAAATTCTTTAAATGTCTTACCTAAAATTCTAGAATATCCTGAAATATTGTTATTCTCAACATTTTCAAAACCTTTAAAATCTTCATCTGTCGAATATCGCCGCATAAATTTCCATTCCTCATCTTAAAAGTAATAGAATTAAGTATTTTCCAGGTCAGTATACTAAACAAACAATGGAACAATCTGGTGCTGACAATTATAGCAATTACATTTTAACAACTAAAGCCTGTCTTTATTTAAAGTACCGTGTATGGATTTTTTAAATCCCTATTTCTAATGTTAAATTATCAATAAAGTTACTAATTACAAAGAGAAAACAAAATACAACCTAATATACCATAATATCCACTTCACAAATATTTAATACTTGATGACAAGTATATTTTGATATATTTTTGCTCATTTCTTACCGACAATCTTATTGAATTCGATCAAATCACAATCTGTTTGCTCAAAGCCTTTAAATTCAGTGTCCTGTTCATCGCTGAAAGCAGCGGATGCCCTTCGCTTTGTTCCCTTCTGATCATCTGCATCTTCCGAGATATTGTCATCAGCTTTTAAACTTGATGTACTGGGAGTAACTGAAACCATCCAGTTTATATATGTATTTGAGAATTAATTTATGTGCATCATAATGTCGGTTAGGTTACTATGCCCCAATGCCCAACTCAAAATAATAATAACAATCCATCTGCTTCAAAATAGGCACTTGAGTGGTTTAAAACAACCGACACAGAATATGTCGCATATCCATGTTTTCTATCTGGTAACAATGATATTCTGTGCCCCACAAAAAGCAGAGCCAACACAAGCATGATTTGTCAAAAAATGATTTGACAAGCAAGCTTTGGTGGGACTGAAACCGAACTGCAATTAAACTCACAACTTTTTAACCAGCAGATGGTAAAACTATGGCAAAAATTAGTATATACATCCAATCACATATTTTACAAAGTTATGATGTAATCCAAGTTACCAACCAATGAGACTGACAGAGACTATAACTTTCTTCTATGCTATTAGTAATTACTAGACTTTATTCTTTGCTTTGTTTAATATGTTCAAATAACATTGCTGTAGGTAATCTCTGTTAGCACCTATTTAATAATGGCAGCTGTTAGCATATTGGTAAATCCATACCCGTTGGAAATTTCTATTAGTAAAATTGTTCAAATCATTTGATTAGACAACAGTCAAAGAGTAGACTCTAGTAGGTCAGGCCTAAATCAGTGTGTCTTCAATTTTTAGTAATATTTCGAATTATCTATAAACTTTGCTATGAACTTGGTATATTAGCAGTTTACTGTTTTACGCATAACATTATTAAGCAGTGATACAGAAGTTTGAGCTAAAAAAGCACCATACATTTGTGCAACAGTCCATACTATTAAATAGTATGGACTGTTGCACATTAACTTATCATTGATGTGTTATTTAACCTTCCAATCTAATATTGTAGATGGAAATCAAAATCCATGTTGTATTACCAGGAGGATACTAAAATACAAAAATGTAAATCCATAGTAAAAGTTTGAAATGTAATTTGGTCGTTACATGTTTGGTAGTTATGACTGACAATAAAATTAAAAGTTACTATGTCAACAGATAATTAGGTTATGTTTTGAGACAATCCAACTACCTTCTGCGGTCACTTTGTCTTCATCAGCGTCATGCGTTATAGGCTCAGAAGCTGCTTGAGACGTTTTTTCACCGCCTGTAGCCTCTTCAACCCCATCACTTCCCACTGCAGCTTCACTAGACGCGTTATCACCCACCGCCATTTCGTCCGACATTGTCAAGTCTAATTATATCACAAATCCAGTGTCAACGCACAAATAACCACATTACAAACGGTCACAATATTGCACCAGGCGACACGACAACTAATACGGAGCTTGTGCGCGTCACTATAGCGATTAGCAATTTCCCGCTATATTCTCTAGGATAAAAAAACGTCCCGTAAATCAAGTTGAAGACACGTATAACACTAGACTATAGTGCACTGGCTGTATTATTTTCACTTCTTATAAGATTGTAAACCATATCTAATTATTTTCATGATATATTTGGAGAAATTTACATAATTTCACGTCCACAATCTCTAAATGAAAATGAAAATGTCGTTCATCATAAACAACATCCGCTCGACAGAGCAAGACCGCGACGCCACCTTTATTATCTATGGTTTTGAATATAGTGTATACTTCTCTGAGGGCTGCCAAATTACATTCGACAAAGCGCTTAAAATTGGAGTAGTAAGTAACACGATTGAGATCCAACTTTTATATTTACTTTTTATATTCAAAGGTTTTCTTATTTTACTTTTCAGTATATTTACCATATTCTCAATAGTATAATTTTTGTTTATAACCTCTTAATTATTAGAAAGTAACACGTCGCAGCCCTATTTTTAATTAATTATGACCAATTCAGAGTATAATTATATATGCTAGAATTATTCTGTTATCTACATTTTTTGTCACAGATTATACCAAAACAGTATTTTCTGTGACAACGCATTATAAATTAAATGGATGGGAAGAATCAGTTAATCTTGTATTTACATAATATTATTATTTTAACATTTAGTTTTACTATTTTAGCGATTCACATAATGATTGAAACTTCACTATGTGTTACACAGTTAATATGTTGGTACTAATAAATTCTATATAGATTTATTATTCTTATGCTGAAGACCCAACTTTATTTTGCCTTATATTTTGAAAATCCCTCTTATAAAGAAAACTTCTTTTTACTACTATACTTTTAATAATTAAAGAATGAAAATAAAAAAAACTAGATAAATGGTAGAAAAGTTTGTTTATTATCTTTTTCCAACTTTTGGTTTGCCAAAAGTTTTGCCTTTCGATTTATTATTTCCTTTATTAGGTTTTCCTTTTCCCTTCTGCATAGGCCTTTGAAGAGGTTTGCCCTTTTGGACTCTATTTGCGTCATAACGTAGCCGTTTAGTTGAAGACTTAGATGTATCAGTCAAGTCATTAGTAAAGTTGGTCAGCTTTTTCTTGGGTTTCATTCCTGTATTTTTGCGTTGTGTCGGTCTGTCGTCATCCTCTTCAACTGCACGAATCCTGCGTTGTTTTTTCTTGCCCTTCGCCAGTCGTGATTGTAGTAGAGCAACCTAAAATTTAAATCATAAATTTAGTGCCATTGAAATTAAACATAAATTGATACAATTTGGACGTGAATTAAACTTACAACTTGCATACACATTTAAATGATTTTCATTGTAATAAAACTATTTTACAGTAATAAATCTCTTGTTGTGCATTTTACCTTTTCCATTTCCCGCCTGACCCGTTCCTCAGCCGAATCCTTTGGAGCGTGCTTGGTTTGCTTCTTTTTCTTTTTGGGTGCGTCGTCGTCTGAATCGTCATCCCTTCGGCGTTTCTTGCCTTTTTGTGCATCTATGAAGAATATTAAAAGACTATCAGCAAACATAAAAAATATATATACGGAATGTAGTCATATGAGAGTGAGCATATAAATGAATGTCAAGTTAATCTTATGCACTCCGTAACAGTTAAGGTTACTCAGGTTATTCTAATTAAAGGTTTCCGAATCTCAGAATGCTAACAGCCCGTGCAATACCTTAGCCATATAACACCTAAGCAAGATACGCTGTCAGCCAATTTTGGCTTTAGATATGAAAAATAACTTTTATAAAATAAAATATACTTTAAAATTTAAAAATGATTTAGATTCGTCAAAAAATTAAAAAATGAAAAATGTTTGCCTGTCGTATTACATACCTTTGCCTTGATGCCTAGCCAAAGTTAACCGTTCCTTCTCTTGACGTTTCTCCTTAGAAGTCTGGAACCACTCTCTGCTCCTTTTTGACTCCACCTGTGGTCCATCTTCCTTCTTTTTCATGGCACCTTCCAACTTTTCCGTCTGTTTTTCCATTTTCTTTAATTGCTTTTCTGCGTATTCCTCGTTTAGGATGGCCCCTTTAAACCGAATGGATTTAGGTCATATATTAGCACCAGTAAAGTCTTTAAATAAACAAACAGATAGCCTTCCTACCTTTGCACCCAGTGAGCAAATATCATTATAAGTAAACTATTATTTTTTAATTTATATATTACCCATAACTTATAACTACTATATATTGACGTTCAAACTAATTTAGTTGACGCAATGATTGTATTAAATATTAAAATATACCTTTGCATACAAAGAAAACCAAGTTGAATATAACAAGATGTATATCAACTCTTACTTTAAGTAACATAAACTTGGCACTTAAAAATAAAATTTACCAATTTCTGGTTCCAACTTGGCCATCTTCTCCCGATACTTGGCTACTATGTCAGGTGGTACTTGGCGTGATTTTACCGGGCGCTTGGCTCTTTTTACTATCGCTTTAACGAGTACACGTTCCCCTTCACCTGCTAGCGACACGGACACACCTGCGCGACCCGCTCGGGCTGTTCTGCCGACCTGAGAGCAAAAACTAATATAACTATTGAAATAAAACAAATGTAAATTAAAAAATAGATTTTAAGAAAATTACGTCACAGGCAGGAATTAAACTGGCATCCATAGCGATCCGTGTTGTTGCTCAAACGAATTGAGCTACAGTGTAAAGTAGCTCAATTTCTTTAAAAAAAAATTTAAAATCGTTTTTTATTATACAGTATTGCAATAAAGTGTGAAAATTAAACTTTTTAAGACGAATATATCGAGGCCTTGTATACAATTTATTTACACAATAGTTTTAAATGGAATCAATTTTAGCATAAATAACACTAATGTTAAAACGGGCACAAAAAATTACCGTCTATTCTTTTACAGGGCTTTCGGTTTAATAATGTTTCAACAGCTAAAAAGTATTATTATACTAACAAAAAAAAAATACAACTCAATTGATTTGCAAACTTTATTAATTTTTACATGTTATTGCACATGAAGGCACTATATAATTTAAAAATCGAAAATAAATTGAAAAAATTTTCGACTCGGGCAGGACTTGAACCGGCATCGTCAGCGTTCCGTGCTGTTGCTCTACCAATTGAGCTACCGAGTCCTACACCTCATCGTCGAATTTTTTCAACTTATCAATTGATTTGTAGAACTTTAATTCTTACCCTATGGATGTAGTGTTCCAAAGTAGCTGGTAAAGTAAAGTTAATGACAGTTTTGACTCCCGGTATGTCCAAACCTCTCGCTGCGACATCAGTAGCCACTAGGACATCTACTTGTTCATCCTTGAACCGTTTTAGCGAGTCTAAACGCTGCGGCTGGTTTAGAGCACCATGTAGTTCTGCTACCTAAAACAATTTATTGTAAGAATATGACTTTGGAAAAAAGTCTGTTTTCCAATCATTGGAAAACGCATCGTTACTGACATCTAACGTGATGAATAATTCAGAAAATAAGGTAATTTCTACCGCCTCTGTAGCTAAATGGTTAAAAGTCTTGCCTAGCAGTGCGTAAAACGCGAGAGGGTCCTGGCCCTGTCGAGTCCCGGGGAAAGAATCGATTGTTTCGGTCGAGCAGGGTACAGAAATCTGATCAACTACTTGCCTATAGTTGATCAGAAGATAAAACCGATCTGAGAAACAGACACAGAAATGTGCTTACCCTATGCACCATGGAGGGAAACTGGATTTCACCTTTTTTTTTTGTTCTGGTATTAAAAACTTTTTAATTACAAAATACCCTTATCATATTATAAATAATATATAAGACAAATTGTTGTGAAGTTTGATTAAAACTTTTCAGAAGCAAGACTAGTAAGATTAAACTGAAGTAATTGTAAATCTTAATGCTTTGTATACTTTTATTTACCTTGATACCAAGTAATCCTAACGCGACGTGCAGTCGGTGCGCCTGTTTCTTTGTTTGTACAAAAATAACGGCACGATCTCTGAACGTTCGACACACAAGCGCCGCAAGAATCGCTTCGCGGTCCGACTCACGTTCTTTACGTATCCTGTGCAGATGATACATAGATTAAGTTATAGAGGAATGGTGTTTTAGTCACCTAAAGTTTTTTTTTTTCCACCTCTGCAGCTAAATAGTGAAACGTGTTGCCTAGCATTCCGTTACGCACAGAGGTCCTAGGTTCGAATCGCGGGGAAACAATAAATCGTTTCGGACGGGCAGGGCAAAAAAGTCTGATCAACTACTTGCCTGTAAGTAAAAACCTTTTAGTGAAACGGACACAGAAATGTGTTCGCCCCATGCCCTACGAGGGGAAACGGGATTTCACACACAGTCTCTTTTTAATCGTTTTTTTATAATAATCTAACTCAGACAGTTGAATATTAGACATTTTAAATAACAATTTTTTTAGTGTAAATATTTTTGGGGACCTTATCTATAGTTTTTTGACACACACCTTACAAACTCTTGTCTTAAATTGAAAGCAACGTCCTTATTGGAGTCAAGGAAGAGTTTTACGGGTTTGTTTAGTGAAACCGCTGCCAGGTCTTTGACTTCATCACTCATAGTGGCCGAGAACAGCATAGTTTGACGCTTCGGTGAACATTGCCTTATGATCTCCTTCATTTGCTCAGCGAAGTATTCGTCCAACATTCTGTAATAGTTAACTTGGAATGATGGAAAACCCCAAATTTTTTTGGGGTCTTTGTTTTTTTTTTTTTTTAAAAATTTTTTTTTTTTTTTTTTTGGGTCCCCAATTTTTTTTTTTCCCCCCGGGGAGTTCGGGCCCCCAACTAGAAAAAAAATTTCGTGTACACATTCTGACAACATAAATTTGGACTTTAAGGAATGTTGATGGGTTGATAATAATATGAACCACTTAGTATGTACATAATTAGATACATGTGTGTATACATTCATAGGGCAATTTGTCTCACCTATCAGCTTCATCCAGTACAAGAACCTCAATGCAGTGTAATCCAAAAGAAGGTGTATTCCTTATGTGGTCTATGAGACGACCTGGCGTCGCTATCACAATATCTGGGTTGCGACGGAGAACGCTTTCCTAAAATATTTTATTACTTAGAATAATAATTAAATGAATGTAAGAATGAGGAGTTTTTGTAAATTACTAATAATTATAAAATTGGTTATAATTTTTTTGCTTTGGCCAATGGTGAATTGCCTGATTCTTACCAGATGCAAAGGTTCTAACAGACAAACCAACTATGAACTTCTAGTTGAAAAGAGCAAACTAAGAAACAGTTTTCAGTAAAATTTTATCAAGCACAAGCATGTAGTTCACTTATTATCCAGTTAATAATAGTTAATAGTATTTTGTAAGATTTCATATTTTTTTCTTCCCACACCTATCATGATATTGAAATAAATAAATAACTTTAATGGTTACCTGGTATTTAACATCCAACCCTCCAACAGACAGACCAACAGTCACTGAAGTAAATTGAGCCAGCTGTCTTGTTACTGCATGAACCTATAAATTAAATCGAATTGTTCTTAATAAAGGCAACAATTCTGCATTGATTGAGCTAAGTTTAAAACATCTCGACTTTTCATACATAATAAGTCTTGGGCACCCAGTTCTCGAGTTGGCACCAGTACAAGCACTCTAGTAATTCTATCCCCGACAGTTTTGTATAATAGTCGCTCGAGAATCGGCAGCATGTATGCTGCTGTTTTACCCGTACCCGTTGCTGCGCACGCGCATATATCTTTGCCTATGAAAAGTAAGAATGGAACAAACTGTAATAGATGTTGCACCAATTATAAATATACATATATTGTACTAATAAATTTTACATGTGAAGTTTCAAACTTTTTATGGTATATTTAGACAAAATAAAATTAAAGGGAATTTTTATACAAAGACATACCTAAGAGCCCTATAGGTATGGTGGCTGCTTGTATAGGAGTGGGATGAATATAATTAAGGGTGCCTATCGCTTTCAGCAGTGGTCTTGAAAGGTTCATCATATAAAATGATGCATTCTCATCATATAGTGGAGGTTCTTCGAAGAAATCCTCATCATATTCTACACGAGGTGCCTGTGGGTCAGTTTCTTCCAATTCCTAGAATAGATAGGTAGGTTTTATATCTATACTAATATGTATTATAAAGAGGAAAGATTTGTATTTTTGTATATAATGGGTAAACTCAAAAAGTACTGGACCGATTTTAATAATTCTTTTTTTCATTATAAAGCTACACTATCACTGAGTAACATAGGCTATATTTAGTACTTGATTACTAAAGGCATCTATAGAAATTCTTACTTAAACCAACGGAAGGCGTAAAAAAATTAGCCGTAAAATGTCTTTCTTCGCATACGCTGCGAAAAGTATTAATGTTAGGACAAAAAAATGTTTGACAATATTATAGAATATATCAATATCTACAAAAAACATTGCGAGAGCAATTATGTCTAACAGTTGTAGTTACGTCGCTATAACTATTTTTTACATTCAAAAATTAAAAGAAATGCCGATCAAAATCCGTGACCGTGTTATCCATACCATTTATAAATTTTTATCCAAATAAATAATTTAATTCTCAAGACTGTCTCAATACCTGATGATTACTTATTTAATTATTGAAATCGGAGATGCCATTTAAAAGATATCATGAAGTTAAAATAAAAATTTCCCTTTTTTTATAAACAGTTTTATGGTTCACTTATAAAGTTCTTTTCAGAGCTACTTAGTTTTAGTATTAGGAAACTTGCAATACTTGTCAAAGTTAATTTCGGATTACTGGAACTTATATCTTTATTAAAGGTGATTTACTCTGATTTAAATAAACACCTAAGAAAGTTCCCAGAATTTAAGAATGAACTAATTATATTATATACAAAATGACAAATTTTCCTAGTGTCTCTTTATAAAGAGACAGCTAACGTTCAAAGCGAAAATTAGAGCCTTTTGAGGCAGCTCTATAGCATATTAGCAACTAGACAAACATTACCCAATGTAAACTAAGCAACTGTTCATATAAGTAATCTAACCTGTTTCAACTTTTGCTTCTTATTTAACTTCTTCTCTTTGACCTTTATTTCATCTCTTTTTAATTCATCATCTGATATTTCTAATTCATCTACATTTTTATCTGTAAAAAAAGGTAAATTTTGATCTAAGTTATGAAAATACAAATATCTTGTCATATCTCTAGGTGGGGGTTACTAGATAGATAAAAAAAATGCACAAAGCACAACATATATTAACTCATTAGAGACAGGTAGATATTCAACACTCTGTGTGCTAAGAGATGAAGCCACAAAGGCAGTCATTTAATTTTAAGCCTTTGAAGCAAGGGAGTACTTAAATTTTTATGTATAACCAAAGCTACAAAATACCTTCTGGCTCTGAATCAGTATCTGCATCCGCATTTCCATTGACCTGGGTTTGGAGCCTCCTCTTAGCAATCTTTTCATCCAATGTTAGTTTTACATTTCTCTTGACATACTTTTGTAAGTCATCCCAAGGATCCTGTAGTAAAAACTTTAAAATTAAAAATTGAAGTTCATACTTGATCTCTAGGGAATTCAACCAATAGTACTACATATTGTTTGTTGAAGAGATGTGTTGTACTATTAGTTTAACCAACCTACAACGTAAAATAATATTTCAGCAAGGATACATTTTTAGATTCTATAAATGTAGTTTTAATTTATTATATTTCATTGACAGCAAAATTTACCTGTTTCCCAAGATTAGCTAACATAGATTTAATTGCAATTGTTTTAAACTATAGGTCATCTAAATATACCTTTTAATGTCAGATTGAATATTATTGGTTTTTAAGTAAGCATATAATTATTATTTGCTTTTTATCAGCATACACAAAATAATAAAGGGTCGCCTTTATTTAGCTGTCACATACCTTATTATATTCCTCGACTGAACCAACAAACTGAAATGAAGGGTCAAAATCTGCTTTGCGTTTTATTTTTTGCTTTGATGGTTGGTACTGAAAATAAATAAAACGTTAATAATTTCAAGATAATTGAACAATATCCTACCAACTGTCTTAAAAACATTATGGTAATGAAACTACCTTTTCAATGAACACTGAATGACATTATAAAAATCAAACCTAGAGCTACAAATACTTTTATTCATCAACCACAACTACAGACCTCCACTTCCACATCTGAATCTTCAGAATAGTCTTCAATTTCTTCTCCATCATTAATTGTTTTAATAAGCCCAGGGTGCCCTTCTATTTCCAACATTTCTATAATGTATCTATATCGCGACAATTAAAAGACCTAGTAGCCTTTTATATATTAGTAAATACTACACCGTTGTAAAAGTCATATCATTATTCAGAAAATTATTCAAGGAATAAACATTAAACAATGCAATTTAAGGTTAGCTTTCAAAAACACATGCCTCACTAATCATGGCTTTAAATGACAGTTCACATTTGACTATTATTTATTATAATTTTATACATGTCGGTGGTTTCAACGGGTATGTTAATTGTCAATGGCTAATTGGTTACGTCATCTGCCAATGACACAACGAGGATGAAGTACCGGCAGTGACTTTACAATCAAGATTGGGATCTAATTTTTATCTCATTTGCATCTCTTGAATTTGATTTTACTTTATTGACTTGGAAAAGTCTGCAATAATTTTCATAGTATTATGAACATACATACATAATTTTTTTCTGTTAAAACAACGTTATAATAAGTGGTAAGGATGGCAGATCAGACAAGAATATATGATGATATAAAACTGTAAGTAAATTACTTATTTTTATAGAAGTTATGATTTATTGTTATTTTTAACTAAGAATTGTATAAAGGTCATTAAGGCACATTCTTCTTTCAATTGAAAACAATAATTTATAATTTCTTATTGAATGTGTAATTTGATTTCATATACATACATAATTCAATTACTTAGTTTTTTTTGTGTTTTGAGTGATTCTTTTTAAGTTATCTAATTTAAGTTCATAACGTCACTATCATTTACATAAAAATTAAATTAAAATAAAGTTGCAAATCCATTTTTTTTCTAAATTAGCAATTTCATACTAATGTTAGTGCTAGAACATAATTTTTTTCAAGGTTGTTGAATTTCATAGAATTCATTTCTTATCATTTGCAATTCCTGATTATGTGTTTTAGCTTTATATTTATAATTTTAAAAAGAAATTTATGAATTTGTTCATACTATTGTTTCTAATTCATTTAGATTTTTACAATATAAAAATAATAAGTAGTTTTCGAAATTTTTAGCTTTTACATAGTAATGGGAATAAACAAAACTACAGCCATAAGCTGTGGTTTTATTATTGCAGCAATATGCTTTTCTCATGAATTTTCTTATAAACTTCTAATGACTAAACTACAAGATTAGATTTGATTTGAACAAACAGACAATGCACAATCATAAACATTCAACAAACTACATTCCATATATTTAAATAAAATTTTTAAATTTACTCGCGTAAATAGAATATTCCATATATTGTTTTGTAGTGCTGTTTTTTTTTAATTGTGTTTATTACATACAAATTTTTTTTTTCAGATATACAACATCCGATAAGTTTTATTTAGAACCGACAATTAATCCAACAGAGATTATGGTGATTGACCGTGTCTCAGGTGAAGCTTATGTCAGAGGTAAGTCTGGGTTTGACTTCTTGGTGGTGGTGGGATTTTAGTTTTATATGATCAAGGGCAGGACCATATATTTGCATTTTATGTATTATTAAGGTGGAATAAATTTACCAATAATCCAGGTCTTAGGTGCTGTGTAACTTGTCCATGTATTATCACGGAATTTAAGGAGGCAGCCATATCAGATGTATTATCTATTTATACTAATATAAAAAGTTGAAGAATTTATTTGTTTGTTTAAATGCACTAATATCAGGAACTACGGGTTTGAATCGAAAAAATCTTTTTATGTTAATTAGAGCATTTATCAAGAAAGGCTATAAATCATCAAGACCCCCAAATAATTTGTATGAAAGAATGCATCCTCTTTAAATGATCTAAAAAAAAGTCTCTGAAAACTCTATATCTTATAAGATTAACTTGGGCAGCGGAATTTGCAAAAACGAATTTGGATGCCTAAAATAACTTGCTTTCGGACAAAGTCGCTGACAGCTAGTAAGAAATAAACATCCAATAATCCTTACAAACTATTTCATTTACAATGTTAGTTGATAAATTGTATAAGCTTTTGCAGGCATAATGCTATTAGTGTATTAGATCTGTTCAGCTGTAATAATTGACAATATAGGCTTACTTAAAATTGCGAAGACTTGAAAATCGTTATTTAGATTATGTTCTCATTTACAGAAATAAATACTGTGAAGATACCAATACCTGCTAGTGCATATAAGCCAGTCTGTGGTTTCCTCGGAACTGTCAAATTGATATCTGGCTTATATCTAGTGGTTGCAAAATATAGGATATTGGTATGTATTTCTTTACCTTAAAATATTTGTATTGTTTGCATGTAAATTTATAATAGTTTCTACATTCTGCTTGATACTGTATAATGGTTTACAAAATACAATAATTGTTTAGAGATAATTCCAGTTTAAATATAAGAGTAGCTTAGGTACAAAGAAAAAAGTTTTATCACAATAAAATAGCTTGAAATACTACAATAGGAAATTGATTTCCTAGTTACTCAAATACTGACTATAGTTTACGCGAGTAGTACACATTTAAATAAAACACTTTAACGGTTTAAAACGCGATATATTTGTTAACTACCTTCTTATCTTAACTAATATATCGCGTTTTAAACCGTTAAAGTGTTTTATTTAAATTCTTAGTTACTCCACTTCTTACTCTACATTTCTCTATAAGATTTATATTATGTTTAAGCTACACAAACCTCACTAAAAATGTACAATAGAAGTCATATATAGTTGTATATAATATACATGTATACATATAAATATACTTTGTCCTGCAATTGATTTAATTTATCTTTTCAGGTCGGTCAAATAAATGGTCACGACATATACGAACTTGCTGAGTCCGATATTATACCATATGCTAGATCAACCACACATCTAACTAGTAAACAGGTGTGTATAAAATATTTGAATTTGTGTTGATACTAAAGAAGTCTAGTCAATATGTATGTCTCCTACAAAACAATTTTAAATGCGAAATATATTTTTTAACCGTGACATCGTATTATTCAAATACAATAAAAATGAGTTAACGTATTTTATTTAAATGTGTTCCAATTGCTTAAGATCGTTTATCTTATATTACATGTATCTTTCTATCTGCTTTGTACATTTATAGTCTGACATGTGGTCAGTCTCGGGTTGGGAAAACATTCCAGGGAATCTATACTATATCTATAATCTATAGGATAGATATACGATAGAGCTAGATATCCAGTTGTTAGCTGAACATACGAAATATTTTTTCTTACATGTTTTTTGGGGATCTTGAGCCGATTCCGCAAATTATATATTTCATAATAGTACGAGGGCTACACTAAATATTTTTAGAAAAATGGCTACTTAAATGCAATATATTTTTTTTATTAAATTTGCAATTTGAAGAACTCTTTACGAATTGAGTAAATATTAGTTTGTCGTCATTTGTTTTACGGTTTGCCGCCTGATTGAAGATAGTCTGTTTAACGTTGCCATAAAGACTGGTGGTGGAAAGAAGGAAGCGACCATTCGCGAGACTTAGTCGCTACTTTCATACCACACACGCTGCCATCCTTGCCCATTGTCCATGCCCTTGGCTCGACCTTGACCATCAACAAATACTAAGTATTAGAGTTATTTATTATACTTTTGTTCACAGATAGAAGACAACAACACATATGAGAGGCTACTGCGCGCCGCTTTAGAAGCACCAGGCATTTATTTCTCGTACAGCTATGACCTGACTCACTCAATGCAGCGCTTGCATTCTGTCTCGCCAGACTTTCACAAGGTAGTATTTATTTAAGTCCTTCCTAGTATTTTCTCGATACAAGATTTGTGTAATTTACGTTACTATGAAACTTATCTTTTTAATAATTTTGATATGTTTATGAATATGGATAATAGAAACTTTTTTTACAGATGTCGCTAGTAAGCAGGAGTTTTTTTAAAAAAAAAAAAAAAAAAAAAAAAAAAAAAAGGGCTGATCCACGCTTCGTGTGGAACGGACACCTGCTCAAAGGATACTCGCAGCAAATGTTCTCAAGATTTAATTTACCAATCATGCATGGATGTATCCTTTTATAGGACCTAATGTACATTATAGTGGTTCTAAGCTCCAAACTTTTCCCTCTTCTCAATCAATTAAAAATTTAAGGAGGAATCATTCTTTTATACATATTTTTTTGGGGATCTTGAGCCGATTTCGTAGCGCACACAACGGAATCCCTAAAAGATGAATATTTTCCCTTTTTTTCACATTTCTCGCTTGTATTAGTCATAGCTTTATATCCTATAGCCTTCTTCGATAAATGATAAACCAACAAAGAGTAATTTTTCGATTCCCACCAGTGGTTCCGGAGATTAGCGTCTCCAAACATACATCAACAAACAAACTCTTTAGTTTTATATAGTACAATAGATAATAATACATTCGTAAATATTACTTTGATATTATTAAGAAGCTATATACAATTTTCTTAACGAAATACAGTTGTTGCTATTAACCGCGTGACAATAAGCGGACATCAGCTTATATGGACATTAGTGTCCAGGCGTTGCGTGGAAAGAGCTGGAACGAGGCTGTTTATGCGTGGGATTGATGCCCAGGTAAATAGTAAAAAAGGTTGATGTGCGTAGCGCGGCTGAAAACTGATTGATTAACCTGTGAAATCCATTAGTGGTAATTGATGAAACGGACATAGAAATATTTGCACCTTGCCCCACGTTAGGTATATCACACATTTAACTTAGCTAAAGTTTAGTTCAGCTTAAGTCAGTTTATAATTTTTAGTAAAGGGCAGATTACAAGAGGGTTTAATGGCAAGTAAAAATTTACTAATAATAATACTCTAAAGTTTTATTTCACTGTTATTATATATAATATTAATAAAAACTCTTTATTGCACGAACATAGACAACGTTTTTCGGTTTGATTTGGTTTAATGTCGTGGGGAGGTCCAGCTCTCCGAGTCTTCCCACAAACTACAAAAGTATTTAATTATATAAGATTCAAATTATATTAATCTTTATATGACAAATATTTTAGGGCAATGTTGCGAACTACGTAGAAACAGAACAGATAGTGGAAAGAGGTGGCGAAAAGTCCTCATTCGTGCAGACCAGAGGTTCGATACCTTTATATTGGAGCCAGTACCCGGATCTGAAGTACAAGCCCCCAATGTCGCTTGCTGCTGAAGACCACGTGGCAGCGTATACCAAGCACTTGAGAGATCAGCTGCAGAGGTACGGCAACCAGGTGTTATTGAATCTTGTGAGTATAAATGTCTATGGATATTATTTATATGTTTTGTAATATGTATGGTATTATCTGAGATGCCACAGATCTATTGAAAATGTTTAATGTTTAAAATAGACTACTTGGGCTTTCAATTGTTTTAATTGTGAAACGGTTCTCGACGTTTCGATATCATCGTTGGTCGTTTTTTAATACTAAGACTAAGCAAAATATACTCAGAACAAAGATTTATGATTATTTGTCGAATAATAATGAAATAAAATGTTGCTATTTGCCTCACTTTTCATCTCTACTAATACACCAATCATATTGCGTGACGTCATTCATGGGCAATCAGTGAGTAAATAAACTGCGAACTCGCGAAAATAACCACATATGACGTCATGCGCGGTATTTGTATACAAACAATACAAACACCCAGTTTTGTATGTAGTTAATATCAGTAATTGATATCAAAACATTTTGGCGTAAATTAAAAATAGTTTAAAGTATATTAAGAGTTAAAGAAGAAAGAAATATTACACCTGTTATGTTTGTTTGAAAATCTTAAAGAAGTTTTAAAACCTTTGTCAATAGATCGACCAACACGGTAAGGAGGAATCGTTGGAGCGTGGATACCGCGCCGCGGTCGCAGCAGCTGCTTTACCAGCAGTTCGCTACGAGCCGTTCGACTTTCACGCTGAATGCCGTGGCATGAGATACGATCGACTCTCAGTGCTGTTAGACAGGGTCGCACATGAGCAGGTAATTGTCTTTCGACAAGATTTGGTCAAAATTCTGTAACATTAACAGCGCTCAAACCTATAGCATTGATGTTTCTCTATATTCTATACCTACGACTAAATTTTGGTTGCTATAAGACACAAAAATCATTATTCACGTAGGTTTATAAAACACTTTTAGCCGTTTAAAACACGAACTATATTATCACACTTCGCGTTTTAAACCGTTCAAAATGTGTTATTTAAATACTTAAGACATACATTTTTTTCGCATAAATTACTTTGCATATAATTTCAGACAGAATTCGGCTACTTCCTTTCCCGTGGTGAAACCGTCCTACTGAAGCAAACCGGAGTGTTCAGGACCAATTGTGTCGACTGCCTTGACAGAACTAACGTAGTGCAGAGTCTGTTGGCCAAGAGACAACTGCAAGCGTTGCTGAGACTTCTGACTATCACGAACAGTGACGACCCCATACCTCACTTTGATACGCTGTTCAATGGGGTAAGTTGTATATACAAATAATGCAAAACTGTACTTATATTATAAAGCTGAAGAGTTTGTCTGTTTGAACGCGCCAATCTCAGGAACTACTGGTTCGCATTGTATTTTTTTTTTGTTCGTTTGAGCATTTATCGAGGAACGCTTTAGGTTATAAAACATAGCGCTGCGACTAATAGGAGCGAAGAAACGGTAGGAAATGTGGAAGATATCAGGAAACATTTTCGCCCTTGAAGATTTCCGTCGCGTGCGCTGCGATACTTTTAGAATTATTAAAAAAATATGTATGAAAGAATGACTCCTCTTTAAAGGATCTAAAAAAATATTCGCGGCAGTATGTGAAAATTACTCGACGCGACCGACGTCGTGGGTATCTGCTATAATAATTTATAAAGGTAAAGGGGAGGTTTGCAAAAACAAGTTGTGATGCCCAAAATAACCCGGTTGCTAGTACTATATACGTAAGTTAATTGTTAAGCAAGAGACGTCCAGTATGAATTCCGATCAACTAAAATAGACACAAAAATGTCACCCTTTGCCCTACACAGGGTAAACGGAATTTCGTTTCCACATCATAGAGGTAAATCTATTTTATAGGTCTGGGCAGATCACGCAGATATGATCTCCGTCCAGTACTCTGGGACCGGCGCGTTGAAGACGGACTTCACTCGTACTGGCAAGCGCACGCGCATGGGATTGATTCAGGATGGTATTAACTCGCTCACACGATACTATAAGAACAATTTCAGCGATGGATTTAGACAGGTAGATAATCTTTTAAACGTAAATTAATTATAAATAACTAGCACAGCTTTCAACAGCTTCTAACGGTTTATTTATACTACTCGCGTAAATTTCTATAATTTTTTAATCTTGCTTTTGTTAGCCGGAGTTTTATAATTGCAGTTTATCTTATTAGCCACTTATTGCAACAAATCTATTAACATTTAAATTAAACACTTTATCGGTTTAAAACGCGATATATTTTAGTTAAGCTTGTTTGATGGTGTGGTCTCCCTGCGACCACGGCTGCTGCAAAACTTCCGAAACGTCGGCGCGTAGTTAAAAATAATATAATAATAATAAAGTTTAACTAAAATATATCGCGTTTTAAACCGTTAAAGTGTTTTATTTAAATGTGTACTACTCGCGTAAACTACTAGTATTTAGATACATAAACAGCACACAGCAAGCATGCTTTTTAAGTAATCTTATTTGTTACTAAAATAGTGTTGAATCTGCCCTTTATTATTTTAAACTTAATATTAAAACACCTGGCTTGGTATCGCGAACAGGAACAATTGTATCGGTCGGCAGAGAACAAAATGTTGATCAAGTACTTGCCTCTATATAGAATAGATGTGTGAAATAGATGGCCTGTTCGCCCCTCACAGGGGGAAGTGGGAACTTATACATTATATTAATATTATTATTGTATTACAGGATTCCATAGACTTGCTTCTTGGCAACTATGTTATAGTCGACGGTGAGGGCAACACTGTCCAGTGTCCGTTACGTAGAGACAGGGACTGGAAATACGTTACAGTAAGTCTAATCAGAATGGTGCGGTCCAATGGACGTTTTTACATAAATAAATAATGTTTATATGCGTTCAGTTCCCATCCGTGCTGCTGGTCGCCGTGTCGATGTTCTGTGCGAGTGCTGCGTTACCAGCGCGCTCCAATACAGAAGTACTCCTCTACCTCATGTTCTGGGGCGCCGCTGTTGGTGCCACCCTCAAGTTTATTTTCAAGTGAGTGTGTATTTAAATTAATTTGTAAAATGCGCCCAATAATTTCTTTATATGTATAAAAATGTACATAACATATAACTGATCACGAAGTATTAACGTTTTTAGTGAAAAATTACTGGTACATGTCGTTTACGCCCTATGCGGTGTTCCCGTTCAAGAAAGTTCAAACGAAGAAGCTGTCAATTTTCTTTAAATCCATTGATTTTGGAATACACAAAGAATGTATAGTCATTCAATCAGCTATCAGGATTCCACTAAAAGTCATTACTTAAAACATGAAACATACCACCTTAAATGGTAAATCATATGACGTAGCTACATATAATAAGATTTTAATTCAAACATTTCAGACACGGCAAGGAATTCGTCGACTGGCCAAGGTTGGACTGCGGTGGAGTCGCGACGAACCGTCTCAGGCCCGAGCCGTCATTATGATCGCGGACATGCCGCTCGTAGTAATCGTCTAAACCATCCACTACATACCACACATGCATAACCAATATAGACATTTTACATATAACGTATTTTTTCTAACTTGGCAAAAGGCCACAACAAATATGGACCATTTCAAACCGTACAGAACTTGTATGGAGTGTAGTCGTTGCCACATTAGAAACGGGGTTAAGGAATATCCATTATATATGGACCAAAAGACCTCTTTATTCAAAATCACTTTTATTTAAAAAAAAACGACTTATTTTAAAAACAATTATTATTGTTTAACTCGACTCGTTTCCAAGACTTTTCAGTATTCGTGCACCAATGGAACTTCTACTTTTTATTGTCAATAATAACTTTACATTCCATCCTTAATCTGTGCATTTGCGTGAATTAACTTTTGGTATTTTTATTAATTTTTGCACGAATATGTGGTATTTACCAAGTGAAATTGAGGTAGTTCATTAGTTTAATATATAATACAGTGTTTCAAAGTGTTTTTAGTGTGAATCTATGTAAACCTTGCGAGAAAATCACGATTTCATGTAAATTGTGTGTTTGTTTACCAAAATGCCAAGTAAAAAAAGATACTACTATTATTAGGCTGTAAACTTCGGTTTCCATACAGTCGATTTTTGTAACACTAATTAAACTAACATTAAAGTTGATATCAAATGCATATAGCTTCTTATGCAAATTTACTCAAAGTGTTTTGACATGAACATTGTCATCTGAAATAGGCTTCGCCATTTTAACTCCGATATCTAGTTTGGCCTCTTTATGAGAAACCTTAAATTTGCATAACAAATACTCTATCAATGATCAAATGTAGTTTCCTTTCTCTTTAGTGTGGTATGTGGTGTACTGTTAACGTTTCAATCATTTAGCAAATGCCTGTATTTTTGTCATTGGACATATTTTTGGAGTCCTATAATTAGCATACACTATGGCGGTAAGGGTCTTTGCACACCTGGCGTTTTTTTTTCAATTTGTCATATTAATTACTATATTATCTGTGGTTTCAGCAGTTAAAAAGTAGTGTTCGTTTTGAATTCATTAAAATAAGCATTCCATTTGACTTATTAAGTTCGACGATACTTTTTGAAGTTCTATAACAATCATTTTTAATTTGTATGTATTTCAAGTATACTCTAACAGTTTAGTGGAAATAATTTATCAACGGAAATCTTTTTTGATCACTTCCATTACGGAATTTTATAATATAGACCAACGAAAGATGCACCGTTTAAACGCTAAAGTTGAAATTACTAAGAATTTTCAGTGTTGCCAGCTTTTCCTATTTACAAATTACCAATAGAAAAGGATTTCATCTGTATTATTTCTGTTATTATATGTTTAGACGGCTCGAGCGGATGTCTGTATCAATATCTATAGGAATAACATTTGTATGCATTATTTTAGATCCTATGTTAAATTATTGACTCATTTTACATAAGACATGTATATAATCGATTTGTGTTCAATATTTATTCTGAAAGTCACAGCTGATTGTCTTAAAAGGATTTATATACAACAAATTTTATACAATGTTATTTCCTCATAGGTATTTTAGAGTTTGTAGTTTGTTTTAGCTTTTGTAATTTATGGATCAAGTTTCCTCGTTTTCATTTAAATTGTTTGATTAATTTATGGAAGACTTTAAAATTTTAATAAACAATTATCAGTAACTACGTCTGCATCTGGTTTTACTTTTAAATTTTCTTTATCCTCTCATACAAGAAATATCAGTGATAAAGAAATAATTGGGCCCTCGTATCTTTCACGCTTACCTTTTTTTAAAAGAGGTTGGACGGCCTTTTAAGCTCCAGGACCCTGGTTCTGCACCACCTGGTCTGCGAGCTAAGCCATTGACTTCGTTTTCAGAAATATATAAGGTATCGAAGTTCTGTGGTAATTCTCATGTTATTACTACATTTTTATTGAAAGAAGCATGTGACAATTGGCTTGAAGGTCCTGTTGCCGGGCCATAAAATATAAGAAAAAGCATGTGACATAACTATTATGACAGCTTCTGTCGTTTGACATTGCAACAATCGTTTCAATATTTTTATGTCAACTGTCAATCAGTCTCGTATGAATTTCCTCTAGAGAGTAGAAGTGTTTATCTTATTGATCAGAGTAAATAATATTTTTTAAATGAGTATCAACTCTTACACGAAAAATAATCGCGTGTCTATATAGTTCTGATGTTTGTCCATGTATTAGTGTCGGACGTGTGCCAATTTTAAGATAGAAATGTATTTTATTGTGTAAACAATACAAGACGAGGTGCCAGTATGTCTGATGAGTTAGAGGCTCGGATGTGGGATGATGGAGGCTCAAGGAACGATGCTAGAAGCCGTGGAGCTTATTATGAGTCTGCGTTCGCTTCAGAGCAACTGGACAGAGCACCCTTACTAGCCGAGGTATAATCTCCTTTGTCGTTATATAGATTATAGAAATGACGTTCTTTACGCAATTTATTTGTTTTTTGTTACGTTGTTTTTCCCGTTAAGCCTTCATAAGCTTTTAAGCCTTATGCGCATCTCGTGGCCAAGGTCAATTGTTAATATGATGTAAATAATTCACATGTACATTGTATTATCATTAAGATCCAAATCCATTGTTTACCACATTGCAGTCACTGTGTAAATATTATCTTGATCTATGAAGTTAAATAAAGTTTGCATAAAGTGTGTAATTTGAGCACAATGTTGGGTGATTATTAATATTCTTTTAGTTATATAAAACTGCTCAATGTATTAAAATTTAAAATTATTGTATTTGACCTAAAAGGGTCAGTTATCTTTTCCAAGTAAATATCTCATCAATGCCATAAAAGCATTTGCAATTTTTAATTGAATTATATTATAAATGTTTATGCAAGTATGTACTACTTTCTTCCATTAAGTAGTAACCAGCTAATTTTTTTTAGTAAATGTTCAGGGACATTAACACATCTGATATGTGTCATCATAATACCTATGCCAAAAGAATAATGAAGGAGATAGCATTTTTTTTTTTACTTTAGTTTATTTATAATAGTTTATTTATAATTATATATTATATATATACACATATTATTATATAGTTATTTATTACATATATAGTTTGACTTTAACTTATTTTCCTGTAATATTCATTTGAGTTCTTTATTGTTCTTACGCAACCGATGTTTAACCTTAACAAACACAAGTGGTCTTCTTCAGAGTTGGTTTCACCATATTTTTTTTGATAAACAACCTTAAAATGCATTAAAAAAATTAATCACAACAAATAATTAATCCTGTTGATTAAGTCATAATATGACCTGTCATTATTATGCACACTATGTAGGTAGTTAAATTAAAAAAGTAAACATGTGCAACATTATCTGTACCTCGATTAATTTTCAAAAAATAGAAGTGAATAATCTATGGTAAATCCGTGCTGGTAAAGTGAACGTAATCCCGTAGTTTTATTAAAATTACTTTTTATTGTGACTAAGACTTAAATATGGAATTACTTATTACTGTAAGTAAACTCAACATAATATAATTATTTTATATTTTTATATATAAATAAAATAAGTCACTCTTCATAGAATAAAGTTAACGTAACTGCCAAGTGTGGCTCTAAAATAAAATTAAGCACGTCTGTGTTTAAGACGAAAGGTTGAAAATAAATTTATATCGATCTATCTTTTTAAGTATTAGGGAATCTGAATGAATACGTAATTATTTCATAACCTTTGAAGCCATCTTTAACTTTGAATCATAATTTCGACGTAATAAATAAAAAAATTAAAATACCCTCGAATTTTTATTAACTTTTATGGAAGAATGTTTAAACCCTTTATATGTTAATGAATTAAATAACAAGCTTTATACATGTTTGATAACGAACTTATCATTATTGAAACTAGAAGCTCGATAAAAGTGCTCAGAGATTGATAAAATATTTACTCTAACGTCCGTGAACATCTATTTTTAATTAAAACCTCGCTGGGATGTTCATTTATTGCGTTGGTTACATTTTTCAGAATAATAGTGCTGAAAATTTTACAGGTAAAATAAAATGAAATTGCTGCGGTAACTTGAAATGGGTGGACATTTTGTATACAAATTATGATGCGTTAATATAAACCATTCCACCCGAATCTTACGCATAGTAGATGTAGGCAAATTTTTTAAGTCATCGACATAATTCTACTATTTTGTAAAAGTGATATAATCTTTAAAACTACCCTCCTTGCATTGCTTAACACTGTAAATTTTACTTTCAGCATTTAATAATTGCTCCAATTCCTTATCAGCTGTCGCAACGAGTAATGAGCTAGTTAATTCGACATGCGGCATTCATTAAATTTTAATTTTAAACGCGGTAATGAGGAAAAACAATCACGCTATGGATGAGATTTAATAATATTTTCATTACAATCACGGCGAAAATTCTTATTTTGGTTATGTGTCAGATGTATTTCATCAATATAATATATCGTAAGACAATTGTCTGGAACGTAAAGTATCTGTAATCTTTAAATAAAAACCTAAAATTAAAAAGAAATTAAACACTGTTAAGGTTGTAATTACATTGCAGTAGAGGTGTATGTATCAATAGGTTGAGAAACTTCGATGATGACGTGTAGGATTCGGTAGCTCAATCGGTAATAGCAACAGCCCGGAACGTTGTGGATGCCGGGTCAACTCCTGCTGGAGTCGTAATTTCTTTCAGTTTAGAATCGATTTTTAATTTATATAGTGCCAATACTTTCGATTTATCTCGAAGAAGGTTTCACATAACAACTTCCAAATATGTACTATTATAACTACAGTGTACACATTATTGACTAACTACTGTCGAGCCATTCACCGTAGATATTATATAGCGTAGTCTGAAGAGAGCCTAAACGTCTAATTGGCCTTCCCCTACTGCATTACGAAAGGTTGACTGCGTGTACAGGTGCAGTGTATAATCGGCTTAAACCCGGCGCAGTAAACGCTAAGTCCTGTTATCCTATATCAGCTTACGTGATCATGTAATGGATGTAATTGATAGTCTTGTCAGAAAGGCCACTTTGGTGTTAAATTGAAATCAGTGTTCTGAATTAGCTGGGGGGAACGTTTGAGGTAAATACTACCAGGGAGGCTAATCAACTTTGTGTGTTTCATACAAAATTATGATTGATGATAAGTGATAAACTTAAGGTTATATATATATATATAAAAAAAAAAAAAAAAAAAAAAAAAAAAAAAAATATATATATATATATATATATATTATACTTAAAAATGCGCGGTCACGTGAGTTTTCTTATGAATACTTTATATTGTTTTTTCAAATTAAAATTCAAAACGTTTATTGACATAAAATATATTTACAAACTTATAACTTATAACTAAATGTGTGCATAATAATAATATAGTAATAAATATATATAAGAGATGGCAATCGGTGCCAGTCTCAGCTATGCTGCTGAATGCTTGTCACACTCAGCAGCGCTGGTTTTCAGACTGGCCCGGGCATAGAAGTAAAGGAGTGAATTTTAGTAAAGTAGTAAAAAATAAAAGTATAATATAAATATAATATTATACTTTTATTTAACCACTAGCTGTGTCGTGACTTCGTTTTATGACTTTACCTCTATTTTTAAGATAGACATATAGTATCGCGGACATTTCTTTTAGATCATTTAATGAGGAATCAACGTTTCCTACACAGTTTTTAGGTATCTTGAACTCTTTTCGCAGCGTACGCATCTGAAACTCACAAAGATGAATATTTTCCCCGGTTTTTCCATATTTCCTGCTGCTTCTCCGCTCCTATTCGCCGCACATTAGTCGCGCAATGTTTTATAGACTAAAGCTTTTGTCGATAAATGTTTCAACCAACACAAAAATAATTTACTTACTTAAATTTGCGGCAAGGCATAACGTATTTAAGAATATATATTTTTTACTATTTGCAGAAAAACACAGCAATATGACGATCAATATTGCTATTAAAAAGCGTTTTAATGTACAAAAAGACACAGTGCGCTGGCATGTCCTTGCGCCGCTAATTTCTAATAATCAATTACAATTATATAAATGGTCTTCATTTAAACCAATGCGCTTATTATAGAGTTATAAAAATACACACGGTACTATTTAGCAAACATAAGCGTCCATCGGCTTTATTAAGCAAGTAAGTATATTGTAGTCTTCTGGGAAATCTTTCAGAATGCGAAATATTATTCTGTCTTATTAAATGTCATCTGTAGCACTTGTTATCTCTTATCAGGAACTTGGGTTTCTAGGATGTGTGTCGTGTATATATCTCGTTTTATAGGTGTTGTTATCAATGCGATAATATTTATTATTTTCACGTGGAAGTGGTATTACCTATGTTGACATCTACCTTAAGTTATGGCAAGTTTTTGTTTCACTGGTACGTCGCATGAAAAAGGACTAGTGTCAAAAGTCGACCACAATCTCCGTAACGAAAAGGCCTCTCCAAGTCCTTCCCAATTCTAATTTGAACAAAATTGAGTTAAATGCATGAAGTTACTCTACCGGACATACTTTCGTGCTGACCTATTTATCACATTCAATTTTATAGAGGTAGATCAGTACTTCATGTAACGAGTTATTGTTTGTCTGTTCTTTACTGTAAAGTGGAGCCTAAGTTTATAAAACCGTAACTGACAATATAGGATTTCTATATATAAATAAAATTGAGTTCAGTATATTATATAGATTAGTATAATAATATATAGATTTAATTCATTCATAGCTATGCCATAGATGCAGCGAGAAACTAAGGTTTTAAATGTTTTTTTCTTGTCCATAGTGTTTTACCAGCTAAGGACGACGAGGTCTTTTTTCTCGGTCAAAAGGGACCTGGTCTACTTATTCTTAATTATAATGCTTAAGTTATTATTATTATTAGCTATTATTACGTTATTGTTAGTTTTGGGTCGAAGGTAGATGTTTTTTAAGCCGTGTAGGCGCATATAATTTTTGAAATCGTTTCCAGCAAAAATAAATATAAAATTGCAAGCTAAAAAGCGGGGACCGGCAAGTCCTCAATACGAGTCTGGTCTAATTTCAACTAAATGCACTCCAAAATAGGTCAGTTTTGAGAGCCATCGATAATGAACCGTTTCAATTTCGACTCGAAGCCAGAATGCAAATTGAAATATCCATTTTGGCAGCGTAACGTCCAAATTCCAATTTGTTAGTGGAAGGTCATATTGTAGATTCAATAACTGGGAGTGTATTTTCCTGTTATTAAAAAGTCTAGAACAGGTTAAAGATGTCTGGTGTTGACATTGTTGCATGACAGATAAATGACGTAAAAAGAATAGGTTTGTTTGTCACTCGAATAAGTGTAAGTAAGGAGGTAAGAAATGCATTTTAAGTAACTAGAAAAAGAAAGTATTTGTATATAGAAACGACACGGTAGG